AAAAAAAACAAGGTGTCTACACGACAGAATGTCGTTCAAATCAATTTATAGACTCTTGTAGGAAATTGTGTCTTATAGCCAATGTTTATTCCTCCATCTTTTGCCTTAATGATTGAGGATCGTATCCATGAACACCTAAATCATTTCTAGTTTCTGAAGGGTCATCAAGAGTTTGTTCTAAATAAAATGCTAAAAATCCTTCTCTTGTCAACCATCCCTTTGCGTTTGCTCCAAATCTTAAGCCCATTTGACGCAAGAATGCAGGTGGTGGATGTGTTCCATTGGTTGTGAAAATAAATTGATCCAATTCTTTAGAATTAAGCGCGCCATCCTGATCTTTATCAAATTTGTTGAATATCTCCAATAGAGCTTGCTTCAATGCCTCTGATAATTGATTATCCTCAGTCAGTAATTCTTCTTCACCCTTGTATCCATTCACAATGCGTTCGATTTCCTCTTCTAGTTCTATTACAGAGAACAGCAAGATAAATCACTCAACTCGGATAGTGTTAACATTTTTTTTTTTTTACCATCAAATGGCTCGAATGTTGGATCAACAGCACGTCCCATCTGTAACAAAATCATTGCCTCTTCCAGCTTGTTGAGCACAAAGAGAATGAAACCGAGTATATAATAACATCCTCCATGGGCTGGGAATACGTCCAAGATCCACATCATTTTCGATGCAACTAGAGCTAAAATGTTCATATCTCCATTTTCCTGAAAGCTTTTCAAGTGAGCTTGTGCGCTGGCATATTCCTGATCTGCTTGGTCTATCAGTGCTGAATCGTTCTGTTCGCTTTGTTGGTTCTTTTCGAGGTAATATGATCGCCAGTTGGAGGGCTCATGTTGAAATTTTTTGGTTAATGCAGGGTCTAAAGATAGACCAGTGGCTGCTGTACTGAATATAGTATAGATTTCAAAGAGGTCACCAAAGTCATGTACTGCTTTACTATTGTAGGTTTTAGTCTTTGTTGCTTTCTTTTTGCTTTTTTTACCTTTTCCATAGGCTATTGTTATGAAATGTTTTATAAAGAGTTTTGGAGGTATATGAAAGTTGGTCAATGTCTTTGGGATCAAGATTATAAGCCAAGTGCTCAATCACCACGTCAGGAAAGCTTTCTATTTGAAGAACCATAGCAGAATGAAGAAAATAAAAAAGCCAGTGGCTTGTCTGAGCCTGATTTAGGGAAAAGAGGGGGGAATATTAAGGTGTGTGCCTAGAGTGCGATCTATTCCTTTTTTCCTTCTTGCATATTCTAATGGATCCTTATAGACCCAATCAATATGGTAAACTAAATAATTAACTCTAGATGCACAACTGATCTCTCTCTCTCTCTTTATATATATAGGCTATCGTCCTCCTCCACCAGCAATAGGAGCATTTGGACAACCACCCATTCCTCCACGATATCCCGCTCCTATTCGACCGCCAGCCTATGGAGGACAGTACAATCTGGTTTACCGCCCACCGCCTAACCAAACAACAGCACCTGAAAGCGCAGACAAGTTGAATACTCTATTTGTAGGAGCCATTGCTCCAGGCATTAGTGATGAATGGATAGAAAAGATATTACAAGTAAAAAAAATACTAAAATGTTTTGTTTTCATTAAAAACCTAATTGTTGCATTGATAGACCTGTGGTACACTAAAGCATTGGAAGCGTGCCAAAGACGCCTCCGGAAATCCTAAAGGTTTTGGGTTCGCAACTTATGAAGATCCTGATAGTTCTTTATGTGCACTAAGAGTCATTGGAGGCGAAAAAACCGATGGTGTCACTTTGAAAGCAACCGACGGCAGTCAGATCGAAAAGAAATTGATTGTAAAAGCAGATGACAATGTACGAAGCTATTTGGAAAACTATCAGCATTCATCTAAGCAAACGACAGAGGAGCAAGACAAAGAAATCGATCTTGAAAAATATCGTACAGTCTTGAAGTACGTTGCAGCTATATCAAAGGGATTATCACCTGCTGAAGGAGATACAGCCACCCTATCATCAGAACAATTAACACCAGAAGGACATTCAACAGAAACAACACAAAATAACGAACAGGATTCTCTCGCAAGAGACTTGGCCATGTTTAAGGAACGCGCCGCTCAAAAGGACCAAGATAAACGTACAGAAAGAAGACGTAGAAGCTCAACTGAGAGAAGAAGAGACTTTGTCAAAGGCTCTGTGGATGAGAAAGAATTGGCGATGACGGATGAAGAAATTGAAAGAAGACGAAGAGAGAAGCATGAACGTGATGTTGAGAACGCCTATCGTCACAGAGAGAAACGGTTCGAGAATAGGCAGAATGCTCAACTTCGTGATTATGAAAAGGATATGAAGAGAGAGAAAGAGGAAGAAGAAAGGTTGGTTAAAGACAGAGCTTATTGGCTAGAGCGATTGGCTAATTGGGATGACGAAGTTGAGATGGAAAAAGGAGAAGAGCCATATTATTCAGATAGGTAAGAGCAGCAGATTGTTCTCTAGTCATTACTGACCATTTCTCAGATCTCGATGGAGAAAGATGCGAGAAAATGTTCGTAGAAGAGAGCATGAGCGCGATGAAGAGGATAAGCGAAGAGAACAACAAGAAATAGAAGAAGAGAAACGCCGTCAGGAAGAAGAAGAGCGTATAAGAAAAGAAAGCAAAATATTGAACAGAGAAGGAGAAGATGGAAAGATTGCAGTGAAAACTACAAAACTTAACTTTAACATTTCAATTAAACGAAACACGCTGGGTGGTGTTGATGAAGAAGAAGAAGAAGAAAGCAAGAAAAAACGCCGTGTGCTTGTACCTTTAGACTATAGCGATATAGACAGCCGACAGTACTCTGATGATGAAGAAATGACAGTTGAAGAAAGAACAGCAAGACTCAAGAAGCTAATTGATTCTATACCTAGCTCACAGAATGAACTATGGAGCTATCGGGTTAGATGGGAAGAATTGGATGAGGTGAGTGATATTATTCTCAAATCATGTCATCTAACTTGCGATGTTAGCCTCTTATCGAACAAAAGTTACGTCCATTTGTATCTAAAAAGATATATGAAATATTGGGAATGGAAGAAGAGGACCTAGTGAATTTTGTTCTCAAGTTCATAAGAGAAAAGAAAGGCCCTGATGAGCTTGTGAATGAACTAGAAGGGGTATATATAAAGAAAATACCATATAATAAAAGATATATTGACTATCTTTATATGTAGGCTCTAGAAGAAGATGCATTAGTATTCGTAATGAAGCTGTGGAGAGCACTCATCTTTGAGATAGAAAGAAAGATTAGACGATTGTAATAAATACACCTTGTTTCTAATCCATATTTTTTTATTTCTTTTCATGTAGTTACCTTGCATAGGATTGATCATTTCATGTAAACTTATTCAACAGGATGTATGTTAAACCTACTGATATGGGTAAAATGGGCGTAATTTATTTACAGAAGCTCTTAATGGAGAGGATGATGTGACTAAGGTATACAAATGTATATACTTTTGAGAATATTGTAAATGCACTTTTTGTTCTAGTTGAGAAGGGATTTCCTATAGTTCATGATATACTTTTTCATTTACAAGACACTTTCCGTTCTCATTCTCTTGTTCATGTCGTTGTTATGATGTGTTGGTCGTTTCTGTCCAAGCCTGGGACTATCGACTTCTTGGTTGTCATTACCATCGTCATCATCGCTATTATCCATTATCCTTGCTGTTCCAGGAAGTCTGAAAAAGCAACGGTAAGTATCAACTAAAGGGCATAATCACAGGTATGTACCTTCTGGCGTTGTCTGCAACAGTATATAATAGGTTATCTCCATCGCTATCATCCGAGGATGAGCATAACTCTCTATATATAAATAAGTCAATTCAATTGGATTAAAACGAGATAATAAATAACTTACTCATCTATTGGTGTACTAAACATAGGTCGATTGCTGCTACTTCCTATTATACTAGGAGAAAAAAAGAGATTAGATTAAATAATAAACATCGCCCTAACAACATACGGCTTATTTTCATTATCGTCGTCAGTATCGCCATTATTATCATCAGAGTCTAGCACGATTATGTCTCGGGAAGTAGAAGGTTGATCATGTCTTAAAAGGTCGCTTGTATCGTATGGTTTATTGATGTTCTTGCTTTTAGCCTTTAGTCTTGCCAACTTCTTTGATAGCGCCTTTACTTTTTCTGTCAGCTCTTCTTCTTTTCTTTTGAATCTATCTACTTTTTTTACAGCAATATCTCTTTCGCTAAACAGGGAGCGTTAGATCGGAAACAAACACTAACCATCAGCTTACTTTGCCAACTGTACACATCTTGCTTTCAATCCACCAATAGCAACAACCAATTCAGGTCGAGGTAGTCTAGAAAGTGTACCAAGATAGGCTTGTGTTGTAGGCTGAGATAGATAGTCATCGATATCAGCAACTCTATTAAAGGCACAAATAAGCCAAAGGTTGACTGCACACATATTAAAAATGAGACATACCTCTTCAATTGCTTAAGATATCTTACAGTCGATTGATATTTTTCCTTTACAGTCTCCTGTTGTCTTATCTCCGTTTGTGCTTGAGATAGCTTTTCATTTGTTAAAACCAAGCTATGGGCCATTTCATTAAGATGGTTCAATAGCTGTTTTTTACTTTCTTCTAGTTCTTCAATTTTCAGTTTATCCTGCACAGACGTTGGTGGTTCGGGTTCAACACTTTCATTAGTTGAGAAGAATAGTGGACCAGAGATATCCTTTTTGGAAATGGGCTTTTTACACAAAGGACAGCTAGATGCGTTACGACGTGATCCACCAGCAGAATGACTTGACATCCATGTTTCAATACTACTCACAGTAAGTTGTTTAATAAAATCAAGAATGTGTGTATTCCATTACCAAGTCCTGTGAAATAAATGACCACAAGATACAGCTACAGGCACATTAGAATTAAGATCGGAAATACATATTGTACAAATGTAGGTCATTGAATAGAAACAGAGAAAGTGAGTGAAAAGGAGATAAAAAGGGAAGTTTTGACTGTGCAAACTTGAACATGAACATAACAGAGATCGCTTAATTGTGACTTTGATTTCTTTCTATGGTAACGGCCTTTGTTATTCAGCATACAATTAAACAAAGAAAATAAAAGGCCACTATGAGCGCATTGAAGCAATAGAATTTCGTCCCGTTTGGGCCATATCAAAAAAGGTCCATGAAGTCTAAAAATCCTTTTGGGATCGAAGGGGGGAGGAAGGTAGAAAGTGAAGGAAATCGAGTAAGAAGGGAACGAAAAAAGATTAGATCAACAGATGCTGAGAGGATAGAAGAGGAGTTGGAAGCCAATAAAGAGACCTTTGTCTTAAGTCAGGTGGTGGATGTGACACATCTTGTTCGTGACATAGGTGATCAAGCTCATAAAGGATGGTACACATAAGGGGCCGACGAGAGAAAGAACGCAGTTTGCGAGTCGGTAGTAGTTTTTTTTTTTTAAAAAAAAAAGGGGGGGCAGAGAGTTTGTAACGGTGTGTGACATTTGGAGGTGAGCATGCATATTTAGGCAGTGAACGGAATGGGCCTTCGTGAGTGGTTGGCTAGGATGCCTGGGGCAGGGTTTTGGCTTACCATCAGGTATATTCCAGCATACACTTTGTTCACAAATTATTCGCACATTGATAATTTCAGACAACAAAATGAGACAACAAATGATGACAAAAGACAGCCTACAAGAAGCAAAAGAATGAAAATGACTAGTATCTTAGTTACATGTTATTTACAAGTGTTGACCACATATACAAATTTGTTCTCTTCTATCAAAAATATCAAGCGAATGTTATGTATTATTACATGTTGCCTTTAAATAATAGAGAAAAGACTGATAATCAACTAAAGTGTAGTTGCTATTGGCTTCAAATGTGTGTATATTTTAGGCTCAGGAGTCTTCTTGTGAAGAGTAACCTATTAACTGGAACCGTGCTGTATATATGTATGTATATATGAAACTATGACTGCATACACGCTACATATATATTTATACATGTGTATGATTCTTGGTGGCTAAATGAAAAACTCAAAACACATACACAACTGACAGTCAGTTTATGTCCTGTCATCAATTTATCGCAGCTGTTTATTTTAATATCAACTATCCAATAATATACAAGTTGAAATTCAATTTCAAACACTGTATCCAAACACAGAATGCATATAAAAGAATAAACGGAATAAAGGTCCATTTGTTCACACTTCTTTCTCACAAACTTATCAAATAATGCACGGATTCCCCGACGGCCAATATTTCTTTATAAAGTCTCAAGCAAATGGACAAGTCATGGATGTCTATATGGGTGAAACGACCGTAAGAGATGAATACTCATACACGACAAGAAAACGCATACATTTATCCATTATAATAATAGGATGACTCCAACATTATCATTTGGCCACAGGTAAGAGCATACAGACTTTTACACGTATAGACACTTATATTATGTCTAGAAAGCAGGTGATGATAACGATAACCAGGTAAACTAGGCCTTTGCTTGGCATGAAATAAGAATAGTATATACTAACCGTTTTTCCGCTACAATAGCTTTGGCGCGCCGAAGATGGTTTTTTGATCAATAAACGATCCGGTTTAGGTAAGAATGACGTGATAACGCACGGGCTTGATGCTTACCTGATATTTTAAGTTATGGATGTCCGTGGAGGCGACCTCAAGTCGGATACAGCAATTGTACAATATTCTAGAAAGATGACAATGTAAGAGTAGCGTGGTATCATAAGCATGTTGTATTCAATGTTTATCTATCACAGGGCACATAACCAACGATTTGGTTACCGTGATGGCTTTGTTTACTGCTTGGCTGACCCTCGTTTGGTGATGGATATTAGGGTACACGTGACAACGCCGAGGTCCACTCTTCCTGCTAATACGCTTTTCATAGGGTGGTGGAAACAAGGAAGGCACTCGTATCATTTTGTATAAGCGAAAAGATTCCGATAATCATAACCAAAAGTGGACTATTGTCCCTGTAGGCGAACCTCAACATGGTGATGGCCAAGTTCCTTATTACCCTCCACCTGACTATCCCCAACAACAACAAGGCTATCCTCAGTACCCCCAATCTCAACAACCACCCGGTTATCCACAGTACCCTCAGCAGCAACAAGGCCAAAACTACCCTTATTATCCTCCTCCTAGCGGACAATCTTACGGTTATGGCCAACCTGATAGCCAATATGGTGGTAATCCCTATCCATCCTATGAAGACGGTAAAGATAGCTAAGAAACATAAAGTTTATTTTGATTGGCTAATACATCATAGCCTCTCGAGCTCATAATGAGGTCTACAACGAAGGCCGAAAGGCACACCTCTCCCACCAATTGATTGCTGGTGCGGCTGCATTCGAAGCTGTCAAGGCATACGCTCGTCATCAAGCTCGCCAAGGCGAACCCATGTCGCATGCATTCATCAAGCAGAGTGTGGCTGCATTAGCTGCTGCTGAAGTAGTCAAACTTGCTGAAGAGCACAACTGGTCCGGCGATCAAAAAGAAAAGGCAACTCGCGAGGCTCAAGAGGCTGCAGAAAAGTATGCATCGCGCGAGTTTCAGTTTTAATGAAGATTACAATAAAGAGTGAATTTTGCTGTGTCCTGCCAATATGATGTAATATTACATGAAGCATCACCGATCTATGCATATTTTTGTGCAGATGAACACAGTACTGCCATATAAAGGTCCATTTTCCTTTTTGCTCTTTACAATTTATATAATGTAACGGGTTGTGTGATAGCAAAACACATAAATGAATATGAGGCAGCTCTTTTTCTCTCTCTCTTTATTTTGATGAAATTTATTTCCTTGGTCACTTTACTTGCCCTGCCTGTTATCATCTCAGCTGCCTGCCAGCCCAAGGGCTCACCCTGTGGTCAAGATCTTGAACGATGCTGCCCTGGTTCTATTTGTAACCCAATAGAACATAAATGTGTGCCTATTAGACACTAAAGAGACTATCTTTTCATTGTTTACAACAAAATGAAATAAACAAAGAATGTGCGCACATTATTTGTATAAATAAAAAAAGCTTTTTTTTACTATAAAAGAACGAGATGCCGACGTGCGGTGACGCCAGTACTGTGCTCAAAAAACTGATGTCGGTTTTGTGACACACCAACTTACGATTTGGCTGTGCCTAATCAGCGGCTTCACAGGGTCCAAACGACGGTTTTATAAATGCTCAGGTTGCAGTTTGCTGTTAAAAGATTATATTTGATATAGCTCATGAAATCATCTGAACGAAAACGATCAGAGCCATCGTTTTGGCAACTGTGTCTTGATAAAAAGAAATCTCTTTTTCTTTCCTCTCATTATTTGAATTCATTATGAATTTCACACTTTATACTGTCTCCATTTGATGTATCGTTCACTTCTTACGGTTGAAAAGCTCTGTTAACATCAAAAACACCCTCATGTTTGAAGAAAGCTTTTGAAAAATGAAGTTACCAAGCTTTGCTTCAGATTTCAGGAACTAGTCTTTCAGATATTTGACAAAGTTGTCAATCGTTTCTTCCTTTGGGGACCCTATATAGATATATTAATGATTTTTATATATTGACGATCAGATACACTTGCATAATCTTTGGCAGAAAAAAGTTCTTGTTTACGAGATAGGCCTTGGCAGTGATTCACGTATTCTCCAAGTGGTTATGGCTTCTGGATATTATGAAATAGATAGAGATTGGCTTGGTATTGTTGGGTAAATTTGAGTACATTAGAAGTGGCCAAGAATTGAGTGAAAGACAGCTATTTGAAGATTTAGGGAAATAAGCTAACCAATCAAAATTGTTTCCTTGTGTTATTTTTGGACCCATTTAAAAATAAGCTCAGGGGGAGGTGGCAAATAGGGGTGACTACAGATTTGACCCGATGATATCTTTCTAACCTCTCTGAGGTTACTTTTTTTTGTTTGTTACAAATTTGATTAGGAATGTGGAAACCGCATTAGCCAATGATAGCTTATCAAAATAAAGAAAAAGAAAAACCTGTTTTTAAAGAAGAAAAAAATAAGGAGTAAGAGGTTTACCTTGACAATCAAAATGAATCAGGGGCAAACAACAATTTGACATTACCCCCTCTCCTTTTTTCATTTCTCTCTTTTCTTTTTTTTATTATTTTAATAATGAGCAAATTAGTATTGATAGTCGTCATGGTAATGATCAGTAGTTCATTCCAACATTGTACATCCCTTTTAAAGAACTGTCGGTCTGGAGATGACTGTTGCTCTAACCTGTCTTGCGTTACTGGTATTTGCGTACCTTCAAGGGTGGCTAAAGCGTTTTCTTCTACCTAATCCGGACACCCATTTTATAGTAATACCGTCTACAGAATGATCATTGTTACGCAGAATAAAAAAATTTTATCCTTGTCTTCTAACCCAAATATATATTGACATCTCGGAATGTCTGTGGGTTGTGTATTCTATTAAAAGAGCGACAGTCCCCACGAACGGATTTATGCAACCTCGTCAGGCCATCAAAATAGAGAGAGATTGGGAGATGATGAAACGGATATTAAGGTTTATTTATTTATTTATTTTTTTTTTACTCTCTTTTTCTCCCCCCTTTTTTTTTCTTTTTTTTTTTTTTATTGTAAAATAATATGACTTCAACAGCTGTTAGGTATAACTTTTTAGTTATTTTGTTTATTCGCCAGTTTATAATACAATTTATTTTATGTAGAGTGGCATTACGTGTACGCCCTTTAACACAAAAAGAACAACTATCAAATTGTACAGAATGTATATCTTTTATACCACATCAACCACAAATACTTATCGGAAAGGATCATTCATTTACATATGATTATGTGTTTGATACAAATACGAAACAGGAGAATATTTATAATACGTCTGTCGTACCTTTAGTAGAAAAATTTGTAGATGGGTAACTCAACAGAACCTTATACTTTCTTCACAGCACTAATATTCTTTAGGTTTAACGCAACAATATTAGCCTATGGGTAATACTTGTGTTTATACAGTTGTTGTAGATCACTAAATTAATAAATTCTTTATTTAGTCAAACAGGATCTGGTAAAACCTACAGCATGGGCACAGCCTTAGAAGAACATATCGACTCAGAACATCAAGGTAAACATAAACAAATATGAAACATGAAACACTTGTTGAAAATCACACTCTTTTCCCTTAGGTATTGTCCCTAGATTCATTCATGACTTGTTTCAGCGATTAGAAAAAAAGAAGCAGACAGAACCTATCGACTACCAAGTGCTAGTATCTTTTCTAGAACTTTACAACGAAGACCTTGTCGATTTACTTAACCCTTCCAAATCAAAAAAATGCGACGTTCAAATTCGTGAAGACGTTAATGGAAATATCTATTGGGCTGGTGTTCGTGAGGAAGTCTGCCAGACACCTGAGGATCTCGTCAAGAATTTGATCAAAGGATCACTCGGTCGCACAACCGGATCAACCGATATGAACTCCGTTTCCTCTCGATCACACGCTATCTTTTCTGTCATATTGAAGCAAAAGCCACTGCAAGAGCAAAATGAGGAACAAGTGATTGTCAGTAAATTTCATTTTGTCGATCTTGCTGGCTCCGAAAGGGTAACATTACATAAATTCGTCATATTCCCTTATTCTTATATTCTCTTAGCTAAAACGAACCAATGCTCAAGGCGATCGCGCTAGAGAAGGTATCTCTATTAACTCTGGCCTACTTGCACTTGGCAACGTCATCAGTGCTCTAGGCGATGAGTCTAGAAAATCATCTCACGTGCCCTACCGTGATTCTAAGCTCACTCGACTTTTACAAGACTCACTTGGCGGTAACTCTCAGACTCTGATGATGGCATGCGTGTCGCCATCCGATACCAATTTTCCAGAGACACTGAGTACACTCAAATACGCCAACCGTGCACGAAATATCAAAAATAAAGTAGTCATCAACCAGGAATTTGTTGGTTCTTCTGTCCAAGTCAACCAACTTCGGTCTCAGGTCGCGCGTCTGACTATGGAACTACAGGCACTCAAAGCATCTAAAACAGGCACTGGCGGGTTGGTGGGCAACCTGCTGGGTCATCAAGAAGAAATTGACCGGCTCAAGTCACGGATACAGTCAATGTCAGATGACATTGTTCGATTGACGGCCGAACGAGACACACTTCTGATGGAACGTGAGCTATCGTCAGGTGACTTTGAAAGTTCCCCCATGATTGCACAATATCAAAAGACAATCCAGGACTTACGTAACGAACTCGCTGATACACAAGAGCGGTTGGCCTTCTCCGAGTCTGTGCGTGCCCCACTTATGGACGCTGTGTCAGGCATGAGTCCACATGTATCACATACGATAAGTAAGCGCAGGTCGGCTGGTCATACCAAAAAGAGAAGAACCATTAATGGCAGTACAACCACCACAACTGCCAAGAATATTACTTTCAAGTCCACAAGGCGCTCCAAAGTACCACATAAACAATCTGAGAATACCAAGATGGCTAGCAGTAGCGAGGATGAAGATATCGAAGCATGGCTCAAGGAAACACTAGGCTCTATTCAGACCTCAGAGTCCTGTGGTCTCCGAGTCGACGCAAAACACTCCATTCTGAATGCAAAGAGTCAAATTGATAAGGCCTTGAAAGTACTGGATGAGTTCAAGGTAAAAAAAAAATGCCTATCTTATGTCACAAGTACTCATCTTTTCTTTAGATGAGAACACCAGAAGATACTCTAGATTATGAATGCGACCTCCTGGCTGACGATGAACTATTCATTCGTCTTCAATCAGATGAAACTCTCTTTGACGACCTTGAAGAATTAACAGCCGATCAGGTAAGGAAAAAAAAGATACCCTAAAGAAAGACATATTAACCATCTCATAGCCTAAGCTATTACCCTCTTATCGTTCTCGCATGCCATCAGCCGATACCTTTTTGACGGACGATACTGACTTTTCTGAATTCAACCCACAGTTCCATCGTATGCTCGATCAAATCCAATCTGACATCCAAGTGAATGAGTCCCTGGTAAACCAGCTTGAGAAGACCGAGCTTGAATACATTGACATGCGCAAGAAGTTTGAACAAAAGATCTATTCTTTACGTGACGAAATTCTCGTGCTCCGTCAAGAAGTTGCTCAACGTCAAGATGTCGCTCAACAACAAAGCATGAACGATATTCGCCATGCATACGAAGCCAAGATGAAGAACCTGATGACACAGCTTGCCGATCTTCGTCGCAAATATTCTCAAACAACAAGCTCAATTCAATCTGCGCGTAACCAGAACGAGAGCATGCTCCGTGCTCTCCGTGTTAATGTCGAGACACTCAAGATCGAAAAGCGTCGAATGATCAAGCGTATGAAAGAAGAAGCCGAGCGTGTCAAGGAGAAGTTAAGCTCACACGAACGTGAAATTCAGCAGCTGCGTCGTCGTCAGCAACGTGATGCTGAAACAAAACGCAAGTTGGAAAGAGAAGCCAAGCAACTTCAAATGGTCCTTCAGAAAAAGACAGATGAATCTCTCGTCACAGCTGAGAAGCTCAAGTCCTTGGTCAATATCCTCAAAAAGGCTGTCCGTGAAGGCGGTGTCTTGGATGACAAACTTCTTGCCAACTTTAGTTCCTTACTCGACTTGGGTCAGTTACGTCGAAGTGGTGCTGGAAGACGTCACCGTACTTCTAACACAGCTTCAGCTGCCAATGTCGCAAAGCATCATCGTATTCCTCCTCAAGTGCGCGCTGCTAAAAAGAAGTTGTTGCTCGATCAAGCATTGTCTCAATATATTCAGAGCAAACAAGCTGCTGAGGAACTACGACAGCTGATCTCTAAGCGCAATGATCTCGCTCAAAAGAAGGAAGAATACATCTCTGAACGTGAACACTTGTTACAAGGCGAAGATAAAGACATGATTCCTATCGATCGTGCTTTCAGACAGGTCATTGATGAAAATATTGAAATGATCGAAGCTGAGATCTCATATATCAATGCTCGTATCCATGCTATCAATAACATCGTCGCTGCTGACGTTCTGCAAGATGACGACGATATCGTTGATATCTCAAGTAAACCTATCGAAAAACGTGTCACCTTTGCTGCCAAGCCTAGACAACAAGAGGATAATGACGACTGGCAAGACATGGACGCACTCGAAGAACGATTTAGTCTACCTCCAAGTGCAACTCCCGAACAGTGTATTGAAATGATGTCCAAGATCTTGAGGTCAATGGATATTGATGAGTTCCGATGTGTCATGGAAGCCACCCTGGACGATATTGTCACCCTTCGTATGGATGAGGCCCAAAACAAAATGGCTATTCAACAGTACGAAAAGACAACCGAAGATTTGCGTCGTACGCTGATTGTCATGAAGAAGACTGCTCTTGATGCAACTGACGATTACGAAAAGAGATTGAAACAACTTCACCGTCGCCGTACCTCCACCCACTCTGCATTTTCGAAATTGTCTCACTATTCCGAAGATAGCAGTGATGCAGATTCGGCCATTGATGTCTTACCGGAGGACCATCATCAACATGTGGAAACCTTGTTTCACAAAATTTATAACGAAGGCATGGGAGAGTTACGCCCACCTCGTCAACCGACACCTTCAACATTGGCAGAAGCTGAACTCAGTCCTTATCTCCAACGTCGACCTTCTCTCCCACTACAGCAACGACCAGGTGCTCCGATGAAGCCGTCTGCGTCACCTCTGGCTGGTCGTCGCAATTCATCTTCTTCTCCCGAGCAGTTCTTGCAACAATTTATGATTTCCAGTGAACCAAGACGTCGACTGTCGATTCAATCCGATAGCATGTACAGTCTCACCCATGCAACTTCGCTTCCTCCTGCTCCTCCCAAGATGATCGAATCACCATCTCAACAGAATCGCCGTCGCGCCTTTTCCTTTCAACAGCCGCCCACAGCCCCTTCACCTCTGATGCAGAGAAGACGATCCCTTTTAAGGGAAATGGCCAGCCAGCAAGAATTACTAGCTCATCGTTACTCAAATCCAGACCTTGGGCAGGAATTCATGATGATGAGAAAGAAGTCATCCCCAACAAACTCTTATGAACTGAGAAGATCGGCTGCTGTCAACAATGTGTTTGATAGACTCTCTTCTGGTCATACCCAAGCTTCTCAAGCTAAAAAGAAGCTGAGCCCAAGTCCAAACAAGAATAGATACTCCTCAAGTAGTATAGATGATCTACGAAGACAGTGGGCAATTGAACTAGAAAAGATTAAAAATGTGTGTTAAAATATAGGTTTCATTTGTAATTATAGTATTTATATTAAAAGTTAGCATCAGATAAAGTAAGAGTACGATGAGATTGTATTGTGTACCTTTAGATACTAAGAAGCTGGGATATTTGAACTGAATTGACCAGATTGATGAAGGCATAACAAATCATATAGTTACGATAGATTCAGCTCTACACGAGTTCCATTTTCAACGACCGTAGTAGCAGCAGAAAGAGTAACTGTGGCTGTTGGTAAAGAGAGAGAGCCGCAGGCACCAATGACCATCCATAAGTTCCATGAGGAAATAAAAGGACGTAGTGGGTGAGATGTATGCAGCATTGTTGACTGATTTTTTGAGAGTACTGCCATGACATATGCTGTTTTTACAACCACTTCTTCTTAAGTATAATATCTCTGAAGCTTCTATCGCTATACTCAATAGATATGACAGCAGCAACTTCCTCCATTGTGGGAAGGCTGTGAGTGCGTCTGTTACCTCCTTCAATGAACCCAATTTTTATTGAAGGATTGGTAATAACGTATCGCGAATTGCTTTCATTATGGTCATTGGCGTTACTGCTCAAATCTCTGTTTGTATTTGTATTTTCTTATCTGCTTAGAGTCTCATGTGCATGGTGATATTTGCGTGAGAAAGGGGTTACGATGAGAAAGCATAGTAGAAAGCTCTGCTACGATCTAGGGGAATTAAGGTTTTCGTTTCTTTCGGATCTTCTTTGTGCAGTATAAGATGAGTTATATACGTAAAGTTGGACAAAAGATGGTTCGCTGCCGCCATAAGGAATAAGTAGCCCCTGACGATGACAAAGCGCGCCGTGGATTTGAAATGCATTCAATCCTCTTTTGCTATTGTTAGTGGTATCAGAATCCCGAGCAGAAAACATATCACAGTCTAATGAAGTAAACAAATGTTGACCTTAAAGTGCCTTCCTTGGGAGCCTATGCGTATAAGCAAGTCCTTCGAATACTCAGGCGGGTCAGTCAAGAGCTGTAACTGGACTGATCCCCGCCTACAGCATGATTCCCAGTGAGGGATTCTTGACGAAGATGCCTCTTGCCTTTCGTTTACCCAGTGCAGGGCATGGCAGCGTGGACACTCCTTTTTTACTCTTTCCAGATCTACTGGCCGTAAAAGGTATAACTGAGAAATATAAGCAGCAGGAATGGTTTGAAAAGGTTCTACACTAGGAATTCCCCTACGTTCCACTGGGCTGACTTCCTGCTCTTCTTGTTCAGCTTGACGTTTACGACATGAAGCCGCAACTCTTTCTCTGCATGTTTGGCAGATTCGATAGCGGGAATCTGTTGGCAATGCTGCAACACAGGAGAATCATATGGTTGCTCTATAAGTGTTGTTGTCTATTGTTCTATTGAGCGACAAAAAGAAGGTAGATGCAATGCAATGTTAGAAGGCGAATTTGAATCAAAAGAAAGAAACGTTCAATAATATGAGAAAGGAAAGAAAACTCATGCATTTTCAGGAACCAAATGCTTGTCGCGCAGGTGTTATGTTCAACCAGAAAGAGTAACAAAAAAAAAAAAAAAGCAGCCAAACCTTGTAATGTTGCATATTTTTTCTTATTCCAGTACATATTTTGTGCAACTAGCCGCTTCCAACTCGCTATGCTGGTTTTTGCGCGTCATCGAGCTGCCATAAGCTTAAGTACTTCATTCTTTGCGATGAATAAGGACGCAAATGCTGAATGAGATGTAGATTTTGTGTAATTAGCTATTATAAATAAATATATCTTGTGTAATTACTATATAAAGCTTCTTATGCAAATAAAAAACAATTATGCTGTTTTTTACAGAGAATGAAAGAGAGATCATTTAAATGTATAAAAATAATAAGGGGGAAGAGAAAACATGCCTGTTAGGAGTATTCTATCTATTTTTTAGCTTATAAATTAGTCCATTCTCATTCTTTTTTTCTTTCTTTTTTTTATACACATACCTATCTCATGGCCGACTATTACCGCTCAGAGCTATTAAACAAGCCCCAAAGCTCTTTTAGAAGAGACCGATTGACTCGTGAAGAGCAACAATTAAGAGAAGAAATTGCTAGACTGAGAAGAGAAGAACAAGAACTCAAAGAAAAGGACTATCTATTAAAGCAACATATTGAAGCCGTTAGAGAAGAATTGGCCGCAACCACTGCTGGAAAATGAAATTATAAAAATAGAAACCAATATTAACCGACTGAGGTTATTCAACACATGGCAATAAAAAAGTTCTCCCCTTTTGATACCGAATAAACTCAATGCTATATCACTATATTATAGACTAAATAGAAAAAGAGAGAGAGAGAGAAATAAGAAGCGAAAAGGAGAAAGAGAGATTCTAGACTACAGTAGATCCTTTTTTCTTCTTTGTTGGCCGAGGCGCAATCTTTTTTTATTTTTTGCATGATTTCTTGTATTTTCTTTTCTTGTGTTTCTTCTTGTTCAAAAACATGAACTCCCTGGGTTCGAACCCTGAAACAAGGTACACTCGACTAGAAAAGCTAGGTGAAGGCACCTATGCGACCGTTTATAAGGGAAAGAGTCGAATTACAGGAGAGACAGTAGCTCTTAAAGAAATTCACTTAGATCCTGAAGAAGGTGCACCCTCCACAGCCATTCGAGAAATTTCACTCATGAAGGAACTCAAACATACCAACATCATTCGACTGCTTGATGTCATTCATACCGAAAGTAAACTCATTCTCGTCTCAGAGTATATGGACCAAGACCTCAAAAAGTTTATGGACGCTCGACAGGGTAATCTCGACACAGCCACTATCAAGTCGTTCATGTATCAATTATTGAAGGGTATCGCTTATTGTCATGAAAACAGGGTGCTTCATCGTGACCTGAAGCCTCAGAACTTGCTGATCAATAAACATGGTGAATTGAAATTGGGAGACTTTGGCCTGGCTCGTGCCTTTGGTATCCCTGTAAACACGTTTTCGAATGAAGTTGTCACGCTTTGGTATCGTGCACCTGATGTCCTTTTGGGCTCTCGTATGTATTCTACATCCATCGATATCTGGTCAGCAGGCTGCATTATGGGTGAAATGTACACAGGTCGGCCGTTGTTCCCTGGAACGACCAATGAAGATCAGTTACAAAAGATATTTCGGTTATTAGGCACACCAACAGAACAGACTTGGCCTGGTGTCTCGCAACTATCAGAATATAAACAACCAGCTGTCATCTATCCTCAACAGAGCATAAATCAAGTTTTACCCAACATTGATGTCTGTGGTCTCGATTTACTCAGTCGTATGCTTCAATATCAACCTCAATTAAGAATATCAGCAAAGGATGCACTCAATCACAGTTACTTTGCTGAATTAAATAGATGTAACCCTTATTAGAATTAAAGTTGTTTTTTTCTTTATCACTTTTTATATGCGTCATTGCTTTATTCTCCAAGTTGAGGTCCCTTCAAGGATGTTCTACCAGCACGCATCATTTCATCAACTAATAAGAGATTACTTGCGATAACAGAGCAAGAATGGAGCATATGACGATGGACTCTGTAATTGTCCCAAACGCCTTCTAATTTAGGATCCATCGTTTCACCTGTCTTCAGGTCAACACCTACAACGTGACCATCAGAATGTTCATCCTTAAAGTATGTTAGTTTTGTTATAATATATCCTTTTTTTTTCTTACCTGTAAAGCAACAATCACATCCTGAACATCAAAACCAGCATTTTGAGCAAGGACCTTGGGTATGATCAACATAGCATCAGCAAAGGCTTGAACGCCCATCTTGGCACGACCCTTGACTTCCTTTTTATATTTCGTCAAATGTTGAGCAAGAGCTACTTCAAAGGCACCACCACCAGGAACAACAGCTTTATCTTCAACTGCATTCTTGACAGCACGAAGACCATCACGAACAGCGTCATTTGTTTGAGCAATGATATGAGGGTTAGGTCCCTTGATCAAGATGGTCACACTATAGGGATCCTTGACATCTTCAACAAATGTGTATTTATCTTCCCCCAATACTTGTTCATAGACTAATCCTGCGTAACCTAATACTTCAGGTGTCAAATCTTCTACTGAGTTTTGAGCAACGCCACCACACGCCAGTTGAAGACGCTCCATATTTCTTCTTTTAGCTCTACGAAGGGCCAAGATACCATGCTTGGCCAATAAGTCAAGAGAAAGAGGGTCGATACCCTTTTGGTTGATGATAACAAATCCCTTATCGGCATTTTCACCACTACAAACCTCATTCTTGAACTCGACTAAACGGCGGACCTTATCATCCACATGCTTACGTTCACTCTCTACCAATCTATCACGTTGCTCAGGAGTAGAATAGAAGAAGCCAGAGTTGATTTCAGATTTTTCGTATTCGAGACTGACGTTGAGTGTCAAGATGAATGCATCTTTGATTCGCTTGGGCATATCAGGATGACGAGCACCATGGTCCAAGACGAGACCACGGATCAGCTTAGACTCTGTCTCTGAACGGTGTTGCATTTTCATGATTTCAACCATATGAAGATCGATGGGTTCTCCTTCACGATGAATAGCCAAGACAGCATCGACCACGGCTTCAGTCAACGTATCAGCCAAGGCGCGGTGAACTTTGGTGCGAAGGGAGGTACGCGCGACTGATACTAGTAATTCACGATCAATCTCGGCTTGCTGCACTTTGAATTCATCCAAAAACTACAATATATTAGATAGCTGTTTTCCACGGTAGAATGTATTCTTACCTTGAGAGCTTCCTTTTTGGCAAGGTCGTATCCTTCTGTGATCACACGAGGATGGAGACCTTCAGAGATATAACGTTCGGCTTGTTTTAAAAGTTCACCGACCATCAAGACGATGGATGTTGTGCCATCTCCTGTGATTTCATCTTGAGCTGTAGCGGCTTTGGCAATCATGGCAGCAGTAGGATGTTGAATTTGCTTTTTGTGTGTTAGTAATCATTATATATATTTGTGCGTTTTTGCTTACCATTTCACTCAGTAGGACCTTTCCGTCCTTGGTAAGCTTAATACCACCAGCACCATCTACCAACCTATGTGATGATAAGTTCACTTTATGACATATCTTTTTATTATATAGTTACATCTTGATTGTTCCTCTGGGGCCCAAGTTAGATCTTAGCACTTCTTGTAAACCTATCGCGGCAGTAATGTTGAGCTGAAGTGCCTGTCCGCGTCTTGCGACATCCGAATTTGGATTGATTACTTTCAAAGCAGCAGATGACCTTGAGTTTTATTTTAGTTTATGTACTTTTTTATTTTTGTTAAATGGCTTACATTATTAGATTTTAAATAAGAAGAAAAAAAAAGAACTGATGAAGGATGTAGAAAGATCTTCTTGTCCCGCAATAGAAAAAAAAAAAATTTCAAAGGCAATAAAGCACACACAAACAACGCACACGAGTTAAAACAAATTGTCGCTCAGCTACAGCGGAAATTGATTCTCTCTTTCTCTCTTTCTCCTCCTTCATTAGAAAAATAGGAGGGAGAGGATTTATAAAAAAGGGAAAAGTACACACATAGGATTTAATAACAGCTATTCTTTAAATCAACTGTTTCCGTTTCATTCAAGCATAACAGTTTAGAAATAACAGGTACCATGGACTAAGATTATGTAAGCAAATGGCTTTTTAAACTATAAGCTTTTTTTTTTTTTTTTTTTTTTTTACCTGCTTATTATCAGACATCAAAAACTTTAAAATGACATTTTTCAAGTATTCAATACTCATATTTTGCTGTTTATCAACTGCATTCATTTTCCTACTTTTTATAAGAAATAAGATCAAATAAATCTTTTTTTTTTTTACCTTATTTCACTCTTTAACAATTGTTCCTGACGTCTCAAGGATCTATTGTCACACTCATATTCATGTAATGAAATACGTAATTCCTGTAACTCTCTTTCTAGTTTTGTTTGCTCTTTGGAAACATCTATGGGTTGTTGTTTCAATTGCATCAAGTGACTATTTTCCTTTTCTAATTGCTCTATTTTATCTTGTAGCTCATGTATGTCCTTCTGATGGCTGTGGTTTTGTTGTTTAAGCTGATCTAATATTTGCTGATAGGAATGTTCAAGTGACTCTATCCTAGACTTATCACGCGCAGACACTTGTCGCAATCGACTTAGCTGTGATTCATTTGTACTCTTTTCCTTTAATAACGTCGCTTGATGTGCTTCTAGTTCATTGATATGATCAATAGCCTTGCGCAAGTCTCTCTCCAAGACTAATTGCTGTTCAGACTTTTTACCACATTCTGCCTCATATTTTCTATTGGTTATCAGTATACATCCTGTATTGTATGTTTGCTCTTATAATTTACTGTTCTAGTTCTTGTAACTGTTTCTCTAGTTGATGTACTCTAGTCATATCTTGTTGCTCTTCCTTGTTCTTTTCTAATAGTTTACGTGCTCGCTTCTTATATTGTTCAAATTCCTTTTTTATAGTGTCTATTTGACTGGATAATTGCTCATTTTCAGCTTTCTATTTTAAAATGAGTAATTGTACATACATTGTCCCAAGAACCTTACATAACTCTCCATCCTCTCCTCTGCTGAATCCTTTTCTCTTTTCAATACTTCTAGGGTTGCTATTTTAAATAGTTAATAGAACACAACTTGTATTATCATAGATGAGTTACATTGATTTGACGTCAAGTCTATATTATATTTCTCTTCTTTAGCTTGATACTCTTCCAGTTGACACTTTAATTCTTCAATTTCCTTTTTCTGTGAGGCGATCGTTGCTCGATAGTTATCTATGCTTTTGGTAGCCTGTCCAAATATCTCTATTGATTTTATTTATTAAATGCCAAGTTCATTTATTCTGTACCTCGCATCTTTTTCAGCTTTTCTTCATGTTCGGCTAATGGATACTCATTAGTAACGCTTATGCACATTTTATATTTCTCTTACTTGTTTTTGTAGTCAATTTGTCTTGAAGCGCGTTGCATTCATCGGTCTTTTGCTTTAATTGATGCTTTAAATCTTTTACTTGTTCAAGTAATTGGAACTGACTCTTTTCTATATCCTGTAATCCTGCTTTCTTTTCTTTATACAATCAGTTTCTCCCTCTTTCATGACATTATATAAATAAACCTTTGTTGTCTTGTATTCTTTCTCCGTCATCCTTGTAAAGAAAATACAGCACTTGTACTTTTTAAAATAGTGGTCGGATTTTAGAACAAAGAAATGTATTTGCTCACATGTTTGAAGATAAATATGGATTGTGCTATTATTGCTTTTCTTTTGTTTTATTCTGAATAAAGATACACACAGGCTCATCGTACTTTCTATTTTGTCTGATTCTATAACAAAGCTAAATACAGCAATGGGCTCTCGAACAGACAGTCTCGAAACAAAATCTGATAATTAATCATACTACGAATTGACCAGTACATTGTGGTCAAAAAAGGTCTTTGTAGCAGTGATTCCATAACCAAGTGCCTCCAAGCAAGTTCATTATCAAATATGACCACATTGGTTCACTTCATGGCACAGTAACAAAAGTATGTCACTGCATTAAATGGATACGATGATCCAACGTCACAAACTATTTACAGAGTTGCTTATGATACTTTTACAGACAAGCTGATCTAGGAAATGAATATTGAAGCATTCTACCCTTCTGATATCAAATCCAATATACTTTCTTTTCTTTGTTACAGCGAAGCCAAAGCAGTGCAGTCTAAAATGATTATACACAAACTCAAATTATAATTTTCAACAAAGACTCCATATCATTTGTATATTTTGATATATTGCTTACTTTTATTTCACTCTAATAAAGAAAACAGACGAGCCATTTCATTTATGCGTTATGCGACCATTATTTCGATTGTCAATTTCATTATATGACAAGCATACAACAAACTTGTTGAGGACTCATATTCTCTTCTGTTTTACAAGTTTTGGCTGGCTTTGAGTATGCCGTTACTTTCGCTTTCGTGATGTCAATGAGAATGACTTTTTCGGAATGAAAGCTGTTGCTTCTATTCCTTCGTTAAGTACATTGCTACCACCGTTGTTGGGAAAAGAACTAAAAGTGTAAACGAAAAATATGGTCAAGCGCACTTCAATAAAGTGAGCCATTACATTTCAAGAGCGTGTCCAATTGAACTACTGTACAGAGAGAAAAGAAAAACGAAAAAGGTAAAGAATGGTACCTTATTGTACGACGTGACCTTTTTAAAGAGGAGATGGAACAAGCCACTTGCATAAAAAAGAAAAGACTTTTCGTGCTTTTTTACACTTTTCATATCGTTTTTTCAAAAGAATGAGAGCACCTACTTCACAAGACAACTTATGGGTAGCAGCAGGTAAAGGAGAGTCATTGTTACAAATAAACAAGATATAACTGACATCAAAATTAGGTGACGGTCAACTCGATCGAGTCAAGGCAAGTTTCAACAATAATAAAAAGGAAGAGTATATTCATATGTTCAATAGGAATTGATTGAAGGTGGCATGGATGTAAATAGTCATGATCAATTTGGTTATACAGCAATGTAAATAACAGTTGATGATAATGATAACATACTTAATTGGTTGTTTCTTAGGCACGCAGCAGTATCATATAATCAGACCGAAATTGTGAAGTATTTGTTGGATAAAGGAGCTGATGTGAATGTAGAAGATTTTGATAAAGATACACCCTTGTTTGTAGCAGAGACAGTGGAAATGGCACAGATCTTGCTTGATCGTGGTGCTGATCCTAAAAAAGTCAATGAAGATGGATTCACACCAGCTTTGACAGCATTTCAAGAAGGATGGAAAGAAGTAGCAGAATATTTGGCAAATATTACCAAGGAAGTACTGCCAACAGAAGACTTGGAAGATATGTCTCTGGCTCATGTCCAACATGATAATAATGATGAAGACTATGATCCAGAAGTGGCAAGCAAGATGCAAGAAATCATTAATAGAATTGAAGAACAAGGAGGCGAATTTGCAAATGAAGAAGAGCTAAGAGAGATGGTGACAAAGCTATTACTGGAAGAACTAAGAAAAAGTGCCTCCTAAAAAGTCACACAGACTTGGAATGTATATTAAATAAAAAGCGTGTTATTGTATCATCTTTAAACTTGTGTGAGCAAACTTTTTGTGTTGAGATAGTAAAGAGGGGGCGCACCTAGGAAATTAAAGTGCGAACACAAACTATACAATTAAAAAATCTGTCTTTTCCTTTTTTTTTTTTTCCTTTAATTGAACGACAATGGATAAATATCAAGTATGAAAACTAATTAAAAATAAAGCAAAGATTGACTTTTTTGTTTTATTAAAGAAAATAGAGAAGCTTGGTGAAGGTTTGTTTGTGTTAATGGTGTATACTCAACATCTGATTAACACTCCATTAAGGTACCTATGGTATTGTTTATAAAGCACAAAATAGAGAAACAAATGAAGTGGTTGCTTTAAAGCGTATTCGACTTGATAATGAAGAAGAAGGCGTAAGTAATATTGTAGATGATTTAAATTATTAATGTGTAAAATTATATATAAAAATAAAGGTACCTTGTACCGCCATTCGTGAAATCTCTCTACTAAAGGAACTAAAACACCCAAATATTCTAAGGTAAAATACATAGACAAATCCTCAAGCTTATTCTCAAACTATTCATAGACTTTATGATGTGTTGCATACAGAAAAGAAGCTGACGCTGATATTTGAATACTTGGACTCTGACCTCAAAAAGTTTCTTGATTCCTATGGTGGAGATATTGATGTCTTGACTTTGAAGGTAAGAATAGTACCTAATTTTGCACGCACAGTAGGCTCATTGAATTATAGCAATTGATGTATCAACTTTTGAAAGGTATCGCATTTTGTCACGCCCATAGAGTCTTGCACAGAGTAAAGTATATCAAGTAATTCTTTCGACACATCAGCTAATACAATTCATCATAGGACTTGAAGCCTCAAAACTTATTGATTAATAAAGTACGATCAATGTATAAAAGAAGGAGAGAATATTATCTAACTATAAATTTAGAAAGGAGAATTGAAATTGGGTGATTTTGGTTTGGCCAGAGCATACGGTATCCCAGTGAGAAGCTATTCACATGAGGTAACATTTATATATTTATACATGATGCGCATATTGATCTATATATATATATATTAGGTGGTCACTCTATGGTACAGAGCACCTGATGTCTTGATGGGATCTCGTCAATATTCAACTTCAATTGATTTATGGTCTGCAGGGTGTATCTTTGCTGAAATGGCCTCTGGAAGACCGCTGTTCCCAGGCAACTCAATCTCGGATCAATTGCAAAGGATATTTAAGGTGCTAGGTACACCCACAGAAGAGACGTGGCCAAAGGTATCCCAGCTTCCAGAGTACAAGGTAATGTCTTTATATGAGGTATATTAACACAAACACTCATGTATTCTCTCCATTAGCGTGATTTTGAGATATTTCCAAGGATACCTTTAGAGACCCTCTTACCTAAATTGGATTCACTCGGTATTGATCTGCTAAAGGTAAGTTCAGTGGATGGCTTCGAATGCGATATAGAACTAATTGATATACTAGCGTCTTTTGGAGTACCCTCCTGAAAAGCGTATTACAGCAAGCGATGCATTACAACGTAAGATAATATTTTAAAAGAGTATTTTAGCTCATTCTTTTTTATGTAGATCCTTACTTTGATGAGCTGCGGAAAAAGGATCAAACAGTTGAAAATAATGGTCATATCAAAGAAACACGATAAAATAACGTAAATGATTGTATTTACATCTTCACCTATTTATATTATACACCCACAATGGCGCACACGCACACACACATACATATACATATACGCATATGACAGTAGCTGTATATCTCTTAATAGTTAAACTGGTATCATTTTCTTATTAATTCATAAACGTAATCTGCAATTGCAAGTGAAGATGTTAACCCAGGACTTTCAATACCCATCAGTGTAAAAAAGTTATCCAAGTTTGCCTCACGCTCTTCCTTGATGATAAAATCTCTAAACGGCTCACCTGGTCCAGCAAGTTTTGGCCTAAGTATATACACACAATGAGTTTTTTTTATGCTTTACGGTGTAGAGTGAACTTGCCTTATACCAGAGTAATCAGGATGCAGCTTTTCTGGATTAAGTGACGGTAAATAGGTTTGAATGGCCTTGACAAAAGCGTCTTTCTTTGCCTCGTCCTCTGGCACTTGATAGTCATAGGGATCATCAATGTACTGTACGTCAGGGCCAAATTTGAGATGACCAGCGAGATCGAGTGTGAGATGAGTGCCCAAACCGGCGAGATTCTTTTCAGGGCAAGGATAGATGAGATGATTCACTTGCAGCTGAGTGTCAGTTGAGCGATAATAATGTCCACGGGCATAGTACAAGCGATAAGGCAACTGAAGCATCTGGCCGATTTTATCTGCATGAAGTCCAGCAGCATTAAAGACGCGTCGAGCCAGAACCCATGACTGGGTCTGGTTAGTAACTAGCTGTAAGAGGTACCCTGGCTGTTGAGGACGAATGGCCTTAACTTCAGTTGCCAAGGCGACCGCGACGTTCTGCTCTAAATAGCCCATCAGTGCATGCGAGTCTAGAATACCTGTCGATGGCGACACAAGGACAGCACGACCAATATGAACATGAGGTTCCTGACGTTTGGCTTCGTCCAAACTAAGGAAATATGTAGGCACGCCTAATCGGGTAGCCTTGGCATGAAGCTGCTTCAGGTACGCCTCTTGAGTTGCGTCCTGCGCAACGACCCATTTACCAATCTGCTTATGTGGTATTCCTTTCTGAGCCAATAGCTTGTACATCTTTCTGTTTCCCTCGATGCAGAGTCTTGTCTTTAAACTCTCTTCTGGGTAATAGATACCAGCATGGATCACTTCACTATTTCTCGAACTATATATACACATGATCAGTCTTGTTTTGTCCCATGTATCCTATTGGGCCTAACAATATATATTAACCTTGTCTCTTGTCCTATCAGTTTGTTTTTCTCTACAACAAACGTCGTCTCCATCGGTCTCTCTCTTGTCAACTTTTCACCCAGGGCTAAACCGACAACACCACCGCCAATGATGATGTTGTCTACTTGTAAATCAGGAACTACAGTTGAATACTTTTTGACATGTCGAAGCCATTTGTGCATCTTGTAAAAAAAAAAAAAAGAAAACAAAAGGTTTACCCGAGGAACAATTGTAGCACCAGTGTTGGGTGCATAAAGACATAAGATTAAATTTCATCAAAACAAAGGCAACAGGTGGATATGATAAAGGGACTTTTGAAAAACTGTATCTTTCTAGATGACTTTACCTTTTATATTAGCATGAAACGTAGCATAGTCTCGTCGTGCATACGAACAGAGAAGGGACAGTAACGGGGAAATATGCTAGTTTTCTAAAAGTTGCACTGGATGAAATAGACCAGTATTTGCACATGAAGGAGGCTATCATCTAGTCATAGGTCATGCCCCCTATCCATGCTTCTGAAGATAGAGCCAGACATACCGTATCCCGAGCTTAATTCAGTCAAGCACTTTTTGTTCAATTGTTAGCAGTAAAGTAAAACGCAAGCATGTTCCTGGAAGAGGAAGATACTGACAACAAGAATCAACGAGACTTCTAATATATTTAACCTGAATGACTTTAAAGGGTTTTGCTGGAATATTCTAACACAAATGTTTAGATAAATGCTGCAACAGAGAGCAACTTTTAACGTATGTAGCTTACTACATTTTAAAAACTGATAAAGATAAATCTTGGTCGCACCAGAATACGTTTTCTATAAGAAACAAAGTCAATATAGCAATTACTATCATGCAAATTAGATTGTATATAAACTGCTTACAAATGATAATCATCATTTGTTCTCCCTGCACAGAAAATGGACCTCGACCTTTTCGGGCATTTAAAGTTATTCTAAAAGGAAAGGGTTTAGACACTGGATGATGTAATAACATACAAACAGCATGAATGCAACATGAAAAAAAGGTTTGTATATATCATTTGATGAAAGAAAGCAAAGAGAGAACAAAACAAAAAGAGATGATATATTCTGATGAAAGTCTCTAACGTAAAAAATAATCATCTCATCGCTTCTTATCGTGCAGTGTTTAAGAAGAAATATCAATGTAGTCAGAAAGACATCATTCGTTTCAACAACCGAAACATGGCTTTTGAGGTTATATAAAGCAGAGTAAAAGGGATGTCTTTGATATTCTTTTAGTTGTAAATATATTTTAAAGATGGTTAAAATTGGAATCAACGGTTTTGGTCGTATCGGCCGTATTGTCTTCCGTGCTGCTCGTGAAAAGCAAGGCGTCGAAGTCGTATCTATCAATGATCCCTTCATCTCTTTGGACTATATGGTCTACATGCTCAAATATGATACTGTTCATGGCCGCTTCAAGGGACAAGTCGAGGCCAAAGACGGCTATTTGGTTGTCGATGGTCAAAAGATTCACGTCCACAACGAAAAGGAACCAGCCAATATTCCCTGGGGCAAAGACGGCGTTGACATCGTAGTCGAATCCACTGGTGTATTTTTGTCTACGGAAGCTGCTGGAAACCACTTGAAGGGTGGTGCTAAGAAGGTCGTCATCACTGCCCCCTCTCCTGATGCACCCATGTATGTCTGTGGTGTCAACCTGGACAAATATAAGGCTGATCAAAAGATTGTCTCCAACGCCTCCTGTACCACCAACTGTTTAGCTCCTCTGGCCAAGGTCATTCATGAAAAGTTTGGTATCAAGGAAGGTTTGATGACCACTGTACACGCAACCACAGCAACCCAAAAGACCGTCGATGGTCCCTCTCACAAGGACTGGCGTGGTGGTCGTGCTGCTTACTCTAATATCATTCCTTCCACAACTGGTGCTGCCAAGGCTGTAGGTAAGGTCATTCCCGAGCTAAATGGCAAGCTGACCGGTATGGCCTTCCGTGTACCCACGAGTGATGTCTCTGTTGTCGATTTGACAGTCAACTTGGAAAAAGAAACTTCATATGACGACATCAAGAAGGCTATCAAGGAGGCTTCTCAAGGCCCATTGAAGGGTATCCTGGATTACACAGAAGATTCTGTGGTATCTACTGATTTCATCGGTGAAGAACACAGCAGTGTCTTTGATGCTAACGCCGGTATTCAATTGACACCTACCTTTGTCAAATTGATCGCTTGGTACGATAACGAAAAGGGTTATAGTTGCAGAGTAGTTGACTTGGTTCAACATATTGCCAAAACCTTGTAAATTTCTTTTTATTTTTGAATAAACCGTTTCAAAAGCTCTCTTTGTAAATGCATACGAATATGTGCGTGTACATCCCATAAAAAAGGGGGGAAAGCATAAAGCATATAAACAATCATGCAGTGATACTAAAATTAAAACCGAATGATTTTCAAGAACAAAACCTGTTTTCGATAAAACAAAAGGAGAGGCGTGTTTATTATTTGTTGTACAAACTTTATATTTTGTCAATATAACTCTGTTTCATCATGCACAGACAAGGTTCTCTCGTTTGAGATGATTCGTACTATGTACACATATGTTACAAACAAGGAGGAAAGATGATCCATCAGCAATCATGCGTACGCAGGTGGCGTCGCATATTGCTATGTACACTGAAACTACGGTCACAACCTACGTACGGACATTTGAACGGCTTCTCTCCTGTGTGTGAATAGTTATGTGTCTTGAGTGAAGAAGGACGCAAAAATGACTTTCTACATAAATGACAGTGATATCGTCGACGTGGTTCCATTTCCTTGCTTGGGTATCCGGATGTTGTATGAGACCTAGCTCTTTTAAATTCTTGTGGTGTAAAGACCATCTCGGCTGAGTTCGATCGACGATGACTATTAAATGTTAAATTATGTTGAGGTAGATCAACAGGAGGAGGGCAACAGTAGCAATAGCAACATGCGTCATAGGGACCAGGTACGTATCGGCCATGATGGCTGTCTGTAGGAGAAAAGGGTGCAGAATAAGAAGGAGGTAGGGATATTGTCGTATGTGTGTTCAGTGGGCGTTTGTTGCTGTTATAGTTCACAAATGTACTTTTATCGTCTTTGAATAAGCTTTGAACGACGAATTTTAAAGGTGGAAGAGTTACTTTATTTTCCATGATTATTATTGTATTGTTTATTATTTGTTTGTTAAGAAGTTTCAAGAAGAAAAAAAAAGGGAGAAAGAAAGAGAAATATCATCTTGGTTATTTATAATAAAAAAATAAAAAAAAACATGCCGATCCACAAAAGGTCCTTCTTCTTCTCCTTCTTCCCCTTGCTTTGTTTATGTCGATCGATGTCAGCATTTAATATGCCTACAACTTTATGAAACGTTTCATGAGAAATAAAGATGCAGCATGATGAAGATCAATTTACCCCCTTTTTTTAAGAACGTTTTCTGTACATATAAAATTGAAAAAAGATCTATTTTTATAATAATAAAGTTTTTGTCAATATTGCAATCATTGATTTTCTTTCTCCTTACAGTAAAATCAAAAAACAAGGTTCCACCACTTCCAAGTAACCACGAATAATTGATAAAGAGATAGGTAGGATCAAGTGATACCAGGAGAATGCTCTATACATGATACATAAGATTATATATACTTATATATATATGTTTATACACGTGAAGAACTTACAAAACAATAGGTCAAGTTACCAACGACACTGAATATAAACATCGATAACGAAAGACCTTCTACACTTTCATTCTTAAAGTTTTGCATGATTTGAGGAATACGACTGGAGCAGTAAAGGATAGCACTGGTCCATCCAAAGAGTTGGGGTATCAAGGGTATCTTACTAAAATCAATATTTGAATGATAAAAGTAAACAGCAGAAGAAGCCAAGAGAGCAAGCCATGAGATGATACTTGATATAAAAAAGAGACGCACCACTGTGCGGGTTGAATCTGACTTGGTCGGTTTGGGCATCAGTGGGCTGCATTCTGTTGGTGTCACAATTGTTTCGTCGTCCCTGATAGGAGTTCGATAGTACAAAACCTGACTCATGAGTACACAATCCGCAAATAAATAATAAGCAGCTAAAAGGAGCTAATAAAAGTAGGGAGGGTTATAACCAGATGCGTGGATACATATATAATCTTGCCATTGTAAATAATAAATCTTCTAATAAAATGCCCAATAGGTTAAAGATGTCTCCAAATATCCACAACAAGAGAAATGTCACGGATACACCATCTGTATTCTTTCTCTTGTAATTCTCCCATAACTGTCTAATAATAATAATGTGTCCCCCGATGCATCAGATCATTAATTTATGTATTCCAAGAAAGGAGGAGAATATGTTCTTACGGTGTAAATACAACAATCCAGCAACCAATGCTTATAGAACCAAATAGTTCTGCCCAAACTTCGTCACTCTTCATAACGTAGTATTTTTTTTAATAAAGAAGAAAAGAAAAATATTTTTTTTTTCTGAATGTTTCGGGCTAAAAAAGCCCAAACAATTTTTTCCGTTTGGAACCCTTTTTTTTATAACTGTCTAAAAATCGAACTTGATTCTTATTTAATGCGCCTCTTCTATGTTTTCTAATGTAACTTATGGCATCCTACGAATAAATTAGTCATCATATATACATATATGAATAACTTACGAGTGGATCCATGCCAGCTTCAATCAGTGATATCGCCACTAATACCTATAGTCTATCAGTATATACATTCGTATCAACTTTGGCATACTCACAGGTGCTCTACCAATACCAGCAATACAGTGGACACCTATCGTCGTGTTTTCTTGTCTAGCTTTTTCACTTAGTTCTAACCAAAGATCAATCGCTTGTTGATCAGGCACGCTGCCATCTTCGAATTTGATTGTGTCGTGTACTTTGATTCCAGTTGATTGTTCAAGCTCCTCAGTGTCATAAATATCCCCCGACGGTCGGTGACAGATACAGACGAGATCAGATACATTTTCTTGTTTGAATACTTGAACATATTTTGGTAGTGTCTTTTGTGTAGGTGCGTCCAGTAGTAGAAACTTTTGCTGCGTATTTGGTGATTGGATGACGCTAAACATAAAAAGTGACAACAGAAAAAAAAGAAGAAAAAAAGGCATAATATATACTTTTTTCAGAAATTATTCGCACACATTACAAGATCAATAACAATTATACTTTAGTTGATTTTCCATGTCTTCTTTATTATTAAAAAGACAGCACGTAATAATACATAAAATGTGCTTGTGTTTCTAAGAGAAGAGAGGATAAATGTGGTCAACACTTATAATTAACAAGTAACTAAAAAAGCTGTTAGAGACTTCATATAAATAGTCTGATCTTGACTTCTCTTTTTCTCTTATAAACCCTCTTCTTTATAATATAAGTATTTAATACCAATATAAATAACCGATGTGCTAATCATTTCTTTGTATATCTCATCCTTTTCCATATCTCATTCTTTTCCTTCTGATGGGCTTTCTTTTATCATTATTTGTTGTCTGAAACTATCAGTGCGCAAATATTTTTTGAGTGTAGACATTGTCATATTTTTATCGAAGGCCAATTCCTAAATTAGGCTTTCTTTTCCTGCTTGGATTACTGGTATCTTGAAGGTAGGATCTAATGAGCGTATTAATAAATATTTATGTATACAGTATTCATACTTACGGTATCAGTGAATATACTTTTACTTGACGTACATGAGTATCCTTTCCATTCAAGTGTGTATTCAGAATAGCAATCTGTAGTTTAAATACACGGAATGGTATTCCATCTCTAATGAATATATACAGAATAAGAGAAACAATATAAATAATTATGGGGAATAGTTACGTAGCAGATAGTAAATCTATATTGACCCAACCAACGAATTCCGGACACTCCACTGTCGTTATCTCCTGCAAGTCTCTATATGTATTACCTCCACGCACCATCACTGTCTTGGGTGTATAGGTTTCATCTTGAAAGAAGTCAATAAATAAAGATACTTGACTGACAAGTGTTGCCTGATGAAATGCGATATCGATCGTATGATGCTTTTTAGCATCGGATGAATCCGATCTACATGAATTATTAGCAAGAGAGTTTGATTTGTGTCGTTCATAAACTTACTGCCAATAACTAAATGGATTATTATCTCTCAATTTATCTGCTCCCCAATGAGGTCGAAACGAAGAAACGCTCCAAATCGCTTCATGATTGTCAATCTCTCTTCCTCCAATCTCTCGTTGTTCCTTTTCAGGGTGCATTGTTCTATAAGCTGTAAGAGCTGCTTGCTCTCTTGCAGCATCTTCCACGTTTAAATCACTCTCTTGATTAGGGTTGTCATCGTCCTCTTCATTGTCGTCTTGATTATCATTACTGTCAACATAACGTTCTTCATCATAAGAAAATAAATGAGCACGCTGAGAATGTGAAAACTCTGCTGACAACGTGGGTGATTGTGCGTTTAAAAAGTAAGAAGAAGGAGGTGAAGAAGAAAGAGGGGAATCCATTATGAAAGGAAACAAAGGATAAATTTCTTAAAAGGGGGGAACAATGAATTTTTTATTACATCTTTTGACAATAGTATAAATCAGTGTCGTGGCGTAGAATAAAGGGTTCGCTATCATCCTTGGGTAGATGATAATCGTCCAAGACTTTTTCTACTTTTTGACGTAGACACTCTTGTTCCTCTTTATCTAACACGGCAATATAACTCTTGCTAAGAATTCTTGTCCAAGGAGTGGATCGTACTACAAGTGTATCATTTGCAAATTGCTGATGTTCTAATGGAAGTCTATAGAGGCTCTTGGCTTCATCTGTCTCAAAAACATTCTTCCAGCGGCCATGACGATACTGAGGCGCAGATTTTTCATATTGTTCGTATAAACTACAAAAAAAGAATAAGACCTCAGGCAGGAGATATGATAACACCATACATACTCTCTAAGCTTGCCTAGCCATTCACAACGTTCTCTACTTTCCATGTTCCAGATCAAGAACAGGTATCCTCCAGGCTTGAGCACACGATGGATCTCTTGTAAGCTCTTGATGTTGTCAAACCAATGAAAGCATTGAGCCAAGACCACCGCATCCTGTGATTCAGATTTGACCGGAATGGAGTAAGAGTTCCCTTCGAGTGCAGTCACCTCAGGGAGTTCTTGGCTCAGCTTTTCTCGCATCCCATCCACTGGCTCAACCGCAGTAACATCAAAGCCTCTTTCTACAAGAAGCTTTGTCATGATTCCTGTACCGGCGCCAAGGTCGAGTATCTTTTTGGAAGAAAGAGGTTTCGAGAATAAGGAACAGATGACATCGAGAGCAGCAGACGGATAGCTTGGTCTTGCTTTCACTTTTGGAATACATTTACGCATGAGTCACGCTTTATCTTTTTATATCTACTGTGCTTACCATAGGCAGAAGCTTGATTTTGAAATCCACGTAATGCAGTAGGATGTAATACAGACATTTAGATAAAGCAAGTTGAAGTCTATGAGAAAAGGATATATATATTAGAGAGAGAGAGGGGCCGTGCAAAACGAAACTCTGTCGAGCGTTACACGAAAGCAGGAAAAACATTTGCATTGAGTATAATTCCATAATAGGAAATAATACCTTGGAATTGGGGCCATGAAAAATTACATAATCAAATGTGACTTTATTTTTCTAACTGCCTTTTTAGTCACAAAGTTGGCAGGATCGCTTTTTCTTTTGAAGAAACGAAATAGATTCATATCAGCTAATATTGTTCATGAGGAATATCAAAACAGTATTATGAAAATGTCTTTGAATGTTGAAAGAACTAGCAACCAACAAAAACTGTTGAGAAGTAGAGAGAGATAGTTGCAGAAAGCATCCATGCGTTGTTGTTAGACGACTATATAGAATAAATAGAAGGTCCAAATGGAACTGAATACAATTCCTTCAGTTCAAAAATAAGTCAAATATAAGGTTAAAGCAGAAGCTAATTACATGATATCTTACAAATGCAGAAATTTTACTTTCAACTTGTGCGCCTGCAAAAACATATATTTCTTTTATGTCGCATCTTTAGCACCTTTGAAGTTTACAACAATCAAGAGAATGCCTTAAGCCCCCGCTCTGTCAGCTCAACTCGTGTAAAAGTCTCTACATACGGCTGATATAAAAACAGTAGAAGAGATATTGTCCAAAACTTGCTAAACTATTGTAGGAACTTTTGCGGCAAACCCTCAAGAGCCATCAAATGAAGATATCTTGTTGTCCCAAAAGGCAAATGAAGTCATTACAAATACATTACAACAAGCAAAGAAATCTTTTTTTAAGCATAATCTTTCGAAATAAGCGCTATCTGTGAAAGACATTTTGCTATAAAAAAAGACCCCCCTTTTTTAGGATTAAGATTAAAAAATGTACTGGCAATACAATCATTTATGTTTGATATGAAGATGTTCGAGAAACGCTTCTCCACCTAAAATAAAACTTTTTTTTCAATAAAGAAGCGCTCGATAGCACGCTGAATAGGGAGCCTAATACGCTAAATAGCACAAACCCGATGATTAACCAATGTACCAAACACTTGCGAGATCATTTGTTTATGTGACCGTGCTGCGGAGTTGTAGAACGCCCATCTTAGGAGAGGGACATGAGGGCTCCTTTTCATTAAATTGATATTATTATTGTTATTATTGTTATTACTATATTTTATTAAACATGACAGACTCCTTGGTTACGATGCCAATGTCTGATGATGATTCTATGACAGTTAAACTAGTCACCAAGCGTAGATGTAATAAAAAAAAAGAGAGAGAGAAAAAAAAGGCTTGATTAACCATGATTTCGCGGTAGCATCACAAGTATTCACAGTGATATTAAAACCTTATAATCCTCATTTTCAAACAAGGACATTAGAAGTGAGAGATAAAACGCGCATCAAGATTGGAAGACAGACATCAAGCAAGACACTGCCATCGCCGTATAATGGATTCTTTGATTCCAAAGTGCTTTCAAGGCAGCATGCAGAGATATTTTGTGATAAACAAAAAGTAAATGGTAATATTGTATGATAAGTATGTTTTATGTATAACCAACGTATCATAGGTTTACATCAGAGATATCAAGTCAAGTAATGGTACGTTCGTGAATGGTTACAGGCTGTCAGCAGAAGGAGAAGAGAGTGAACCATATGAGATCAGATCGAACGATAAGGTGGAATTTGGAGTTGATATTGATAACATGTATCATAAGGTATCTTGTGTGGTGTACATATACCCCTTACCGTTATCCCAGGTGGATGATAATATACTCCAAGAGATACAGCAACCATTGTATGAAACGAAGGTAGTGGAATCATGTGCCTTCTTTATATGCATTATTAATTTTATTTTACTGATAGCTATCTCGCAAATCATCTGTTGATACCATTTCAAGCCAACACAGTGTTCAATACCCTCAAGAAGAAAAGAAAGCACCAAATAGATTAGAGAGCGTCCTATTACAATTACAAAACGAGATTGAGAAATCAAAAAGAGTTCAGGACGAATTGAAGGGAGTGAAGGAAACTATACTGGATTTGGATAGAACGGTTCAGCAAGACAATAAACATGTGAGTTGATATTGAATTCTTTATTTATCATGACTCACACCAAAAAAAGAACTTGCAACATAGATTGAACGAAGCAGAAATGACTATTAAATCTTTTCATGAGAAATGGAAATATCAACAGCAATCCATTGAAACTGCTAAAGGAGAGATCAGAAGACTGGAGAAAGAAGTATCCGAGTTTAATGCGGTCAAACTGAAACTGACAAATGAGTTGGAACAAGAGATTAAGAAATCAAAGCTTCTTGAAGAACAGTTGAATAATAACAAGATTCCATGGATGCAGGTAACAAAAAGAAAGAAAAAAACTGAGCAATAGTCCAATACTCACTTCTTTTTATTATCTACTATTGTTATTATTATATTGCTTAGACTAAAAATATACAATTCGTGTTTGCTCTCTTGGTTGGTGTTATATCCACTTTAGTTTATATTTTGTATCATTAAAAAAAAAAAACACATAAAAACTAGTTATAATCCAACCAATTTCCTCTGTGTCGACCATAATCATACATGACTTGTGGGTATGCTTGATTATTGTAATAGTTGGCATAGGTAGATCCATGTCGTATCCTATTATATAAAGTACGGAGCGTACTTGGTTTATATGGTATTCCGTAATATCCACCATAATTATTCGTAACTGGGTACATCATCGAAGGGCTTGGGTAGTTATAATAGTAGTTTGGATAGATTTGCTGCTGAGGATAAGGTGTATAGTATGAACCATAATATGAATAAGGATAAGGGTATGACACTATTCTTGGATAAATAAAATAAGAAAAATGTTAGTTTATTCGCTTTTTATACATTTTTTATCATTACTTTTGTTATTAAAGAAGACCAGAAGCGAGAAAAAGAAAAAAAAGAAACGAAAAGAAAAAATAAAGATGTATTCCGTAGGTCATCTGACAAACAGGTTAAGTATCTGTCGTACTGGTTCCCCCACAAAAGAGGATAAATCAAGTGACATTTGTCAATTTATAGTTTATTTTGATCATGAACTATTACTCATGGCGACTTGACAACATAATAAGCTATACCATCACTGAGAATATTGTTAAAACTGTCATTTTTAAAAAGAACAAGTTGAGCTCTGTAATTCATCTTTGCTTATTGTCAAGCAATAAAGACATTTGAAATTGCCAGCAGCAAAAAAACACTAACGATAGCAATGTTCACTTTTTTCTTCTTTTTGATGGATTGGATGCCAAAGTAATAGTTATTGTTGTTGTTTTTTTTTCTTTATTACTTTTTGATATAGTTTATCTTCTATCTGGTGTATCTTCGCAATCCTTGACAACTGCAACCAAGACGCTAATATCATCTGCTTTTCCTCCCTAAGAGTTTACATGTTAATATTCAACAACAACAACAAATGACTCTTGCTTTACTTGATAGTAAATGCCTTCATGAACTGCTCTCTCTTGAAAGGGACTATCCACGTTCATCTTGGATCGACTCACGGTTCTCGCACGTTTTGCAAGTGCATCTGAAATCTTTTGAGGATCCATAGCCAGCAGTCGACCACGGACGGTGTGCGCTGCTACATGTGACTGAACGATGGACAAAATTTCTCTATCAAATAAATTATCAAATAGTCCATCGGATCCCATGACGATGATATCTCCTTTTTCGATGCGGACCGTAAAGGTCTAAAGTAGTATAAGCAAGGAGAAGTTGTACGAAAAAAGGAAAGCGTACCTGTGCATCCTTTGGTTGATCTGGTGATGTTGGGCCTAATTGAAAAGGGAAATTGAAGGCATGTTGCTGCTCTTCACTTTGAAATATGTATTCATTATTACGGATCACGCTGATACCGCAATCACCCAGATTGGCTATTCGTAATTCCGAGTTTCGTAGAATGGCAAGACACGCTGTGCATGAGCCCAGGATGCCCTAGAAATGATTGTTAGATTCAATCTACAAAAAAGAAAGAGAATGGCACCTCTTTTTCTGCTTCCAACATGCTCTCATCATAACTTTTTTGTAAAATACGTATAGGATCGGCATCATTGTAGTGATAGAAACTAGGATCTTCAATGTTGTCAAACTTTTCTAGTTCCAAGTAAGCATAGTGCATTAATTTCCTCGAATACAGTGCAGGGTTGGCATCTATCGAAATAAGTAAAAGGAGCTTTATAGTAGCTAAACACTTTACTTGATACACTTGACCATCCACCTACTCCATCGGCTACTCCCAACGCATCAGATCGTCTAAAATAAGCATCTTCTCCGATTTGAATGCTACAGTATGTATCTCTCTTTTTGGCATCAGGTGTTGTGTAATGGTACTTCTTTGCGAATCCTGAAGCACCATGAGCAAGCGTATATGATGCACATGGCTTTGGACTAGCAAAGAAATCGATGACAGGTAATGACGAATGGGGCACAGCGATTGTTGTTGTATAGGCACGACGGACAATAGGCGGACGAGGATAATCACATCTTGGTAAAATAATCTGTGGACGATTTAAATATAATCTTTGATGTCTCAAAGCTGAAGCAAATAAGCTCCAAGTCTTCATGGGAAGGTATATGGAAAAAAAGAAGAGGGAAAAAAGATTGGGTGATTACTAGTATAAAAGGAGGACATATATAGTAACCAATCATTTCTATAAATTCACATTTACCAATGAGGCTATTTGCATGATCTCATGATAACAAAAGCGTCAACTCATCGAGCCGCAGCTAGAACAATAACTGCGCACAAAAAAAAAACTGAAGGGACAAGAATGATGTTTATTGAGATTCAATCTTTTCATTCTTCTTGTTTGCACGACGTTCACGAAGAGCCTTGTTCTTGGCACGAAGGACATCAGCTTGTTCAGCGAGAGTCTTTGCACGGACCTTTTCAGCCTTAGCCTTGTGAATGTGTTCCATCAAGACACGCTTGTTCTTGAAACCGTTACCCTTAGACTTGAGGTAGAGTTGGTGATACAAGTGCTTGTCGATCTTGCCGGCTTCTCTGTACTTGGCCAAAAGACGACGGAGGACACGCATACGACGCATCCAGATGACTTGGCTAGACATACGGGCATCGGCAGTACCCTTTCTCTTACCATAGCCCATGTGGCGACCATTACGCTTGGCAGCAGCACGCTCGAGGACACGGAAGCGAGATTGAGAAATTTGAGGCTTGCGGATGATCAAACCATCCTTGACAAGTTTACGAATATTGGCACCTAAAAGATGTTAGGGTCGAATTTATTTATTTTTTTATATAACGACTTACGAGAATTGGCATTGGAGATTTCATTGACTTCATTGGGATCTAACCAGATCTTACGTTGTCCACACTTGAGGACGGAAGCAGCTAAACGTTTTTGAACGACCAAGCTTACCCTTTTTTTAAAAAAAAAAAAAAATATTAGTTTTGCATTGTCCGGTGTCCGGCAAATTTTACTTACATTTTAAATAATCAAAAAAAGAGAATGAACAAAAAATTATGGTGTAGGAAGTCAAATTATATTGAAAACAAAGTCATCATTCGTTATTTATAAATTTTGATTGGTTGCTGCGGTTCATCTGATATTGAAATAGCCGGACAAATCGCAGTTCGACAAGAGAAGAGAAAAAGGACAAAAAGAGATTCATCCATCCGTCCAATGATTGGCTGATTAGTAAATGTTTATTCACAATGCAAGTAAAAGGAACATATACAGTTGAGAGTAAGAGGGGAGGGGGTATTAAAAGACACATGTAAAATTAAGAGAACAAGAAATAGAACAGAAACGATGAATGAAGGGGACATTGTGGTTTCCTAATACGGAGACCCATATCATATCGAGTACACTTGGTTCATGAAAAGGTACTGTACATTGTTCACAGGTATGAACTTTTGAGAAGGTTTGAAAGCGTTGGATGAGCGCTGTTGGTATAATACTATTTGATAGTTGAATTGATTGACTCTGGATTTGTCTACTTGATATTTCAACTAGAGAAGGTATCTTGGTCATTATACGTTGTCTTGATTGGTTATCGTCCTCAAAGTATGGATTTGGAAATAAAGACAATGTTCGTAGTTTGCGCAGACGTAATAGTTCAGCAGGTAATGATTTCTAATTTTATATGAGTCACTGCTTGATATTATTATCATATTTGCTTACCAATTGATTGTTACCCAAAGAGAGTTCGACCAAGTTCTCGAGTAGGGCAATATCAGGTGGAATAGACTGTAACTGATTATTTCGTAAACTGAGAACAGTCAAGTTCTTGAGACGAAATAGATGTGAGTTCAAGCAAGAAAGTTGGTTTCTGTATAAATAAAGCTGTAATGAAGCTGTCTTCACCGTATCGTTGCATAATACTGTCACATATTCCAGCTCTCCTACTTCTCTCGGTATCTCTGATAGACCAATATGTCTTTACTTCAATGAGTGATGGTCTTTATAAAGAACTTCCTTTTACGTACCCTAAATCCACTTTTTCTATACCATTGTCTACTACATAATCAATAATTCGACGTACTTTCTCGAATGGATTAATTTCGACTTCATCTTTTAGGTGGTCAAAGAAATCAGTTGTGCTTGTGCTTCCTAAACTTGAAGAATAGGAAGCTTCTTTGTCTGCAGGGGGTAAGTAATCCTCATCTTCGGATTCGTCAGTGTCTATCCATTCTACTTCTGCAAACGTTGGTTCTAGAGTACATGCTTCCATTTTTTATAAAATAAAAAGAAACAAGAAAAAAAAAGAAAATAAGGTTGAATGATTTTTTTACAGGTATTATTCACACATTATAATTACAACTTGTACAACTCCCTCTTTGTCCTAATATTTTCCTTTTTTTCTCTGCTTAAATCTATTCTATCATATAATAGACAACATTTTTTTTCTCTCTTTTCCTTACCTAGTCTATCGTTAGACTTATCTTCAACAGTGTTGTATTATGTCATGTGTAATGCAACCTCTTTCAAGGCTTAATTCACTTGAAACTCAGTAGTGCATATTTGTACGACATCTTTTTGGTCGAGGCAATGACAATGTCAATTTATGTATCTGACGAAAAAGATTTATTTATTCCAATAAAGGCATGATATATCTGTATATGTCCATCTGGGCAAGATCAATATAAGAAAATTTATAGAGATAAAGAAGCCTCCTTGAGGATCAAAAGCAAAAAATAAATAGACATATGCGTAAGGTACGGTGTTTATTAATGACGGTAAGGCAACCATTCAAGGAAACATTGTACAGCCAGTATTCCTTCATTTAGTGTTGTAAATGGTTTAGTTTAAATAAAAAGTATACAAACTGTTGTCAATGAAGTTTGGAAATCTGATGACTGAGAGGGATTATGTTGGATGACGGCCGCCATCCTCAGAGGGTATCTTTAACTGTTAAGATATTGTATGGTGTATTTTTTTGTAAGAGAAAAGAAAATGGATGACGCGACAGGTATTAGTAGTCATCCAAGACATCATCGTATGTATCTACTATGCTTCGTTTTCGTCGCTGGTAGCCATAAAATTAGATCCACATAGATCGTCGATTGACAACAAAAGAGCAATTTAGGGTTCTTGAGGTGTTTGGCGAGATGATCATTGTAATAACTCGAGTATAATCTCTATCGCATCAGATAAGAATAAATCAACGATAGCAATAATGATAATGGTAGATGCTAGAATAACAACTGAGGGCTTACCTTATCAGTATGAACCCTAATTTAAAACGTACAATCATACATGTTGTACAAACATTCACTTTTGACAAGTCTCAATGCTTTTCCATTGCCATAAAGCAAACCTTTAAGAAATCAACACCAGGAATGACGATAGTACACAGGTTATATTACTTGTATTAAAATAATTTGATATAGAGCGATTTTTTTTTTTTCACTTAAACATGGGACGCGTCATTTATAGAATCCTATTTCACATAAACAACTCTCCTTATGTAATCCTTTCCTTCTCTTTACTCTCCCTTTCTTTCTTTATGTGTATGTTGATGAATGATGCAATTTTTATTCATCAATATGTTTCTATTCACTTTAAACTCAGTAATGTACAATGTAAAAGTTTACCAGCGTAGAACAAATATCATTTTTTATAAATATTTTTTTAGTGTATACAAAATTGTGTGTGTATGTGTGTGTGTATGTATAATAGTGGTTGCTTATGTGGGTTGTAAATACAAGTTATATCTCTACTTTTTCTTGCCAAATGTCAAAGGTTCACCAATATTCTTTCCTCTCAACTTGATACCAAGGGCACGTTCCATCTTACCCAAAATGTTTTGATTAGGAATGGCCTTACCAGCTTCATATTCGTTCACAACTTGAGGCTTTTCATTGATCAATTGAGCCAAGTCCTTTTGTGTCATGTTCTTTGCTTGACGACCCTTTTGGATAGCCTTACCGACAGACAAATCGACTTTGGGAGGAGGAGGAACATCGTTTTCACGGTCAATCTTCGCGATACGACGATGATCGGTGTTTGCATGGCTTGAGTTGGTCACAGTAGACTTCTTGTCTGTGACAATAGCAGCACCAGCCTATGATTCCATCATTAACCCTTTTTGTCACCTTCTTGGTAATAAATTATACTACTTACTCTTCTGGCTGCGTTAATTTCAGAATCTGAACGAACAACCTTGGCCTTGTCAGGGTTGCGCTTACGAATGACAGTAACTGAATCCCAATCTTTGTTTATATGTTAATAAACGGCCCTAGTATATAAGAAGAATACTTTACCAGACATGATATGAATATTATTTACACAGAAAAAGTGAAAAAATAGAAAAAGAAAAAAAAAAGAAGTAAAAAGACAGCAAAGCTGGACTTTTTATACACAAATCAAAAGTGCCGTAGTCATGGTGGAAGGCCATGGAATTTTTTGCGCAGTTTCAAAATGACCGCAGCTTTCTCAAGTTTTATTTTTTTGAACACTTTTAGCTCTTTCAACATACCATCGGGCTTCTTTTGCACGGTGAATGAGAGCTCCACGCACAGTACTTCGCTTTAGTAATTTTCGACTACTTCCATGTTGAACAGGTATGTTTCGACGTCGTTCATCTCTACGTTTCTTAAACAATTCTCTTCGATCTGCTATCTCTTGATCATTGAGTCTTGTTGTCGCAGCATATTGTTGATATGTACTGTCAATCAGTCGATGGCAATCGATCATTCGCTTTGGCATATTCTAATGAACAACAATATTTGAATATTACATAAACAAGTATATTCTTGATTTTACCTGAATCACTTGAAATACTTCCAGTGGATCATTGACTGCAAGAATTGCATTCTCATTCAATTTGAATATGCCCAAGGCAACACGAAAGAGAACCTTTTGACCATCACTATGGATATGATTGTCAGTATTGAAGACACAATTTGTATCAAATGCTTACTAAAACAGACAATCCCACACGCGCAGCACAGATTCAATAGGCAAAATATTGATAAACAAGGTCAGGAACCAATGGCTGGTAACCAATGAACAAGTTGGCATGCCACCTTCTAGCTGTGCCTCACATTCCCAAAAGGACTGATTAGGAGACATCTTGTTCCACAAGAGTGGGTATCTTTCGGAGATTAGGTGCATCAGCACGTTTTGGTCAATATTAGCACCTTCCATGGTCACGTCGTATATATTAGGGGGTAAAATGTCTGTGATAAGCGTCACAAATGTCCAAAATGCTTCTTCTTCAGTCATGAGTAATAACAAAATGCCAGCAATGTAATTGAGTGATTGACAGTAACCGATGGATGGAGCATAGATTGAAAAAGCAACCAGGACCCTTTTTAAGGCCTCTATCATTGGTGGAGTCGAATCAGCAATACTCTTGAATTGATCGTTCTCTGGAAACGTTCGATGTAGATCACGTTCGATAATTTCCAAGTTTTCGTTTTTGGAGCCTAATTGATCAGCCATATGCAGTAGTTCGTCGTAGAGACCCTTGTTGGCTTCCATCTTTGCCTTTGCACCACTGTAATGCAACCAAGCCTACGATATCTTAATCACAGTGCTTCATCAAATAATCTACTGTTTTACCTGTCCTCTTAACTCGGCTGGAATACCCTTTCGTATGTATCGCTTGACTGTGTAATTCAAGAGTCAGAACAGTATGAATGATAGAGATGACTTACGTTTATTGCTTCTGGGTGGCCACTGTTGATGGTGCTCTTGTAATAACTGCTTCCATTTGACTAGTCTTCGTTTCATGATGGGTGCATAATAGTTTTCAAACTCATCATATTCTTCTTCTGTGATCCATTGCGAACTTTTTAGGAAACCATATTTATCTCTAAGATACTAATTAAGACAATGATGAATGATATGTTATATATGAGTGTTCGTACCTCTTGCCATTCTCTCTGTTTGGTTTTGGAGGATAAGTATGGCATGATCCATCATCATATAATTTAGTTGATTTATCACTAGTACTATTATTACTTCTACTGTTATTATTATTATTGTTGTTGTTATTGTTGCTGTTGTTGTTGTTGTTGTTGCTGCTGCTATGACTACTGTTGCTATTCATGTTGCTGTGATGACTTTTATTATTGCTTCTATTAGTGTTGTTATGATGACTGCTATGATAATTTTTCTTCTTTTTATGCTCTACTGTTCTTTGTCAATGCCTTTCTTGTTTATAAATCATAAGCTTACCTTCCTCTTCGTCTCTATACAAATAATAATCTGTTATATTTTGTGTATCATCATCCTCATCCTCTTCTAAATCTGAATTTGATTCATCAATAGAAGAGGCACTATAAGCCGTTGGCTGCTCAATATTTAAAAATTGAATCGATTTCTTTGTTGATAAGATATCATAACTCGGTCTTCTTGTTGAATACTTTTTATTTGTTACTGAATGATTGAATGAAGAGGATCTTTGTCTATTTCCAAACGTCTTTTTATATTCAATGGATGTCATTCTTTTTACATGAAAAAAAAGGAAAAAAAAATAAATGAAAAGAAAGAATATAATCTCCTCTTAGAGACACCCTTACTTTACCCCTCTTTCATTCCTCTTTTTTTTAAAAAAAAAATAAAAATAAGTGGTGTTTGTTTATATTTGTTTATTGAAAATGAAATTCAAGTTTATTAGATTATTTAAGTTCATGATGAATTGACTTTAAAGGTAATTCGTGCGGCTATTTCAGATTATTGGGGAGTAAGATGAGACTCTGGCTGTGTTACCAATATTCCTTTATTTAGTCAGAATACCTTTTGTTACAGACACAAATTATCAACTTTTTTTCACAATTTTGATGGGCCTTGAGTAGTATCTAAATCAAACCACAAACACGCTTGTCACAGATGTTTGTTCTGAATAGCCTGTCATATATATTTCGTTGTCATTGTCGTTGAGCAAAGCAAGGCTCAAATCAGCTCTCGTTACTGCTTATTTTTTTATATTTTGTATATTTCTACAAGTTTCTATAAGCGATTGTTTTCGATTTCGACGAATGGACTTTCTTTGAAAAAGTTGCCAACGTTGACCTTTTACGCTTTATCGATACAGGAAGTCCTTCATTTGATAGTTTCATCTGATCTACACTTTGTAGTATAATTAGTATACCAAACAATGCCCTGAGGAGTGGTATATGTTAGAGAGACTGTTGCGTCTAAGTTCGTTACGGTACTTGTGATGTTTGCGCAATACATCAGCGCTACCAACTATCCAACAAGTTTTGCCCGGCAAGATTAGATCCACTGGTTATGCTGCTTATGGGATTAGTTCAAACAATTAATTATATTATTCTTTGACAAATCATGATCCTGATTATCCAGGGCGTGCTTCTTGTAATCATCTTTGACCTCGTAGTATCCATGGCACGAAGGGCCTACACATACAGCTGTTACATTAGGAGGGTTCTTCATGTTTTTATCATTGAAAGCTAAAGTATTTTTGGCTTGTTCAGATTTTCCTCTGGGCTCAATTATATAGAGAATCAATATGATTTCTTCATTTTTGGAAGATACGACAGCGATTTTTGCAAACAATACATTCTCTTTTTTTTTAAGAAGCACAGTCGTTGTTATACCATAATCCATCAGAAAAAGTGTTCTTAGAATGGTGTCGTCAAAAAAAAGGTGTGAGATCATTCGGTAGTTGAAGCAAGAATATTAATTATGGAGCATCAGTTGTGAAAATCAACAGCAGTTTGACTATTGAACCAGTAAAAACAAGGAGAGCCTGCCTTCTCTAGGCATCGAAAAACAGAAACACGTGAGAGAGAACGTTAAGGCTCATTACACGATCTGAATTGGGCTTCTGTATTGAGAATAGCTTTATACTTGTGAGTAAATTTAAATACACATCTCATCATTGACCTATTGACATGACAAAATCATAAGGCTCGCTATAAACATATGGCTTATTTAGTAGAAGCATCTGGAAATGAACACAAGATCATCCTCCCCTGTGTTGTCATGCTTAGATTAGAAAATGCAAGATAAACTTATCTCGACATCAATCAACTTAATTTCTAGCGCCTGTCATCGAACGCAAATTTATTGGCGTAGCACGCAAAATAATTTCAACCTCAGCACAAATGTTTTGTTCTGGTCGACGCAAATCCACATGCAAAGTCCAGTAAAAGCGTTTTTTAATCCTATTGCACAATCATTAGCCAATCAAATTGCATATCTCTTCTTTTTTGACAAGCTTCAGTCGATTTTGCGCCATTTGCATTTTATGATATAAATATCTTCATCTCTTTGTCTGCTCTCCCTCATCTCTCTCTCTTTCTCTTCTACTCTTTATGAATTGTCATAATACCTTTTGCTATCGACATAACCCAGCACTTAATTTATCAAGAAATCATAATGACTTTTATTTACAAGAGGTACTTTTTTGATTCATACAAATATAAAACAATTGCTCATAATAGGAGTTTATAGGAGCTTAGCACACTACCTGCTGATGAACAAGCAGAGATCATGAACATATGGAGCACATTTCAGCATGCTTCACCTTCTTCTCGGTTACTGATCCTCAAGGGCATCCTCGCCTCTGCTTGTACACCTCAATTGTCTTATTTATCCAACGCAGTCACACCACTTCTTAGCACAGACTTCACTCATATCTTCCCTCGAGAGATCACGATACAGATATTTAGATACCTCGACGCCTCATCCCTTTGCACAGCAGCTCAAGTCAGTCGACACTGGCGTCAATTAGCTGATGATGATACCCTCTGGCATAGACTCTGCGAACAACATATCAACAAGAAATGTACTAGATGTGGTTGGGGACTTCCCTTGCTTCCGTTGACCCGCAAGCGCAAGCGAGACGAGACGACATGTGTATCCAAGAAACGGGCATGGAAGGAAGTATACAGTGAGCGACTGATAGTCGAGCGTCATTGGAGACGTAATATGTCCAAACACTATACCCTCAAACGACACCACAGCGCCTCAATCACCTGTCTGCAACTATCCGAAGCCAACAATACCTTAATCACAGGATCTCAAGATAAGACAGTCACTGTCTGGAATTTGGAAACCGGACAAGTCCTTCGACAACTCAAGGGACACTCTCGACCGATTCGCACTCTTCAATTTGATGATACCAAGCTTGTTACAGGTTCTTCTGATCACACACTGAGGATATGGAACTACCACACGGGCCAATGCATCCGTACACTCGAAGGACACACCGACGGTGTCAATCACCTCCATTTCAACTGTCGACTCTTGGCTAGTGGTTCGGCTGATGCCACGATCAAGGTCTGGAACTTTCAAACGGGCGAATGCTTTACCCTGACAGGTCATACTCAAGCTGTCAACCACGTTCAAATTCATCAGCAGCATCTCCTTGTCTCTGCTTCCGATGACTGCACTCTTCGTCTCTGGGATCTCAATAAGCGTGTCTGCATTCGCACCTTTCATGGCCACGTCGGTCCTATCATGACTGCGATACCTGGTATGCCCGGACACAGCTTCTCAAAGGAAAACGATGCTGTGATCATTTCTGGTTCCAAGGATCATACAATCAAGGTCTGGTCAATCCAGACAGGTCAATGTTTACAGACTCTTTTTGGTCATGTCCAAGGCATTGGTGCTCTTGCCTTTGATAAGCTCAGACTCGTCTCAGGATCTGATGATGGCTCACTCAAGCTATGGGACAGCCAAAACGGCTTACCCATGTATTCTCTCAAGACAAGTGGCGCCTGTCCAGTGACAGCAGTCGGTTTAAGTGATACAAAAGTGGTCAGTGCGGATGATCAAGGTGATATTCATGTCTGGGATTATGGTCTTTCATAGAATGTATATAAATACTTTTTCTGTTTTTATTCTTGACCAAAACCAACGGTTTCTTCTACTGCCATGGTTAATTTCGCAACGAGTGTTTCATAAGATTTATAAGGTGGCATGTCGATACGATTAAAGCTATCATGTATACATGTTAGTAATATTTAATAAACCATTTGAACTCACCATGTGTGTGCTTTGGGTAACTGTGTAATCTCTCCTGACTTTTCAATTGTAAACCTTCTTGGTCCATCACTGCCCTGAAGGTCCTTGAAGCCATTCACGGGTATACGTGATGTGCCTGTCGTGAATTGAAGCAGTCTCGCCTTCTTTTCACTATCCCAGCTACGGATACACTTCCAGAACCACTGAATGACATCGTCCTGCTCGGTATATCCTCTGTAGTCTGTATGTTTCTTCCAATCATCCACATCGATCTCGGCAATGCCACCGATCAGCAGTTCGAGTTCACGTTCGTCAAAGACGTTAATGAGCTCTTGAGGAATTAACTGGTTAAATCCTTCCTTGAATGCCTTGAACTGTTCTTCAACACGCTTGTGGATACGCCATTCGGTGATCAAATTAACGTATTCTTTCTTGTTCTCTTCAGTGACTTCAATGTTTTGTCCGTTTGGTATCAGGTCGACAGTAACGACTTCACCAAATCGATCGTCGTCTGTCGAAAAGGTCAAATCGAGTACATCCGTAATATCGTTCTCGAGGATCCAAGTCAAGGACCGGAAGAACTCGGCATCGACACTTTCCATATCTGCAACAAGAATCTTCTTGTTCAAGATCATCTTGTAAAATGAAACGATAAAGAAGGCGTCCAAGAATCGACGGTGGAAGATAGCAAGACCAACAACGCGACCAATGAATCTAAAGTAATTTAGATGTTCAGGGTTAATGCCCGAGTGAGGGTTGATCTGCAGTGTGTAGTTGTCATGAGCCGAGTACTCAAACAGACAATAGAAAGGATTGAACATTTCGTGAGAGAGTAAAAAGAAGAATTCACGAGAGAGACCACCATAGTCTAGACCGTCTTCTCCATCAAACTTGATCATCAATCGTTTTTTGAGGTCAGCAGGAGCCTGTCGCATGATTTCGGCATAAGCATCTTCGAATATATGGTCTCTGCGAATCTTGATATGACACTGGCCGGGGACTGGACGCAATGCAGGTTGTGAGCGGAAGTAGATTAGCTTTCGGCGGAAATCTCGCTTGTACTGAGGTACGTTTTGATCTAGACTACTGGGTAAACGGGGATCATCCCACGTGGTCGTTTTGGTGTTGTGATCCACAAAGTACACACGGCCTGTGCTCGTCAGACGCATTTCCCAACCAGATGGTAAGGGACCTAGTTGAGATACAGGCTGTACCTGCACCTGCAGATTAGATCCAGGGCCAATGGTGCTAATATACTGCTGTCGTCTTGGATCAACCCAAGTCGTTGTACGTGTATTATGATCAACAAAATATGGTCTTCCTTCTGCACTCGTACGCATTTCCCAACCTGGTGGCAGTGGTCCTGATCCAGCCGTTGTCATGTTGTTGTTTGGTACATTTATCTGTTGCTGTTGTTGTTGTGGTGGTGGTTGCTGCTGCTGTTGTTCAGGTAATCCACGAGCATTATGATGACGTCTCTGCAACTCTGTTTGATTTTCTTGTTCTTGCGCAGTACGAGATGATGGACGCTTCCAGGTTGTTGTTCGTGTGTTATGGTCCACATAATATGGTCTACCCAGATGATCTACTCTACGCTCCCAACCAGGAGGTAAGTCTTCATTAGACTCACTATGAACTGATATACGATGATTGGTACTGTCGTTCGTACTGCTGCTGTTACTACTACTGACATTGGTACTTTGATTATTGTTTTCAGCTGTGGTATTTGAGGATGAGGGTGCAAGGGTATCCGTACCGTTTCTGATGGGCGCGTTGATATTTGTTGATAGGTTTAAAATCAATTTTCCATGCACAGCTTCATTTGCATTTGATTTCTTGAGCTCGAGTGTCAGCATTTCTGTTATTCAACTGGGTTTAAACTTGCGGATGTGCGCATTTACTTTTTTAAACTTACCATCGCCTCCTACGTCGAGGTCAAAGACGCTTGATACCTGAACGTTGATAACACCCAAAAAGCCTTGGTCCTTTCTTTTAAATTTCTTTTGATCAAATACTTGAACTGCAATAACACTCTCATTAGATACTTTTCTATTGGAAAAAACATTAGATTATTTTCTTTTATTTTAAATAATATAATTACAAGTCGAAACTTTCATTCCAATATGGATTCAGCGTCTTTTTCATTACAGTTGTTGTATGTGTTTGTTCTCCATCTACTGTGACAACAGCTAATTAAAGAGAATATAAATAAAGAAAAAGCACAACATGAGAATATGTACCAAAAGGATCAGGTAATTTAAAAAACAAGTCCTTTTTTATTAACCCATCTGCTGCAATGACTGTAAGTCGAACTGTTCTTGTCGAGGACATATTGAATAATAAGGAAAAAGAAAAAGAAGAAAACACAACAAATGATTTTTTCCCTCCCTTTTATTTTTATTTTTGTCTCCCTTCTGTTATAAAAATGCTAAGCAGGTAAAGAAAATAAAAATAAAAGAAATAACCTCGTTCTCTCTATAAAAATGGAAATTCGGCTTTGAATTCCCGTTGCAAGTGAAATGTATACCTCTCTTTTGTAAGAGCAAAAGAGAGAAGTCAATATGTCGATAGGACGACACATGATGTACATATAAGGAATATTCATTATTATTGTTATTTTCATTCAATGCAGAAATATTTTACTCATGATTCACATTCTGCCATATCGTACACTCTTCAATTTCCGATTATATGCATGATTTGATTGGACAATATTCGATGCCAAGCCATCCCTATAAATACGGGGGAGAAGGCGCTATTTTTTGTTATTGAATTACGCTTTTCTTTCTCTTTTTTTATTTTATTATTTGAACATGTCCAGTGCTCCCTTTTATGAATTATACCGTCGATCAAGGTAAAAAGTGATTTGTGTTAATGAATAAGAAAGATGGCTGACTAATTTTGTATCTATTTTACGTAGTATTGGCATGGCATTAACAGATTCACTGGATGAATTGATTCAAAGTGGACATATTACTCCTCAACTTGCCATGCGTGTATTGGTTACGTTTGACAGGAGTATTTCAGAAGCACTTTCACAAATTGTTAAAAATAAAGCAACTCTTAAAGTAGTGTCGAATATAACTTGGTTCTATTTGTGAGTTAATACAACTTTGTTTTTATATAGGGACATTTGCATACATATCGCTTCTGTGACGAAGTATGGACGTTTATTGTTGAAAATCCAAACTTTAAATTTGACCAAGAGCTTGTCTCTGCTGATAAAGTGAAAATTGTTGCTTGTAATGCCAAAAGACCTGGAGAACAATAATATCCACACAACAACAACAACAACAAACACACGCACACATAAAAACACACAAAAACATACATGTATACTTTATATTTAACACAATTTATACATTATAAGGAAAAGAGGTAAAGGGAAGTAAGAGAAAAGGGAAAAAAAAAGAAGAGAGAGAGAGAGAGAGAGAGAAAGTACTCATTCATACCGTATATGTATGTATGTTGAATGTGTGCATGTGAATAATCGTAAAAAAAAAAAGTATTCATTTTACAGCTTGATTGCTTTATTGAATTACATACAATAGTAATAAACCCCCTTTGCCTTTTTTATACATTGTGCTTGCCATGCATAATCACCATAGTAGTATTGTTGGTGATGGCAAAGATATCATTTAATCATCATGTTTTAAGGGTTTTAACTGTTGTCGAAATATTACATTTACTATAAAAACCTTACCAGACAATTTTGAGAGAAATGTTATATGATGCATGCTTAGATCAGTTTCTCTGTAACTGTTTGTAAATGGTATATAAAGAAGAACCTATAATTTACTCTGAAAAGGCTATTACCTTAAAAGAAGAATATGAGTCATAGGTAAAGACAAGGAGACAGTAAAGAGTTTGTATATTAATAACTTTTTGCTAAAGAGATACAAATTAAATTTGTTCCTATGTTGGCAAAGCAGGCTCAATGACTTCATGGTTCCCTTAAATAATGAATGACATTAAATTCAATCATAATAAAAGGCGCAGAGCGTTCATTGTTTGCCGCATTATGTATCAACTATTAGTCGTTTTGTTTTTACGATTTTAGAATTTTTAAACGAATACAACGTTTGTATATAAAGATGTACACGGTAATATTGTGAGCATGGTGATTCTGAGCCCATAGACTATATCCTTGAACAGACTGGGCTTATTCGGTGAATATTCTCTGGTTTGCTCAGTGCCAATAGAAAGAAAATAAAAACATCTGCAAACATAAGGCGAGATTACATGCGTTACGTCGCCCACGATAAGGTTTCGTTTTTCGAACTAAATATCGAAATAGGCGCAAGTACATCGGCTGCAGACAAGCAATTGGGTATCTACATTCGAACTACGCAGAGATAGCTAAAGCAGTGCACTATGATAACATTTTTGAAAGTTGTAAAAAAAAAAAAAAGATCAAGAGTCTATTGGCTAAAGAGCATAAAGCAATTGTTATTAGCTTCACTGATACTACTGCTGTTGAAATGTATGTCCTTTTGCTGAAGCGATTCACTGTTCTAAAAGTTTCACGCAGCATTGCTTATAATTCTGCAGAAGGTTCTTTATAAAATTTGCATTTATAGTAACTTTTATTGGTGTGTCCTTTCTCCTGACAGTCTTTACAAAATATGTATATTATATATCAATATATCAGTGAATATTTTGCAAATGTTATATGCATTACATGAGATTCACATTTAAACGTGTCATCTATGTTTTCTATCAACTTTTGTTTATTAATAATTTGATCTTTCTTCTTTTGAATAATGTTTTTAAACATGTCAATATTGTTGTCAAAATTAATTAAAAAGAGAAAGAAAGAAAATAATAGGTTCATAATTTCATTTTATTTTGGAGTTTTTGATGAACAGTGACAAATGTGGATCAAATCAAGAGAAATATGGGTTCTTCTAAATGATTGATACTTGTCTTATTGCATAGCTACTCTTATCGATGGAGTTTCTCCTTTTTACAAATAGGTCCTTTTCAATTGCTTTTGAAAATTGCCCGCAGTTACTCAACTGGATTTAGCTCTGGTGAATAGGATGAAAGTAACACATTTGCAGTATCAGCAAAAGAGCGTGGTCCTTGTCAATCATGCAAAGAAAGAAAGTATTGGGGCATTTATTACCTTAGAAAAGCAGAGCATTCCTATGACGGCATCGCAGGCATAGTCGAGATAGTTTAATCAAAGCCAGATCGCCTCTACTAACCAATACAAAATGTAGAATACACAAAAATCAATGCGAGATCGCAGAGATAGCTTACGAGAACGATAGATCATCCATTCGAAACATACAACCGTCTGAGAGTAGAGTTGCATAGAGTAGATGTAGAAATCTGTAGACAAACTGTTGTTAACTTTTTTGAAGAAGATGAAGTACAGGTATTACTTTACTCCTCATAAACCAGCGTTGACAGAAGAGCACATGAAGAAAAGGTTTTGCTGAACCTATAAGCGTGTCCACTGGATGGATGAACAGTGGCCTAGCGTCATTTGGAGCGATGAATCTTGGCCCACTATTGTTGGTAACGATGATAGCGCCAGAGTCATCCGAAAAGCTGATAAACGATATGACACTAAGCATATTGTTTCAATAAAGAAGTATGGAGGTGGTGGGGTGATGATCCGGAGCTGCTTTCATGCAAATGGTTTTGGCCATTTGGTCTTGGTTGACGGTACAGTTGATCAAGACAAATATATGAATATTTTAGCCCAAAGCTTCCATCCTGGATCGCACAACTATGCTAGAAAGAGGACAGGGACTTTATATTCCAAAAGGATGAAGCTAGCTTCCACACCTGGTGGTTATTCTCGATGATGAAAGGAAGCCCACCAGATCAGGGGCTTTGAGTACTGACCTGTGCAAAGCCCTGATATGAACCCGATAGAGCATGTTTGAGTCACTTTGAGAAATTTCATCAAGGAAAGAAGATATGAGACTGAAAAATACTGAGGAGTTGAGTATTGTACTGAGAGAAAAGTGCGAGAAAACAAGCCCTGGGTTAGCGGTATGTTTAGTTGGAAGCATAAAGGCTCGATGTGAGGCGGTAGTTGCCGAAAAAGGAGGATCGACAAAGTATTGATTCTTCTTTTTATTTTATATTTTTAAAAAAGCATGCCGAAGCTTATTTTTTATAAACATGGAATCTCTAAACATTGAACAGAAGGAACAATGGCTTTCCAAACGTTTGATGCATAATTTGCGGAAGATTAATTTACATTTTGGTATGAATAGTTAGCTTGCACATAACCCAAAAGACGAAGAGTGACTTGCTACATGCCGAAGTCGGAAATTGAATAGTCCGGGGTTCGGAAAGTAAAGTGGCAGATGTTAACAGAGCGCAAGAAATGAAAGAGAGAGCAGGAGTTAGGGGGGAGACAGAGGAATGGGGGGCAAAAGGACGCAGTAAACTGGTAAGCTCTAGTTTCCCTCCTTTTTATTGAACATATATAATATGGCCGCTGTTGCAGCTCAAATCTCCAAGAAGAGAAAGGTAAGTTAGAGTGAATGGATGGATGGATGGATGATACTAAATACTTTATTATTAGTTTGTAAGTTTAGATGTTTGAACCAAAAAATTTCAGCATAATAATCATTCATTGACAGGTCGCCGATGGTGTCTTCTACGCCGAATTGAACGAATTCTTTACTCGTGAACTCGCTGAAGACGGTTACGCTGGTGTCGAAGTCCGCGTTACCCCTGCTCGTACTGAGTAAAGTATCAATTGTAGATGAGAGAGCGTGTTGGGGACAGCGAAACAGAAAAAAAAAGGAGTAGAGCAGAGAAACTAATTAATTCATAGAATCATCATCCGTGCCACACACACTCAAAACGTTCTTGGTGAAAAGGGTCGTCGTATTCGTGAATTGACCACTCTTGTTCAAAAGCGTTTCAAGTTCCCCGAAAACGCTGTCGAACTCTACGCTGAACGTGTTCAAAACCGTGGTCTCTGTGCCATTGCCCAATGTGAATCTGTCAAGTTCAAGCTTCTCAACGGTTTGGCTGTCCGTCGGTAAGTGATTAAAGTGTTGCTATATGTTTGCAAAATGCTGATTGTTTCTTAGTGCCTGTTATGGTGTCATTCGTTTCGTTATGGAATCTGGTGCCAAGGGTTGTGAAGTCGTTGTCTCTGGTAAGGTCCGTGCTGCCCGTGCCAAGGCTATGAAGTTCGCTGATGGTTTCATGATTCACTCTGGTAACCCTGCCCGTGAATTCATCACCACCGCCGTTCGTCACGTTGACTTGCGTCAAGGTGTCTTGGGTATCAAGGTCAAGATCATGTTGGACAGCGATCCTACTGGTCGTAACGGTCCTAAGCAGACTCTTCCTGATATCGTCACTATCCTCGAACCCAAGGATGAAACTCCTATTGTCGAACCCTCTGCTCAAGACTTCAGACCCGCCCCTGCTGCTGAACCTGTTGAAGCTCACTAATGGGTTTAAAAATATATTGGTTTTTTTAAAATACACTTTTTGTTTATAAATGTCTGAAATATGTGTGTGTTTTAATGTGTCCCATTTTTATTACAAAATATTTTATATTAGTTTTATTTTGATCGTTGGAATACGCTAGATACAGAAGACCACCATGATCGTCTATGTTGTGATCTGTAAAAGTCTTCTTCATCGTCCAGACTTGTTCTTCCTTCTCCTGTTCCTGTAAATCTTCCACCTGTCATCCATTCATTGTTCTGTCGATAAGGATCGCCATAGAAATCATCTTCGTACATCTCGCTTGACCTTGCAACTGCTTGTCGTCTATTTCGTCGCTTGTATAGTACCAGACCTGCTGCAATCAAAGCTACGCCAGCTGCTCCTCCAATCACACCACCTACAATGCTTCCTGTAGGCATGCTTGAGCCTTGACCGGGATCAGATGTATCTATAGCAAGTGTAGGTATGACAGTTCTAAGTAATTATGAAGGTTAGCTTATCCAAGGCCCCTACACTTGAGTACACTGGTTACTTACGTTGTAGGAATGACAGTTGTGATGGTCTTTGTTACACCATTTACCACAATGGCAGTTTCTGTCGTAATGTCTGTTGAAATGGTCACACTTGTGGTATGATACCGTAGGGATGTTGTCGGTGTCGTAGGAGCTTGGCTTGTTGATGGTGGCTCCTGCGTTGTAGTTGTAGGTGGTGCTACTGTAGTGGTAGTAGTAATTGGCGGGGTTGTCGTAGTGATGGGAGGTGGTGTCGTTGTTGTTGTTGGTGGCGTCGTAGTTTGATCTTGTGTCGTCGTCGTTGGTGAAACATGCGTTGTCGACGAAGGCGGTATTGTCGTAGACGGATCGGGTGACGATGATGATGGTGGTAATGTTGATGTTGAAGGTTCTACAGTTGTTGTGGGATGATCTGAAGTAGTAGTTGTCGTTGGGGCTGGTGTTGTAGAAGAAGGCGGAGCAGTACTTGAAGGCACCTCTGTCGTTGTAGAAGATGGGGCTGATGTTGTAGGAGAAGGCGGAACAGTAGAAGTGATAGCAGTCGTAGTGGTGGTAGCGTGTGTTTCTTGTGAAGTTGTTCTAGATGACATCGTATCTGAAGACGTAGTCGAAGGATTTACAGTAGAAGAAGTGGCTTGCTCTGTGGTTGTTTGTATAGATGAAGAAGTTGTTGTTGGATCGACGTGAGTAGAAGTAGCTCCAGTAGCAGTAGTAGCAGTAGCAGTAGTAACAGTAGTAGTAATAGCAGTAGTTCTATCTGATGTGGTAGCAGGCTCTGTGGATATTGTTGTTCTTTCTTCAGAAGTTGTAGTTGTTTGTCTAGAAGACATTTAAAAGAAAAAGAAGAAAGAAAAGCCGTTTGTGTTCGAATGAAATAGCCAAAGAAAGAAAATTTGTTAAAAAAAGAATTTCGACAATGAAAAAGTTAAAAATAGAAATTGAAGGTAAGCAAATGATGCAAAAAGCCAAAAATAAATAATGTAGTGAGTAACAAACTTGCATGCTTGCATATATTTTTCATACTTACGGCTCAGAACTTGTTGTAGGAGATGCAGGTGTTGTCATGGTTTCAGCTGTTGATGTTGTTTCTGTTCCTGTAGCTGAAGTTGGTGTCGGCGTACTTTCAGGGGTTGTGTTGCTCGTTGGTGTTTCGGGTGATGTGGCTGTAACTCTAGTTGAAGTAGTTGGCTCAGCCTTAGAGGTTTGCTCTCCTGTTGTTGTTGATAAAAGCGAGGTTATGGTCGTAGTTGGCGTATTTTCTGTTGTGAATGTCCGATCAGTAGAAGTTGTTTCCAAGGAAGACGTAGTCTGTGGCTCAATCGTTTGTGCTGTCGTGGTAATATGACTAGTTGTCACATCGTGTGTTGTCGAAGGTACAGTCGTAGTAGGGTCTGACCTTGACGTCGAATCTTCGGTTGTTACTGCTGTGGTTGTTCGGTCAGGAGTTGCCGTTTCGGATGTCCTTGTACTCCCTGAGTCGGATGTAGTGGCTCGTTCACTTGTTGAGCTGTCAACCGTCGGCGTTTGTTCTACAGTCCTGGACGAGGTTCTTTCTGTAGGTGTAGGGTCCTCTGTTGGTTTAGCCTCTGTTGATCGTGTTGCAGTTACTTCGGTAGTAGTTTCTCTCGTTTCCGTCGTAGACCTTTCGGTAGTGGTAGGAGTAGGTCTATCATCATCCGCTGTTCTGACAGCAGTCGTACTTTCTCTGGTTATCCTTGCCGTCGCTGTTTCGTGGTCAGTGGTTGTAGACATTGTTTAGAAAAAGAGTAAAGAAAAAAAAAAGAAAAAAAATGTATACAACAAAAGAAAGATCCTTTTTCTTTTTTTATTACGGTTGCTATTTTCTAATTCTGACTTTATTTTCTGGACAAATTAATTTTTTACTTCTTTTACTTTCTGTACCAAAGTTGAGTGATCTTTGTCTATTTTTAAACAAATGTCGGTCAATGATCTTTTCCGCCTTTTCGTTATAAACTTACTCTTCTCATCTTCTTGTGCAATTGGAAAATACCGTAAAGTAAAGCTTCAGCAGTAGGAGGACAGCCAGGAACGTAGATATCCACAGGAACAATACGGTCACATCCACGAACAACAGAGTAAGAGTAGTGGTAGTATCCACCACCGTTAGCACAACTTCCCATTGAGATAACCCAACGAGGTTCAGGCATCTGCAAACAAGAATTAAACACTGCGATATAAATAGTATATATTACTTACCTGATCATAAACCTTTCTCAAGGCAGGTGCCATTTTGTTAGTCAAGGTACCAGCAACAATCATAATATCGGATTGACGAGGTGTGGCACGGAAAACAATACCAAAACGATCTTGATCATAACGAGGTGTAGAACAATGCATCATTTCCTATTTGAAGTATTATTTAATGATAATCAAGGCATCAAAGTATTCTATACATACAACGGCACAACAAGCCAAACCGAATGTCATGGGCCAAGTAGAACCTTCACGGGCCCAGTTAACGACACGATCGACGGAAGACAAGACGTACTCTATAGGTGCGCAGTAATAAAAAAATAAGTTTAAATGTTTACATTATAACTTTTTGTTAGTGTCATTACCAGCACTATTACTGGGCTTTACTGTAAGATCTTTAATTTCATCGATATTTCTAGCAACTTGGGTTGACATGGGACGGTATGCTGTAGCCAATGTCTTTGTGGCAGTGATTGCTAATTTGGATAGTGCATTAGTTTTTTCTTTTTTCTTATTGAATGCTATTTAATTATTCGTCTTTACTCAATGCTCTTTTAGCAGTGTTTAATCCAAGCGCAGTTGAAACCATGTTGTATAAATTATGTGAAAAGAGTAGGGAGGTTTTGATGGGCTTCTTTAGCTGATTAAGTAAAGAAAGAAAAAAAAGCTTACTTCAAAAATAATAGGTCAGGGTTGAAGCAAAATTTCAGCGATACGGCAAATTAAACAACTGCTCGTCTTGAATTAAAACTACGGCAGTAGAGTGATGACATCTTATTCGGACTTGAAATTTATAGGGAAAACGTGCACCAATATGGTTTTAATGCAGTGAATCAAAGAAAGTCGATTCTATGGTACTCAGACTTGCAACGATTATTTTATCTTGGTTTGCAAAAATAAAAGATGTACTTTTTATTCATCGTACCCACTTTTCTACATTTCAGTACAGCATATAAATTCATTATTTATACTTTATCTGAATGACAGTAGCAATTTAACAGAGCGATATGCGTCAATGACTACTGTATCAATAAATAGCTCATTACTCTATTATTATTCTCTTGAGAAAAGCAGTAAATATTTCAAAGATTACAGTTTATTTTATTTTAAAAGTAAATTTTTTGATTAAAAAGTATATTGTATAAGTATTGATTCACTTTTAAATTCTCAATATTACTTGCTGGCGGGCTTTGCAGCGTCAACGGGTGCATCAGGAGCAGTGCCAGTGGCAGCGTCTGATTTGCCTTCGGATTCACCCAAAGGAAGTGAAGGTAAACTATTCTTACCAGCATCAGCAGCAGAAGCAAGAGCGGCAGCGACTTCAGGAGAGATTCCGTCAAGAGCATCTGCAGAAAAGGGTAAGCCATCAGGAGAAGGAAGGTCGCCCAATGCGACACTTGTAAGGTCAGTGGCTGCACCGGTTAAGTTGCTAGTGTCAAGGCTGTCTGTAGGACCTCTCTTGCGGATTGCTTGACCATCTTCAACAGAAGGACCAACATTGGTGGAAGCATCGGATGTACTGGCAGGACCATCAGCTGAAGCGGAGGATCCACCTAAAATTCCAGTAAGATCGCCTACAGGTGGATCTTCGGTAAGACCTGTAACGGCACCAATGGGAAGGTCTCTCTTGATAGCACCTGGAGCAGCGGAAGCAGCTTTGGAACGGAGAGCCGCAAGGATCTTAGGATCCTTTAAAAGTTTAGCAAGAATTTTGGCATTGGGTGGAGAAAATCTCTTGGATAAGGGATCATGAACGTCACTAGTAGCTTCTGTAGCGCCGCCAACTGTATCTTGGACATCATTGCCACCAACCAATGAGTCATCACCGAGCACACCGTTACCAGCAATATCTCCAACAGTACCACCAACGTTACCAAGAGCCCCACCGAGACCAGTATCACGTTCGACATAAATGGGAGATGCCAAGGAAGAACCGAGTAAGCAAGCAACTGCAAAAGTAAGAGTGATGAAAGAGGATCGCATTTGAGAAAATGTGTTATGAAAAGTTGATTTGAAGGGAAGAAAACAAAAATGGGCCTGTCTTTTTATATGTATTCTAAGCTCTCACTTTTTCCTATAATGTAAACAAGGAAAAGATTTTCAACACGCAAAAGATGCATTAGCAAAACCTTAAGGGGAAAAGGAGGAGTAAAGAGACATGGATACTAATAGACTGAATGATACACTTGGTTTTTACAAATCTCTTTACAAAGGGTGCTCTACATAGCTCAAGTGATATAAAGTATATGGTATCTTGACTTTAGTAACTGGTTATTATATGGTTTTATTCGATGAATAAAGCTTACAAATATGATATTCATGATCTTCTTTGAATTATATCATTGCACTCCCTTTCAGTATCTCTCCTTTTTTTTAGTTTAGTTTGTTTAAAGTCTTTGATCCATGCAGGGGAATGCTGAGTCTGAATGATGAGACAGTAAAGGCACTCTTTATTTAGATTAGGGTATCGGTGTATAAATTCTGTTTGGATAATGCATAACTAAAGCTCATATTTGCGTGATAAAAATGCTACTTCTACTACGCTTTTTCGGGTATAATTCAATAAACGTAGCAAGTGATTATTCATGATCTACAAACATTTGCCACAGTTGAGTCTAAACTCTTGTTTTTCGCGGGAGTGATTTACAGTTCCCTTATTTTTGTCCCCCTGAGAAACAGGTCTTGAAGACGAGGATCAATGTTTGACAAGGCTGCAAGTCTAGCTACATATATCATTCTTTCTCTGAATTTCGGCAATCTTTGTCAAGGATACATTGAGAGTAATGTGTGGATAACTAGATACACTGTACAGTTGTATACAAGACTAGTAACTATCCTGTGACTCGTAAGGGTTGATACCTGTTTATGATTGATGTACTCTATTTAGGAGTAGGATTCTACAACAAATCAGATGATTTAAGATTACATCCCTCAGGGATAGATTGTACAGAATTTTCTTCTTTCTAGCCCCTTATCACTGTTTATTTGTATACAGAAAGCGGTTAAATCATATTCTCTAGTTTGGTGGCTCACGCATATTACTGTGAACAAACCATGCCAGGCAAGTGTATCATAAGCAAGTAGTATAATATACATCAAGGTCAAATGTAAAGATATAATGCTGTACTATAAAAGTTAGTCTAACCGCATATCGAATGACATGACATTTACTTTATCCAACAACTAAAGTATTTGTTACACACAAGTATAGCTTTCAAAGAAGATCATCTTGTAGTTATGATTTTTTCTTTAATAAACTAAAAACGTGGTGATTAGTTCAGGCTTCCTTAAATTGATTCCAAATCAATAGGAGGTCAATCACATATTTTACAGAATTTTATATTTTCAGAAAATTGATAAACGTTTGACATCAGCTTCTTTATATTTAAATGGCAATTTGGTAAATTGAACATAATAAAGTGAGCGAAAGGGAATCAGGATATCAAACATATCCTTATAACATCTATTTAATATAAAGTAAAGGAATGTTATATAAGCACAAGGGGAGCTAATAATAATAATAATAATAATAATAATAATAGATATGATAAAATGACAAGAAGTATAATCGACTATTATTTAAGATTTCTTATGTGCCAGACTGTCTTGAAGTTTGGGAAAACTCTTTTTACAATATAAGAGAGGGCAGGCTGAAGATTTCAAAGGATCTACTTTTCTATGTGTTCCTATTTATGATAATGGGTGTAGAAAAACTCCAATTTGATTTATCTGAACAGATGTACAACTAAAATAAAAAAAAATCGGGCGTTTAGGAGGGCCAACACTACATGTACCAAAAATAAGCTAATGCTACGGACACTTCTTCTAGACGCTACCCGTGACATCATTTTACAACCTCACACTACCAAAGTCGCTATCTAACCTAAGTCTGCCCAATGGAATATTCTTTGATATAAGAGACGAATATATCATAGTTACACTGAAGAATCTAGTCGAACTGACGACATAAAATTAAATCTTTTTATTCCTTTTTTCTTGAAAAGAGACAAACCAAGATGACAACTTTATAAAATCATGTTTAGAGTGGGATCATACATTGAATAGTTTTATTGAAGAACATCATTGGTAATGGATAGAGGCAGCGTACGTAGGATTAGTCTAACTTCTGGTGTATTTTCTGATGCATGTAGTATTTCCCAAATCAAAATGAATTGCTCTTGAGCGTTTTGGATATTGATGACTACGAAGTATGGCCTTTATTCCTATGGTCATTCGACAGAAATGTAGCTCAGGGTTTGAAATTGAAGTTGTTGCAAACAACAAGATTTATCCTAACAGATCTTTCAAGCAAATGCAACCAGGACTTCATCTTTACTTCCCAGGTTGAAAGGACATTTTGACACTTTCAGCTACATCCTTAGATGAAATAAGCCCTGAGAAGTATGTTCACATTCAATATTGCCATGAGAGTATCTCAGTTACTTTTGAAAACTGATACGAATGGGTTACTTTTGTTTGCGCTCTTGTCATTTTTAACTATGTTGCTTGAAAAACAGGATAAAGCTAGAGATAAATGATCAAAGAGTGAAACAGACTAGTAACGGTTGATGCTGAGAAAACTGTTTGCAAAGCATTGAGTTATGACGAATAGTGTTTATTTATTTATGAAAGTTCTAGTCTTGGTCAACTGAACAAATACGCAGCTTAACCTGTTTAGTGAATCAAGTCATATAATATTATATATGTATTTGACATTTTCCAATAAATGAATTGTTATTAAAATGATTTTATTTATTATGTCTTACAAATTGTTTGCTCACTCTCATTACTGCTTGCGATTTTTGACGTGTACAAACTTTGAAAAAAATAGTCGTTTGCTTGAAGGAGCACAAAATCCCTGGATCTTAAAGTAAGCCTTGAGGTATGCTCTTTGAATTTTTTTGTCTGAAATTGAAATTGACTATTTCCAAAAAGAAAGGTTCATATGCTTTAAATGGGGGATTAAGATTGTGTAATATAGATTACTCTATGGGAATAATAATAAAAAATGTAGAACCTTTTTATTTTATCTCTTTATCTGTCTCTCTTTCTCAGTAAACGTTCATTAAAAGTATGCAAATCGAATCCAAAGTGGCAACTGCTTATCCAGAACTTGCAGAAGCAGTTGAACTCTTTGAAGGAAAAGGGAGCCAGTTTGAAAATGTTTTTGAGGATTACCTAAAGATTGTTGATGCAGAACCTGACAGGATCACCTGGGAATTCTGTCCGAATGATAAACACGTCAATAGGTACATTATAGTGACTGCATATAATCTATTGACCTATCATTAGATTCGGTAATTTACATGGTGGACTCATAGCTGCTGTCATTGATGTATGTAGCAGTTTTGCGATTAAGCTGTCTAGTGGCATCAAGTGGAATTTAATTGGTATATCTGTTGACTTGTCAGTATCATATCTAAGAGGAGTACCACCTGGATCACCAATAAGGCTTGTCTGTCAACTTGAAAGAATTGGAAATAGACTTGCTACGATATATACAAGAGTTTATGACAATGACAATAATCTTTGCTACACTAGCACCCATACCAAATATAGAACTGACCCTAAGCTTTGATTGGTTTTTCCTAATTGGTCAAGAATAAAGTTTTTTTTTTTTTGTTTGTTTTTCGCCTCATTCATTTTTTTTTTTTTATTCTATACCCACAATGACATCCTTTTATGATGAGGTATTTGTGTAAATCAGCTTAATATATAAACATTGTCTAATCTAGTATGAAAATAGATTGAAATCGAAGACATGGATTTTAATGAGGAAGAAGGAATCTATACATATCCATGTCCTTGTGGAGACAGGTTTGAAATCTCGGTGGTAAGTCATTGTACATGTATAGTTGTGAATATATGTATTCTAATGTATCGTAATAGGATGATCTAAGGGATGGAGAAGATGTTGCTCGATGTCCTTCTTGTTCTCTAATCATTCGAGTCATTTACGATCCAGACGATTTTGCAGACGAAGAAGACGATGAAACAACGTTCGTAGCAATGCCTGAGGCAGTGTCTGCTTAAAAATGTGTAATATAACAACTATTTATTTTATTTTTTTGGCATTAAACAATCATATGCTTTCTCTCTCTTTTTTAAATATCCTTTTTAGATTCTTTTGCTCGTTGTTGCAATGCTTCATGCCTATTGACCAATTGACTGTATTCTTCAGATTGCTGTTCAACCTGCTTCTTCAAATTTTCCATGTCCTTTTCTTGCTTTCTCAATTCATCTACTTCAAGTTTAAGCGCGGCAATCTTATTTTTGTAAGTTGCCTCCATATTCTCTAAACGTTCTTGATCTTGAGTAGTGGATACATGCTCCTCCTTGGCATATTCTAATTCCTCTTCTCTCTTTAACATTTGAATGATCAAACTACTTGTACGTTCGAGGATACTATATAAAGGATTAGATATATATATAATATGTGCACATTTGACTTACAGAGATAAAAAGAGAGTAAAACCAGTCAAATAAAGGTTTCTTTGAGCATAAAACTTTCTTGCCTTCAAACCTACTTCATATCCATAATCGTGGTTGTGATTTTCTTCTCCTTCCTCAATACGTTGTAAACGGTTAACAGCATCTATGTTGTCTTGTTAAAATCAAGCGCAGTAAAACAGATCGAGACATATTACCAATAAACAAGACAAAGATAAATCTTTATAAAGAATTAAGTACCTTTATTTATTTTTATATTTTTCTGACTTACCCAAAGATAATTCTCAACGTGTTCAAAGCTTTGCCAACCTTGTGATTATAAATTAAATATTCATTATATTACATATATACATGTCTATTTCATACCAAAGGTGAAGTAGAAGCAAACTTGAATAAGGCTCTACGCCAACGAGAGGGAAGAGGTAACTATAATAAAGTTAACAAAGCTGTTGTTGGGCAATGACGCATCTCTTACAACAAGAATACAAAAGACAATCATCTATATTCTCATTAGTTCTTCTTTTTTTATCTCTTCTTTTGGTTTTTACCTCGATAACGAGAATAAAGAATGTTGTGGTATAATAAATGGTCATCTTGCCAAGATAAAACTAAAGTAAAGGAAAGAAAAAAGAAAAAAAGAAAAAGAAAAAATAGATACACTTTGTATGTGTTACTCGCGTTGTAATTTTTTTTTTTTTTTAAAAAAAAAGCATGTCTTTGTATACAGGTGTGCGTGTATAAATATTTATTAGGTTACATGTCATCATCACTAGCGGCAACAGCATCTCCTTCATCTTCATCACCACTAACAAGTTCATTTTCTTTTTCTGCTTGAGCTAATAAAGCTGCAAAATCACGATCATCTGTCTCAGATACCAGCTTGGCTTCCTTTTCGACCTTAAATCGAGTCCAACTATATTTCTCTAAGGTTGTCTTTATCTCTTCGATTGCATTTTCAATTGTTTTAAATCCGAGTTCTTTGTCTAAAGAATCTACAGTGACAACATAAAATGGTGCAGCTAAATATGTAATCTTGACAGGCACTTCTTCACTTCCAACCTTTTCACCTGCCTTAAGAGCTTCCTTGATGGCATTAACACCATCAATACCTGTACATCTAATATCCAATTCTATAGAAAATAGCATGTTTATACCTCATACACATACACACACACATTATACACTTACGAGCACGGATCTTGACGGGTTGAGGTGTCATTTTATGTTTGATGATGCTCAACAATTCTTTGAGGATATCTTCAGATACGTTCATGCCACCAAAAACGGCCTCAGGGTTACTATGTGACTCATTAGTGGCACCATCCCAAAGACATATCATTTTTTAACTTACTGAATAGCCACCTTGAAGGCATCATAGGCATGACCATACTTTTTATATAATGGCCAACCAATGTTTTCGTACAGGGTTTGAAGAGCAGTATCGTGTTTCTGAGCAACGTGACGTAAGATAGAATGAACTTGCTTTGACTTTTTGTATTTCTCTTCACATTTAACAATATCCTCGGGAGTAACACGGCGCTTGGACAAGTCAATATAACCTATATTCTATTATTAATATCAGCTTGTAAATATATCTGCATATGTATGTACCTTTCTCTTCGTCAACACGAAGAACAACTACTACTTCTTCTCTACCAACACGAATCAACTTTTGAACGGAACGAATACGTCTTCTTGATAATTCAGAAAGTAAAATCATGCCTTCTCTCTCTCCATATTCAAGCTATACATATATAATAAACGTCATTAGTTTGATTCCGTAGTACATCACAATAATAAACAGCATTTACGAGTTTAACATAAGCACCCATGTCTGCAATTTGACGAACGTTCACCATGACAACATCGTCTACCTTGGGGAACTCATTTTCATACATGCGACAGTGAAATTTGTCGTCGGCCATCTTTATAATTCTATTTTAGAAAAGATATAAAAAATAACAGTAGCTCACTTATTCTCTCCCTATCCAAAATTTTTTTTTTTGGAGGCTTTTGTCGGTCATTGAATTTATTAAATGATTTTTATTCTGAATCGGTATCACTATAATTGGCAAGCATGGACAATGCACCTCCGTTTTCTTGCTTTTGCTTCTTTTTGACAACTACACCAATGGTTTTACTTGGTTCTCTTTTCTTTATCACAGTAGGTTTTATCACAGATGGTTTAAATGAGGGCAAATCCATGGCCACCTTTGTTTGACTGACAAGAGAGATAGCATCTGGTTCTGCTTCCTTAATCTTTCGTACCTGTGCTCCATCTGCACTCTCAAATACGGCCTTTGCTTCTTTTTCATACTCTTCTTCTTCTTCTTTCATACGTGCATTGATCTCTGCCTGATCCTCATTTGAAAATCGATTAAGCACTTCATCTACATCAATTCGTTCTGCCCTTGCGTTACGTGTTCGAATTTCATCCAGTGCATCCAATATTTCCATTTCACGTTTAGAGTCTAACGTACGGTTCTCCAGTGCTTTCATCGGGTCATTCTCTTCTTCTTCATCACCTGATTCCTTCTTATCGTCTTGTTCTCGCCAAGGCTCAAAGTTTCTACTAGCACCATGCTCTGCTACATAATCTGTATTCTTGGGATCAGTCTTGAATGTAATTTCTGCAGAACATCGAGGACATCTAATAAGTGTGCATATTAATTATTGTTTCTTTTATCTCTTTTTTTTTTTTTTATACCTAATGTAAAATCTAAAAATCTTGATACTTAAATAAGTTTCTCCTTCTACTGTTTCTTTTCTTGCATTAAACTTCTTTCCTTTATAAATATATTCTCCACAGCTTTCACATCGCATAGAGAACGGTGACATCAAACGTACTTTATGCTGTAAATCCTTTGGCTTTTTCCTTTTATATATAAATTAGTATATTTTCTTCTTAACGAGATGCGCTTACTGTCTTGGGATCTGTGATGGATCAAAGTTTGGAGGAAAATATTTATTAAGGACTTTACGTTCAGACATGGTGAATAAAGAAAAGAAAAAAAAAGAAGCAATGAAGCGCAGCTTGCTTGAATTTGTCTATTGAACTAAAGTTGACCAATAAAACAAGTGAATTTCGGTCACTGTGACAGTTAATTCGACTTTATGAAGAAGTCATCATTCCAACTACATCTTTAAACATAAACAAAATCCTTCTTTAGCTGTTTAAGTCATGAATGGTAATTTATTTCAAAGTGTGTACGCGTGTTTTTATAAATCCTAAAGGGATTATTTTTACATTTAATGAATTTTCTACAATCAAAAATAATAGATTTAATCATCAACAGGATATTCGAATGGTTCAAAAGGTGCAGCTTCTTCTTCTTGTGCTCCTGATCTTCCTGATCCATCACCTGAAGGGACTCGGGGCTGAAGTAAATCTTCTTCCTCATCTGGCCTTTTATCAATCAACATAATAATACCTCCAATATTTTCAGACTTGACAGGAGCATAACGTGAGTCTTCTTTAAATGAAATGTGCTTCAGTTGAGCAGGCACAACTCGAGCCATGTTTTCAAGAGTCTCAAAGTTTTCTTCCTTCTTCTTCTTTTTACGCTCATCTTTCTTTTCGCTACTTTCATCCTTCATTTCTTCATCCTTTGGTTGCTCTTCTTTATCAACATCCATCATTTCTCCCTTTTCTTTCTCAATCTTCTTTGCACGGGCTCGCGCTTTTGCCGTTGTTGACAAGACAGCAGTAGCTACTTTTTCAACCACTGTGGCTGATGGTGGTTTTATAGCAGGAGGATAAGCAAATAATGAAGGCTTGGTGTTTGATATGAATTCAAATTTGGGAGTCTCTAAGTTCTTGTTCAGACCAATAATGGCCGTAGGGGTAAATGCTAAACTTAACATATGTGTCAAGGGATACCAGTACCAAAATTGTGTAAATACAGCAGTGCCCACAATGGCTGGCATATTAGCATGTCCCGTTCTTGATAAAAGCGACATGGTCACATTTCTTCCTCCAGCATCAATGATACCTTGTGCAAGAACTGCACCAAACTTTGCCATAGGATCTTCATGCTTATCACCAATGACCTTTTCATACATTTTACGTACAGCAGCTACCTTGGGATTCGTGTTTTCCGTTTGCTGAATCAGGATCATAGCTTGAGAGATGAAGGCACCTTGACGGACAAAATCAACAGGATCCTTGGTCATGGGCTCCAAGAGTTCAAGGGCATCCAAGTAGCCAGTACCAGCACATGAGATGCCCAAGGCAAGTGTAGCACCATATCGGACATGTGGGTTATAACTTTCAGCCAATAGTTGCACAATGCGAGGTACTTGTTTAGGATTTCGTAGCAAAACAAATCCAAGCGAGGTGACAGCTGCCCGACGAACATCATCATTCACATCGCTAACAGCGACATGAAGCAAACGACGGATGGCTTTATTATTTCCAGTACCGCTATAGGCCATAGCGATAGTATAAATACCACCATATCGAAGCACAGAATCCTTATCTTCTAATAGCTTATCGATCAAACCATCTGCTTGCTCTTCTTTACCATACATAATGAATGACATGCCAATGGCTAAACCACGGATAATCTTCTCATGCTGAGTTTCATGAGCATATTGAAGCATCTCATCAAGTGCTTGTTCACTAGCTGTACCAAGCATCACCAAGCCCATAGCCAAACCGGCAGCCTCACCAGCAACAGCATTATCACCAAACAAAACACTCTTCAAATCTTCATAGATGGACTCGTTGGCTGTAGCCATGCCAGCAACAGCAAGGCCAAGAGAGGCGCCGTGTTGAATAACTTCATCGGAAGTCTCTTTCAATTCCTTTCTTAGATATTCCAATACATCTGCACCATGGTTGGCATTGATGAGGCCCAAAGCATACAAGGATCCGCCCTCAGAATAGGAACTGTTGGAAGTGACGCCATGTGTAGGTAAGTAGGGGGCTAGCAAGTTCATGGATTCTGCTAATTGACCCTATGTGATATATGAGCTATTTGTTAATGATAAACAAAATGTATTTACCTTGTGGATGACACCAAGAGCAGCAGTAGCACTAAATTTAGACCAGTTGGTTGCTCTTGATAGCCAGTCAAGGTTTTGACGCAAGAATTCGTCGCTTGTTGTACCAGCTTGCATGAATGCATTGGCAAATGTCACAGCAGAATGGTAGACAGAGTTTCTGGATTCCAATGCATTTTTTGTATTTTTCAAAATCAAAAGGTCCGTGTGGTTGTTTCGGTATAAAAATTCAAGGTGAAGTCGAATGGATTCTTGGCCAGAAAGAATAGATTTGATCTTTTGGAAGGGTGAAGCGGCCTTTGGCTATGATTGTTAAACATGAATAACCACTTATATTATATGACGCGTTTATTTTACCTCTTCCACTTCCATAGCATCTTCCTTTGGCTCTTCCGCAACGGGTTCACTGGGTAATTCATTAGACACCTTGGACAAGAATTCTTGTGTTGCGTTTTCTTCTAAATCAAATGATATTTGGTATGCCATAAGCTATAAAATATATTAGCTTATATCTTTCAAGTCGATTTCTTCTTTTACCTCGTCATTTTTTTCGATCAAGCCCTTCAGCATATTAGCACAAGAAGTGGTATCATTCAAATGTACCAAACATTGACTGATAGAAATATAATCAGGTTTTTCCAACTTTTTGTACAAATTCACCAACAATCTCAAGACTTCGTTACGGAACTCCAAGTTTTGCACAAGCGTCATTGATACATCCAAAACGTAAGCAAGCAATTGGCTAGGGTTTCCCTTCATAATAGTTGATTCAATAATATCAAGACGTCTTGATTCAAGCGCAATACCAATCGCTTGTTCATATTCTCCATCATCTGCGCAGCGTTGAAACATGCGTTCGACAATAGCCTCTAATCTTGGGTCAACTGGTTCCGTATTCTCTGGTGAAGTTCGTAAATAGATGTATTTATCAATACATTTGGCTATTTGCTTTTATAAGTATTTTCACAAAAGACATGGTTGCAACTACTTACAAATGATAGTTGTAACGTATTCAGAAGAATCAGCAACATCAAAGTGTTTACCAGCACCAAGGGCAAATGTAAGAGAATCATCTAATTCACCAAGATTATAATACACCTATAGGTTAAGGTGTCAGCTATCATATTATGATCTTTAGAGACTGAATGTACCTTCGAAGCAACTAGAGCAGCAAGTTCTCTTTCGCTAAATGTTTGATCTTCATACAAGATTTCACTAGAAAGCAAACATCAACACAAGGCGCTATGTAGCGACGTGATAGAATATTTTCTTACATGATAGCAATAGAATCAGAGATTTCAGCCCAAAACTCGTCAACAAGAGAATTTAACTGCTGAAGTGCATAGACTTTAAGTTCTGGTTGTGGCTCTTCAAGTAGAGCAATAATACCATCTATATAAAGTGTTTAGTATTATGAATTAATACAAGTGGTAATAAAACTTACTGGCAGATGTAAGAGCCGTCATGTATAAATGATTGAAAGAAAAAGAAAAAGAGTGCAACTGAAAACAAGTTTGCTTTGCCGCGTCTTTTACTTTTTACACATTACGTGTAATCAGTGACGCAACCCTTCTAGTTTTTGTGTCGGAGTTCAATTGATCTCTTTTCTCTTTTTTTAATTTATTTCCCTCAACAGGATATAAATAAAAAGAAAAGTGATTTCTCTTCCTCTCTTTTTTATTGCAACTCAACATGGCTTCTTCTAGTTTTAGTTACGGCACAAGATCTAAAACAATCGAAGTTCCTCTTCAGCATGAACAAGTACTTGAAGTTGTCTGTAATGATTTACCTGCGAACCCCATTGAATTAACAGACATCTTTCGTCAAGAGTTTGTTGGACTTCCATATTACCGAATGCTTGCGGTAATCATACATTTTTATTAAATATCCAGAAATATTGACGCGTAAAATAGACAGAATATTATGAACAAGATAAAATAGAGCAAAGCATAGCTGTCATTCAGGCGGCTTTGACTATGGGTATTTATACGAATAATGATCGTGTAAGGATGCTTACAATCTTGATTAGCAAGTCAATCAGCGCATACTCAACCACGGCAGAAGCTTCCACTGTTGACTTTAATCGCAACACTTCACCTCCGTCTTGCTAGAAAACAATCAGATGAAAATCAGCGACAAAAACATATAGATGAAGCTACTCAATATGTTAATGAAGCCGATCGTATTCATAATCAATATGAGCCTACATTTATTGTCAAGGGCAATTTGTATATACTTTTACGAAAGGTAGATGAAGCTGCTCGTTCGTTCAACATGATTCTCGAAAAGCGCCCGAACTGCATTCCTGCCCTACTGGGTCGAGCAAAAATTCAATACCATTTACAACAATATAAAGCAGCTTTAAAGAGCTACCAGGACGCTCTACGATACTCACGAGGCAGGTTTTCAGGAGTAGAGATTCGGTTGGGTATTGCACAGTGTTTTGCACAGCTAAAGATGTATCCTGAAGCTAAAGCTGCATTAAAAAGATGCACCGAAGTGGTAAAAAAAAAAAAAAAAAAACTTGCTATTTTCTTTACTAACTTGAGCTGTTTTTTTTTTTTCTTTAGAGCTCAGTACCAAATGCAACTGCGTTGATTATGCTGTCTATATTGGAATTGAATGAATCAAAAAAGCTAGAAAATGGCCCCCTGCAACAAGAAGCCAGCCTGCGTCTTGGCCTTCAACATATGCAGCAAGCACACCGGGCAAATATCAGTCATCCTGTGACGTTAAACATGATGGCAGATCATTTCTTTTTGACACATAACTTTGAAAAGGTGAGCCCCCAAATGTAGTTGACTGTCAGGATGCCTTATCAATCCATCAATAGACAATAGCGGCCGCTTCTAAAGCAATAGACGCAGCTTCTAATAATATAACAAAGGCTGAATCATCTTATCAAATTGCAAGAACGCATCATCAAATGCAGAATTTCGAAGACGCACACAAATTTTATGCCCAAGCTCTTGAATTAAATCCTGATCATTTGCTAGCACAATTTGGTATGGGTCAGATGCTGTTAAAAAGAGGAGAGCGTAAGCCGGCTATTGAGATATTCGAAAAGATTCTCAAAGCTGAACCTGAATGTGCTGAAGTAATGAAGATACTTGGTTCATTATATGGACTTGTTGGCGATAAGGAAAAATCAGTCGCATTGTTTGATAAGCTTATGGAGCATACAAATGAAGATCCTCTTTTATGCATGGAGATTGCGGAAATGCACGAAGAAAAAGACGGTGCTTTAGCATTAAAATGTATGTGTCTATCGTCCATGATTAGTTATGCTACTTACAACGTATGAATAGATTATCAACAAGCCCTTAAACTCTTGGATGACTTACCCAAAGATGACGAGTTTGCTCAGAAGCGAGTGAAAGAGATTAGACCACAATTGTTGAATAATATTGCTGTTATGCACCATACACTAAACAATTTTGCTGATGCTGAGCATTATTACGGTCTCGCCATTCAATCAACCGAAGCAAGCGATGAAGAAGAAAAGAATTTGAAGTTGACAATGAGTTATAATTTGGCAAGGTTATATGAAGAAAAATTGGAAACAGAAAAGGCTACTGCCATATACACAAAATTAATAGAAGATTATCCCACTTATGTCGATGGTATGTATATCTTCTTTAAGAACTTTATTAACACTAACGTTGATTTTGTTTAGCTCATTTACGAATGGGAGCCATCGAACAATCGCTTGGTAGATCAACGGAAGCCATTGAATATTATAAAGAAGTATTTGATACTGAACCAATGGATGCAAAGGCATGGATCATGATCGGTCAAGCACAAGCACTTACTACTGAGAAATTATCCAAACGATCTTTTGAAAAGGTTTTAAGAGACTGCGATAAAGACGATTTATATACACACGTTGCCCTCGGAAACTACCATGCTGCTACTGCCAGAGAATTAAAGTCTGAAAAGGCCAAACAGCAAAGAATTGAGTCATATAAGTTGGCAGTTAACTTTTATTCGCAGGCGTTAAGAAGAGACCCTACTAATGTATATGCTGCTAATGGTTTGGCTATTACCATTGCTGAAAATGGCCACATTGAGCAAGCAAGAGATTTATTTAACCAAGTTAGAGAATCAAATGTAGGAAACTCTAGCGTATGGGTTAACTTAGCACATATTTTTGTTGAATTGAAGCAATATAGACAAGCTATTGTTATGGTGAGTCAAGGAATGTGCACGCAAATAGAACTGACCGTTTATCCTAGTATGAAAACTGTTCTAGAAAATTTTTCAACAATAAGGATATCAATCTGCTTCTCTGTCTCGCAAGGGCACAATACATACTTGCTAAAGCAGAGAAAGATCATGAAGCAATGCACGAATCATTAAAGAATACTGTGAAAGCACTTAGCCTGTGCCCTTCGGACAAGACAACTTTATATAACCTTGCTCTCGTTCAGCAATCATATGCTCAACAAATTGCAGATTTGACTCAAGAGCAGCGCGATTCAAAAAGCATGCGTCGCGCTCTCGAATACCTAGACTTCGGACAACGTACATTCCGCCAATTGATCAGTGTTGATGAACATACCCTCTATGACAAAAAGATCGTTGAGCAGCGTGAACGATATGGTGAAACACTGCGAACTCAGTTGGAGAGAAAGCTAGCAGAACAAGTTCAGTTTGAGGAACAAAAAAGAGAAAAGCTGGAGCTTGCTAAAAAGAGGCGAGAGGAAGATATTGCTAAACAGCGTGCGATAGAAGACGAGAAACGTAGACTGGAACAAATTGAAAGAGAAAAAATGGAAGAAGCACGTCGTAAATTGATGGAAAAGGTGCGAGAAGATAACTTGATGATGGCCAGTTTACAAGTAGATGAAGATGATATTGATGAAGAAAAGAAATCAAGTAAGCGAGGTAAAAAGCGAAAGGAAAGAGACGAGGAACAACCTGAAGAAGAAGATGAAAAAGATGCATTGTTAAGAAAGAAGGATAAAAAGGTAAACACCATTGTGTCTTTAGGGAGGTGCTAAAGTTATTTTTATTAGAATTATCGAACAAAACGAATAATCGAAGATTCTGAAGACGAGGATGAATAATTTGTAAACTAATGATATATAGTATTTTATTTCTTTTTGTGAATTTTGCGAATAAAGTGACAGCCTTGGAATAATGACCAAAAGAGAAAAAATAACAAAGATACTATGAATATAAACAGCAATATAATGTCAATCATGTTATATCTTGTCATTTTACGTAATTTATTATACTGAGAGAGTAAGTGAACTACGAGTCCCAAATTGAGACACAGCAATAGTGTTAGTAAAGAAACTGACATATTCTCGGATACATACCAGGGCAGATAGTGAAGAGTGAAAAAAGAAGCAAGTAAATAAAAAAAATTAGCTTATTGATCTATGTTCTTTAACAAAACTTACCCAAAAGGTATTATAGCCGACAGCTATAGGCCCATCTACGTTTCTTTTTCAGAAAGTAGCGGCGAAGTGTTCAAATGCTGCAGTTTTGGAGGGGCTGTGTTAATTGGATCAAGCTGAGGAAATGTGGCCCGAAAAGAAGGGTTACAAGGCCAGGTAAGCCTATGGCCATAGCACTTAAACTGTCACGAGCATGGGTGGCTTTTCCTGCGAGAACAGAAGGACAACCCGGACTAACACATTGAAATACGCCGTTCACAGCTTTCGGCTTGGTGTTTCCAGTAACTCGCAAAGGACACTGGAGCTGCTTGAAGCAAAAAAGCAGGTTTACGAGGTGTTATGTTCGTTAGTAATACATGCAGAAGTGTACAAACTGTTCTTTTTTGGCTTCTATTGACCTCTATATTTCAAATGCCTTTTGATTGTGGAACCAATACAATAGCCTCCATCGCCAACAAACATAATATGCTGTGACTTATCAGAGCCTGTAGCGTATCGACGTTCATTGGAGTATAATTCATCAGTATATCTTCGCCTTTGCAGCTCATAGGTACGCTTCTGTCTTACTCTTGTTGGTGAGTAGTAGAAATCCCTCAGTTGCTCTCGATGTCTTACGGTTTGTTGATACCATTCTTCAAGTCTGGCAACGCTTTCATCTTTTTTGATACTTTTTCTACTAGCTGCATTTTCAACGCTCGTTATTCTTTGTGCGTTTGCTTTCTTCGCTCTTTGGAGTTGTACTCGAAGCTTCTGTGTCTTACTGCCGTAACCTATTTGCTCTGACTTCACTCTAAGGGTTTTTCAAATTTAAAAAACTGTCGTAGCACAATATCTGCTTATGACTGACATTGAGCTAAACGGCTGTAATCAGTATGAATAGCGTGAATTCATACATTATAAGATTACGTGCACACACTTTTAGTGATAAGTCAAATTAAATAGAATCTCTCCTTTGAATATGATAAAAGAAAGACCTTTTTCCTGGGTGTTTTTTTTTTTTTTTTTTTTTTTTTTTTTTTTTTTTTTCTCTTTCAATCCTTTACATTTTAACATGAACACAGTATTCTTATTTGAAGATGGGCATGGAAATGCTGTTGATGAGAATGGAGGCCCTGAACTCTGGAGTACATTGTTGATCAGGATGAATTTGCTGTTGAGGCTATTGCGACTCATAGTGAATACTTGAAAAATGCAGCCTCCAGTGGCTATTCATTGGGTTGCCCAATGCTTATTGAAAAGCCAAAAGATGAAGACATTCAAATGAAAGAGACCAATGTAAAACGTGATTATATGCGCTACGCTATCCAGGATAAGACTAGATATTTCGATCTGAAGATTGAAAAGTGTGTGAATACATCAGCTACCGCGAAGCAGTTGAGCATTCATATTCGAACTTCTCAGAGATGGGTTAAGCAATAACATATGCGTTCTGGTAGTATTTTTAAGAACTGTAAACAGGTTGGCCGTAGATGTATCTTGACTGAAGAGCATAAAACGCTGCTGTCGAATTCATTGATGCTAATCCATCTGCTGCTGTGGTTAAAGCGACCGAGCACTTATTGAAACGGTTCAGTGATCTCAAATTTTCACGTAGCACTGTTTATATTTTCATGAGAAACGAATGCAGCCTTTCGTTGAAGAAAGCTGATTTTCATTCTATTGAAAGAAACAGTCCAGCAAAGATTGAGGAGCGGTACAATTGGGTTTGTAAGTGGGAAAATGCAGACATGAACTTCTTGACGAGTCTGCTTTTAATATCAATATGAAACGATCAAAAGCATGGTATACAAAAGGTACTCATACTATTGTTACTCGACCAACAACGAGAGCAAGCATGACGCCTATATTGGATGCTACCTCTGCTACAGGTTTGATTGCAGTTGGCGTAAAAAAAAACCGAAGCCTGCAAAGAAGAAAAAGACTGATGAATATATTAGCTCAGGAATAGTAATAGGTCACTATATTAGCTTCTTAAAAATGACTTTCGATGAAATGGGCAAATATCCACACATGAAACGCCATTATATAGTCATGGATAATGCACCCATTCACACGCATGAAAACATAAAAAGGTATATTGAGTATCAAGGACACCAATGTGTGCACCTTCCTACTTACTCTCCTGAGCCTAACCCAATAAAACAGTTCTGGACAGTAGCAAAGAGTAAGGTTAAGCGTCATAGGCTTTTGCAGGAAGATACTTTATCAAAAAGAATTACAGGGGCCTGCAACAGTGCGCAGAAAAGTCACTTCAAAGGTTTTGTTACGCATTCTTACAAATGCTGGGGAAAATATTTTCAAATTAATGTCGATGAAGGTGGAGTGTCCATATAGAGAATACAGAAAAACTTATAGACATTGGCTACAAGCTATTACCTTTGTTTGATGATGTGCTAGATTTTTTTTGTGGTAGTTAACTTTCAGGCTGTTGTAGTTGAAATACTTTGCGAAGTGGTCACGAGCTCTTCCAGTATCAAAGCACATCAGCCAATTCATTCGGCCAGGGTTGCCTTTCTTGAACTTTTCCATGAGCTCTCAATCATCGGTTCTGGAGGACAATCGATTTAACACGGTTATCTCAGCCTCTTCTGGACCTTCCAACGGCGTCACACTACCGCAGAAATATAAATCGTTAGATGAGATTGCAAAAAGGTAGGTTCTGTTAATGTCAAAATGTTTTTCCTAGAGTTAACTGTCGTCAGTAGCGATATCCTCGTATTTTCTTTTCAGATGAGCGCAATACGCCTGGCCATTCTTGGCATACTTAGCAGCACACTTTGGATCGGTTAGTATACAGCTTGTGACCTTCACAAATTGATTCTCCAGGATACCACAGATGGATCGAAATGCAGATAACTTGCTCTTACTTGATTTCTCGTACGTTTCACTGTCAACAACGCTTTTCATTGCTGTTTGGTATAGTTGAATGGCCATCGGATCGTTCATAGTACAGATTGTCAGAATGCTTCTTTCTCCAGATGTAAAGAAGTTGGCAAAAGCAGGGATGGGAAGCAGGTTGTCCTTATTCTACTTGAATACTATCATATGTTGCAAGAATTACATCCTTGGGAAAGCGATCGCTGAATGTTTGTAAACAATATGGAAACTGAGGATGGGTGATGAACTTGGATGCTAGGGATTTTGATGCAAAAAATCAGCAAATCGGATATTCGTTACGGCAAACACTTGGTGCACTCAAAAATGCACTCAAAAATAAACTAATACCTCTACCCATTACCTATGATGTCGCCCAGCAAAGCTTTTCAATGTGTAGCGTCAAGCTACACATGAGTTTATAAAGTCGCAACTAAGGTTGTCTCTTTTCAAGAAGAAGAAAGAAATAAAATAGAAATGTTGTTATTTTTAATTTTATGTTGTCAGTTTCTCAACAAAGATGCAAGAATACGTGTAATTATGATGCATTCAAATTTATATCAGAGAGAGTAAATTGGGCAGCCTTAGGTTAAGCAGAGACTTTGGTAGCATGAAGTTGTAAAGCAACGTCACATGTAGTGCTCCAAGGAAGCGCTCGTAGCATTAGCTTGTTTTTGAGTACATCAAGCGTTTGCCTTAGTAACCAGCATAATATATGTATAAATAATGTCAGCGACGACATTAATATAATTAGCAGCCATATATTCTCTACACAAACTTAATTTAATGGTATTCAGCTCTTCTTAATAAAAAATCTACTTCGCAAGCCATCGACTTAATGGCTTTTTTAAATTACAATTAAAGCTGAATACAACAACCAGTACCACGTCCTTTTTTTCAGCCTAAGCCTCTCTCCACTGATGTTATAAACCTTGAAGCCACTCCTACGGTGGACTCGTCGGAAAGGGATTCGGATATCCGGCTACTTGGACGACCTGATCATCATGGCCAAGTCAAAAAAACAATCTCTAGCGCATACGGAACAAAGTCTCAGTTTCCAGTTGTATTGTGACATATTAGACGAGTTCGGTAATCGAGAAGCACAGGATCAAAATGAAAATTTTGTTTGTACGAAATTTTCATATTTTCGAAAAAGTCGATATAAAAAGTAGCCCTGATGTTCTCTCAAAAACAAAATAAATAGCCTTGTTTCTTGCTTCTCCTTGTCAAGGTCATTCTGAAATCGATCAATCAATTGAATCAAACCTCCTTTTTTTTTTTCTTTTATTTTTATATTCATACAATAAGCAGGCCTTGACTTTTGTTACAAAAGTTCCTGCTCTTATTCTTTTATCTTTATACCGTTACGAACTTAACAGCTGATCTTTTAATAAGATATGGTGGTCACTATACTACTCAAGCTCTTGCCTTATAACAAAGCTACCTAACTCACTCTAACGAAATCAGAAAAATTACAGTATAAATTTCACCACTATTCTAAGCGTGGATTATAATTACTGAGGACATGATTGACTAACGGCTTTTGAGTTCATAAAGACAGCTTTTAATTCGTCCCTGGCGCTGATCTTGTTGTCCATTTCATGATCTGGGTTATGATACTGCTTTTACCATAAGAAGGATTTATCTTTTAAAGAAGTGTATCCTTTTACATAAAGAAGTAATGATTCTTTTTTGATCGCCAAGAAATCACTGTGACGCGACATCATTTTCAAAAGCACACGGCATGGTTTCTAAAAATACGGCTTCCATTTCTGAAAACGCGAAATTAATTTTGAACAACCAACGACATCAACTTTGACTGACTGCGATATTGCTTGCTGGAAGCACCGTACTTTCTTTTTTTTTTTTTAAAAAAAAGGAAATTTGTCAAGGATTCTCTAGGGTCAGAAATGCAGAACAATATGTATAGAAAGTATGTTTGAAAAGAACAAAGACAATAACTGCAAACACAGGGTGATATTGTTGATCATTTAGCATCTATGGCAACGTTATTTCTCAGGGTATTCTCCCCCTATTCTTTATAGAAAGATCCTGTATCATACGGAAAATATGGTGCTTGAGAGATCTATTTTTGTTGAGGATGCTTTTATTCGTTTTAGTTCTTTGAAATCGCAGGACGATAATACATCGTTGTAACGTACTATGACAAATGAACAATAAGCACAGGTTTATCACTTTCATTCTACTTACATACCTTTTTACGATATCGCGTTGTTGTTGCCAAAGCCATGACATTATCTTTGATAGAACATGCATATAAATGATTTAAGGTGACATGGTTTGGTTCATGCAGCACTGAATTGTCTTCTTCGCTCACTGTTTGTGAGTTCAACAACACTTTATCAAGATGAGGAGGTAATATCGGTGGCTGCGGCTGTTTCTTTTCCCAGTCTGCACTAGGCTTTCTCTGTCCATCACTCTCGGCTGATTCAGATAACATCAGTAGCTCTGGTGGGATGGTATTCGTGTACTCTTCATCTATTGATTCTGTAGATGATACTATATCCTCTTCTCCTTCGCCCAGTCTTTCCTCCTCCTCTTCGTCCATAACCTGTAGGTAGTTGACCAAATTTCCATCTGGATCTGTTGCTGTCTCCAAGTCATTCGAACATTTCCACTCGTCATCGACAATAAATTTAAGTCGATGAGTGCCGGGCGGTAATTCCAATACGGCACTGAAATCATGCGTGCTAAAGAAAAGAGAAAGAGTTAGGATATAAGCATATATAAATCAACATGTCATCTTGCCTCTTCACTAGCTTGATCTTGTGTTTCCATCCATTAAAGGTCCCTGTAACATAAACATTATTTCCTCCTTGAGTCCAAGTGATAATAGTGGGGACACCTATCAGATATGCAGAGTATAAGAACCCCGTAAAATGGGGCATTATATAATTAAAAAAACTGGTGTTTACCTTGGGCTTTTGTTGGCACTGTTGCCGTTGTTGCCGTTGTTGTTGCTGTTGTTGGGGTAATGGGTTCCTCATCGTTTTCTGAGTCACGAGTAATACTCATACCACGAGCGCGATAGTATGGACCACTGATAGATGCACGATGTTGATGAGACGATGTCGAAGAAGATAACGAGTTAAACCACGGACTGGCTCCACCTGTAGCGCTTGACACCCAGCCTGATTTACCTGTGGCCACAGGAACAGCCTTGGTTGTCTCTTTTGGTTCTTGCTTGACTTCGGTCACTTCAATTGGATGAATCTCAGGTGGAGGCTCTGTTACTGATAGCTGTGGGTACTCTGTCTGACATGTATTATTATTATTATTATTATTGCTATGAGCTGTTATGGTTGGAAAGTCAGAGCTAACAGAAGTAGAGTTGCTATTGTTTCTGCTTCTTCTCTGTTGAACATTAGATTCAGTTGAATTTGTGTTTCCCATTTTAAAGACAAAAAAAAAAAAAAAAGAATAAAAAAAAGAGCAAAATTGACTCAGGTTTATGCATACACAAAAAAGATTGATTTATTACGTCTAGTTTCCTTTAAACTGTTGCTCTTTATATTGATCCTGCCATCTGTGCTGTTCTGCAATGCTGTGAACCTTGAATCCAAAGATGCGAGGAACATATCTCTCGGAGCTCTTGCTTGGCAAATAGTTGGGATAGACTTGAAATAACATATGAGGGAAGGATGTACCAAAGTAAGCACCATCAATAGCTGCATGTCGAGATGATTTTGGATTGTAAATATCTTCACATCGAGGACAGTAAAGCTTAACTGTCTTTGTCATTGGAATATCAGATAGTCCCACAGGTAATAATGACTGCATGTTACAAAGTACTCGAGGGCAACGACCAAATTCTGCCCGTTTGTATTTATCAAGCTATTATAAAGTAAAGGATATGTTTATTAGATGAACAACAATTATATACTTAATTTACCATCTTGAATAAGCCTCTGTTCGTAATGAGAAATCTGGCATGAATGAGGCCAAATAAATGACGAGCTGTCTTTTCAATCTCTTCTCTTACTTTCTCATCCACACTTTCCTCGTCTATAGAAACAAATACAGCATATATATACATATTTATATATATTTGAATAGCAAGATTTCATTAAAGTATACCAAAATTGTCTGTGATCATATTAAGTGCTTCTGTATAATACTGGGGCACCTCAGCACTTAATCCAGTCAAGTTGAATCTGTCCAAAATGTATTCTTCATCCACTTCACAAAAGTATTCATTGCCCTTTGTATCCAAAAACCAGTCTATCCAATACTTTGCATATTCACTTTCTGAACCACTGCTGCTGGCCATTGTTACTATTATTTATTATAGAGAAAGAGAGAGAGAAAAAATAGGGGACGAAAAAGGATTTTATTTCAATTCACGTGCCGATGATTACATGAGGATTTGGCTGTGGTAGGATGACTTGAGTTCTTTGTGAGGCAAGACGATACAGTTACGAATAATCGTTTCGTCATGAACAGAGACCTCTTTGCCTATGTGAATTAACCGTCAGTATGAGGCAGTGGATTCGACAACAACAACAAAAACTAACCTAAAATAGTAATACTCTGTGCCTTCACACCATTCTTCATCATTTCATCGTTATCGTCATTGACAGCCGTACCTTCCACACGAGCCCAGGCACCAATTCGACTGCTCCAACCAATGACTGAATGAAGAATACAACTGGCATGCTATATATATAGTCAGTATCTATGTAAATTGAAAGAACTAATTTCTTACATCGACTGTGACGTTATCGAGGATGATCGAATCCTTCACTCGAACACCTTTACCAAGGACAACACGAGGACCAATGGAAACATTGGGTCCAATCTATAGAAATATCATTTCTACGAGCTCAACATAACAAAAAAAATTACCTTGGCTGTGGGATCGACTTGAGCTGAAGGATGAATGTAGACAGCACCCTTGATCTCTGGTCCTTCAGGCTTATTCTGAGCTAATCGATCGGACTGTTGACTCTGTTGTAATTCAAGATAAGCAGCATTAGCCGAGATAGCAGATCCAGCTGTCTTGATCTGCTTCCAGAAACCATGTGTCAGGTGAGCATATAACCTTTTAGCTTCTGCCAAGGGACGGAGCAAGTCTCTCTCAAGACTAAGCTTACCATCACTTGTCGAAGAATAAAAGGTGTCATCGATCGTCTCCCTCTCCTTCTTGGCATCAATAGCCTTTTTGATCTCTTGAAAGACAGCAACATCAAAGAGATAGACACCACAAGAGATCAAGTCTGAGATATACGTGTCTGGCTTTTCAACATAGTGAAGGACCTGGTTTGATTCTGGATCGGCAATCAAACAACCATACTTGGTTGCTCTGTCGCGAGGTACTTTTGTACTGAGCATCGTGCAAAGACCACGATGTTTCATGTGTGTTTCCATCATGTCGTTCAAAGGAAAATCGCAGGCAATATCGACGTGCATCACAAAGAATTGTTGAGGATTGCCACGTATGACTTCATCACGGAAATGATAGATTCCACCAGCTGTTCCTAAAGCTTGATATTCACGAAGATATCTATATTAAAAGGTTAGAATGATGACAAGATTATATAGATTAAACTTGACTTGATGTGAAGATGAGGGAATTCTTGGGAAGCTTGTTCGATGAATTGGGAAAACACGGAATCTTCAAAGAAACCAATGATCAACACTTCTTTCAGTTCTTTTACTTTAGAAAGAGCAGACAAGTGGTGATAAACAAGAGGTGCTCCAGCCACAGGAAATAAGGGCTTAGGTACATCAAGCGATAAGGGTCTAAAACGCGTCCCTCTTGAAGGACCACCAACGAGAATAACTGCTTTAAACATGAAAGAAATATAAAAGAAATCACCCTACAGACACACGCAGCACATGGATGGACATATAAGGAAGGTTACATTGAAATACGAGTAGTTTGGCCATTTTCTGGTCAAATTTTACATCTTATCTCTTTCTTCTTAAAAGAAAAATTCTTATCCTACATCAAGGAACATGGAAAGATGTCTGTTCCTGAACAAGCTTAACGTGATGCTACACATTGAAAAGGTTTGTTGACGACATCACAGGTAGTGTTTGTATCATTAGTCTTGTGGATTTCCTCGTGCGCGTAGTATACACCATATTAAAAGGCAAACACTGGTGCACTCAAAAGTAGGTTAATACTACGGTCGCTTCCTTAGGGCACTACATGTGACGTTGCTTTACAACTTCATGCTACCAAAGTCTCTGCTTAACCTAAGGCTGCCCAATTTACTCTCTCTGATATAAATTTGAATGCATCATAATTACACGTATTCTTGCATCTTTGTTGAGAAACTGACAACATAAAATTAAAAATAACAACATTTCTATTTTATTTCTTTCTTCTTCTTGAAAAGAGACAACCTTAGTTGCGACTTTATAAACTCATGTGTAGCTTGACGCTACACATTGAAAAGCTTTGCTGGGCGACATCATAGGTAATGGGTAGAGGTATTAGTTTATTTTTGAGTGCATTTTTGAGTATTAAAGCTTTTTGAAAATTCTAGGCAAATATATTCACCTGTGGTCTCTCCAAATGCTAACAGAAGATGTTCAAATTCTTGAACATTTGTATCACACGGAAATACCAAGAAGCACCAGCGACATCGAAAAGATGTTGGATCTTGGAAACTTTGTGTGGAAGCTTGCTGTAAGCCGAAAACATTTTGTATATAATAATCAGTAGCTAACATAGCTATTTTACAGGAGTGCATGAAAAAAAACCTGCACAGCTATAACCAAAATGAAGAAAGAGCACAAGGATTACCTTGTTTCTCGTCAATTGAATCCAAAAGTCCGTAAAGGGCAGTGGATACAGGGTAATTTTGCTCCAACAAGTTGACAATTGCGAGACAAAAAAAACTGTTCAATTATAAAAACTAAATGCTATATTATAAATACTTGTTTTTATTGTCTGATATAAAGAAGTTAAGAAATTGTAATAAACAACATAAACATAAACACGTGTCTGGTTATTATAAAAAAAAATTATGAAAGCCTATCTACAATATGAAAAAAAAAAAAGGTCTCTGTGGTTAATGTTTAAAGTCTTTCTAAAAATACATGATTGAGACATGAAATGTATGAAATATATAAGAGAGAGTGATTTAAGCTCAAAGGATATAATGTTAAATAAGATGAAAAAGATCACTTGGCTTATTTTTTTTAAGAAGTAGGTAAATAAAGGTACATGAACGGTAATGGACAAGATTATTGACAATAATGCATAAAAAGTAAAGGAGTTCACTGGGCCATTTTGCCAAATGGAGTCACTAACGCGAAAGTTGGGTAATATGCGCGAAACTGTACCCTTTTTTTCTGACTATTTATTTCTTTTGGCTGGGGATCCCTATTATGATGGTTGTCGTACATGGCCGTCAACCAGAAAAGATCCCTTTGAAAACCTCCACCCAAAACAGCAGTCAAATGTTGACTACAGCTCACGTACCTATCTATCTCTTTCCACCCTCTCTATGGCGCCTCATACATGCTCGCTTCCCAGCTTTCTGACAAGATATATAAAGAAACAAAGCCTTAATGCGTGCGTTTCATTGATACTTCAATAGTTAGTGATATATTTTCTCTTTCTATTTTTTTTGCTTGTCAAGCAAAAAGGTAATGTCGGTGACCAGAAAGAGTTTAGTGTACTAAGGGGAGGCATCAGCGTTATTGCTTTCTTGTTTGCAATGTATTTCAGCTATGTAAATGATATTCTTCAGGCGCGGCAGATTGGTCAAGTATGCAGGCATCTCTGAGACAGACATAGGGAATTGCACGCGCAACAATTATGCCATGGTGTATACCATCAGGTTTCAGCTTGATCAAATAAAAAACGATGAAAGGTGCTAGAAAATAGAATACATTCAGCTTTTTTTTTTTTGGGCATATGCTCACAAACCTATCGACAATGTGAATACTGATATTACCACCAAGATGATTGTCATCAATGACACTATTGCCGAAGAACGCAAGGCGAACCAGGTCCCAGTTCACCAAGTCATGGCTGCTTGCCACAGTATTTTTTTCACTTCATCGTAGCCAATATTGATGCCGTCATCTGTTTGATAGGGGAAGCGCGTGATGATGCAATCTGGGCATCCGTTGAAGTTAGGCGATCGCTTGCACTTTTCAGCAAGCTTAGTGGCCGTGAAATCGAGTCGGATGTTTAGGCCGTCGTTGTCAAACAGAGGCTGCAGTAAGGGAACAATATATCTGATGATCAGTATAGCCTCTGAGATATCAATATTAATGGAGTCCATGGAAAGAGACTGGAGAAGCTGCGAAGCCGATACGCGATCAGGTGTTTGTTGATCTTGTCATCCATGGAGATTTAAATCAAACACGAGAGTCCAGATTCATTTATACTACAATAGCTATATCTCTTCTCTGTATTTTTTACTTTCATGGGTACAGTTTCATATTGCTGAATTCAAGCACCATGCAAACCATGAACAGAAGTGGTATTTATCCTTATAGATCATTCAGGTATTCTCTTTTTTCTTTGACACAAAGGAAGAGAACTGAGCTCTTTTGGTATCTGTAGTATATTCCTTCAATGCTAAGAGAGAGTAGTCTGAGCATGCGTTCCTCTTTAAAGCGGTTTCTTACCATTCATTCCAGAGGAATCCATGTTGAAAAGAAAAGGAGATTTGCAAAAAGAATATCTCACCTCTTTTTTGTTTGAAGTGTTCCAGTGAGTGAAATTTGTTGAAAATATCCGGCCATGAAATGCGCTTGTAGTAGCCACGCGAGGTTCAGTCCTTGGCACCCTTAAGTGAAAGCGATTGGGCCCTAGAATTGCTATGCATATTGGTTTCCGTGTGTGTAGGCCATCATGGATAGCGTACCTTATCTACACTGGTTCTGGATAATCACAGTCAAGGCAAACAGAAGAGATCTATGGTTGCTCAACGGCCATTCAACATCTTTGGCAAGGTCCAACATTCAAGTGCCTGATGACTCTTGATAAGCAACCTTACAATCTCGTTAAAAATAAAAATTGAAATTGCTCTGGAGCCTGCCCTTGCGATAGAACCCTCTTTCTCTTTTTTATCACCTCAAGTAAATCGCCCGTACTCCTAACAACTTCTTCTTAACCGTAATTTATGCGTTGCTGGCCGTTATATAAAAATACACATCACTGATATAATAATCAAAGTACACTATTTCCAGAAAGTAATATCGTTAAAAGATGTCATATTTTGTATATTTTGTATTATAAACATTCGAATTATGCGACAGTACTTGTAGAAAAAACTGCACTGGGCAAGTTAGTTTCAAACATTTGACAAAGTTAGTCTCGTCCTTTTGGGTAACTTAACCTCACACAAGTGTCCAAAATAATTCAAAAAAGTGGGCGGACTTTTCAAAAATTCAGTATATTGAGAGTGGAAGCACAGTAACTTATTTTTCTTTATTTTATTGTTTCCCTCTCTTTTCTCTCTTTCTTTTTCTTCTTCTTCTTCTCTTTCTTTAATGGCTACTTCAGAAAGAATTTCACAAATTTTACCAACAGTAAAATGTTCAGATTGTGGAAAAGACGTAGAGATTCGTCGACTAGGAGATCATCTCTGTTCGAGTCAACCACCCATTCCTGCACTTCCTATTTTAAAAGGTATTTTCATGTGCTTACAAAAACAGAAAAGACTGAACGATTGTAGATAAATACAAAATGAATCAGGCCAATCTAAATAATAATAATAAACGACCAGATTTGCCAAGTCCACCTACACCACCTTTGATGAAGAATATGTATGAAAAGAACCATAGTTTTGAAGACTTTTATAGTAAACCAAAGAATCCATTAAGTCCTCCATTTCGGTAATTATGAGAATATTGGGTAAATGATTTGATATGAACAACTTTTTCTTTTTTATATATATTTATAGTCAAAATGAATCAAGCTTTGATCTTCGTTACGGTAAGCATATAAAAAAATCAAGGGGAAAAAAAATTTATTGATGCATATATATACTTTCCTTTAGGAGGACCAAGGAAACAATCACTTGGAAACATTTATCAACAACCACCCTATTCTCAATCAACACCCGCCAATATGAGCAATAATGGAGGTGGGGGTGGTGCATTAGATAATCTTATGGCAGATCTGATGAATTCTATGAATGATGACCTTCATCTAGGCACAATGCCTACAAATATTAATAATAATAGTTGTGGTGTGTGTGGGGAAGAATTTGATTATAGAGACGATGTAAAGACAGTGGATAACAAGGTAAAGTTTGATGAAAAACTTTAAAGCTAAAATTATTAAATATTACCAGTGTTACCACAAAGCATGCTTTACTTGCCGCTTGTGTTGCCAACCATTTGATCAGCGTCGTACACACTATGAGCATGAAGGAAAGTTGTACTGTGAAAGAGACTATCACGTTGTGAAGAATAGGATGACTTGCGCTACATGGTAAAACAAGTGACCATGACAACTTCTTCGTTGACTAATTCATTGTGTGTCTAGTGAAAAAGTGATTCCACCTCATATACCACCTATTAAAGCATTAGGCAAATTTTATCACCCAGGACATATCAAATGTTATCACTGTTATGATCCCATCGACGAACGAACGGGATGGAAAGAGTATCAGGGTCGACTGTACTGTAGATCCGACTTTAAATCCTTATTTTTACCCAAATGCAGGGCATGCAACCGACCTGTTGAAAAGGAGGCAGTGTCTGCAATGGATGGCAAATTAAAAGGCAAGTGGCATTTAGAGTGCTTTGGTTGTCATGTAAGTTTAAACGAATCATTCAATTCATTCGCTTATGTTTTCTTGATAGACGTGTCATCGTCCGTTCCCAGATAATACCTTTTATGTCTTTGAGGACTCACCTTATTGTAAAAGACATTACCATCAATTAAACAATTCCTTGTGTAGAACGTGTGATGAACCCATAGAAGGACCATGTGCACAGACAATTGAAGGTTGGCGATTCCATCCTTCTTGTTTTGGTTGCAGTGTAGGACAAAAAAAGTTTAAGGTTGATCTTATTTCTTATGCTCTATATATAGGTTTGTCACTATCCCATTACAGATATTTATTACATGTTTGAAAGAAGAATCTATTGTGAGACACATATCAGACAATTACAGATGCAACGCAATGTACGAGCAGAAAAGCGCAAGACACAATTTGGAAGGATTTAACTTTATTTAAACACCTTTGTGGTCAAATGCGAACCACCAAATTAAAATACCAGCTACAATAAGTAAAATAATAAAAATAACAAAACACATCCATTTTTTCTATTTTTATAATTGTTTAAAATGTGTATATTGTAGATTTCCTTAAATGACTTACTGCACGTGTACTTTTGGCACTAACAATGGCTTTATCAATATCTTTATTACCTTGCTCTAAATCAACGAGTGTATTCTCTGCATGTGTTTCGATCTGTTGAAGTGTTTCTCCTTGTTGTTCTACCATCATTTGCATATCAACAAATAGTTGATGTAGCTCAAGTATTGTCTTTTCAATCTTTTTTATATCATCGTGTCTGGATTGAACTTCGGACAAGACAGCTCTTGCTTGTCCTGATCGATTTGCTTGCATCAACTATAATAACAGATGAGTATAGATTAAGATTGACAAAATGGATGCTTACAGATTGTGCAAATATCTGAGGTGGTTCATCTGATTCCAATACACGATCGATATCATCTGAGGTAGCATTCGGTTGAACGATCTTGATCTGTCGTTCTACTCTCTGTCGATATCTCTGTTGGTATGTTCTTTCTATGTCTTGATATCTTTGGATTGTTTCAATAAACTTCTTTTTTAGTGCTGCATGCTGGGTTTTACGCATAGGTAAATCCCCAGAATGAACGGGCATACGGGCATTACTCAGTTCAATAGCTATATAAAATATGAGTCTATTTGATAACAAACCTTTCATTTCAATATATTACCTTTGATCTTGTTTTTACACTCGTTATTTAGTTGAGTGGTCTGCTTGACAATCTTTTCTAGTCTATATGAATTCTCGGCTGCCTGCTCGTCCGTAATATTGGTCAGTGCTGACCCATGTAGCTCTTCAATGGTGGAAATATTGCTCAGGATCTTTTTATTCAACTCTTTCACTTCTTCAACCTATAATCCAATGATTAAAATTATCCTTTATATCTATTGAATAACTTACGGCTTGAAAGAATTGATCAGTAGAGTGAAGTGCACTATCAGATGGAACTCTTTGACTCATTTCATATTGTTCTTTACTCTCTGGAGCATGCCTGTCTCCTCTTGATCCGTGATGGTATGTGGGTGAAGGTGAAGCAGGAGGACGATAGCCAGTATCATGTCTACCTGTTGGCATAGGAGGTACAGGTTCATCATCATCACTTTTTTTCATATACAACATTAACTTTTTTGATTTATGTGCGTATGTATGCGTTTTACCTAAGGCGACTGCACATACACAAGATAACGTTAGCAATCAATCAATCAACCTTATCTTTACTTACTCGTATTTCTTTTCGTTACTGTTTGCGCCCTAATAGAAAATATAAATTATTTCAAATATAAATTCACTTGCTATAATATTACCCGTAGCTCAGCTAGACGATCTCTGCTCATGGTGAATCTTGAAGCCATGTTTAAAGAAAGGAATGGGTGATTAAGAAAAAAAAAAAAAAAAGAATGAATGAAGAAAGAAGATGTTGTGAAAAAAGAATAGATTTTTTATTGTTTTTTGTAAAAAGACAAAATGGTTGCACAATTCAAATTAAAAATAAATCTCCTTATGGCTCGGTTTTCTTCTTCTTCTTCTCCTCGATCTTGTCAATATTCTCTTCAGGTACCTATCAATCATCTCAGTTGACTGTTTTTGAATAGAATCAACTTACATTGGGCCAATGGGTCAAGATGATATTGTAGATGTCATCACTAAAGTCCCCCTGAACTACAATTTCATCTTGACCTTGGTTATTCTTTGCAACGGAAGAACCACAGGCAAATCGATTGGCAAACATCTTGGCTGCCTTTTTCAAATCAACTCCAAAAATATCCAAGCCGTGAATCGTAGTGACACACTTTCTCTTGTTTCTTTCGTTACGTTTGATCAAAACACGTGATGCCTTTTTATCTTTGCATTAAAACTCTGAAAAGATGAAAAACTCCTCTCTATATTTACCATCTTCTTTTTGATCTCACGTTCCAGTTTAGCTTCAAGTTTAGCTGATTTATCCTTGACAATCGTTCGAGTATCCTTTCCATTACTTTCTTCCTCTAAACTTGTATTTTCCATACCTTCTGTTATACCTTGAAAATTTCTTTAATAATGACGTTTTTAATCATATCCATTTTATAAAGTTCACCTTTGATACCATAGACCTCGTTGTACTTGTCTTCGTCATGCTCCCTTAACCATAACTTGCACTTTTCTTGTGTTCCACTGAATTCACAATACTACACAAATTAGCTTCCACACTTTTCTTTCTTTTTTTCATTTACTTCTAAAGGCATAGTACAAACTGACATGGATACAACATTAGTAATTGTTATATATACACACACGATTATTCTAAACTACTTACTGCCACATAAATAAACTTTGCGTGGCTCGACTGTCATTTTTGATTATAAAAGAAATAAAAAAAAGAAAGGAAATGCCAGTAGGCAAGTTACAACTATCAACCTGACTTTGCGCGCATTTTTTATAGAGTACTACAGCCAATGAAAATTCATTAAACAGTCGCACTTGAATGGCTTAGATCAGATAGAATTTACTCATTTAATATCATCTTATTGTTTGTTATTATAAAAAAGAAAGGAGGAGTAATAAATGCAAGGGGAAAGATAATGCTGACAACAATAGAGCCTATCCCCCTGTATATTTGCATTATCTCCTTTCTTTTTTTTTTGGTGTATGTGTTGTCTAATACTCAAGGTAGTATGATTTTTTCCTATTTCATATTACAGCAATATTATATTATCGAAAGAAATATATAGTAAACAGCACCTCCTTCTTTTTTGCTCTACTCGAAACTCGAATTGCATACTTGCTTTTCCTAGCAACGATTGCTTTAATGGGATCAAGGAAGTGGCAAGTGATTGGATATCCGATCAGGAACTGTGACCGTTTATACCCTCTCATATATACACAATCTTTATCATTCTTTTTTTTATTCTCTTTAGATCAAAACATGCCCAAGTTAACAGCCAAAGCAGCCAAAAAGACAGAAACAAAAGATGAGATGAGAGCCTTTGGTCCTCTCTTTAACAAGGATCTCGGTCAGCACATTTTGAAGAATCCTCTTGTTGCGCAAGGTATTGTTGATAAGGTAAAATGTCAAATAATCATATGAGAGAAAACGATCTAATCTATTATTCTCTTTTGTAGGCCAACCTTATCAATTCAGATACAGTATTAGAAATCGGCCCAGGTACTGGTAACTTGACAGTCAGAATTCTTGCAGCAAGTAAAAAAGTATATGCAGTCGAAATGGATCCTCGTCTTGCTGCTGAATTACAGAAACGTGTGAACGGAACGTAAGTTGTATATATATATATATATAAAGAAACATGTGAAAATAAACTGATGTATATAAAATAGGCCAGAACAAAAGAAGCTTCATATCATGCTTGGTGATTTCATGAAGGTTGATCTACCTTATTTTGATGTCTGCATCAGTAATACGCCATATCAGATTTCATCCGTGCTAGTGTTCAAGTTGTTGGAACATCGACCTTTATTTCGAGTAGCCATTCTAATGTTTCAAAGAGAATTTGCTCTTCGACTTGTAGCCAAACCAGGAGATGAATTATACTGTCGTCTTTCAGTCAATGTGCAGTTGTTGGCCAAAGTAGATCATGTGATGAAAGTTGGCAAGAATAACTTTAGACCACCACCTAAGGTAGAATCCTCTGTTGTTCGATTGGAACCCAAGAACCCACCACCACCTGTGAACTTTAAGGAGTTTGATGGTTTATTGCGTATCTTGTTTACGAGAAAGCACAAGATCTTTTCTGCCAATTTCAAACAGACGACTGTACTCCACATGTTGGAAGAAAACTACAAGACATATTGCTCTGCTCATGGATTGGTAAGTAAAATATAAAGACTGAGATATGATGACTGACAGGTGAATTAGATGGTGGAAGCAGACTTTGATATCAAGGCAACAGTGATGCAAGTACTTGAATCTACAGGAATGGCAGATAAACGTGCAGCCAAATGTGATTTAGATGATTTCCTTAACCTTTTACTTGCATTTAATAATGCCAATATCCATTTCTCATAACAAAAGGGCCATTCATCACTATAAATATTCCTTTTTTGTAAATAAAAATTTTTTTGTTCTTTTTTACACTCTTTTTTATATAATGTCAATAACAGCAAATGATGCTTATGATGCTCAACCTTTTATGGAGTTAACAGCAGAATGGAATAAAGATCCTAATGCCTACTTGAAACGATATTATACCCTTTATTATAAAAAAGAAGATAATCTATATGTGCGACAGGCACCCAACAAGATTTGTGTATTGGGATTATTAGAAGCATCAGCAGACAACATCAAATCCATCAAGTTCAATACAGATCTTATTGGACAAAACATAAAAAAGAACACAGTGTTGTGTGAACTGACAGGAAGTGATGATCAAACGAGATCAGTACATGCATTTATGGAGGGTAAATTATTAGAATTCAATACAGCCTTGACAGACAATCTCGACTTATTATTCAATCGATCACTTGATTATGGATTCCTTGCTGTGATTATGCCAAAACATGAAAACTCAAGTATTCAACTTAAAGAGTACCAAACTGATGTATAAATAATAAAATCAAACTACCAAAATCTGGAACCTACTTCAATTTTCACTATCCGCGCGCACACGCTTATGTGTGTGTGTGCAATGTTTGGAAATATACTAAAAAGGGTTATTATTACAAGTGATCATTCATTGTTTTCATTTTCTCTTTTTTTTTTTTCCTTTTTTTTTCTTATGGGACAAGCAACTTCATCTAAAACAATATCCTTTTTCACAAAACGATCTGATTCAGTATACGAAGACATATCCAACAGATTCACCAAGGCAACCGTATCCACATTAGCTGTACCTGTAGTTATTGTGGCCTATCCTATTCTTAACGCATACACATTTCAAGAATCAGATATCACCGGGTTTCGTATCATCGATGGTACTATCGGTGGACTATTAGGCGTTATTGCATGTACGTCCCCCAAAACATAGATGACAACAAAGAGACTCATTTTTGTAGGGCCGCTTGCTCCTTTCTTTGCGGTCTGGGGAGCTGTGACATTTATCTTTAAAGAGAAACCACCAAGGACGATAAACGTGCCACCAGAGATTAGAGCAAAGGCAGAAGCCGAGATTCAACTGGATACAGTGTCTTTTTATAATGTGGCTGTCGTGGGTATGTCTGGAACTGGCAAGAGTTCACTTGTTAATGCCATACGTGGATATAAAGATACGGATAAACGAGCAGCCAAGGTAGGAGAGGTCGAGACGACAGCAGTGCCACGACCCTATCCTCATCCGGATTTGACAACCATGGTCATCTGGGATATGCCGGGTGTAGGCACCAAGAGTCATCCGAGAGAGACGTACTTTGATGACAACTATCTATGTGCCTTTGATCTGTTGGTAATCGTGTTAGGAAACAGGTAAATTAGGTTGTTATGTATGAAAAGTGACCTATATCAACTCTATGTAGACTCATGCAGGATGATATTGATATTTCACTAAAAGCCAAACAATACAAGATCCCTGTACTGTACGTACGCAGTAAAGCTGATCAGGTACATATAACAATAATAAATTGTCGTCTAATAACCAATGATAGGCAATTGCAAGTAAAGAGGCTAGACATCAAGGTGATAAAGAATTTGTATGGGCAGCAGCGGTTGGAGAACTCGTGTTGGAAGTAAAAGATTCGGTGTTTAGCCAACTAAAGGAAAGTCGACTGAATACCAAGAAATTGTTTATTGTGTCATCGTCTACGTTACAACAGTTCGTGTCGACAATCAACAAACAAGAAAAGAGAAAAAGACTACAACTCATTGATGAAGAACGATTCATGACATCTTTAATAGAAGGAGTTTTGGCAAAAAGAAGAAAAAAATAAAAACATTATTGCCAGTGAAAGGATTCAGGTTCACGAAAGCCGTCAAAGATAGACTCGTAAGGATAAGCAACTTCGTTGTCACCATCGGGTGAGAAAACATGGTTCTGTATCTGATTGATGTTATTGTCACTTTCGAATCGAACGTTGTATTCGTCATCCTCTAGCAGCGAATTGTTATCGTCTAACTGTATGAGTGAGCTATGTTGCATTGGAGTCGAGCCGTGCATGGAGGGTTCGGGACTTGGGCCGCTGCCCATGTTGACAAAGTGAGCATCTTCAAAAGAGACAGACTTCTTTTCGTTGGCAAACAGCTTTGAGGAAGGTGAGTTGGCGCTCGTGGATAACCATTTGGTTGCAGGGCTATTGCTGATAGACTCGGAAGGAGAAAAGGAAGTCAGCATGGCCTTTGATAGGTTATCCTCTAGCTCAGCCAATGCATGTTCCATATTCTCTTCTGTAATTGTTGTTGTTGTCTTTCGTACTCTGTCTATACGACTTGAGATCGGCTCAGGCATCTCCTTGGGCATGATCAAGGTATCCACAGGTGGTATTATGCCAGTCTTAAAGTAGACTTGCACATCGGTAGTTTCATTATAAGTTTGAAAGACAAATTGACGATGGGTCCAGATAGGAGGCTCGTCGATCGGATACGTGTTAATTTCCGCATTAGACAACCATGCAAGCTCCTTATCCTTTCGTTTAGGCTCGTTATGATGTATGACTGTCTTGACTTGCTCCCAATCGTTACTTCTGGCCACCCTCCATTCTGCGACACTTTCCTTCTTTAGAGACAGGTCTAGCTTTTCCATATTTCTACCGTTCTCTCTCTTCTTAACTGCCACTTTTGTCACCCAACAGCGGAATAAGGTCAACACGCCATCAGGATGGAACGTATAGATATCTTGGTATCCAACCTCATCATTCATCATCTTGGCCGCATCATCATATTCTTCATCAAATCCAAATACGAGTGTATCCGATTGTTGTTGATGATGTTGCTGTGGTTGCTGTGGCTGATGATGATTCTGTGGTTGTTGAGGTAAATAGTATGGTATATGCTTTAGTATATTATTTGTGGATGTTTGCTGTTGCTGATGCTGTGTTGAATGATTGTCCTCGTTGTTTAAAAAGGGTAATTTACTTGAATTTACAAATAAGGTTATTAATTTAGGTCGCGATTCCTTCTGTAGACGGTTCAAGCAGGGCTGCGGCTGTGGCTGCATTGGAAGTTGCTGAGGCAAGGCAGGATGATAGCGTGGTGGTGTGGGTCCATAATAATTATTTATACAAAAGTCCTCTTGATTGACCTCTGGCATTCTTCTTCTTTGCTTAATACGTACAATCGAGTTCAATGAGGTCGTCATGGGCTTTGGTTTCATCTTTTTATGATAAATAATGCTATTATTTATCTTGCTATGTACATGTCCTGATATCTCTGGTTTCCCACCATAAGGATTAATTGCGTACACATGAGTTGTGCCTCTAGCTGTACTGATCGCACACCAATTGGAATCAATTGAGAATTGACAGTCCTCAACCTGTGCATCAGTAAAGCCTCTAGAGAGTTTATAAAGGTGTGATACGTTTCCTGTTGCTGTTGTGTTGGACAAGATCGAAAAGACGTGAAACGTATGGCCTTGCTTTGATGCTGACAGTAAGAGTGTGCCCGACTGATTGAATGTTAAACAAGAAATTGGATGCATGTGCGGTCTAAAGTGGGCAATTACTGAATTGGATAAATTCCTTGTGGGTAAACTAGGTATCTTGTTTATATCTCTAATCATAATCATTCCAGATGGAGTCGTCTTTTTTACATCCTTGTTAGATTCCCCATGTTGTTGTTGTTGGGGCTGTTGTTGTTGCTGCGGCTGTTGGTGTTGTAATGTTGGATACTGTTGTTGTTGTTGTTGTTGTTGATATTGTGATTGTTGCTGCGGCAGAATGGGTATAGGAGAGATATTGCTTCCAAAATAATTGCTTAGTCTATTGTAGCTAAACTCACCCAAAGATTTCATTCCACTCATGACTTCCTTGGCTATATCTTTAGCTGCCCCTTTAACGTCCTTGTCGACTTGCAACTTATTTGTGAATGATGTCATGACTGGATCTGAATTTAATACTGCTGTATTGGTTGCATAAGCAATAAACCTTGAACCCAGTGTGAAAATAGGGCCTGTATTCAAATCATGATAGACATCAAATAATGGGATTTTGAGTGGCTTGAAGTCTGTAGCAGATAAGAAAGAGATGAAGGACCTTTGACGAGATAGACAACCCTAACAAGAAAAGAGTTAGTGGGTTATGATGTCTGTCTTATTTCCCTATATACCAGAGCCATGATCTTGTGGTTACTTTGTATACATGTGACTAGGACTGAATCATCTTCTTGATGACTATGCTCCTTCATTGGCTCATTTATCTCCTTGACTATGGTATATGTATTTAGAGAATAAATCATAATCTTCGATCTTTTACTATTGCTGATAGTAGTTTCGGTTCTATTATCATTTACAACGTATCAGTTGGTGTTATAAAACGAACATTAGACTTACACTATGGCAATAAGTGAATCATGTCGTAAGAGATGAATAAAAGATACAGTCCCAAATGTTTCCTTATCTCTTATTGAACATATTTCATGTACGTTATCAGGATTAGTGATATCCCATAATTGAAATCCATCTTGATAGCCAAGTAGTAGACACGTTATATTTTCATTAAGTTTATCAAAGGATGCGAATGTGATTGTATCTGAGTTCTTATCCTCATCTACCACTTCTTCAACTGTCATTTCATCTATATATTGTTGTTGTTGTTGTTGTTGTTGTTGCTGTGGAGGTGGCATGTGAGGTTGTTGTTCAAATATGGGTATCATATTTGATCTTCTTTTTGACAAGTTGGAGGTGACATAAGAAGATATCTTACTTATACCACTCGAGATAGACTCTAGTGAAGTAGGATCCCTAATGTATAATGATGATTAGTTTGAATGATCAACCTGTATTTCTTTTCATTTCTATTACCGTAAAAACTTTGGCTCTGCTCGAACCCCATTATATATTGGTAATTCCATTTATTTTTTTTTCGTAACAAAAATAAAGTATAAAAAAAGGAGAAAGTAAGAAGAAAAAAAAAAAGATAAAAGAGAAAGAGTGAAATAGAGAAAAAAGAAAAGAAAAGAAAAAATCAAAAACATTGAACTGCATTAATCTCGTAATTCGGTCACAAGGTACATTCACTACACACACACCATATTTATACTCTTAAGATGGTAAGAAAAAAGGGATGAGAAGCAAAAAGTGTGTCTGCTCTTTTTCGTTTATAGAGAAGTAAAACCTCAGTGAAGTACATTTAACTCAAAAAAAGATTATAAGGTTAAGCACAACTACTTTCGAAAAACAACGATAATTTGACTATTAGCTTGCAGTGTCTTCATCATTTGTTCAACACTCAGCAGATTCATCTGATAAATGCTTGAAATGTGAGCCTACTTAAAAAAGTAATCATGTCGCTCCCCATTAATTTTAAAGAAAATTTGACCGAAGCAGCAGTTTAAATACATAATCTTTCAGTTTGATTTGTGGCTCTTGAATTAGTTCTTGATTCTATTAAACGGATGCTTAGAGCTTTGTCTAACGATTTTCTCGGCTTGTTCTCTGATAAGCATTGTTTGATAACACCTGGCATAGAAAGTATTACTGTTCCTTGTGTGTGAAATTGGAGAAGGAAAAATACAATAGGCAAATATTAAATGACCGCATCGAGTCAAATGTCGCAGATGCTAATGAGTAAATATTTAAAAGTTTCCCGATAAAGGAGGGCTTTAAATAGCTCATCGCTCTCTTTTTTATTTACCCTTTTATCTTTTTTTTTTTTCCCTTTCAAACCATGGCCACAGCAACTCACGCAAACCAATCACAAACAGATATAAGAATAATGAAGAACAAGAATAAGGATACCATGGTTGGATTTGTCATCGGTGGTCTCGCTGCCTGTGGTGCTGTTACTTTTACTAACCCTTGGGAGGTAAATAGAGCAAAGGTAGACAGAGAACTGGACATTGATGATCAACTTTAGGTAGTCAAGACAAGATTACAACTACAGGGTGAGTTAGTACGAGCGGGTGCATTGACTGAGAGTGCTAGGCCTTATCACAACAGTTTCCAGGCGCTCAAAGTTGTGCTAGAGCACGAGGGTATCCGTGGTGCACAAAGAGGATTGAGCGTAGCATACATTTATCAAATTTGTTTAAACGGTAGCCGTCTCGGCTTATATGAACCAGTATTCAACACGGTAAAGAAATCATTGGACTTGTCCTCAAATGGAAGCATACTGGCAGCTAGTGTATTTTCTGGTGCATTTGCTGGTGTTGTTGGAGCGGTGTTGGGTTCACCTCTATACCTCATAAAGACCAGAAGACAGTCATACTCGCCTGTTTTCAAAACAATTGGTTATCAGCATCAAATGGGATCATCCTGGAGTGCGCTCAGTCAGATCTACCGTGCAGAAGGTATCAAGGGTCTCTTCCGTGGCGCAGATGCTGCGATGGCAAGAGCGGGTGTGGGGTCAGCTGTTCAAATGCCTACGTATATGCTTGGCAAGGATATGCTGATCAAACGATTCGGGTTCCCTGATTCAGTCAGTACTCATTTTGCTACATCCATGTTTACAGGTGTCCTGGTCTGCTTGGCCATGAATCCATTCGACGTTATCTCCACACGAATGTATAATCAAGGTGTCGATCCAGTCACGGGTAAAGGTTTACTCTATAAGGGGCCCTCCGATTGCTTTATAAAGATTGTAAAGATTGAAGGTGTGCGTGGTCTTTACAAGGGATTCCTTGCACATTATCTGCGTATTGGGTAAGTTTAGGACGGATATCATGACTGTGTGCTTATTGTTATTACTATTAGTCCTCATACGACACTCATGTTTGTCTTTATGGAACAATTAAAGTCGATATATAATAGACATTTAGCATAAATCATAGAGCAAAAAAAAAAAAAAAAAAAAAGACATAGATTTTACAAGTGTAAAAACAGGCAGAATACCTTTATCCAATGGGAATCAATCATCATTTAATGTCATTAAAATGAGCCATGTCGGAGAGGCAATGGCGCAATTTTTATCTTTTATGAATGGATAGTTTCACTTCAATGGCGTGCTATTATAAATCCCAATTGATTTTTATTTTGTCCCTTTGCTTTACTTCTTTCCTATACTTTATCTATGCTTGCTTCAGTCGCACTCGTTGCTTCACTCGTCAAAAGCAAGGCTATTCCTACTAATAGTCCTCATCAAAAGGTAGATCTGTCTCCAGATCTTGTCAAGGCAGTAACAGCTGAACTGATCAAAGAATCCAGTGACAGTTCATCTACTGCAGAAAGTCAATCTACCATTGTGGATGAAGATCAAGCCATCTTGCTTGAATCCAGAGTGAAGGATGCACTTGAATACATCTTTTCTACTCAGAATGCTCGTTTAATCAACGCAAATCATGCTATTGGTTACGTTGCCTATGGCCTATCTGACCTTATCTTTCTCTATCCTGGCCTCACTGGTAACGACTATCTGGGTCATGAATTAAAGGAATATGGTCAAGTTCGTAATGCTCAGAACGAATTGGTCAAGCTTGTTCAAATGGACACTCGTTTTGGTGCCCTTCAAGCCGTTCAGGGTGCACTTGCTCAAGATCCTACCAAGCGCCTCACCGTCTTGACCTCCTCTAATGCTCTTCTCTCTATGGTCCCCAACTTGCATGCATTGGCTGCTCAACATCAACCTATCGTTTTCCATGTCGCTGCTCAATCTGTTGATCAAGACTTGGTCGTGAGTCCAAATGTAGATGCCGTCTTGGCTTCTGCTCGTAACACAGGTGCCATCTTACTCTCCTCTTCAAGTGCTCAAGAAGCTCATGACATGGCCATCGCTGCACACCAAATCGCTTATTCTGCTCGTTTGCCTGTCATTCACTTCTTCAATGGTGTCTCTGCCTCTAAACAGATCGAAAAGGTCAACTTGACAAGCTATACCCACCTTGCACAACTTGAAGCCATCAAGGATATCCAAGATCCTTACCAAGTTGCCAAAAAAGCCCTCGGACAGTACAAGCCCTTTGAATACGTTGGTGCTTCCGATGCCGATACCGTCTTGGTCACCTTGCGTGCATCTGCCTCTGACTCACTTCAACATGCTGTTGGCTCCAGCCTTGCCAAGGTTGGTCTCTTGAACGTTCGTCTGTTCCGTCCATGGTCTGAATCTGACTTGATTCATGCCTTGCCCAAGACCGCACGTCGCTTGGTCATTTTAGAAGAAGGTGCTGGTCTGTATGCCTTCAATGGTCCTCTCTATCAAGACGTCGCTGCCTCTATCCGATTTGGTCCTCTTGCTCATGACCAACGTCCACGTTTAGTGAGTGCTCAAGCTGCTACCTTTGACCACCTTCAGGCTGCCCACATGGTTCCTCTCGTCAAGGCTGCCGAACATGAGACCTTTATTAACCTTGCCGCCGAACCATATGTTCAATCCGATGAAGACATCATCCTTGATGGTGCCTGGAGCGCTGTCTTTTGGGATCTCGAACAAGACGGCTCTGTACCTGCTGCTGCTGCTCATCTCTCTAGCCATGGTCATGTCAAGGCTCGTACGACCCGTGACGGATACCACGTGGGCGGTCCTGTGGTCCACACGCATGTCCAAGCCGGTCCTGCCAGCAAGCATCAGTATGTGGCTATACACAACGTCTCTCTTGTCAAGGAATACGACACACTTGCCAACGCTGCCAAGAACCCTACCGTTGTCCTCCATGGTCCCTGGAAGCATGGTGATGAGCTCGAGCCTGTTTTGACAAACGAATTCAAGCTTAAGTTGACTGAGCTCAATGCTAAACTGTATACCATTGACGCTGCTCGTATCGCTCAAGACCTTGGTCTCAGCGTCAAGTCTACACACCTCGTCTGGGAAGCCGTCTATTTGATTCTTCATCAAAAGGCCAAGAACCCCGTGGAACAACTCACTCGTGTCTACAAGGAGCCTGGTGAAAAGAAGGTGGCTCTTGTCGCTCTCTTGAACGATCTGGTGAATGCCGTCACTAACGAATTGGCCGCGGTTGAACTCTTGCCTCCCTGGACGATTCTCGAAATCAACGATACGGTTCTGCCCAGTGTCCCATTGAACCGTTTGGTGGTTGAATCTGTGGAACAGCAAGACTTGAGTGGAGGTGAAGAAGAGCAGGAGGGTGAAGGTGCCGAAAGTGGCAAATGGCACAAGGCTGCATGGCAATTGATGTTTAATGAAGCTTACAAGACTGAACAGGCTATCCGTCCCGACTTGCATGAGAAGACCTATGTGATCAAGGTGATGGTCAACAAGCGATTGACGCCCACAAGCTACGATCGTAATGTTTTCCATCTCGAATTCGACACGACGGGTTCCAACTTGCGCTACGAACTGGGCGATGCTCTTGGTGTCCATGGTCATAACGACTATCAAGACGTTCAAGCCTTCTTGGACTGGTATGGTCTCGACGGAAACGACGTGATCTCGATCAAGCATCCCGAGAGCGGAAACCAAGAATCACGCACCATCTTCCAACTGTTTGCTCAGACCTTGGATATCTTTGGTCGTCCCTCCAAGAAGTTCTATGAATCCTTGGCTTCCTTTGCGACGGATCCTGCTGAACGTGAACAGCTTCTGTACCTGGTCTCACCCGAAGGTAAAGAAGACTTTAAGCAGCGTGTAGATGATACGACAACCTATGAAGACTTGCTCCGTGAGTTCAGTTCGGCCAAGCCTTCAGTGGAGGATCTTGTCCGATTAGTTGCACCTATCAAGCCTCGTCATTACTCGATTGCCTCTTCTCAAAAGATGTACAACAATGCCGTTCACTTACTTGTTGTTGCTGTTGATTGGGAAACCAAGAATGGCAAGAAACGCTATGGTCAATGTACTCGCTATTTGTCAAACTTGGCTGTTGGTGATCAAGTAACTGTGTCCATCAAGCCCTCAGTGATGAAACTGCCTCCTCTTGACAGTCAGCCTGTGATCATGGCTGGTCTTGGTACTGGTATGGCTCCCTTCCGTGCTTTCATTCAAGAACGTTATTTGGCCAAGGCAGCTGGTAAGAAGATTGGCCCTGTCGTCCTCTACTTTGGTTCTCGTCATCGATCCATGGAATACCTCTATGGTGAAGAACTCGAAGCTTATCATGCAGATGGTACTCTTTCTCATATGGGACTTGCCTTCTCTCGTGATCAAAAGGAAAAGATTTATATCCAACACAAGATGAAGGAAGATGCAAACATGTTGGCTGATTATCTATTGAATCAACAGGGCCATTTCTACCTCTGTGGTCCTACTTGGCCTGTACCTGATGTAAAGGATGCGGTTGTTCATGGTCTTGTCAAGTTTGGTGGTGTTGATGCAGCCAAGGCTTCAGCTCTTATTGAAGAATGGAAAGAAAAGGAAACTTATATTCTCGAAGTGTATTAAACAAAGGAATACCATTTATTTAGAATCAATAAAATAATGTACATTTATTCTCTCTTTTTTAAGTAATATACATCAACCATTGATTTGGGTGGTCATGATAACGCTATGATTCATTGTCCAATGAGAATGCTCTAATATTTTAAATTCCGCTTTTAATTTTTCCAAAGCCCGCAAAGACTCTCTCTCTCTTTTGGTTCTTTGTTCTTTGTTTCTTTGTTTCCTTTTTGTTAAAGTTTTTGAAAAGTTCACGATTTTCTAATAGAAAAAGCTTGTGACTTTATCTTTCATGCAAAAAGAAAATTCCCTTTCTCCTTTTTCTCTTATTTAAAAAAAAAAGTTGTCCTTATTATTTAAACAAGCATAGTCAGCAATGTCTCAAGATTTGAAGTTGTACAGATTTAAACTTGACGCAAACACATTTAAAGAATTAGCAAAATGTAGTAAAATCAATCTATCACGAAAAGATAATGGTTTTATTGTAAGCATTTATTCGACTTGAAAATCTCCGGGCTAATATTTCTTTCATAGACATTCTCGACATCCACTCTTCAAGTTGACGTTAAACCAAATCAAGAACATGGACAGACACCCGTTTACATCAAAGTTCAACCAAACAAACTCGAATGCTTAGGAAAAGCTACTTCTTCCTTGACCAATGTCACAAAAGTACAAGAAAAACCGAAAATCAAAAAATCGAGTTCACCCATAAAAGAAGGTCTCTTATCTCCTGTATCCAGGCACACGCTTGATTCATCCAAGCCTTCACCAGACAATCGATTACAAGAGGAAAGAAAACGGATCAGACACATGACGGAAGAATTGGCTAATGCAAAGAAAGCAAGACAGACAAAGTTGATTGATATTGAAACGGCAGCAGCAATTGATCGATCGATATCAAACGCTAAAAAGAGTAAAACAATACCTAGCAAAAAAGGGAAAAAGGCAGATCATGGATTCTATACACCTCCACTCACAAAGCAACCTTCTGGTCCGTCCGTTGGCACATATACCCCACCTTTACATAACTCCTCTGAAAGCACACCCATAATAAAAAAACCAAGCCCTCCCAACAGCCATGAACTAGATTCTCCAAAACGACATAAAGAGATTGAATCTGTTGCTAGTGATCATGATGCACCATCACCCATACGATCTCATAAAACTAAACGCGTCCCCCTGTCACCAGAGGAAACAAAAGGTCTGAAACGAAAATCAATGGAGTATGAAGAAATAGATGAACCATCAGACCTAAAGGCGTCACTTCACGATCGCTTACGCTATCAATTGGCGCTAGGAGCATTCACGGTTCAGTATCTATGTAAAGCCTGTAAAGCCTCGGTTCAGGAAGTGGAATCTATTGTGGCAAAGGTAACGTTTTTTCTATTTAGAAACTTTTTATAAACAATTGAATCATTATAGATTGGTATTCGTCTTACCAATCCAAGAGACTCTTATTGTTTACGACCTCAGCAGTATGCCAAATTGGATATTTGGGACTGGCCTCATTATACAAGTGATGACAGAAAAACAGCAGTAAAGAATGCAATGGAAGCATATAAGCTTTTAAAGATACCCAAATCCGATCCAATTTATGATAATCTTGCTCCTCGAAACAACAAGTCTTCATCTACCTCAGTTCCTGTATCATCATCTCAAAAGATCATTAATAATAATAGCAGCACTAGTAGTAGCAGTCATAGTAGTTCTTTAGCAAGAAAGCGATCTAAACTAGAAGAACAGCGACGGAGAATGCTTAATCCTTCGAAACGAGGTATACAGTCCTCATCATTCGTCTCGAGGAGCACAAAGAATGGGAAACTTTCTGTACCAAATGGTCATCTTGATTCGCCTAATGGGAGACACAGCGCGCTATCGGTGTCACCATACCGATCAGACGATAACAAAAGACTCTCACCTCATCTATCAGCCACACGTCCAGCTACATCGCCCACGGGTATGGCTCATGAAGACCGTCAGTACGGATCTCCTGTGGGGAGAGTGCATAAAGCAGCATCTTCTTCATCTGAACGCACGCCTATGCCCGATAATAGCCATGGTGCAACACCTGATATGGTTTCAAACGCATCAACAACAGAATCACCCTATTACGATAGTCCTGCATACTCTCCTGCTAAAGAAAAAGAAGGTACGATTACCCCTACACCTTCAGACGCAGCTGGAGACAGCGGACGTCAACTGTTTACCCCAGTCTCATCACACACAGATACAGCCCTGCCACCGGATGCGACGAGTACAATTACCAAAATCCCCGATCAAAAGCGATTCACAGCGTATTGCAAAAAGTTTATTTCTGAACAGAGAGCATTTAGAGAACTCAATAAGCGCCTGATAGAAAGCAATCCTGAGTATTTCAGCCTGCTGAAGCAAGCACGCGATGAAGTATTGGGACAAGGCATGGACTTGGATGACCCCAACTGCGCTGATTACGTAGCCAAGGCAAATGCTGCTTATCTGCAGAATGAGAATGCTCGACAAGAAGACATTGATAAAGTGGATACGCTTTTAAATGAAATCGAAGCTAAAAAGTCCCGACTGCTTTATATGTGGATGACTATAGATGAAAATAGGAAGCAATCCAATTTTACGATTCCTAATGAGTGTCTGTTGGAACAAAACAAGTTCTATAGAAAATCATGATCTTATACCCTACTGTATTTTCCGCGCAAGTGCAACTATTCCTCTCCTTTTTTTTTATCTACAACATTCATACAAACATCATTATGTTACAATAAAGTCTTCCGCCCCCAAAAAAGTCAAGATATCTGGTCATCTTTTTCTCTGCAACATTGGCGTAAATATGTATCAACAGTGTACATTAAATAAAGTGTATTAACAATAAAGATTTTATTTCTTTGAGAAAATAGTACCCAAGAGACCCTTAACGCTGTCATCCACAGGTTGAACTTCTCTTTCAACCTTTTCTCTTTGTTCGAATATTCGTCTAACCTTGGCTTCGTTTCCTTCTGTATTATCATCCTTCTTTCTCTTTCTTTCCTTGATACTCTCGAGCATCTTGGCTTTAGCCACATTCTGAATGTATGTCTTGTTTTCACGACTTGTCTGTGCAATTTCATTTCTTAATCTTTGTTGACGTGCCTGTTTCTCATATGCTATTTATAATACAATGGTTAATCATGCATAATACATTCCTTTCTTTCTTACCCATTTGTTCTGTCAAATGATGCCATTTAAACTTGGGCAAGTATTTGATATTCCACATTTCTGCATAATAACGACTCTTTCTTTTGCCTCCAATTTGTTTCATATTCAAATGCTCTGCTACTGCCTTTGCGTCTCTTTTATCCTTAAATTCTACCCATCCTTCAATATAGTTTCGTCTATTATTTTTGGTATACTTTTTACGCTTGGTAGTAATCTTTGGATCTAAAAAAAAAAGATGAGTAACGCATCATCTTGTATTTTTCATAACAATACCTTCAGGCACCAAGTAAATGCGGCCAATGTCAGCATACTTCTTCAAGAGCTCTCTGACACGACTAGGAGGCATAAATAATGGTATACGAGACAAATAACAAACACCCGTCTTCTTTCGAGCCTTTTCAAATTTCTCCAGTTCTTCAGGCGTAAGTGCCTTGATCTTTTTCTTCTTTTTATTCTTTCCTGTTGATATCACACCAAAATCGGATAAATTATCGGGTGCATCGTATCCTTCCATATCTGATAGTTGATCTTGTTGATCATCACTTTCAGCCTCGTCATTAGATTCTTCTTGTTGTTGATCATTATCTGATTCTTCTTGATCATTGTCTGACTCTTGTTGATCATTGTCTGATTCTTCTTGTTGATCCTCAGCCTCACTTTCTTCATCGCTAGAGGCATCGCTTTCATCATTCAAGGATCCCTTTTGAAGTTTAGTTTTTGAAAATCTAGAATCTTGTTCTTCATCCAAAGAAAGATCGTTTTCTTCTTCACTGTCGTTATTAAATCCAAAAAGATCTTGCTCTTTTTCGTTGCTGGGCATGGGTTAAAGAATCAAAAAAAAAAAAAGGGTCTGTTTTCTGTGGCGCACAAGGCTCGCGCTGTCAAGGCTTAGATCGGAGTGAAAAATAAAGGGCAAGATGTGCACACCAAAAGGCATTCGCATAATTTGTGACATGAAATCCTCTTTGGGAGTTTTAATTGTGTATATAGAAATTATCCTATTCTCTTTCTCTCTCTCTTTTGATTGAACATACGTTATGGGAAAATCAAGACCTAGATTCAATGAGAAAGCTCGAGCTTCCTCTCTTCGTCCAACTCAACGACCTCATCCAAAAGCCAGAGACGGTGGTCTTGGTGTTGCAGCATTTGATCCTGAGCTTGCTCCTGCAGCTCAACAACAACCAAAGAAGCAAGATCTAAAGTAAAAGAGAGAAAAAAAAAAGGTGCATTTGTATAATTAACTTGTGATCTATAGAGATACCAATGAGCTCATGATCATCCCAGGTGCTGAGAAAGAAGAGGAACAGCCTGCAAAAGTGACAGCTCCTTCTTTTAAACAAGTAGGTTCAAACACTATTAAACACAGTGTTATTCATTCGTTATTTGTAGCCAGAAAAATACATGTCCAAGAAGAAGAGAAAGAAGCTCGAGAAATATATTGTAAATAGAGAATAAACACTATCCAACCACCGTGTATTAACTGAAAGACGGGAACAACTTTAGGAACAAAAAATGAAAAAAGAGGCACGAGCAGGACTATTAGAAAAACTATCGTAAGAAATATATGTGTGTGATATAAAACAGGCTGCTCAACACCTTTTATTAGAACGTCATCATGGTCTTCAGATCTCCTGAAATCATCCAAGTTAATAGGTCGATCTGGCCAGACTCTTCGTGAAAAACTCCACCAAGCAATGCTCGAACAAAAGGCTGGCTTGACACCCACTACAGATGTACCATTGATTATAGAAAAAGATATAGAATCACTACCTCCCATTGAAGAGGCCATATTTGAGAAAAAGGAAGAGAAAAAGGATGAACCAGTGGTAGGAAGTGCTTTAAAGCAAGATGGTTCTACCTTGAATCTTGTCAAACGCAAAAGAAAGAAGAAGAAGTCGACCATTCCTGAAATTGCCAGAAAACGATACAAGCAGAGAAAGGGTATTGAATCCGATTCATCCTTTGACAGTTCTGATTCCGCCTATGACGATGATGACGATGATGATGGCGAAACAAAACCACAGAGATCAGCGCCTGAACCCGAAGAGGAGGAACAAAAGGGGCCAACACATTTAGAGCAGATTGTTGAAGCAACAAAGAGCATTGTGGCACCGATACCCAAGAGAGTGGAAGAGGAATATGATGACCTTAAAGTACAGTTATTGAAGAGTAACAGAGAAGGAGACCTGAGTAAAGACGAAGTCAAGGTAAAGTGGTCTCGAGTGTATGATGATGCATTTATTCATTTTTGTGTACGTAGCCCTTCTACGTCAATGTCAACAGAAAACCAGAGATTCAAGAAGCACGTCTACAGTTACCTGTTTGTGGAGAAGAACAAGTGATTATGGAAGCTATCCGAAATAACACCGTTGTGGTTATCTGTGGTGAAACAGGTTCTGGTAAGACAACACAAGTACCGCAGTTCTTGTATGAAGCAGGCTGGTCTCATCCTGAGAGTGATAATCCTGGTCTCATCGGTGTCACTCAGCCTCGACGAGTTGCTACCGTGAGCATGGCCAAACGTGTAGCAGATGAATTGAACCTGTCCGATAAAGAAGTGTCATATCAAATTCGTTACGATGCTACTGTATCCGATAAAACGCGCATCAAATTTATGACAGATGGTGTGTTGCTTCGTGAAATGTCTCAAGACTTGTTGCTGACCAAATACTCAGTGATCATCATTGACGAAGCACACGAACGCAATATCAACACAGATATTCTTATCGGTGTACTCAGCAGAGTGTTAAAACTGAGAGCTCAGATGAGCCGTGAAGATAGAGAAAAGATTAAACCACTTCGTGTGGTCATCATGTCAGCCACGCTCCGTGTGTCTGACTTTACAGAAAACAAGACCCTCTTTGCGACACCACCACCCGTGATCAATGTGAATGCGCGTCAATATCCCGTATCGATCCATTTCAACAGAAAAACTCCGGAAGATCATGTTGCAGATGCTTATAAAAAGGTGACCAAAATACATGAGCGTTTACCTCCTGGAGGTATCTTGATCTTCTTGACTGGTCAAAATGAAATTACTCAGCTCTGTAAGAAGCTGCGAAAGAGATACCCTGCTCTCCCTGAAAAGGCAACTAGTGCTGAACAAAAGCAACAAGAGGCTGCACAAGAAAAAGAGTCTAAAAAGGTGAACCAACCAGCTGGCAAAGGTAACACGGATTCAAGTGCTGAAGAGAACGAGTGTTTACTTATATTTTTCCTATAGTTGATATTGAAGAAGAGGCTATTGAACTGGGTGAAAATCAAGTTGAAGAAGATTTTGATATAGATACAGATAGCGAAGATGAAGATGATATCGCAGAAGGGTTTGATGAAGATGAGCTGGATCAGGTTGTGAAAGATGCACCTTTACATGTATTGCCCCTATACTCTATGCTTCCAACCGAAGCACAACTGCGTGTATTTCAGCCACCACCAGAGGGCACTCGACTCTGTATTGTAGCTACCAACGTTGCAGAAACATCCGTTACGATTCCTGGTATTCGATATGTAGTCGATTGTGGTAAATGCAAAGAACGAAAGTACGACATAGCCACTGGTGTACAATCATTTGAAATTGGCTGGACTTCAAAGGCTTCTGCAGATCAGCGTGCAGGTCGTGCAGGAAGAACAGGTCCTGGTCACTGCTATCGTCTGTTTTCATCTGCTGTCTTTGACAATGAGTTTCCTCAATTTTCTACGCCAGAAATTGATCGTATGCCTATTGAAGGTGTTGTTCTCAACATGAAATCAATGTATATAGACAATGTTGTCAACTTTCCATTTCCTACGCCGCCTCCAAAAGAGAATCTCCAAAAGGCTGAAAAGTTACTGGGTTATCTTGGTGCTGTAGATCAACACACGAAGCGTATCACAGAATTTGGTCACATTATGTCTTTATTCCCTATCACGCCTCGGTTTGCTAAAATGTAAGTGTGTGCCTTATCATATTGATTCACGGTTACTAACGATCTTTTATATGGTTAGGCTTATTATTGGACAACAACATGGATGTCTTCCTTATGTTATTGCCATTGTATCAGCACTTTCTGTAGGAAATCCGTTTATCCAAGATTATCAATTAGAAGACAAACTATCAGATGCTGACAGCGACGAGGATGAAGAAATTGCACAACTTCAAAACGAAGCTGCGATAGAAAAGGCAAAAAGAAAGATGATGAGAAAGAAATACTTTGGTGCATTAACGGTAACTATCGAGTCGTATTTCAAGAGAGAGAGAGAGAAATACTTATTTTATATATATATAGAAACACGCTTCATTAGACCCTTCAAGCGATATTCTCAAACTTCTTAGTGCAGTAGCTGCATATGAATATGCAGGTGCAACCACATCGTTTTGCGAAGAAAACTTTTTAAGGCCTAAGGCAATGGAAGAAATTCGCAAACTTCGACGACAGCTCACGAACCTAGTCTCTGCCAACTTTCCTGACATTGATGTCTGTGTCGATCCCAAGATGAAACGACCCAGCTCGACCCAGTTAAAGGTGCTCAGACAGGTTCTTACTGCTGGATTTATTGATTCTGTAGCTATTCGTCAAGATGTGTTAGAGACCGGTGGTGGAAAAGGCAAGAAATACAAAAACGCACGTCATGTGGTGTACCGATTGATGTGGAGCGACGAAGAAGCATTTATTCATCCTACATCGACACTGTTTAGTCAAGAGCCACCTGCTATGCTTGTCTATAGTGAATTATCCAAATCTGGCAAGACATGGCTAAAAGGGAACACAGCAGTTGAAGCCAAATGGGTTGCCAAATTAGGACATGGACTCTGCTCTTATGGCAGACCACTCGAATACCCACTTCCAAAGTATATTGGAGATAAGCAAGATAGAAAATTGGTTTATGTAGTACCAAGCTTTGGTCCAAAAGGATGGCCATTACCACCTATACAAGTAGAGCAAAGACGAGAAGGAACCCGTTGGGTGACTGTGTCACACTAACTATTATGCAATAAATAAATGACCTTTTTTTTTCCTTTTTCTTCTTTTTCTTTTCCTTTATCTTTATTATGACATTGTTACCTCAAGAATATTTACGTACTTTACCTTCCATTCGGGAAAGATGCACAAAAGTCTATGAAAAAGCAAAGCAAGGAGAATCCACGTCCTTTGATATTAATGAAGCAGCTCTTTCGAATATCGTCAATCATGTCGTATCTACCACAACGCGTAGATTCCCTGACCTTTCCAAGATTCCTCCACACTCACGTCTTCGTCATTTTGACCAAAGCCGTCTTACTGAATTAAGACAAAGATGGACTCGAGATAATGTGGACAGAGTTGAACAGGCACGACGCTTGATTGATTTAGTTCTCGTTTCAGTCCTGGTTGATGCAGGCGCAGGACAGGTTTGGAAGTATACGACAAAAGAAGGTGAACGTATTGGACGATCTGAAGGACTTGCTTTAGCATCCTTTGATATGTTCTTGAATGGCTATTTCTCGAGCTCTGCTGACGTTCCCGACCGTGTTGATGGTTAGTATATAGTGTGTTACCCAACATAGGGGGTATTTTTTTTAATTATCCCATTTAGTGCGTGGACTGGACAAGATTACAACCGAACGCATGACGCAAGGCTTCCAAGTCACAGAGACGAACCAGATGGTCGGACTAGAGGGACGTTCGAACCTGTTGAAGCGTTTGGCTCAGGTACTCGATGAACAGGCAACTTATTTTCTTTCTGCTCATGGTGAGCCTAGACGACCTGGCCATCTTGTAGGTGAGTGCTTATAGATATTCCTTTTTTTGTTTTTTATTCTAAAACATGGCAAAAAGACTATTTGTTAAACAACATTGACTCTACTAAAAAGTCAGTTCGTATTGAAGCCTTGTGGACAGCAGTTATGAGCTTAGGCGCTATGTGGCCAGCCCGAGTTCAAATTGACGGCATTCAGTTAGGTGATGTCTGGCCCTGTGCTGTACTCACTGATCTCGGCAACTATGAAAATTTGGTACCTTTCCATAAACTATCTCAATGGCTCACCTATTCCTTGATTGAAGCTATCGAGCTCACCTTGGGTGTCACAGTTGAAGGCGTTGAACTCATGACAGGTTTACCAGAATACCGAAACGGCGGACTTTTAGTAGACTATGGACTACTCACGTTGAAGCCAGATGAAGTGAAAAGAGCCACGGTCAAGGAAGGCGAATTACCTGTCTTTGAAGGATCTGATCCTGCAATTGTTGAATGGCGCGCATTGACAGTAGTCTATTTAGACATCATCAAGGCCAAAGTTGAAGAAAAACTTGGACAAACATTGTCTCTTGCCCAAGTATTGGAAGGTGGTACCTGGACAGCTGGGCGTGAAATTGCAGCCAAGCTGAGACCTGAGAATGGTGGTCCACCCATTGTGATCAAGGTGAGATAAAGAGACAATCAAAGATAGATTAAAACTTATTTGATAAATATAGAGCGATGGTACTATCTTTTGATCGAGGTCAAATAACAAACATAACAAATTTATATTAAATTTGACCATTCTACAAAAATAAAGTCTAACAGATGGAAAATGTTTTCTGTACTGAAACAAAGACAGACTAGAAAGTATCGCATTCCTTATACAACACGTAAAAAAGCATTCCTTTCTATTTGCTTTGATATAATAGAGATCATCCTCTCTTTTTTTATTATATTTGTTTAACCACAGAATGTATTTCGCGCTACTATTATTACCATTTGTCATCTTTGTTATCAAATTAGCATCAGCGACTCCTTCTCATTCTGAATTCAGTCCAATAAAATCAAGAAATGTAAAGTTATCTATAATATAAACCACAGCTTATCTGATGTATCCTACATAGGTTCTGGACAGGAGCGATAATGTCGTCCTCTACTGGGGACAAGGAGACTTTGGAGAGAGACGGTTATCATATTATTGCGATCAAGAAGGAGTCAGTATTGTCATTCTCAGTTTCATCACCGATTATATTGGAGGACCCAGAAAGTCACCGATCATCAATTTGGCAGATAATTGTAACGATGTTGAGAACTGTGTTGAGACTGCCCAAGATATAAAGTATTGCCAAAGCAAGGGAGTCAAGGTGCTCATCTCTGTGGGAGGAGCCGCAGGATCGTATCATAAGCAGTCGTGGGACCCTGATCTGTTCGCATGGTGGTTATGGAACAAATTTTTGGGTGGTGATGATCGTACAGTGCCAAGACCCTTTGGTGATGCTGTCCTGGACGGTATTGATTATGATCCCGAAGGTAATAATGGACATCTATTTGCGACATTTATTTAACGCTCTGTTATGAGTATAGAAACTACAGGCAAAGGATACGATAGACATATTCATACACTTCGTCAGCTAATCCAAACACAATATCCTCCTCACCAATACCTCATTACAGCTGCGCCCCAGTGTTCAGATTTAGATTATTATCCAAAGAATGCACAATACAATATCCTTCATCCCTCGCCTCAATATGATGCCTATCCAGATATGGTGTTTGTACAGTTTTATAATAACGACTGTTCAGCAGCAGCCCATAAGCCACGAGGACTCTCTGATTTTAATTTTGACGCCTGGAATAAATGGGCACAAGAAGCGACCAAGGGGCGTACTAAAGTTCTTTTGGGAGTCTTGGGTAGAGACAATCGTATGGACAAGGGATATGTGAGTTATGACAAGCTGACGATGATTTTGGACGACATCAAGAGCCGGTCCCAGTTTGGAGGTGTGATGATATGGGATGCAGGATACGCTTACGCCAACAAGGTACCTTACTTTAACAACCTTGCATATGGTCAGGCCACTGCAAAATATCTTCGACAGTTGGCGACTAACAGTAAACCTGGAGCGAAACTAATTGAAACTATCGACATGGCACTTCAAGAAAACCAAATGCCGATTATGATACCCGTACGTCATGATGCTAGATTACCGTGCAAAGGACAACCGATGATGCTACTTAAAACAGTGAGTACAAGGATACTTGCACAGAGTTTTGGCGCATCACCCGAAATACTAGCCGAACGATTCGAAACACTTGGTGTCTCTGGTGATGAACCACTTTATCCAGGTTCACGTATCTGTTTGACAGTCTCAGACGGTGACATGATCTCACTTGGATACATTTATAGCTTTGAGCAACCGACAGACAATAAGAACACATTGTCTAATTATCAGTATTATTTCCAATAAGGAGTCATTTGAGAGAGAGAAAGTTGGGGGATTTATGCATGCATTTTGTTTTATAACTCCTGAATTATTACAGCAGGGAATAACTTTAAGTTTTTTACCCTTTATTTTGATGTCAAAGAAACTATTATTATTATTCTTCTTCCCCTTTTTCTTACTCTTTTTTTTTAAAAAAAAATATTTATTACAAGCAAAAAAGATGATGTTTTTTAGAAAGAAAAGATCCAATAAAAAATTAATTAATTTCCCAGTGCTTCACGTAAAGCCAAAAGTGAGTTGGTTAGAGCTTAACTTGCCTGATAGCTCAATTGTTATTCCACAGCTACAACAAACCTCAGCAAATGAAAATGACTTTATGGAAGAAGAACGTATCGTCACGCAAATATCACCTTCTGTATCAACAAATGATGATACAGACAGTCAAGAAAAAGTTGAAGTGTAAAAAAATAAGAGAGAAAAAGAAAGAGAGAAAGAGATAATGAAATCAACAAGAGATAACTCATCCCCCCTCTTTTTTTTCCTTTTCCTATTCTAAAAATAGTGTGTCTACTATCAGCGAAAACTCCTTAACAAGGTTGGAAATAGAGCAGGAGCCTATGATGGCAGCGGGACAAGATAACTCAGATGAACCCACAGAGCCAGTGGCTGTCTTATCTGAATATCATGATTCATCAATAGAACACACCAAGGATAAATCAAGCACAATTCAAGATATGGACAGATCTCCTTCTGAACATGTAGTTGAACGCCAAGAAAAGGAATATCAAGAAGAACATCAAGTAAAAGAAGAAAAACATCAAGTAAAAGAAGAGGAACATCAAGAGAAGGAAGAAGAACATCAGGAGGAGGAAGAAGAACATCAAGAGAAGGAAGAAGAACATCAAGAGAAGGAAGAAGAACATCAAGAGAAGAAAGAGGGACAAGAAGAGGAACAACAAGAAAAGGAAGAGAAACAAGAAGAGGAACATCAAGAAGAAAACAAAGAGGAGCAAGAAGAGATAACTATCTGCGATGATCGAGAGACATATGATTGTGAGGACAGTAGTGATCCAGTTAAAGAGGAGGTGAGCAACACAGACAGACAGGAATCTATCAGTAACCCAACAAATGAACAATATAAGCCTGAAGAGCATGAAGAGAACAAAGGTGACAGTAAATTTGAAGATCATGCCAAAGTACGTCAACCTGAATTGATGGATACTCCTAAAAAGAGACACTCTATGATGGTCATACCCAACAGACCAAGCAATGGTGTCAAGTCGCAGCAAAGAAAATCACAACAGAGTCATCCAAGTTACATACCTGTGTCCGTCAAACGCCTTTCGATGGTTCGTTTGCCTGTTGATACACTTGAAGGCTATTCATCTGAGTCAAGTACAAGCAGTGCGAGTAGTAGTACACATAGTCATCAGAATGCATTTGAAAGCAAAATACCTAAATTTATGGATAAAGCGGAGACCATCAAGCGTGTGTCGAGTGTTGGAAGTAAATTACCCAAGAGAAAGAGCTATGCAGCCCCAGTTCATTAACAGATAATAAATTTTAATTATTCAAAATACAGCGCGTTTTTGTATGTGCATAAGAAATGACTCTTATTGGCTCTACAAAAAAGTGTGCATTTGTCATAAACGTCACTTTTTACATAAACGTCATTTATCTTGCTTTTTTTGTCCTTTTTCTTTACTTTAGATAATAATCCACACAAATGGTAAATAAATAATGTAAAAAACACACATGTAAACATTTGTCCTCTTTGTTTATAGTTCAACGACGAAGACAGTTTTTCAAATTCCTTCTTTGGAGGCTTTCGTCCAAGTTTTGGAGGATTTATGAATCCTAATAGAGGATTCTCTGAAAATTATCGTTGTTTCCCCATCGCCATGATGCAACATGGACATGATAGAGAAAATGTGAATTATGGTGGAAAAAGTAAATGGAACCAATGGAGCCAATGGAGCCCAAATCAGAATAATGAAAACTAATCCACATTCATTAGTCATTCTTCCTCAATCAGCTTTAGAGAAACTTTGTAGGTCTATTTTGAGATACTATAGCGAAAGACCGTGTAGAACTTATGATTTTATACTATAGCACAACTTAATATTTCATATCCAATGCTATTTAGATTAGTCAACGGTGCTGAACGAACACATACACATGCAGGCGTGCTTGAGTTTATTGCTGAAGAGGGTCGGGTTTATCTTCCACAATGGGTAAGATAAAACGATTAAGGAGTAAAAATAGATGATCAACCATGCATATATTTGTAGATGATGGAAACACTAGGCACTGAGCCTGGAAGTATTATCGAAGTTAAAAATGTCACTTTGCCTCTAGGCTCCTTTGTAAAGATTCAACCTCAATCAGCAGACTTTTTAGATATAACAGATCATCGTGCAGTGTAAAGTAATTATGATGGATAAAAAGTGACTAGGGATTGATCCATTTACCATAGATTAGAAAAGGCCTTACGTAACTTTTCGACATTGACTGTGGACGATATCATACAGATTAATTATAACAACAAGGTGTATGAAATCAAAGTGTTGGAAGTCAAGCCATCAAACGAAGAACATTTGGGCATATCTATTGTCGAAACGGATCTCGAAGTTGACTTTGCTCCACCAGTAGGTTATGTTGAGCCATCACAGCCGGTGCAGACAGTGGTAAAAAAAAAAAAAAAAAAAGAAGAAGAGATGTATCATGATTGCAGCTACTAAACGGTTTATTTATCTTTGCAGAAAAGTCAAATGGTCATTGATCTTCCTAAACCTGTCAAGACAGGGTTCACAGCATTCCAAGGCGGAGGACAGAGTCTTCGAGGAAAGAGTAAACCAAATACGACAGATGAAGGCGATGCAGAAAACGGACAAGACGACGGTCCCCTCGATTTACCTTTTGGAACACTTTACTTTGGATTTCCTATCATTCCTCCACCCTCATCTAATGACAACGATAAAAATGAAAAGCCTACGTTTACAGGAACAGGCCAAACATTAAGAAGCAAAAAGAAATAAAAGATATAGACACTGTTTTTGTTTTTATTTAGCGTAGTTCATCTTTATGTAACTGTCTACACCAAGCTTGAATGATACGGGCAGCGTAAAGAGAACGAGGGGACCAAGTGATGTAGCTGATGTGACGTCCACCAGGGAATAAGACAAGTGTACATGGATTCTTGTGTCGTCCTAAAAGCACTGTTATATAAAACTCCTTTTTGTATACGCATTTTTTGCTTACCTTCGTCAAATTGCTTTTTGAACTTGACAGACACGTCTGAGTTTACCAGGGCATCTCTTTGACCAGCCAAGACCAAGTAGGGCACACAATCTTTAGCTTGTTGAATGACAGTAGCTGGAGAATGCTTGTTTAAAAAGTCCATGTCGGCATCGGGAAGCATAGCAACTTGTTTTGAAAAGTAATTGATCATATTGGGATATATAAGGTCAAGAACACCATTAATGGAAATAACACCACGACATGAAGTATCGACCTGTTCAAAACCTGGTTGGTACTGAGGGTCATTCACTGTAAGTGAAGCCATGACGGCCAAATGTGCGCCTGCAGAATCGCCTGAAAGGACAATAAAGTCAGGATCACCACCAAAGGAGGCAATATTTTGCCTTGTCCATCGAATTGCGCGCTTGACATCAATCAAATGATTAGGATATGCACTCTTTGGTGCCAGACGGTATCCGATGTTGACGATGATCTATGAAAATAAAATTAGAAAGAGTAGAGAGACGCTTTTCGTTATTTATACCCAATCATCTTCTGAAACCAGCAGTTTTTCATAAGGATAAAAGATGTCCTTTCTGCCACCTCGCCAAGCTCCACCGTGAGCATGGATTAAAACAGGTCTTGGCTTAGTTGATTTTTTGTTGCTGGCAATGACATCCAACATGAGTTTACGAGGTTGATCAAAATCCTGATTGCTATTATCCAACGCGTCTCTAAGCTCCTCGCTGGTGGCATATGTAACTATAAAATCAAAGTTGCATAAATTTGCATATGTGTGCGTCATGAATACATACTGTTTGGATGAATAACAAGACTAGGAGGTCTCCAGAAAGGGTTCATTAAGCTTTTGAATAACTCTAGACTGTCGTTGAAAGAGCATAAGAAAGAGAGACGTTAGAGATAAACGTATAATTTACCTCATGAAACTTTGAAGACCCTTGTGACCTTTTCTATCAATCACTCTGATGGCTGTTTCGGCTATTTCCTTTTCTTCCAACATCTCATAAAAGAGTTTTCCCATACCAAGAATGGTAGCGATATCAACAAAATACATGAGCCAGCTGAGAAAGTAAGCTAAAAAGGAGCTGTTTTAATAATTATATATGACAAAAGAGCCATTTTTTCATTTACCAAAACCACCACAAAACTTGACAACCTGTATAAGGAATATCTTGAATATGATGAAATGAAGTGATAGTTCAGTAACTGTCGAGGTAAGCAAGATTTCAGCCAATGCCACGTATTGTCCTTTGAATTTTCTAATGTCTATTATATTAAATGCCCCTGCAGTGGCAAAGGCTAGTATAGCTACTTCCATAATATATAAAGTAGCTACACTAGCCGTGAATAAATTGGCAACAGACATAACTTCAATATAAAAAAAAAGAAAGAGAAGCAAGAGGGGAACTAGTTTTATACATGTGTATAGACGGTGTTTAAACTTCTATTTGGTGTATTTGCATATGATTTAGTGGCTGCTGTATTGTGATTGTTTACTTTTATGACGATGAGTTTAAGGTAGAGCAATGAATTGGGTACAATATATCGCGTTATTGACTAACCATATCCAAAATCAAATATAACAAGTTAATAAAGCTAAAAGATGTCTTTATAAGTTAATTGAAGTGAGACTACTGCCGTAGGGAAAAAAGCCTCCGTAAGCCAAAAGATCTCCTTGATTCTGTCCCCGGGGCGGATTTTAAGATTCCGCAGGCTTGGTTTTTTTGTTTGGTTTTACTTCTTTCAAAAAAAAAAAAAATGAGTCTGATTGACCTTGGCGACATTACACCAAACAATTTGGGCCAAGTCAGAGTGCTTCACAAGACCTTATTCCCTGTTAGTTACAGTGACAACTTTTATAATGAATTATTAGAAGCTGGTGAATTTGCCAAGTTGGGTACATGTCTATTTTTATATATATAAAAAAGAAACTAAACACATTATAGCTTATTATAATGACGTCTGTGTTGGTGTTGTCTGTTGTCGTAAAGAAAAAGACGAAGATTTACCCGAGAAATACAAGCTGTACATGATGACATTAGGTGTGCTGGAACCCTATCGTCGATTGGGATTAGGTACACGCTTGGTTGAACACATTTTGAAGCAATCTCAACTCTCAACGGATATCTCTCGTGTCTACTTGCACGTTCAAGTGACAAATGATGCTGCTGTTGACTTTTATAAAAAAAATCAATTTGAAGTGAAGAAGACGGAAAAAGATTATTATAAGAACATAGAACCTAGAGATGCATACCTTTTATCAAAAGAAATCTAATAAACCTATCATGCAAGGGAGAATAGACACACATATACATCAAAGGCACATGTGACCTTGTTTGAAACACTTGACAGAGAAGAGAACTTTTTTTTGTATTTCTTTTTTTCTTCCCCTTTTTTTATTTCAAAAATGAAAGAAAAGCAGATACTTGACCCTACTCAACCGATGGAGACGACAACAAGACGATGGAAAGGATGGATTGTCTTCTTTATTGGGTTGATAAGTCTCTTTTATATGGCTGACAGACAGGATGCTTTTGTAGTCACTAATAGCCAATGTGCCATGACGAGTCAACGACCAAGTACTGTCTTACATTCAGGATTCCCTCCTATCGATAACGTGACAGGTCTTACCATTTTACCCGGTAAAGCCGCAGCCATCGCATTTGAACCTAATCCAGCAGTGGAACGCTTAAACGTCATGGGTGGAGAAAGCTGGTGGGACAGATTGTTTCCTAATCGTCATGTTCATCTACACAGTGTTCAAGTTCCTGTACTGAGTGCCAAGAATCAAACAATTTCTGCTGTGGTGTCTATTTGCTCAGGCGAAGGAGGCAGACTGACCAGACGAAAGAGATTCCCAGATATGCAACGCTGCGTATCGACCAAGGCTGTCGAGATTGAAACTGAGCCAGGCGATACGTTTGGCGTACTTGAATGGGAACCTGAAGTAGTTATCGTACTCAAGAAATCAGCAAGATATTGGCTTGTTCTCGAGTCTCCGAGTGTAGAAAATTCGTTTGAATGGGTCTACGCTGAACAGCCAAGTGATGTAACAGAAAGTATTCCAGTTGCTATTCAAGGTGAGAATGGATGGCAGATGCAGCTAAAGGATACACCACCTCCAAGTGCTATTGTCACGGTTGAAAGGCATTCTTGAATGTTGCCCTGAATCTCCTTTAATAAAATCAAATAAAACTCAAAATTTCTCTCACTGTTAAATTGCCCCCTTACATCATCTGGCATAGATATCACATGTCGTTATCGTATCCATACAATGACATCAGGCCAAACTAATAGATTTCGTTATAGATAAATATAGATTGGTTGTAGAGTTTAATCAAGGAGAAATCACTAATTGCTCCATGGGAGATTCGAAAAGTGAGAACGAAGCATGAGATGAGTACTTGTATTTGTATAATCAGCATATGAGTTGCACGACATGTTTGAGAAAGACATATAATAAAATACTAAGCCGGTTAGCAATCACATTCCTCTATTTTTGATGAATTTACAAGTTTAGCCAGTAGGCGAGCTTGTTGCTGGTAAATACATATGGACTAAAGGCTTCTTCTAAATGGAGATAAAAAGCTGTCATTAATCTGAAAGGTATATACTGAAGCTTATTTTTAATGATGGTGTATTAAGAATATTACTGTTTTTGGAATGAAGTAACCTATGCTGAAAAGTAACGATAATGGCTAGTTATACAATCTTTCCGGAAAGTAAATTCGCCTGTGATCGAAAATAAATGCATTCAATGGTGAGAACAAAATTCATGTTGTATGAAATGTAAATTCGCCGTTACCAAGAATATTTTCGTAGTACCAGCCTTGACATCCATGAAGATACTGTATTTCCAAATTGAGATGACGTATTGAAACCGTTGTAATGTTGTCAGAGTAATAACAAATACAAAAAGAATATGGCTCACTGTCTCATTTGACAGTAATATTAACAGGTGGGCTGTCTTGGAGTTGAAATTAACTTAATATTAGAAATAGCTCCTCTTTAGTCTCTTTGTAAAAGTTTAAATTCTTTATTCGGTTTTTTCATGAAATTAGAAGAGCATGTAATCATATTTGGCAATGTATATTCTTGAATGGTCACTATATAGATTGCTTTTATTTGACATGGTTTCTTTGTCCTAGATATCTGATCCTGAAACCTGTTTGAAAAAGAGAGACATATAAAAACTCATTTTAATTGAGTCCTTTTTTTGCTTCTTTACAGCAGTTATCAAATGTCCCTCTGAGTGTTCAAAGATCCACCAATCAAAACTAGCCTGTCCTCATGGTCCTTGCTCTGACTCGCTTGTCCCGCCCTCTCTGCTCTCTGGCGTGTATCTGGAACGTTCCCCAATAGTCTCTTCTGACGCCCTGGGTTCTCTCTGTCCTCTGTTCCTTTTTTTTTTTTTTAAACTTCTCCTGGGTGGTTATCACTACCCTTCTCAGAATGCACCTTGGTGGTAAGTAAGACTAATATTAGGATATGTACTCTAATACTAACATACCTTTTCTCTCTTTTTCTACATATACTCATTATCTCTCTCTCTCTCTTTTGACATGATGTCGTTTTATTCAAACGTATTTTTCTTTGTCGTCTTTTTACGAAAATATTTTTTTTTATTTTACGACAATATTTTATAAAATTAACGTCAATAATTAATAAAAATACAGTAGGTCTATGCAGTTCAGCTAATGTTGGCTACCTAAAAAAGATGAACAGCAATGTCGTTCCAAGATGTCGTATTTTGTATATTTTATATTATAAATTTTTGAATTAGAAGAAGCTGCTCAATCATTCAACAAATGTCCATGCCAAGAGATTTGCCCTTTTTCAGAAAAATAATGCTTCCTTTAATGGCATTAATCTCGCGTACATGAATGTGCAGAATTCTACAATTTGGACTAATATGGTATTACTAATAAGAGCAACTAGCTACAAAGTTGTTTATCGAGGAATTGTACTAAATCAGCCGTATCTATACTTTGACCAGAACGAGTATAAAGAGGCTAACAAAAAACAAAATACAGAAGAAATATGCAAAATTGCAGATCATAAATAATGCAGTGTCTGTTTATAAAACGTTGTTCTTTTAGGCTATTCTTAATGGTAATACAAGCTTATGCTTCTTCAATGGTGCCTGAAAATGTGTTTAAATAAGGTCGGATAAACTAAACTTTTTTGTCCTCAGGGGGTAAACGTTTTTTTCTCTGTCTTTTCTGTTACACTAAAAAGTGCCGAACCGACATCTCCTTTAATTTGCCCTGCACCGGCTGGCATATGTGTATTACGAATCAAATGACGGAGAAATCGATGTCGTATCCGTCATTGGTTCCTCAGACCAAGCTCATAGATAGGCATCAAACAGTCAAAATGGGATTTTTTTATCGTGAAAGCTGAAGCTAAATATAAAGTTGCTAGTAAAACTTTTTCATTATTAATCAAAGAAATTCATCAACGGGTCTCGTAAAAGAAACTTGTCGCGCAGTAAGGTTGGTTAATGATTGTCATTATTTGTATCTGGCATCAATCAAGACAAATTCAGGGATAAGATATGGTGGTATGCTTCTTTACAAGATTGCAAGCTATAAAAGGATCTGTTGCCATCTCTGCAAGAGAATAAGCTGTCCAGACTTAATAAATCAAGATTGAGGATGATAAAGCGATAATAATGAATGTAATATAATGAAGACTGTTTTCAGTTATGGATAATGCTTCTTTTTTTTTTCATATGGATACCGCTGCGTTTATTTCCTTGACCCTATCCCAATCTTGGCCCACTTTGAATATAGGATTCTGGAAAAAAGAAATAAGCGGTTATGGTTAAAGCTGCGATATTAAATTTTATTGGGTGCAGTTTTTTTTTCGGTAAAACAACGGATCTTGATATCACGGAACTACGATGACCATTTATTATATATTCTTATCCATTGCTGCAGAGTAAAGACTAGTCAGAAGAAGAATCTAACTTATCCTATGAGTCATAGCTACTATAAAAAGAATAATCATCAAATAGACGTGTTCTTCGTTTTTGTTCTTCTTTCTGGTCAAAGCGCGCTCTTCCAAAAAAATTTTCTTGGGATCCATGTGAGACATATCTCCGAAAGCGTACAGAAAATAATAAAAAACCTTCGGCCCTTTGATCCCACTTTTCTCAGTGGATAAAGAGAACTGCTCATATTCCAGGTTTATAAAACCACCCTTTTCCATAATTGTATACACGTGAGGTTGTACATTTGATCAGTAAGACAGCTAAATCTACTCGCCTATTTTTTTTTTTCTTTTAAAGACGTCATCATTTCCGTATATCGGTTAAAGACGAGACAAGCAAATTGATTAGAAAGAGACATTAGCAGATGCATAATAAATACTTGCTATTACACAAGTATGACTGCATTATAAAACAATAAAGAATATTGGCTCACGTGAGATTTGAATTAAGATTAGCTGGAAAAATAGAAAAACCGTTACAAAATAGGATGAAATCTTTGTCACACGATGCCAAAAATGATTATAAAATTACCATCTTTTTTTTTTTTTTTCTCTGCGTCTCTTTTCTTACCTGTCTCTTTCTCTCTTTTTCTCTTTTTCTGCCTTTTATTTTCCTTTTTATTTCTGCACAATACATTTAGGCATCAATTCATAAACAATTCACACACAGAAGGAGAAAAATAACAGCTGGAGAGGATGAAACGACAAATGATGAAACTACTACCACAATGTCACCAAATTCAGTATATCTTTATCGCTGCACTATTGCTCATCGACTTTATCATCATACAGGCACCTACTATCATACCTCGATCTATATTAGCAGCATTACTCTTATCTTCATTTTGGATTCCTTATATCAGAAAATTCACTTTACCCGCTTTACCCATCTTTACTTGGTTAATTACTTTTTACGCCTGTCAATTTATTCCTATTGATTATCGTCCTAATCACATTTTTGTAAACTTATTACCAACCCTTGAGAGAATTCTTTATGGCGCCAACTTATCCGAAGTAATCTCAAAGCATACACACCCTGTATTAGACATTCTTGCGTGGCTACCTTATGGTGTCATTCATTTCAGCTTTCCTTTCATTTTGGCATTGTTGCTCTTTGTCTTTGGCCCACCAGGCTGCCTCAAAGTCTATGGCGCCGCGTTTGGTTACATGAACCTCGCTGGTGTACTTACTCAACTACTATTTCCAAATGCATCTCCATGTAATGTTTCAAATAGACATCTTTTTTTACTTCTTTTGGCTAATCTTTTTTTTTTAATAGGGTACGAACTCAGTTACGGTTCAGCACCTGCAGATTACTCTATTCCTGGTGAACCTGGTGGATTGATTCGTATCGACAAGATTCTTGGTTTAGATTTGTACGGCTCTACCTTTGGATCCTCTCCGCTTGTGTTTGGCGCCTTTCCCTCCCTTCACTCCGGTTCTGCAACCATTGAGATGCTTTTCGTGGTCTATCTTTGTCCTAAACTCAAGCCATTAGCTATTGCTTACGTGATGTGGATGTGGTTTGCTACCATGTATCTTACTCACCACTACATGATTGATCTTGTGGGTGGATCAATTTATGCTATTGTTACATTTGCTGTAGCTCAAAATTTTTTACCCTCAATTAATCCTGAATGTCGTACTCGAATGCAATATCTTGGCGCAACCAAATTAAGTATTAGATCACTAATCTACAGCATTGAACATGACGACGTGGTGCTAGAACAGATAACAGGAGATGAAGAAGCAGCCTTGCTGAAACATAGACCAGAACCACTTGTTTTATCATCCGATGCTTATAATACGACCTACGATGACACTTACTCACCAACTTCATCCGTCTATACTTCCGAGCCTGACTCACCCGTTACACCTCATTCACCTATACTCAATCAGTTTGACTTTACGAAATATTCTAATTAGAAGCTTCCCTTTACTTTTTTATACTTTTTCTATATATGGAATTATTCCTATATTCTTTGTGCATATATGTATACATGTATTTCTTTACTGCATATTACTCTTTACTATTACTACTATTACTATTATTACTACTATTACTAATGCTAATACTAATTCCATGTACCTATAATAAATGTATTACTAATTCCTGTTCTTCCACATTCGGTCTTTTATTATTTGCTGTAGCGGACTACTGATTCACTCGTTGCTTGGTTACCATATTTGAATAAGCTCAAAACATAAAACTACTTTCCTTTGACAACACAAAACACGATGTAGTAGAAAATTAAAGTACAAACAACAACATTTTTTCCCACTCTTGAACACCATACAGGAAAAAGGAAAACTCTGAATTCTGCACCGAAGCTCTGGGGAGAAGGTCAAAGAGGACTGTACTACGTTGCTCAACTACGCATATACAGCATCTTTGACTTAGACTGTGACCTATAACCCTATCACAGAACCATACTTTCTATCTTTCGACACATGAAGCGCAAATGGCTCAAGTCACTCTTAAACGTGATGCTGGGAACCATTTCGTTTACTTCGATTGACCTTCCACCAACAGCAGCATCGGACAATATCTTTCGATTGTGGGGACTGACAATGGGCATGACCAAGGATATCGTCAAGCTGGTCGATACAAAGGAATCGTTCTTTTATAAACTGACGACTCAGAGTCCGCGATTCTCAAGGGTAGATATCGGCTGGTTCACGATGTTGATTACCTATGCCAAAGTCTATTGGAAGAGGATATGTCACAAGAATGTGAGGTAAGGAAATTGAGGAAAGGAAGGAAAAGATGGTTGCGTACACTAAGAGTCCTTTGGCTACATATAAATATTATGGACTCCCTTCAAATTTTTCATTTTATTTTTGTTCATTCTCTTTTTCTGCAAGCACAGCTTTATCTTTTGACAACTAATTGAACATAAACACTTCTTACAAGTTCCAAGAATAGAACACGTAACTTATTACAATAAGCACCCGACTCATCACTGGATATAAAGAGCTTTTCGTATGCCTCAATAGCCGCTCAAGGAAGATGGTAATCGAGATTGTACCCTACTTATACCGTCACTTTTCACGGTACACAAGGTCCCTTTCTCGCCATTTGATGCCAAGAATGTTGTGTGTAAAAAAAAAAAAGACACACATGAACGTTTGTTTTTGACTGACATCATTTCCGCGTTCAACCCTTTCTTGGGGCATCTGTGATCTGGCATGATTCGTACATAAATTATTCAAAGTTGATCATATAGTCGAGACTTTCTTATCAAGTGAAGTTCTTCAGTATCTTTGTTCATATAACCTTCAATAATTCCATGTTTTCAACAAGTATTCTTCATTATGCAATGTGAACATATTATACTGAGAGCTATCATTCATCCAAACCATGGTGCTTACTAGCTTTAAGCTGTGGTCTTGACTTCTTCTTGAATATGAGCGTGAAAATTATGTTTGTTGACAAAGATCAACGAAAGCACATGTCAGTGTTCCAGCATTATTGTTTCCAAGGCAACTGAAACAAGACGCACTTTCAAAATATGAGCGCGCTAATATACAAAGAGAGACGAAGAAATGCTGTCAATGAGAACGGTAGACTTGACCACTATGACTCGTATCATTGACCAGAAACAAGCTACTCTTGTTCCTGATACCGCATTACTTTTTAACAACATTATTACTTCATTTTCAGGTTAACGAAGACGCTTTATTATCAATAAGAGCAGACAAGCTCTGAAGCACATGCTAATGGCAATAGCTGACCTAATGGAGTTCCAATAGATATTATCCCATTCATTCTCTAACCTGCAGTGTGTGTGTATATAGTCAAAAGACTCTTAGTGTACGCAACCATCTTTTCCTTCCTTTCCTCAATTTCCTTACCTCACATTCTTGTGACATATCCTCTTCCAATAGACTTTGGCATAGGTAATCAACATCGTGAACCAGCCGATATCTACCCTTGAGAATCGCGGACTCTGAGTCGTCAGTTTATAAAAGAACGATTCCTTTGTATCGACCAGCTTGACGATATCCTTGGTCATGCCCATTGTCAGTCCCCACAATCGAAAGATATTGTCCGATGCTGCTGTTGGTGGAAGGTCAATCGAAGTAAACGAAATGGTTCCCAGCATCACGTTTAAGAGTGACTTGAGCCATTTGCGCTTCATGTGTCGAAAGATAGAAAGTGGCTCTGTGATTGGACTGTAGTCCAAAACCTGGCTTGATAAAAAGAAGGACAACGGCACCCCTATGTTATATTAGCCATCGTTTTGTTTTGTTTTGATCAGCTATTTACATCTTACTGCAGCTACTTCAGATGTCTGAAGTTCAAATGGTGGTGATTCAGGCACTAGTTGCAGATAAACTGTATACATATTGTTTTAGCAAAACCATGTCTCTTTGAGGAAGAATTCGTTTACCATAAGGAACAAGGATCATTAATAACTTATTATCTCTTATAGATGAAATCTCCCGTTCGTCCAGTTGACCCACAAGCAGGTAATCATCACTTTTTAAATCGATTCCAATCTCTTCGCGTACCTCTCGACACACGGTTTCCTCATCAGTTTCATCTTTTTCATTTTTTCCGCCTGGAAAAGCAACATGACCAGACCACCTTTTTGAACAATTAGACAAAGCTTTTTTCTTTATCGTGTCATAGATTATTATACCTATCTCCCTTTCTTGTTGCTCGCTGCATAAACAGAATCTCAGCTTCACCTTCCTGTACCCATGATTGATCAAAAAATTCTTCCAAAGTTCGTGGTTTTTGAGCCTCTGTAGGAATACTCGTCTTTGGACAGTGCCAGCGAAGAATAGCTGCGACTACACCACGTCGAGGTTGATCAGAAGGTGAAGGTATGCGGTAAGGCTCCCTTTGTCTTAGAGTGAAGCAAAGTTTCTTGAGTGCTATGAAAAAAAAATTGTCAAGGTTTGCACACGAGATTCGTTATCTTGCCCAAAAAGCCCATTACCATCGACATTAGCGTTTGTCATTGTTTTATCAGTAAAAATGACATAAACCCATTATCATTTAATTTATTAGTCAAAAAAATAAAAAGAATAAAAGACCGCTCAGTGACGGTAGACCTATTGATTTTTCAGATGGGACAAGACCTTATCAATGCTCATACTCTCGGAACCAAGCGCACCAGTGAGACCCGATTTAGCATCTTGTGCAAGCGTAATAACTTCATCTTTACCACCTCTTGCTTCTAGTTGTTGATTGGTTACTATAACAGCAGCTTGAATTGAGTAAATGAGACATAAAGTAAACAAGAGGACCTTCATTTTGAGGGATTAAAAGATAAACAAAAAGGAAAGAAGTCAGTCATTATATAAGGCTTATTTCTTGATTCATACTCATTTTCTCCTAAGAGAGCTTCTAATTGACTGTCTCTCTCCTTCTTTTTATCAATTGATTATTGTAAAGAGGGAGCAAAAAGAGAGAGAGAAAGAGATACTCCTTATTTGCCTCTTTCCTTTTCTTTCTTCTCTCGTTCTATCATTTTCATTTGGCTTTCTTTCCCTCTCTTTTTATTATTTTGTTAGTGACAGTAGGATGAATCTCCTTTGTTGATCTACAAATTGTGCGGTAAAAAGAAGCCCCATCCTTAATCTCATAACGTGCTTATCTTTGGCTTTGGTTGGCTAAATAAGCGTCTCCCCTTTTTTAATAAATTGTTCACACCAAGAAGGGTAGTCTATGTCAATTCATATCCTAACTTTTCTTTGCAAGCTTTTTTTGTGTTTAGGACAGGGAGAGAAACGATGTGTTTCTCCTTAATAGCGAAGGCTGTCATCTAAACCAAGCTCATTCTTTCCTTTTCTTGTTTGTGTAAATCAGCTGCGTTTTAGACTTCCAAATACCTTTTATTGTCATGCACTGTCGCCCTGTAGGGTTGGTCTTTTAAGAAGGATGGTATGACCCTATCTACCTATTTCAGGTAGTTTTTGCGCTGATCGATGTGCAATTTTGACAATTACTTGTTTAAAGGTGATTGTATCAGTGAGCATTTCAATATGTAATCTTTTTAACAAGAAAAAAAAAAAAGAACACTTGATGCACCTTCTTACTCGGGCATGACGTGGCATGTTGTTTTACTAATAAGCATATGGCATAATCAAGTTCAGTTTTAGAGCATGGGTCATATGTAACGGACAGGACTCGGTTATAGTCACAGTTACTTTGCTTCAATATCACCATGACAACGTAGTTACATATAAAAAAAAAAAAAGAAGTAAAGAATGCGCTTTTTTTATTATTGTTGGAAAGCATAGGATCAATTTGTACCCTTCTTTCTTTTTCTTTTTCTTTTTTGTAAAGTCCAAATACAAATCCTTCCCCCTTCCTTTCCTCTCTCTTTCTCTTTCTCTTTTTCTCTTCAAGAATCTTTCAAATGACTATTTGGGTTTGTACTATGATACATGGTACAGTGCATCCTGAATCAATTAGACTTTTTTTCTTAGTGTTCACAAAAAAAAAAACTCGTTCTCCTTTATCGTCTTACTGTCGTTTCCTTTATTCTCCTTTTTTCCCAGAAGGCTGTGGGTCATGATCTGGATTTTGCCCATAGCTTAAAATAGTACTAGGACATTTCCATGGAACAATACATTGAATAGGGTTTAAATATAGAACAAAAAAAAAGTAGATGTACTTGTGTGTACCTGACGACAATGTTTATTTATAAATGATACAAAAATGGATTTATTCATAATGAAGTCTCCACAAAGAGACAGAGAGAGAGAGACAGGAGAAAAAAGACAGTAGTTTATAAATGAGAGCCATACAATTTAGCAACCAAAATAAGGACATATTGTCGTTGCTCGGCCTATATAGAAAGAGGATATCAATGCCACACTCTCATCTTTATTTCATAGTAACTTACGGGACAAGCCACGCTTTCGTCGTTGAACTGTTATTTTCTTGTCATTTTGAGGGCTTTCTCTTGCAAAGATCAGCAGAGCGTTTAACAAGATGGCAATGTAGAGAGCAAGGTAGAATTTATTCATTGAAGTTTAAAAAAGAAAGGAAGAAAGAAAAGGGAAGAAAGTAAAGAAAAGATTTGATTTATAGTTTTGTTTTTCGAATAAAAAAAAAGAGAGGTAATTTATATTCATTTTAAGGGGTGGAGTATCCTTAAATGGAACATCCATGGTTCGGTTGCTCTGTAACAAACGGGTATGTACATAGATGAACTTTTTGTTTTACTAAATAAGGCACTTTTTGACAGTAGAGAGAAGTAGAGATCCTGTATAGTATAAAACGTGTTATTTATTATCATTTCCTTTTTGCTATTTTAATAAAATCTCGTCAAAACGTGTGAAAGAATGTATTTAATACATCATTTCTCCTTTTTTTTGGATCGTTCATTGTTTAAAGGCTATTTCATTTATCCTTTCATTGTTACTAAGGCTTAACCCGGCTCTGGCTCCAATCCCGAGCTTTACTCCTTAAACGATGAACAAAGAAATGTTAAATTGTTACGTGACAACTCTCTTGCATCGTTACTGTAATATAACGTATTTCACTATGCTTATTGACAACCATCTGATTTCCTAAAGAAGAGATACATGCATCTCGATGCAACTTACCGTCCCAAGGATTACCTGGGGCTTTGGTTGGTTCATTCCATGTATACCGTATACACACATATACAGATGGACACATGTCTCAAAAAGAACTGTTTGCCTATCAGTTACACAAATTGGCGCATCTCTCTCTCTCTTTCTTTCGTTGTTTCCTCGTACGTGTGTCCTTTGCAGACACACTCTCTCCCTCTTCCTCTCTCTCTTTTCTCTATCCAAGCTGTGTATGTGTGAATAGGGTTACTAGCTTCTCTTTTGTTTATAGAAAAAGATAGATAATGCATATGCAATGTATATGCTTCAAAATCTTTTAATAGATATTGACCACAGTTTCTATTTATTTATTCATTCCTTGGCAACCGAAACGACAGATCGAATACTAAATAACAGAATGAATAAAATGTGAAGAATTCAATTTTAACGAGCTTACCAATTTCCAGAGTGCATAGCGTCAAATGCGTCATTGATATGATCCAAATCAAATGTATGAGTGATAAATTCATCAATCTTCAGCTGACCATCAAGATATTTTTGGACAAGTCCACCCATCTCACTGCGACCTTTGACACCTCCAAAGGCAGAGCCACGCCAGACACGGCCTGTAACCAATTGGAATGGACGAGTACTGATTTCCTTGCCTGCAGCAGCAACACCAATGATGACAGACTCACCCCAACCCTTATGACAGGCCTCAAGGGCAGATCGCATCACGTCAACATTACCAGTACAATCAAATGTATACTCCAGTCCGCCATCGGTGATATCTACTAGATAGTTTTGAATGGGTGTACTGGGATGATCACGGGGATTAACGAAATCAGTAGCGCCGAACTTTCTGGCGATCTTTTCCTTATCAGGGTTGATGTCGACTGCAATAATACGCCTACAAATTATTTTGCATGAATAAAGTCTTTATCTTTGCCACGTACTCCTTTTATTTCTTCCTTACCTGGCCTTGTTTGCCGCAGCGGCTTGGATCACACTCAAACCGACACAGCCGACACCAAAGACAGCTACAGAATCGTTTTCACCGACCTTGACAGTCTTGGTGGCAGCACCGTAACCTGTAGTGATACCACAACCCAAGAGACAAAGCTTTTCTAAGCTAGGTTTAGGATCGACCTTGACAACAGAGACATCAGCAACGACTAAACAAGAGCATAAGTTTGACTCGACTCATTTTTGCATACCATTGTTACCTGTGTATTCTGAGAAAGTAGAAGTACCCATGTAGTGATAGATGGGCTTTCCTTTGCATGTAAAGCGAACTGTTTCATCAGGCATCAAACCACGACCTTGAGTGGCTCTAACGGAGCTACAAAGGTTGGTTTTGCCACTAGTGCAAAACTTGCACTTTCTGCACTCGGCGGTATAAAGAGGAATAACATGGTCGCCAGGAGCAACATCAGTCACGCCTTCGCCAACAGACTCTACAATACCTCCGCCTTCATGACCTAAAATAGCAGGGAAAACGCCTTCAGGGTCTTTGTACAAGGGGAACATTAGTCTACGCTTTCAAAAAATTTTAAAGCCTTACCAACGCCAGAAAGAGTATATGCGTCCGTGTGGCAACTAGGTATAGGTTATCAAAAGCACGCGTTCATATACAGCTTTACTATACTTACACGCCAGTATAGAGTATTTTGATACGAACTTCATGAGCCTTGGGTGGAGCAACTTCGACTTCCTCAATGCCTTCATGTAATGTAAGCTCATGTCACAATTTAGTTTAGACTCACTTACTTAGAGGTCTTCTTGCTTCCCAAGCAACAGCAGCACGACATTTTATAACCTTTATATCGAGTTATTATATGATATATGTGCTTACTTCTTTCATACCTGACCGGCAGTAGACATGATGAATAATTAAGAGCGGGAAAGAAAAAAACAACCACGCTTCTGAGCCTGTTATCTTTACTTTCAATCACCGAAGACTGCATGATTGACAGCCGCAGCTTCAGCAAGTCATCTTTTATATCAAGCATGATTAAAATATTTTTACAGTGTTTAGAGGGCTTGTTTCATTTGCCTCCTTTGTCGCAAAAAAGGAGGCCAATTGGGCGTCTTGCCTTATTTTTGTATTTTTGCGAGGCAACAAAAAAGAGATCCAAAGAGGGGGAAACTGTAAAAGACGAGCTTGATATAAAGCGTCGTTCGTTTAAATGTACATACGGAAAAGTGATAGTATGATCCACCTGTCTTTTATTTAAAAAGTCGAGATTAAGTTCATGCCTTATAAGCTTGAAACTACACGTTTGAAGGGAAGGGTTAAAGTAAAAAAAAAAAGGGTTTCCTAATTTTTGCAAGGGTTCCCTTTTGGGCTGCAAAGCACGGAGATCGATCGACTTGTCCATCAGGGATATGTTTGATGACTAAAGGAAAACAAACATTTATGTTTTTAATTGAACCTTACACAACCATTTTTTTGATCTCCTAAGTATACTTGCTACAAAAACGCCATTTTACTGCCTCTGTGACAAACATGTGGCTCGGAATACGTCTACAATATACTTTCAAGAAATATCTGGAGAAGGTTCAACTGAAATATCGTACGTTCTCGATGTCCTTTCAAGCCATTTTGTCGATCCTATCTGGTATACATATGCTCAACTTGTGAAACTTGGGAAAGATTGAGCAGATCGTTCCTATGGTTGGAATGTACAATAGGAGTATCATTGAATCATTGTATATGACATATTATCCCTTATTTGGTAAAAACGTTAGGGCTCTAGTTTATTAGGAAGGAGAACTGTTGCGCCATTGTTTAACGCAAGCTTCAATGCACGCAATAAGGAAATATTCTGACATCCACCTTCTGTCAAATACATCTTTGCAAGATGCCACATGATACTCATAAAACCACGAGCTGGACGATTTGAAATCGTTTTTGTAACAGCCTGCTGTAGTAATTTGAACACTAAAGGAATGACTGCTATTATCTGATTCTTCTTGGTACCGAAAATGAGTGAAACCTCAAAAGATCACCGCTTTTTCCTTCAATCTTTCTTGGAAACACGGTTCTCTTGGTAGAGGCGTTTGTCACAGATGCTTCCGAGTTTTATAATTAGTTTCGAAAACCTCAATTTTAGGGATTATCGGCCTAGTATTAGATGTATAGTCATAATTGTTCATTGATTATTGGTAACTGTTTATTCAATAACCTTGTATCAAGAATAACACGTATCTTATCCGTTTTATTACCATCCATATTTCTTTTGCGCAACAGTTACTGGAAAGTTCCAAGTAGAAGGAGTGTCTCTGGTAATGATACCATCCTTTAGCCAATTGTTAATGCTTACCTTTATCTTAGGCTACATAAAGTAAGGAATGGGGTACTGCCTGAAATTGACGTAGAAATCGGAAGGAGTAGGTAAGAATAATACAGTTTCAGGTAAGTTACAAAGTGTATTGCTACAAGCTTTTTGTTTGTCTCAATATATGGAGTCAAGGCGGTGAAAATAGCTTTTTGTTCTTTATCAGTTCCATATGGGCTAACATTAGGCTCATATGGCTTGTCATCCATTGAATCATCAACTCTAGTCATTCTTTTATACTTGAATGCCACATTAACTAAATGAATATGCAATTTAAGCATAAGATCAACACCATCCAAAATTTTATCTTCATACGACATAATAAAACTGTCAATGATATCAAACCTACGTTGGATTGGATGCTCAGCACCATCATAATCGACAGAAACGAAGTCAATGGTTTGTATACTTGCGGTAATTCTATCGCCAGCAAGGATGAGATGACTAGGAATTGGATGTTATGCTTTGTAGCGAAATCCTTATTAATGACGGAAACATTTGCACCTGTATCCATGATACATAGGAACAGTTTCGGTGGACTTTACAGAAGCAGAATTCATTCGAAAAAATGTGATATTATCAATGAAAAGTAGTTTAACTCTGGAAACTAGAACTACAGCAAGACATAATGAGTCTCTTTGTAGCCTTTTATTAACAGAGTAAGGAAGAGATCCATGGCAAAAAGGAAACTGGCATTTAAAAATAAAGAGTAAAAGTTTTAATATGACTGTTGTCAATTACAATAGACTATAGATGCCATGAATCAGTGTTGTAAGCTTAGTATAAGGCATTATGTTAATATTTAAGATGACTTTGGCTTATATACGAAATATATATTGATTATATTACGTCAAAGAGTGTAATCTTCGATATAAACGTAAATATACGACAGGAGGGATCGCATACACGCCAAACATGCGAATAGTATACTATAGTATCGTTCTATTTGACCTTAGGGAACGACCTCTGATATATGGATGCTCCTTGGCTGGATACTACTTGGGAATTATTGATCTCTGTTGCGTGATTGACTGTGACATGCTTAGAATTTTGCTTCCTATCGAGAAAAACCATTGTGAAACCAGCTTTTGATAAACAGCAACAAATATTATCTCAATTGATTCGATAAATTGAGCAAGAGAATCTTTATTAATAACCTTTACAACAGTTACATTTTCAAAAAAATGAGGGGCCATATTATCCTCCCCTGTCCCTTAGTTCTTTATTGCTTTTATTGATGATTTATTGGAAAGATTATGATTGTGTCGCGCTGTTTGCTGATGAAAAGTCTTTTAAATCACGGACAGATGAGATAGTAAATACCGAGAAGGTAAATGCACTATGGGCCCCAAAGTTGAGATACAAATATAAAATTAGTATTTACTGCATCATTTTTTCTAGTCAAACTTACCCTAGGTATTATAGCCAGCGGATACAGGCTTTACCACGTTTCCTGTATAGAAAGTGGCAGCAATTTGATCGAATTGACCAGTCTATGATGGACTGATTACTCATGAAATCTACACTGTCCAGGTTTCTACCATTTCGGAAGGAAAGCACTACATGCACCAGAAAATAAAACAGAAATTAGATTAATCCTACGTGCGCTATCTCCTGATACTACCTATGATGTTGTCCAGCAAAGCTTTCCACTGTGTAGCGTCAAGCTAAACATGACTTTATAAAGTGACCAACTTGTTTTGTTTCTTTTCAAGAAGAAGAAAGAGATAAAAAAGAAATGTTGTTATTTTATTCTAATTTTATTTATGTTGTCAATTTGTTTAACAAAGAACCAAGATCAATCACGTGTACGTATGATAAATCCGTATTCATTATTTAGCCTATTTTCTGGTGCACGTAGCGTTGGCCATTCAAAGTGTAATCTTAACCATGCTGTTAACCCGACTTACAAAAGTCAACCTTCTCATTCTGAATAAGTCAGTGTAAGCCTATTTGAGCTTAAAGAAGGTGCTTATTTATTTTGTACGTTGATCAATCGCCTTATTGTTGTATTTCTTTTGCGTCGTGAATGCTTTTATGGTATAAATTACCTGTTCATTAGAACAGTAAACAACATAACTTTTGGTGTCTCTCTTTCCGCTAATTTTTCATATATTTCATATTTTCCATGCATTAGATTTTGTCAGATAATTATTTAAAGAAAGTTGGAAATTAAAGATCCTCAAACAAGATAGCTAAGTACCAATGCCTGTAAGAAAGGGTGCTATTTCTAAACAGATAATTAACATTATAAGAATGAGGTTTGAATGGTTATACTATCCTAATGCGCTGAGGCATATTTGTATAAATTTGTTTAAGAAGGTAACTACAAATATTTAATAGCTCGTATTTCACTTTGGCTGGGCAAAGAACATACCCTCTAGCTTAAGACTATAAAAAAAGCAAAGAAAAAGTGAATCTGGAGCCTCTTTTTGATTTTGAATCGATTTCATTTTGACTTGCCACTGACAACAATACTACCGTCATATAAGGAGAATAATAATTCATCATTTCCCTAGCAACAACGTGATGTAGATGTATCACTGAAAATGTCAACGCTTTAATCCATATGGAAATATCGTCCTTGATAAAATGAACTGCAAGTTTATGCAGCTGTTCATTCCATCAAAAATAACAATTACAACGAGTCCACCTTAAACATGGGCGTACAACTACTAATAGCTTGGCGCATTATGTGAGGCTGTGGTTACACAAGTATATGAGGTTTGCCCTGAACACCTTTTTTTTTATTCTCTTCTTTCTTTTCATTATTCTATTCATTTGTTTTTGTGTTTACTAAATAGAAGCCACGCACGCTCACTCCTTTTTTATTATGGACACAGAAAAAATGAATACAAGGCAGGAATCATCTGTTGATGGCGCAATTGGATCACCTACTCTAGAAGCACTTTACCATGACTTGGACATGTTCATCAACGAGTTAAATTTAAGTAGTGATCAAAGACGTAGCTTTGACCAAGTTAATCAAAACGTAAGTCTAAAGTTTGCTATTTGGGAGGAGAGATATTAAGTGTTTACTCGTTCAGGGGGGATACGAAGACGAAACCCAAGGATACTCTCCAGTTTTAGAAAATTATACACGATTTAGTACAACAGAATGCATTGAACAACCAAAAAAGCCGACGATTATTGAAGAAAAGCCTCATCAAACTACGCCACCTGTCTCACCATCGTTTCTCAGAGTGAACAATAAAGAGGATTATATCTTTACGACCAGAACAAGTTCATTGAATCGCACGATATCTTCATCCTCAGGAAGATCGCTCAACAATCGTATTCCACCTTCACCCAAAATCATATTCTCAAATCCTACATCTCCTTTAGCGTTTGAGATGCCAAATGTGCTTGAGGATGAAGTTGTGTTCCCTAATTATGCTCTTTTATCTTTTATATCAAGCAACTTTATTACTGCCGTCAGGTCCTTAAATGAACGTAGAAGAATATTCTGTACAGCGGAATATCCCCTTAGCTTTAACGGTGAAGAAGCTATAGTATGTTTGATGGATATATATATGCATGTATACTAACGATCATCTCAGGATTTACTTCGCTCTTTTCTACCTGATAGCTTAGCCACTTCAATCTACCTCAAGGTTGCTCGTGCCCTCATGAAGACTCATCCTCCTTTAATTGCACCAATCCCATATTCGGAAAAATCCGTCAGAAAGAACAAGTTGTACAACTCTACTAATGAAATCTATACACTTCTTACCACAGACCAAGAGATCCAGGGCGTCTATACACCACTCACACGCTGTTATTCAATTTCCTGTTTACCAGGTCAGCCTGAATGTTACTCTCCACTCTGTCCAAATAGACTACTTCAGCAACCGGATAACATCCAACAAAAGTTGATGGCTCCATCTGTTGGGTCATCTGTTTCTCATGACACAGTAAGTTGAAAAGATGAGTACATATCTGATACTAAGTTTTACTAGAGCATTTCCCGTGCATGGTCAGCAAGTGTATCAAAGGAAATATTGATGTCGTTACCCAAAAATGAAATCAGCAGACAGGAGGCTATTCATGAGCTTATTTATACAGAAGAAGATTATGTGCGTGACTTACGGCTTTTGGACGAGGTAAATACTTTTTCTTTTTATTTAAGGAAGCTTTTTTTTTAAAACACTATAAAAGCTCTATGTAAAAGAATTGCTCAATGCACAATGTATTGAAGAGTCAAGAAGACAAGAGTTTTGCGACAAAGTGTTCAACAACTATAAAGACATTTTGGATATACACAAAGAACTTTGCGATGACCTCAAAGACCATCAAGCTTACTGCCAGTCCATCAGTGCGATTGGTAGTGTTAATCAAGTGGGTGATATCTTTTTGAGACACGTCAACCGCTTCAAGGATGCCTACTTGAGATATGGTCCTCAGGTTGTCCTGGCTGAATATGAAGCTAAACGTGAAGCCGAAACAAATATACTATTCCAGAACTTCATTAGAGAAAAGGAAAAAAGAGCAGAAAGCAGAAGGTTACCATTCCGTCATTTTATCATTTTGCCTGTGACTAGACTCCAACGTTATTCATTATTACTGGATGCTGTATTGAAAAAGACACCAGACGATAACCCAGACAAGGTTCATATCGCAACATGCATAGACATCATCAAGGGAGTTGCGACAAAAGTAGACGAAGCAACTGTAGAGACGAAAAATACACTCCGTATCTATGAAATTAACCAACGTGTTCGATTCAAGCCGGGAGAACCACATGAACTCGATTTGCTGAAACCAGGAAGAAAGTTGATCAAGGAAGGAGTGCTGACTCGCAAATCTCATTTGGTTGTGGAAACGATTGAGTTGCGTGTATTCTTGTTTGACCATCTTTTATTGATGACCAAAGAGAAAAAGGCTCCAAATAAGGCAGATGATGTAGAATATGTTGTATCAAAGCGGCCTATACCGATGGAATTATTGCACATTCAAGAGGCTACCGAAGGCTTCTCTATCGGTTTAAGAACGATGAATAGCACAGCGACATCTACCTATGCCTCTTCTTCTTTGCTTTCACCCACAAATGGATCGTTTGCAAACGCACCTTCATCTTCACCTTTTGGAGGCAATAGTCACCCTATCCTTATTCAGCATCTCGGTAGACACGGTGCAGACTATATGCTCTATGCCGAAAGTGCTGCCTCACGCGTAGAATGGAAAGAAAAAGTAGTAGAAGCTAAAGCAATGCTAGAAATGGCTAATATGGACAAACGCGTGTTTGAGATCAGATCATTGAGCGACACAACCTTTGGTGGATCAAATGCATCTAGTTTACATAACCATGGAAAAGTAACTTGTACAGTGCCATTTAGTAAGTAACACTATTCCCTTTTGGGTATTCTGGTCTCAAACTTTTTTTTTTTATTGTAGCAAGCTCAACAAATATCCGTATGATCGCTGTGGGTACACAACAAGGTATCTGGATGGGCATTGAGGGTGATACAAACACGATAAAGTTGGTCCTTTCCATATCGGATGTGACCCAGATCGCTGTGTTGGAAGATCATCATATACTACTTATTCTTGCAGGTAAATATACGAAGATGTATTATACGATGGACACTGACGATGATCAGATAAAACTCTGTATGCCTATGCATTGGATCCCCTTGTTCCAAAAGATTCTCGTCGAACGACTGTAGACAAGCCACACCAAAAGGTCGCCCAGCACATCACATTTTTCCACGCGGGCGTCTGTAATGGCCGCACGATTGTTGTTGCCATGAAAAAGCGCGGTGTTGACAGCAATTTCAAAGTACTTGAGCCTGTCTGTGGTGACTTACGTGATCCAAACAATAGCAAAAAGTTCTTTGCCAAGTCTGGTCTTTTCAGCAAGATGCCATCGTGGTTCAAGAGTTATATGGAGTTTTATATTGGTACAGAATCTTATTCATTGCACTTTTTGAAGGCTCGACTGGTTGTGGTGTGTGCAAGAGGATTTGAAATTATCAACCTAGAGGCACTTAGCATGAACCGTAACTTACCAGACCCTACTCATCCTGACTTTGCCTTTGTACAGCAAAAAGGTCAAGAACTGCGGCCATTGGGCATGTTTAGATGTAAAGAAAACTATTTGTTATGTTACGATGCATTTGCCTTTATGGTAAACACGCACGGATCCTATGTACGTGAGACTCCTTTGATCGAGTGGGAAGGTGTTCCACAATCAGTCGCGTTTTATTATCCTTATGTCATTGGTTTTGATCCTCGATTTATTGAAATTCGCCATGTAGAAACGGTAAGTGAGATGTCCATAGTACTCATATGATAAACTCATTCGTCATAGGGTGAGCTCGTACAAGTATTGGCTGGTATACATATGAGATGCCTTCAGTTTATCAATAACGCAATAGCACCAGTGATTCATGGCTGTATGGCACATCCTTTCAAGCCTGATTTCCAGTACGTATTTCAGTTGGTAGGCACCTTTGAACCACCTTTATAATACTCTTTTTTTTTGCATACCATTTTTATTTGCTTTTATCTTTTATATTTATCTTTTTATATATTTATTATTATTATACTTAATTGCTGTCTTGTTGGCTGGCCCCCTTTTTTTGCATTTTTTTTCCTTTCTATAAAAGTAGTAAAATTGCTTGATTTTATTTTATAAATGACTTTACATTGCTCAGTCTAATAAAAGAAACGATTACCAAGCTTTGTAAGGACTTAATATATCTTTATGTCTCTTTAGTAAATACTTTCAATTTGTATCAGTTGACAAGTATGCACAACCAACGATGCAGCTGTGTTTCGATAAATCTAAACTTCCCCCTCTCCTTTTTACTCTAGATTTTTGTTTGGGCATTTTAGAGAAATAACTACAAGACAGAGTGCATAATTGTTTATTATTGCTCATAGTTTACGTCGGCTGATTTGCTTTAATAGTTTTTTTTAGCCCTAAAATTAGAGGTGTGAGGATAAATATTCATCTATGGTCACCCTACCACTACCACATCTTTGGCAGTTTCCGAACGTTTCAGGGATCAATAAAAGCCTCTCTTAGCGCAGGGAGAGGCTTCGTAGCCATGTTGAGGGCATTCTGTAAAGACAGTTTGTTGCTAAAAGGTTTATTTATATTTATGCTTTTTTACAATGATACTTATTTTTTGCACATGCGTGGAGAAAATTATTACTCTACCCCCAAATTTCTCTTTTTTCTTTTTGCCAAATGACAATGCGCAATACACATTTCGTTGAGTGAGTCTTTTATTCAAACAATCATCAAGTTTAAGAGATACAATATATGCAAAATCCTTTAAGGATATTTTTGAGGATATGATGGCATGCGTCACGCGTTACAGTATGTTTATCAAGGTTTCTTCATCTAATATATCAACATAATAAAAATATGGTTCTAAGTTGCGATGTTGCATTGACGTGGGAGCCATAACGCATTGTATGGAATACACCGGTAAATCACACTACTTCGACAAAAATCGACCATGACCAAGGGGGTAAGTCAGAGAATGCTGTAATTTGTCCAAAGGAAAATAATTGTAGCCAAAAGGGAATGGTTTCGTTCAGCTGCAACGATAACTGGTTACACCTAGAGAAGAAATGATGAAAAGTTAGAAAATGTTTAGTTCTGAGCCCATTTGAAAGCTGTAAACAGAACTTGACACCAAGTTTCCAACCTACAAACTCATAATAAAGGATGTCTTGCAAGGTTCAGTTTCAAAGGTGTTCAGTTGGTGAGTAGCCAATCTACTGATCCAGAGCATCCGTTTACAGTATTCATGCTGAGCTGAACTGAAGTAGTCACAGCTTGAAAACGCCAATTTCCCTTTTTGATCATTCTCTCCGTTTTGAGGCATTGGTTGTAGTTGTGGTTGTTGTTAGTACTCGTGTAAATGTAGAGAATAAAATCAAAGAGATGATGAATCTCTGTTTTATTAGAAGTGAAAGAAGAAGCTCATAGCAAAAAGAAATTAGGTTGTTTTAAAGGAGCTTGGAGTACTAATTAAGGCACATGCAAATTAAGTCAAATGTGATCCCACACGTAAAGATTAGTATTAGACATGGTCAAATACGACACATTTGACTATATATTATTATTCTACGTTTATCTGTTTATCCTTTCTTTCCACTCTATTTGTGTAAAACTCATTATATTGTTAAACTACCAAAACCAACATAATAGGTATACTTTCCTACTATTAAATCTGCAGGTTCAATTGCTCACTTTAATATAGTGAATTCTATCTAATAAAATAATTGCTTAAGCCCAACCAATACATAACAGGGCTCACGCCACAGGGATTCCCACACTCAAGTTCTTTCACCTCTTTTCCCACTGATTTGAGGAGCAAACGACAAAAACGACAAAGGATCATCGCGAGTGATGCCCAACGGTGTATAGATAACAAGGACAATCTCACATGCAAGGCATTTGCTGAGCACCATATCTTACTGAGCAAACAGTATGCCGTAAATCGATACCAGAGCATCATTCCTCGTTACCTCGCGCAATACAAAATCAAGTTAATGGAAAACCACAGCAATTGGAAACGAACAAGTGATTTTACGCTATATTGGTTGGAAAGGAAGCAACTTAGAGCCCGGTTAGGTACACAAGAGCCCTGCTCGAACTACGTAGAAAATGTATTAGGGGAACAAACAGCAACCCTGACCACAAGCTTCCAGTCAACAACTCTGCCGCATACAAATGATACACGATCTGTTACCTCTGACAATGTAGAATTCACGCCTTTCAATGTTATCTACAGACATGATCATGTAGAAGTCAGTAGCTCTTCGCCTTTACTTACAACCACTCTTCGACTATCGACCTTGGAGAGGGAAGACGATGGTCCTGTTTCACCTTCATCAGCAGTCTCTGCTTCCTCATCAAGGAATATCAACGCTAGACCAGTCGTGCCCTGGATGTTCAATGGCTCAAATATGGCCGAATTGTTCCAAACATTCCAACACAAAGTAGCGGCATTGTCAAGAGCAAACTTACTCCAAATTGAAACATCCATTCACGAAATCCTCGCTTTATTACATATCTTCCTGATATGCCCTAGTCAGCACAGTAAACAAATTATCGACGTTTTCTTCAAGGAAAAATTATATGATGTTCATCAGAGCTTTGTACAAAAATCGATGGACAAAAATATAGACATTACGGATGGAATCTGCGCGAATATTGCCCGTATTATCGATTCAGTTGAGCAGAAGGTTCGATCTAAAGATGAGGCAACTGCTCTATTATCACGACTCTGTATCAACTTAGATGAACACGCTTCCTCAGTGATTCATGGAATCATCAAAGCCATGGCTGAGCTGCCTCTGCAAGCTATCAGCAACAAAACATCAATTGTGTCGTGTTTACATGGATCAGCCAATAGACGACGTCAGACATTTACAGTCGTCATCCCTCGTATATATATTCAGGTCGTATCCTCATTTATTAGTTCTTCTCTCAGACTTATAATAAAATAGTAATTGTTAGCTACTGACTCTTCACTGTTTTACAACTATATAAGCATAAATATCACAGATTGGCGAGTACGAACTTCCACCCCGTATTGTCCAGCATATTATCCAACCCTGACAAATAAGTCCTTTTACGATGGACAAATATTGAAACCGATAGTAGCGCAAAAAAAAAAAGACCAGACGCAACGATTACAAAGCTGAATCAGTTGGCGTTTGGGTACAGTCTGGGATTTGAAGAAGCAAAGATTGCTCAAAGCACGCCTGACAAGTATAATTTCTGCTATGATCTGCTTCGCTTAGCATTGTTTTGCAAAGAAACTATCGACAAAAATCAGTTGAATGCTTCGTTGGCCTTTCAAATACACGGCTTTTCAGTGGTCTTTTTCTTAATGCGGTTGGATCATGATGGAATATACTATTTGTATGAAGTTGGCAAGTTATCATTCTCTCGTTCTCTGGAAGAATTGCCTGGCTTTGTCTCTTTGAAAAACTTGAACACACTGATGCGGATTTCTGAAATGTTTTGGCGCATGTGCAAGCCTGTTTCCGCTCAGGGCGTCGATACCCTGAGCGACAAATATCGGCCAATCCATCCCTCGCTTTATACTCTCATCGATGGCACTAAGAATCGACACCGAGTATGTGCTATGTATTTTGGCGACTAGTTTTTTTTTTTTTTTTTACTCAATAATCGACTTCAGTGTAATACTTGTATCAAAGATAAAATAACCAAGTTATAAGTGAGATTCAAATTTAATGCCCTCTATCATATGAGAGTGTTTCGCAAGTCAAAGATGATGTCTGTCTGCTACCCTTTCATACCGATGATCGTGATATTGTAAATGGTCCAAATTTTCTTCATTGGTTGACAGATTTCAAATTAACTATAAAAACGAAGAGATATAAACTGGATGTACAGAATTGTAAAAGTGAAAGAGCCGAAAACATGAGCAATTTTTTGAGTCACTGTTTTATTAAATTGATCTTTTATTTAGACAGTCATTATACTTAGAGATAGAATATTTACAACACCCTTTGAGGTCGCTTATCAGGATTTGATTGCACGCGTCACGGATTCTGCTGGTTAAGGTTTCTTCATCCAACAGTTGCTCCCTTTTCAACTTGCTCTTGCACACTGACTAAAATTGCTCGATGGGATTTAGCTCTGGTGAATATGGAGGGAGATAGACGCAACTGTATCCACGGCGTTCAATGTATTTCTGAATATCAGCATTCTTATGAATAGGTGCATTATCCATAATAAGGTAATGATCTCTGAATTCCTCGTGCTGATCCATCATATCCAAATTGCTAGCAATGAAGTTAAAGTAGTGTCCCGTAACCGTGCCACCTTTGCTGTTCTCAGCAATTTGATAACGACCTGCCGTTTTTAATATGACATGTAGCTTCGTCAATGTACACACAATTACTAGCATAGTCTATATCGGTTTCCATCCATCTCTTCACCCATTGGAATCTCTCTTCAATTTTCTCAGAACAATTTCTTTTAACCGAGTGAAAGTGAGCTTTTTTGAGGCTAATCCTGCATTTCTGGTCACAAGGTTGTAGAGAGCAGCCCAGCAAACTGTTCGATTAGGCTTGCCATCATCTGATCCAGCACAAGCGAAGGATTTTCGTCTATCTTGTCTACCAGGAACTGCTTATGTTCTTCCCCTAGTATCGCCGGTTTTCCTATAAGTCTATAGTTTCCTGTCTTTCTTTGTATCTCGTAAGTCTTCCTGAACTTTTTGTACCCAATGCTGTGCTGTACGTGGTTTGATTTGAAGTTACAATGCTGCAGCTCGGACCATCATCCCTTTCTCATACACCAAATAAAAAGCTGTTCTTTTTCCATACCTTTGTAGTGCTTGTTCGATACACGACTGGACTTCTTGTTCAGAACACCATTTTTGACGGATTCGTTGTCTTCCTCTTTTTTTACTTTTATTTTTGTAGTCTTCAACGATTCGTTGTAATCGGTAACAGATTCTGCTGTGTACACCACGTCGTCAACGTCCATATCCATTTGAATAATGTCTTTTCCGGTTTCATCTTGCATATTCCCACATCCATTCGTTATAAATAAAGGTAGTCATTTACTATAAAAGTTATTTTTAGAAATGCGTAAAATTATTATTTTCTCATATGTCATTTTCCTCGTCATGTGCAAAAATGAAGTAAATAAACTCAAAAGGATAAACGTCATGGTGCTGCAAGTGGGTTATCCTTCATTCATTATTTGCAACATTATAAAGCATCTATATTGTGAGGGTTATTATGTCTTTTGATTGTATTTTATTAAACATTGTATGACTTCAACCAATATTGCAAGAGTAAAAAGAATTATATAGGAACTAGGTTTACTTTTACATTTTCCCTTCCTTTTTCTTTGAAGGCTCCAATCTACTGTAAAGAAAAGAAGCTCGCACTTCTTCTATAATGTAGTCATACATCTCGCTTCAGGTTATTTACAAGTAAGATGTTTACAGTCATACAGCTTTTTCTCAAAGCACAATTTTTATTCGTTTGAAAATTAACTTCGTATTGTTCATATTTTTAACCGTCTACTTTTAGGTTAAATGACAGTATCTTTACCTTCTTTTGCAGCCAATTCTTTCTCAACTTGCTTCATCTTTTCATACAAACTAGTCAGGTCTTCGAAAGTGACGTTTCCTGGGAAATACTTTGTGGTATATTTCCAGAGAGACTGTGCATAATTGGGTTCATGAGGTCGCCTGGCAATCTGCTCTTCAATATGTTTGCCAATAGCGCCAATGCACTCTCTGATCATCTTTGCCTTCTTAGCTCCTTCTTCCTTTCTTGAATCGTATTTCAAGCGATGTAGATGTCGCTCAACAGGAGCCATACTACGGGATGTCTGACTAGAGCTTTCTTCGTTGCTCTTTCTTCTTCTTTCACTTTCATGGCGCTTAGCAGATCTTTCTTCTGTATCATCTGATCTATGCTTTCTCTTGCGATCATAACTACTACTACTACTACTCTGACCCTGACTATGGCTATGACTATTACTACTACTATGACTATGACTATGGCTCTGACTCTGACTACTACGACTACTATGATTATGACTGCTATGGTTATTGCTCTTTTGTCTATGGTCTTCAGGGGTATTTCTTGAAATAGCAGATTTGCTGGAAGAAGCAGCTCCACTCTGCATTTGCTTTGAAGATGATGATGATGATGATGATGTATGCTTATGTTTAGATGGAGAAAGATTGCCGCGGTTTGAAGAAGTGTTTGAATGCTTAGATGAATTTGGTACTCGCTTTGTGATTGAACCTTTTTTTTCTCTCCTCAATTCTTCTTCTTCAGCCAATATCTTCAGCATCTGGTCTGCGCGACGTACCAAATGAATAGCCTTTGGCGTTCTCTTATCTTCATCGTTTGTTGAAATAAAAAACTTATCCTGGAGCCCCAGGGGAGTATCAGCTTGAATCATTTGCCAAGACCCAAATCCATACTTATGCACGCCCACCAAGAGCATAGCATCTTCTTTGGGTCCCCAGTTACAGGACCAGCCTTGCACGCGCTTTGCTAAAAGAGGCACACGGAATTTGGTCATGTCTGTCATCAGGGCCATCCTTCTCGCCAGTATCTTCATGTCATGATGTCTTTGCAGCACCTGGCCAGCATTCACACTTTGGATATCCTTCCAGGTAAATAGAATGGCCTTTTGCTTGGTATGTCGAAGTTCTTTCAAAAGATCAGAATAGGCGACCTGCTTGTTCGCTGGAAGGCTTTTGGCTTTCAGGATTTGCTCACGCACCTTTGCTTTACATTCAGAAATTAAATCGTGATAAAGATCAATGATTGTGTCCTTCTTCTTGGCACCAAGGTCAAAGTCAGACGAGACCTCATCATAACGATCTTCAAGATCGCCATACTTCAGCACTGCACGAACAACCGCACGACGATCGCGCTCAGAAAGCTCACTTGAGTGTCTTTTGTTGGAGGATGAAGAGCCCGTTGTTGGTCGCCTTCGTTTCTTGGTTCCTTTGACGATTTCGCCTTCTTCTTCCTCTTCGTTCTCATCAGGATGGCTTTCGCTATACGTCACACGGCCCTTCTTGGCAGCACGGCTATACATGGCCTCAAGTTCTTGTTTGTCTTGTTCTTCTTTCACTTTCTGTACTTCAGACTGAGGAATGATATCCTCCCAGCTCAGGTCGTCAGCCGTTCCTCCATAGTCCGTAATCTTGAACTGTGCCAAAAAGTCATCAGAGCCAAGTGCGGTACCATCGCCTTCGTTGATGGTTTCAGTTTGTTCAGCACGAGCAAGGATATCATCAAGATCCATATCATTCAGTTGTTCTGTATGCTCGTTTGTCTGGAACATGTTTTTAGCACCAAACTTGAGAATGGCAGAGAGTTCTTGGTTCTTGAAAGGCAAATCGCGGTTTTTGCCAGAAGCGGTCTTTAAGGAGTGTTCGGCGAGTAAGGAGTAGCCAGAGGTGTCCATTTGCTTGATAATACAGTATTCCAATACCATCTTTCTTTTGGCGCGCTCAATGATATCTTCTTCCATCGTTCCCTTGGACACAAATCGGTACACGTTTACAGACTTAGTTTGACCAATACGATGGGCACGAGACATGGCTTGGAGATCGTTCTGAGGATTCCAGTCAGAGTCAAAGATGATGACCGTATCGGCCGTGACAAGATTGATACCCATACCGCCAGCACGGGTAGACAACAAGAATACAAAGTCAGGGCTATCAGGGGCATTAAAATGTTCAATAGCCTTGTTACGTTCCTCAGGTTTAGTAGAGCCATCAAGGCGCTGAAATGGATGGCCTCTGAGCAACATATAATCAGAGAGGATATCTAGCATCATGACCATTTGGGAAAAGATGAGTACGCGGTGGCCATCTGACTTGAGACGCGTCAACAGCTTGTCTAATAAAACCATCTTGCCACTGCTTTCGACGAGCCCTCTTAGTTGCTCAATTTTATCAGTTGTACGCTTTTCAGCATCAGGGAAAAGGAATGGGTGGTTGCTTGCCTTCTTGAGTTCAACAGCTATGTTGAGCCATTGTCGTTTGTTTTCACAGCTACTTTCCAAGAAATCAAAGTTTCTGGTCAAGATGCCTTTATAATAAGATTTTTGCATTTCGCTCAACTGGACACGCAGGATGCGTTCTGTCTTGCTTGGTAATGATTTTTCAACGTCTTTCTTTAGTCGACGCAACATGATGGATTTCAGTTTTTCATGAAGTGCCTTGATCTTTTCTTCTTGATTGGCATCTTCAACATCAAGGTCAAAGTTATAGTGGCTCAAGTCCATACTTGGCATCAAAAAGCGAACAAGGGCCAGGAGTTCCTTCACACTGTTTTGCAGAGGTGTACCAGTGATCAAGAGGCGGTTGGTGGTTGAGAAGCCAGAGAGGGCTTCATAGAGCTGTGAGTCAGAGTTCTTTAAGCGATGGGCTTCGTCCACAGCAAGGTATTGCCAGCGCATGTTGCCAAGAACGTCGCGATCCTTGAGGACGATTTCATAGGTAGTGATGAGAATATTAAACTTGATTTTGTTTGTATCCGAAACGTAAAACTCTGTGTTACGGATTGCTTCACGTGCAGCACGGTTACCCAGGTAACAGATGACGTTCATTTCAGGCGCCCATTGCTTGAATTCATTGATCCAGTTTTCAGAAGTGGACAAGGGAACCACAACCAAGAAGGGACCATAAAGCTGTTGCTTGTGATAGAGTACATTAAAGAAACTAATTGTCTGTACAGTTTTTCCAAGGCCCATTTCATCAGCAAGGATGCCGTTGTGGTTCTTGCACCATAGCCAATACATCCAGTTAACACCATGAAGCTGATAGTCACGGAGTTCACCACCCTTGATATAATCAGGCTGCTTCTTGAATGCTTGAAACGCAGGGCGTTGGTTTCTTGGGTATGTTGCTGAGCGGTGGGGTATCTTTAGGTTTTGTTCACGCTCCCAAAAGTCATCGATGGCCCATTGGTATTCAGAGGAAATATCAGAGGCATCTTCCCAAGTGCATTCATCATAGTTCAGACGCTTCCATTTGACAAAGTATTGATCAACAGGCTTGCCTCTTGCAGCAGTGACGCGCTCAACAGTAGACCAGTCTTTGATATCTTCACGGAGACGATGTAAATGAATATCCTTTTGCTCAATTTCTTCCTTTGTGGTTGAGCTGCTATTACGATAAGCCAGTTCTTCTTTGATACGATTGATATAATTTTCAACTTTGCGGAAACCTTTATATGAAGCAAGATAGACATAATTTTCCCAAGTGTTATGAAGGTGGGAGTAGTTTTTCCATTTGATTTGGTATTCAACATTTGTTTCAAATTGGATAGGGTCAGATTCTATAAAAAACAATAAGTACTAGTTTTAAGGTTTTTTGTTTACGGCTTACCTGTGCCTTCAATCTGACGATGGTCTAGAACCATTTCGATAGCATCTTCATCTTCATCGTTATCATTAGCAGCATGCATAGGTTGATCTTCTTCATCAGATAGACCATAGATATCATTGATATTGTAATTTGTTACTTTACGTGTACGTGTAGAGTGTCTTGAATAATCACTAGGAGAGATGGTCCCTAGAAAAACGAAAGGCCAGGTGAGCAAGAATTTTTTTTTGTTTACATGATCTACCTGAGCTACTCTTTTGCTTTAATTTTCTTTTAGAGGTCTTCTTTTTTGAACCCCAATCGCCGTCAGAGTCATCATCCTCTGATGGTTCAGGTTCTGTATCAGAAGTTGCTATGAATTGATGATTAAAATATGGTAGTTTAATAATAAATGAAAATAAGAACCTCTTTGCTTTAACTTTCTTCGTGTGCTAGTAGTAGAAGTAGAAGCAATGGTGGGGGTAGTACTAGCAGTCCTGGTAGACTTTCTTTTCTTTGTCTTTGAGGAGGATTCATAATAATCATCGTCAGAATCATCTGCGGATTCTTCACTTGCTGTAGTATATGCCTCTTCTTCTGCAGACATGTATGCATCATCACCGTCATCGTTATCATCTTCGTCATCCGTAAACTGATAGCGCACATATTTAGGATAGGAAAGTTTATTTTTACGTTCTTGGTCCTTACCTGAATGGTGTGTTTTTGACGATGTGAGCGGCGTAGGCCGTATAATTCAGGGTCATTGTAATAGGAATTGGTTTCTGTACTACCATTGTTCTGTTCAGTGACTTGTTCTTCATCAGAAGAGAGGGCAGAAGAGACAGGAGAAAGAGAGAGTTCATCATCAGTAGTCGTCATGGGAGCTATACTTCTAGGTAGTCGTTTCCCAGATACTCTGTTAAAGGGAGCTATGGACATGGTGTCATCTTCAGAGTCTGAAGTACGATCAGTATTGATGTTATGTACAATGTCTAAAGGGAAACATGTTAATAATCAACATGAGCGCGCGTGGTAAAAAGAGTAGGTGTGCATACACCTATTTGTTGCTTACCTGTGTTGTTGTTCATTTTATGTATATAAAAAAGAGATATAAGAGAGAGAGAGAGATAGGAAATATAAATAAGGAATATAGATTGAATAGATCTGCTCTCTTTTTATGAATGCGTAAAAAATATAAAAAAATATAAAAAATATAAAGAGGAAAAAAAAAAGGGCTTATAAACAAAACGAAATTTTAAATTTATAGATGTGTAAAGAGCTCTTTTATAGGATGAGTCGCTCTCCCTCTCTCTTTATATGAAGTACTTTTATATAAAAAGATGATCTATGTATATATAAATGTGGGGTAATTAAAGAGATCTTTCTCTCTCTTATTCTAAACCTTGAGTTGGATATGGAGCCTTGTCCACATGAACCAAGGGATCAAGGCAACAATTAACATGTAGCAAAGGTTGACTATAAATGAATTGATAGTGTTCATATATAATGTACGCATACTCAAGTTGACAATCCCTGTTAATACATTGGCCTGCATTTGATATTAGTGACTGAGTTCATTTGTGTGTGTATTCTAATTTACCAGTAAAAATGTAAAAAGACCATTGGCATTAATAGCTTCTAATAGTCCTGGTTGTTTTTGATCAGTGACTAATAATTCTATTGCCATAGAAGTAGTAATCAAGTAGATATTCAAAGATGCAACACATAGCACATAAGGTAGATTGGCCTTTAAGATATAAATAAGAAAAAAAAAAGGAGTGATGTACAAATTAGACCTACCATACGACGAGATATACCAAACTCAGGTTGTAACCATGTCCATAGGTAGCTTGAACCAACAAAGGCCAGTGAAGAGATATAACCAATGATGAGCATCTTTTTTTGTTTAGCAGGTTCAGAAAGTCTCTTTTGAAAGAGAATTTCACCACATTGGAGACCAAACATGAATATAGAAAGATACCCCATGAAGCTACAGACACCTTCTTTATTGGCGCTAATCACGTCTGTACGAGGTGCATTCAATATCCAGTCCTGCAAGCCCTGGTTGAGTGCATACTGATAGCCGATGATAATAGCAAACGCAGGCACAACAAATGGCATGTGTTTCCTCAAGAAGCCCAATAGGGTCACCATGGGCGGTAAAAAGCCAAGTGTGAAAAAAAAGTTCCAGTGTAATCCGTATTCAGACACATGCTCTTGATAATTTACGCTCTTGGTCAAAAAGAATCTTGCAAAACCTAGTACAAGAATAGCAAGCCCAGATCGAAGAGCCTTCATCAGACCAGGTTGATGGTGATTCAGATAAGATCTTGCTGCGACAACGCCAGACGAAAAGACAAAGGAACCTACGCCAAGATCCATCTTTAGACATATAAGTATCATCATTCAAATAATATATATATCTTATATACCAGGGATATGCCAAATGTTTCTACTTTGGCAAATCGACGAGGATAGAATTGAAAATCAACTGCTAGGATATCCATGCATGTCATCAGCATTAGACCAGCACGATAAATGGTTAAAAAGGGTCGATAGGTGCTTTTAGTATCCATTTTCTTTAATGGTTCTTGCTTTAATGACTTGAATATTTGATAAAAGATAAAACCCTTTCCGACAAAAATAGCAATATAACCATAACTAGAAGCCCACGTCTGAAGAGAAAGTAAAGGGACTACATAAATCATAAACTGAGTAAGAAAGGAATCAGGGTTGATCCTTTTAGACTTGACCAACACATTCCAAACGTAATGCGAAATCTGTGTATTTGTTAGATTATTACTATTCATCTAATCATTTCTCATTTTTCTAAACTTGCCAAGATGATGATGCCAATGTCAAAGATCTCATGAATTGTTCCGCCTGTACAATTCGAAACATGAGCTTCTTTGGCTAACTTGTATTCCTCTTCACTAATTTCCACCATTCCACACTTTTTTAAAGAAGGGGAAAAATATTTCTCTTGGATATTTCAAAGGTACCAAATGAATTAAATCCTGTTCATAATAAACGTTGATGCATAGCAACTATATATCCATGACAACGAAATCTTTTCAAAAGAACATACGTTCGTATTGAATCAATACTGTAATAAAATTGTTTTTTCTATCTCATAACGTATATACATTTAACATCAATGTACACAGAAGTAAACGCATATCCCTCTTTTCCTTTTCATCTTGTTTTTTTCATCTTGTCTTTTATTGTATTATTCTCTAAACAAGGCGTTGTCAAGTGTTTGACACTCACTTGGACTTTAATTTTTCAAGGTTGACAGCTCTCAACCAAAAAAAAGTGTCATTGTCGGTATTTAAATTTGGCTTGGTTCGGAGAGAGTGGGAGAGGAGAGTGAGAGGTGAGAGAGAGTGGGTATAATTGAAATAAACAGGGCAGCTATTTTGAAATCTTCCTCAATACATCCAAATGGTAAGTCAACACAACACTTGAGTTCAAGGGACAAAAGAAAAGAGAGTATGTGATGGATGGATTGATGATGATGATGTATGGATGTGTGGATGGAGCGTGAACTTGGAGAAAAAAAAATGTCCCTTGGAAATATGACATGCGTAATCAATACTTAATTATACATCATTAGGCAAAGAAGGACGCTGCTGCTAAGCCCACCTCATCCTCCGGTGGAAAGAAGGCCAAGAAGAAGTGGTCAGCTAAGAAGGTTAAGGACAAGGCCAACAACTTGGTCGTCCTCGACAAACCCACTTACGAACGTTTGTTCAAGGAAGTTCCTACCTACAAGCTCATTTCTCAATCTGTCTTGGTTGACCGTCTCAAGTTAAATGGTTCCTTGGCTCGTATTGCCATCCGTGAACTTGAATCTCAAGGTTTGATCAAGCCTATTTCTCGTCACCACTCTCAAGTTATCTACAGTAAGTTTTTGCTTTAATTCGACTGAAATGTATGTACTCATATGCTCCTGCCCCATAGCTCGTGCCACTGGTGAAGAAAAATAAGCTCTTTATTTTTACACAAACTTGAATAAAAAAATATATTCAATCTAAGTTCTCTGTCTTATAACAACAGCAACGATAGCAACAACAACAGCAGCAACAACAACTACAACTTATATGTGTGCGTGTGTGTGTGTGTGTGTGATAAGTTTAGATGTTACAAAAATGGCTGCAACATCATTATATTTTAAAAGTCCCGTAAGCGAACCGAGTATCACTTTTTTTTTTTTTTTTCCTATTTTTATTTACCTTTGTTCAACATAAAATGTCAACGTCAGTCACTGGAGAGCAATTCATTCGAACGTTGAGACATTATTTGGAAGCAAATGAGCATAGATTATTATCATCTCAGCCTAATTTTACTTCTATTACCGATGCAGGACACACCGTAGCTGAACCAGAATCGATAAAAGAAGAAAACGGTCTTTTGAAGGCAGTATCTTCCTTATGGACACAACAACAACAACAACACACAACAGAGAAAAGGCGTAGTAGCACTCAAAGCAGTACAGGCTCACGACCGACTTCACACGCATTTCCTTACATGTCCCTACTTGCTGCTGCCTCACCGAATGCGACCAGTCTGTCAAACACACCTTACATGCCACTGCGCTCAAGTCTGACACTAGACATCCACTATTTATATTTTCTTCTCGTCCAGTTTGAATATCTTGGCCTCGAAGACACCCAGTTACCAGTTCCAGAAGAGCACGGGTTAGTCGAAACCGAAACGACCCAGTCGGCGGGTAAGGCACCCTCGATAGCTTCGTCCATAAGCTCTGTGATGTCTACATTATCCCTTTCGACCGGCTGGCAGCTATGGTCGAAACAAGCCAAACAAGAGAGACCACTACACGAAGACATTGTGTTTATTCATCGATACTTTTCTCGAGTGACCGCGCTGAAGCTCCATATGAGCCTAGATACCCAAAACGGCGTGACACGAAGCGGTCAGCGCGTCATTCGAGGATATGAGAAACCTATACCATTGGATGGCTCACTGGCGCTGCCCCTCCATTCCTTTAAAAATCTGTCCTATCTGGAACTAAACCATATTCATCCAAGCATCATCGAGCCATGGCCTACCCTAAGTCAGCAGTTGATCAGCCTCGTCCTGAAGAATGGACATGTGGATGATGCTGCCGATGTGATCGGTGACAGAGAGTGGCCACAACTCAAGATGCTGTCATTAGCAGATAACAGCATCACCACATTGGAAGCAGAGCCTGTACAGCATATTCGATCGGTGACCCATTTGAATTTATCAAGTAATCTTCTGATTGACGTCCCAGCTGCATTATCGGCCTTGTACAATTTATGCAGCCTAAACTTGTCTTATAACATGATCTCTTTCACCACGGGCATCAATACCGTATTGGGAAATATACAAGAACTCGACTTGAGAGGAAATCGCCTGACCTTGCTTGCTGGCTTGGATCGACTGTGGGCACTGGAGAGACTGGATGTGAGAGATAATCGAATTGATGATGCTGCTGAAATTGGTCGATTGACTTCATTGCCTAATATTTACGATATTTGGGTAGAAGGCAACCCGTTTACAAAAGTTCAAGTAAGAGGGAGATTTTTACACATATTAATCCTCCTGGATTGTTAATATTTTGTAGCCTGATTACAGAGTGAATATATTCTCTATGTTCAAAAAGTGTGATTTAGATATCGAGTTAGATGGCAGCAAACCAACATTTGTCGAAAAGAGACGTATCACGAGTGAACCCATGATTCATAATAGCACGCCACCGGCTGCTGTCCAGAGCTGTCCTGATCATAGTAAAGAAAATAATGATCATAATACTAAGTTGGCGAGAGCAAAGAGCAAAGGCAATAAACGAATGATTCGACTGGGACAAAATGCAATTGATCCACCCACATTTGCTTCCAACGTTGAACCAAGTAAACATGTGCATCGATTAGCAGAATTGGAAGATTCTGTGCAACAGGAAGTAGCATCTACAGCGACAAAGGCGCGCAGAGCAGCCTCGGTTAAATCGAAGCGTAGTAAAGCACCTGTAGAAGACGGATCAAAACCAAAAACTGACGCCTTTAGGAAAAAGATTGAAGCGATGAGAAAAGAAGCAGGTACAGAATGGCTGCGGGTGTTGCAGGAAATGGATATTGTGAAGGAAGACAATAAATCTCAATAAAAGAGGAAATTGATTCTCGAGTCGCTAAAGACCAAGATTCATGATCATGCTTTCTGTAAACATTTTGTGACATGTCCCATATTACTCCCGCTTTTTTATAAATCAAGCCTTTGAGTCAAGATGTGAAATGATAAACTTGTATAAAGAGCTTTCAAAAATGCAAAAAAAAAGTGCTTTAAACAAGCTATTTAATGGTTCCCTGTGTGATAAATACATCTGGATACCCTTTTTTTTGGGTGCCTTTATTTTTAATTCAGCACATCAAAGTCTTCAGGAATACCAAAATTTTGTTCAAATGCAGTACGATCCATATTAAACTTTTTAACGCAATAGGATTCTATTTCCCAAATGCTTTCTGTCCATCGATTGGCTGCTTCTTTAGCTATAGCGGCTGCTTTTTCTATAGAAATAGCAATTAGAGATTTGTTTGTTTAAAGAAAGTGTCTTGTAAAAACCTTTCTTTTCAAACAAGACAGGATCATTTTCTTTATATTTCTGTAACTCATTCATCAATTCTTTATTTTTTGCCTTTAATTCTGCCAATTCTTTTAATAATTCAGCTCGCTCATCTGTATCTTCTCTTGTCTCCTTGGCTTCTTCAATTTCGTCTTGTAGTCTTTGATGCTTTGCCTTTTCTTTCTCTAGACTAGCTTGTAAATCTTTAAACTTGTTTTTACTCTAACATAATAAAGATAAATAACTTAATATCGTTATATTCGTTTGTACCGATTGGAGGGCAGCAGATGGATAGGACCAAAAATAATTCGAAGTACCAATTTTATCCATTGTCACTAAACCATCATCCACTAAACTCATCAAGACGTCCTTTACAGACTGTGCAACTATATGAACAATAGGTCTCAGCATGAACTAATTCTCTGTATACAACATACCAACACCCTTTTTAGGGCCTATTTTTTCAATGTCTTTTAACTGATAAAATTCACCCTACAACAATAAAAAAAATTAAAATTCATGCATAAATAATAAGCTTGTGTTTACAACTTGCCGATTCGTGAAATATCTTTTGAATTCTTTTACGTTTCTCGTCAAGAGAAAGCCCTTTGGGTGGCTAATGTAAAGTTTCAATGAACAATGCATACATTCGAAATGACAACATTACCATGTTGAAGAATAGAAAAATGAGAAAAAAAAAAAAAGAGAAAACTGCGCGCCCTCGCGTTTTTCTTTTTCTTTATTTTTCTTTATTTTAAATGTCTACCATTTATAGGCCCACCAAACGAATCTATTTGCCTAATGATCCCTTTTTTGAAGAAGGCAATATTGCGCTTCGAGCGTACTGGTTAAAGAAGGAAGCACATAATGAACATGAGATTGAGATGATTCAGCAAGAAGCAGTAGCAGCTTTATCACAGTAATTATTTATTGTATAGTAATGATAACTTTGTTAATTATCTCATGTAGATCTAAATTCATTCGTTGTGATCCATGTCGACTTGAGTTTTCAAGCATTACAGCTTATGAATATCATTATGAGTCAAGACATGCCAACGTCTGTTCTATCTGTCAAAAGATATTCCCAGGGGCGGAATGGTTAAAATTGCACCTGGACGAATTACACAATGTACTTTTGAAGCTTCAAAAAGAAAAGGGCGGCAAGATCGTAAGTCTGATTGCATATTTATGTACGTGTGTGTGTGCTGATCCCTCTTTTTTGAAAGCATAAATGTTATGTGGAAACTTGCTCTAAATATTTCTCAACACCCAAAATGCGTAGACTACACCTTATAGACAAACACAAATACCCAAAACATTTTCCCTTTGACTTGGTCTTTACAGGGACACTCACTTTTGAACAATTAAAAAAAAGGGACAAGAAGAACAAAAGGAGATTGAAACAAAGAGAGGCAATAGAAATGGATGTAGACAAGAAGCCAAAGCGAAAGAACAGTTTCAAACAAGATCCAATGGATGCATTAGCTCAAGAGTTCAACCAAAAACTAAAGATACCTCAAACCATATCATTCGGTCGTCCGACAAAGCCAGTGTTGCGAAAGAGACAAAGGAAGAAGAAAAAAGACAGCGCGATGGACATTGAATAAAAAAAAAAATCGATGGGTTTATTAACTGGCAGCGATAGAAGCAACTTGAGCCATCAAATTAAGTACTTGTAAATGTTCATCCGCTCCTTGGACAAGATCGATATCAACCGTAGACAGGATCTGTGATATTTGAGCTTTCTGTAATGTTGTCAGATTTTGATCTTGAATGATCTCATCGTGTAATTGGATTAGCAAATTCTCTCCAGAGTATCCTTCGTTCATTGCGTTCTGAATGACCTTTTGTATCTCATTCATATCATTTGAAGACCACGCCTCTATGCACTGTCTGATTATGTCATCAGGAATCTTGCCTGCCATTTCATTAATCATGCTGGGCGTAATCGGTTTGCTGCCTTGTAAATTATATCCACTCTGTAAGAAAGTGATTGCTTTTCGTAAATCTCCTCCTGAACATTGAATCAATGTCTGCATCGTATTGGCTGCAAGATTGACACCTTCCTCTAGACATATCATTTCTAAACGAGACTGTATATCTTCAATAGGAAGTGATTTAAATCTAAACTTGGCACAACGAGATGTGATGGGCTCAATGATACTATCGAAAGCTATTAGTTTCCCCTTTTTTTCTTTCTTTCTTTCTTTCTATTTACCGGCTCACGTAATTGCAAACAATACAGAATCGTGTTGTTGTAGAATATGTTTCCATGGTTCGACGTAAGGCGGATTGAGCATCTTTTGTCATTGAATCAGCTTCATCCAAAATAACAATCTTGTATGGAGGACAAGGATATCCACTATATATGCATCGTTTTCATACATATTTTTTTCTCTCTTTTTTTAGTGTCATTACCTCACTTTGCTTGTTACTGTCGTTCTTGAGAAATCCTTTACTTTTTCCCGAATAACTGCAATACCTCTTTCGTCCGAAGCGTTTAATTCAAGTACACGAGATTTCATTAGCTGAGGTCCATAGAGTTCATGTGCTAATGCCAAGATGGTTGAAGTTTTACCAGTACCAGGAGGACCATAAAAGAGTAAATGAGGTAGCTATTGTATCGATTTAGCGACATTTTTCACATGTTTTTTAATGCTTTACATTATCAGATTGAAGTGCTTTCTTCAGTACTAAAACAGCTTGTTCTTGTGAAGCAATGTCATCCATAGACTTGGGTCGACTTTATAAAGTTCAATTAAATCTTTTTTTTACAAGATCTCTCACACTTACTATTTCTCAACCCATGGTTGTGTCTTTTTTAATAGTTCTTTTCTATCGACTTTGCCTGTTGATGTCGTATTCTTTGGTTGAAAAAAGCTCATTGGAGTCAAAGGAACGCGCGCGTACACACTAAAAAAAATAGAACGCGTTTATACATGTGAGTTTAAATTTTATTGTGTATGATTGGTATAGGAAGCAGATTGTCTTTCATAAGCTATTTTCTGAAATCTTGATAAACCCTGAATGAACTTGGTTCCTACTGGACTACGTTCTAATCTACGAAATAATTCGAGTGCTTGCTTTCGGACCAATGGATTTGAGTGAAATAAGCCGACTCCAAGTGGTGCTAGACCTCCTTGATGCTGAGGCAAAAATGATAAAAACTATAATAATGGTATGTTATTATACAAGATTAAAATTCATAAAAAAAAAGACTAACCTCAATCATTTGACGATGGGTGACGATATTATTAAGAAATGCTTCATAGATGGCATGTATTTCATTATCTGGTATGTGCTTGAGTCGTTTCAGTTTAGTGATCTGGTGATAGACATCTAGATTTTTAATACAAGAGTTCTCCAGCCGAGTGGCCAAGTCTCTTTGATAATATTTATATGAAATCGTCTGTCTCCATCCTTCGATTCGACTCGCATTGGCAGCCAATTCTCTTTGCTTGGCTGTTTCGTCTATAAACACAGGTCCATACCCAAGCACTGTGTCTTTGGATCCAAACCCTATTTTTGTTTGATGATATACCTGTTCCTCATAGAGAGCAGCTAATCGCACAAAGCGAAATACATAATCCTGAAACTTGGCACGAATCGAAGTTTCTCCATAATGCGCTTGAATAGCTGCCATGACGTCTTGCATAAACTCTGCATCTGAGTCCTTCTTCTCTTCTTGCACCAGTGACATCGCTGCTGAAGTCTGCTGCTGTTGAGGCTGCTGAGGTTGTTGTTGTTGTTTATTAAATGAGCCCATACTTGAAGTACGGCCGAGTGATAGTGAACTGAAAGAAGATACATCGTCTGCGATAGACGCTGCAATTGATCCCTTTCGACTGGACACAGGGCTAGTCGAATTGATATCTTTACTCACCGTGATCTTACCGGTGCTGATATTACAGAGCACGTCCCACCAACTGGTATGTTCTTCATATGTAGGATTGGTCACACCAGCGATGAATCCAGGACTATATGACAGCAATAAGCTCTCTAATGTATGAATGAATAAATAAACAATTACCATTTTAATAAATCATCCACACTTGTCAGATTTGTGTAAGGAAACGCTCGTTCTGTAAATCCTCGTAAGACCGTACCACATCCACTGCCTAAAGCACAAGCCGCCAAGACATAGTTTGCTACTTCGCCTGAGGGATGTCCGTGACCCAAAAAGATGATTCGCTTTTGTGTTAATAATGCGTTCAATAAGAGCATGATCGGATGAGTGTAAGGTCCGGAACTGTCCAGATGAGGATGATGTGGATTAGGCGAACCTGGATGATTGGGACTGGGTGTAAATGTGTTGATAAGCTTTATCACTGAAAACTTTATCTCAAATCATTAGCATGTCCCTTTTTTTCTTTCTCTATTACTTACATCGCCTACTTCTTCATCATTGACTGTGAGAGGAATCTTGATAGGCAGTTTGATGCCTTCATATTCTATCTTTGTTTCAAAAAAGTGTCTGTCTTTACTTAATGTGGGTATTTGCTCTCTTACACTTCCAGAAGCAAGATCGATATAGGTTCCTCTTCGCTGTCTGTTGAATTCGGTATCTTCCAGCACATCCATATCATCTACAGTTGTATCATCCACAAACATTTCTTCAAACATGGTTTTATTATCTGATGCTCTCAAGATCTGTCTTTCATGCCAAGTAAACTTGGGCATCCTTGATAAATCCATTGAATTGACTGCCTTATAAAGTGATTCCAAAATGTCCACGTTTGGATTTTCAAAGTATTTTTCCATTGCCAATAAGAGCACAGGCTAAACGAAAAGATGCATGGATCAGTAAAAAGATCAAATGATAGTGAGCTCTTTATACTTTGTATATATGAAGATATTGGTGTCTAGTACAGATAGCCATTGCTTTTACCATAGCGCCTCTATTATTGACAAGTCAATATATAAAAGTAAATAGGTAAGCAAATACCTTCGTGCTGTCGCGTCATGCTTTGTTCTCACCAAGTTTAATACATAAAGCAAGGGACTTTTCCGCTCTTGATCTATTTCTTGTTCAGGGACAGGTGTGAGTTGATTCAAACAAAAGATGGTCCAATCTTCAGCACGTAAATGAGCACCATCAGGCAACATGAGCTCAGACAAGATACTTTATATTATTGTTAGTCTTTTTTCTTTTATTCTTTCTTTCTTACTGTTCGTCTGTTCCTGTCTCTGTTGGGTATTGGTGCTTTAGAGAAGCACCTTTGTCAATATCGAATTCCGCCAATAGAATGTATTCAACATGTTTGCTCATGTCAAACGATAAGAGAGATGAACAAAATATATAAAAATATCAATTGTGTGTGATGCTCCTTTTTTTTACAACTCAATTCGTGTAACAAAGGAGGGAACAAAAGAGATTCATCAGCGTATATGCCAACAGTACAAAAAGACTTTTTATCTGACGTTGCACATGACGGATTGCTACAAGATGAAAAAGATAATATTAATGAGTTGATTTGTTAAATTGAGCCGAAGAAATAGAGGTTTGATTAGGCTTTATAAGTTTATTAAACTTTTATAAATCCTTATCATTGTCAAAGGATTATGTAGGATCGTGTTATCAGGGTCATCAGTTTTTTTTATTCATTGTAAATGAATGACAGCAAAGAAAAGGGGAGGTAGATCAAATGGGCAGTGAAAGATAGGATATCAGTTGGCAAAAAGGATGGGTCATAAGATAGTAGGTCAGCAAGTACCTTTTACCTAAGCTGCCTGTCTCTCCTTTGCGCCAATCGCCTCGACTGAGTTTTAATTCGTGATGATTTAAGCATGCAGCCTACACGCTCTTTTATCTTTTTTCTCTTCTTTTTTTTTTTTCTTGTTCTTTACTTTTTATATAAAATGAATCCTGAATAGTAAAAAGCATATACACAAAATATAAAAATGACGCAACTGACAACTTTTTTTTTTCTTTGCTGAAGTGATTACTTGTTTAAGCTTTTGCTAATTGGCGATTCTGGTGTAGGAAAGTCTTGTCTTTTATTACGTTTTGCAGATGACACCTATACCGAAAGCTACATTTCTACTATCGGTGTTGACTTTGTAAGCAATATGAAATGCTTATGACATTAATGTTACTTATACTTTATTTTATAGAAAATTAGAACTATTGAACTTGAAGGAAAGACGGTGAAGCTGCAAATTGTAAGAGAGAGAGAGAGACTATGTGCATATAAACTAACATTTTCAAAAGTGGGATACTGCAGGACAAGAACGTTTCCGTACAATCACATCTTCGTACTATCGAGGTGCACACGGCATTATTGTTGTTTACGACGTAACTGATGCAGATAGTTTTAATAACGTGAAGCAATGGTTACAAGAAATTGACCGTTACGCTGCTGAAGGTGTCAATAAACTGCTAGTTGGTAACAAGAGCGATTTAGTCGATAAAAAGGCAGTAGAAACGGAACAAGCAAAGGTAACTTGTATAATGTGCAAGATGATGTATGAATATATATTTACAACCATATAGGAATTTGCTGATAGTCTTCATATTCCACTTTTGGAAACCTCAGCCAAGGATGCCACCAATGTCGAACAGGCCTTTTTAACAATGGCTAAGCAAATTAAGGATAGAATGGGATCAACCATGCAGCAACAACAACAGGCCAAGTCAACAGTTCGTGTTGGTCAAGGCGCAGCTGTTCAACCCCAGTCATCTGGTGGTTGTTGTTAAACTCTTAATAATAAACCCTTAATACATATACTTATCAAACTGTCGCAGGTTGAAATTTTGGCTTATCCTTTTGGTTCTCTATTGACCAGAAGGAACAAGTATGAGCATATATATACCGTTGTTTTCATTCTTTGGTATATTCGAAGCCATATATCATCAAAGCGTTTGCATAAAAGGTAAATATTGATCAACTAGAAAGAAATAATTTTACACTCTTTTTACAATTGAATCAAGGGCGAATGAAGATAAAACACATCATTGCCCACCTCTTTTATTCTATTATTTTTTCTTTAATTATGACTTGTCTAAACGCCCTCTTCTTGATGATCAGATAAATATTTGACAAAACACAATGCTAACCAACAAACGGTTTTGCTCCAGAGACAAACACAAGGCATTCGATTCAATTATTCTCGCAGACATCTTCTTGGTAAAGAGCAGGCTACGTTCCTTTTTGATACAAGTGTTTATATCGACAATTTATATTTATATATGCACTTGAATTTCATTAACGCGTTAAATGAGCTTATTTAATGTCACACTTTACAAGTGTAACAGCAATACCATTTCTTTTACCCCACTCCTTTTTTTCTGTGCCTCTCTTCTTTTTCTTTTCTATATCAAAAATATATAACAAAATGAGCCATCAAACAGACGTATTCATTATTGGCTCTGGTAAAATAAATAGATGCTTATTATATGTCTCATAACACATATTAAAAAGGTGTATCTGGGTTGTATGCAGCCATACTGCTTTCCAAAATCGGACTGTCCATACAAATAATCGGTATGCACACAAACTCAACATATAATCAAACTCATACATTCTATAGACAATAAGACACAATCACCGTCTGGACTCTTGGTATTTTCACCACGTAGTTTACAGCTTCTAAAACAGATGAACTTGCTCGATACCATCACCGCCAAGGGTATGAAACACTGGAGGCTGGATATATACGAGCACAACGCCTTGGCAGATAGTATCCAGTTATGGGATAACGATGTGACAGGCTATAACTATTGTCTGTCCTGTGAACAGTCCGTTGTGTGCGATATCCTCAGACAACATGTCAGTTTGGATGTGATGAAGGAACGCATCACCAAGATAGAGGATCAAGATGACTTTAAGCGAATCGAGTTGAGTCATGGTCAATGCTGGAAATCACAGTTTGTTCTGGTAGAAAACGATGATACAAATCTTGTCAGACAAACATTAGGTAACATTTGTATTATTATTAAAATTAAATTAGTAACAGACAAAGAATAAAGGTATCGGATACAAGTATCACAATAACAAGAGGTACTTTTATACCCTTCAAATAGCCATTCTTCAGTCCAATTTTCCTAGCATCAGACAGATCTCGGTGATCAAAAAGAATCAAGAGAATGTGTTGATTGTAGGACATCAGGATACACTCTATATCACATTTGAACATAAGCCTAGTTGGAGCAAAGTATCCATTGATGATGAAATCCCTGTCGCCTTGGCTCTTGGACACATCAAATACATGATGGATCCCTTTCAAGTGGAATTTGGTAGAGTGAAAAGCTATACGAAATGGAAAGGTATACATATATATATACACATATGATCAAAAGAGACCTAATATCGATTACCTTATAAAGGCGATCAAAGGTCAAGTGAGCTATTTGAGCACGAAGGTTACTTCTTCATAGGCTCTTCTTCTCAAACAACCTCACCACTTTTGGATATTAATGCGTACTTTGAAGGTGTTCAGAACCTTTGTTGGAAGCTAGGACTTGTTTTTCGACAATGTGCTAGTACCACTTTGCTCGATACAGTCAATCAAGAGACACAGCTCAAGTCAGCAGAGTATATCCAGACATCGATCGTATGGATGGAGCGAATGCTGTCTACGTCGCCCTTGCGAGAGATCAGGTACCAGCTTGATCGACTGAAACGGTGCTTTGTAGGGGATACGCCATATGCGTCCAACCTGATTAACTGCCACCATCAAGAGATTAGCAGTACTTTTGAATTCACCATCGGTGCTGGCTGCTTAGCTCCCAATGGAAACTTAAAGCCGTACAGTCTGGTTCAACTCTTGCTGCTGACCAATACAAAACCTGCAAAGCCAGCGACGACGCAGTTAAAGCCGTCAAACAGTACAAGCATAGAACATTCAAGAGGACGATCGAGCTCGATGAACAATAGTAATCTATCGAACCTCTTTAATATCTTTCAAAAGGGACACAAGAAACAAAACAGTACATCAAGCAATAAGATGACAGTAGTCACTGAGCGCAGATCATCCGAACGGTGGAAGAGCATTAGACCAAACTATCTACAGCTCCTCGACTGTATCCAAAGCACTACTCAGTTCACCCTCCTTGTCTTTTGTGGTTCACTGTCCACTTTTGAATCTTCTCCTCTATCCAAAGTGACTCAACAGATATCCTCTCCCATCTCCTTTCTTTACCATTACACGCCGGACATGATGCATAGCAGCAGCAGCCCGACGACCCGATGGTCGGCCTCATCGATTCATTCATTTTATCAACGACGATCGACGGACACGACTCGGTCTTCATTCGAAGACAGTCTGAGGTTCTCATACAAGCCGCAACCACCTAGTGAACCCGACCTGTTTTCGATCATGTTTATTTCGAATTCGACAAAACAAGAAGCGAACCAGTACCTTACCCAGACACCTCCCTCGGTCGTCCACTCGACCTGGCCATTTGGACTCGACAAAGTCTACCTTGATCATGACCAGCAGTGTTACAAGGCATATGAAATCAAACAACCCGAGATCATCGTGATCCGTCCTGACGGTTACATTGGGACACGAGTGGATAATTATGATCAATTATGTCTTTATTTTGATTCATTTTTAACTTCCCCCAATGAACATAGCGCGGCGGCTGTGGTAGCCGCGAGCTATTATGGCTGATTGTGCTCTCTCCAATGTTTTATGCCTTTTAAATAATTTTCATGTAACTCGCTCTTGTATTCGTCCAACCTTTCCATGTTTTCCACCGCCAAGTCACGCCCGATCCGCTGAATCTGTTGCCCCCTGGCTGTCATCTTTTCTGCTTGTTGAATGGCGGCGTCCAAGAGATCCCCTGTGGCCGTGACGAGTTTGCCCATCATTAGACGAACGACGTGGTCATACCAAAAAGAGATGAGTGGTACAGACTGAAGTAGACCTTAAGAATTGTGTTATTTATAAAGCACGTGAAATAGATAAAAATATATAACCTTCCAACGTCCAAGTGTCTTCTTGATGATAGACCTTGAGTAGTCCGCTATCTTGTTCTGTTTCTCTAAACTTTAATATGGTCACTGAAGGGATTTGAATTTGAATAAAGGATGGAAAGATGCAAGGTGAAATGGTCTGTGTGAGATGAATGACGGCTGTATGTCTAATACAGTTTTAGTGCTTTATTTAATCTTGTTATCAAGTTTTACCCATCAAACACTATATTGTTGATTACTGGTTCCTTTCTATTCATGGTTTGCCAAATAGTATATACACTAAATAGATTAAAGACAAGTTGTTGTATCAATTCACCTTACTATTGAATGTTCAATACACCTTCAGTACACATAAGAGGTGACGCTAATGTTGCATCTTGAAAGAAATAGTATTCCAAGACCCTCTTTCGTTTGATTGTATTATATGAAAATAAATCTTCAACAAGATCTAAAAGTATGATCAATATCTTCTATTCTTTATTTATGTATCTTTACTCTTTATTAAAACAAGAGACGAAACTTGAGTATCATCACCAATATCGGACATAATTGAAACTAGAAAGAAAAGGAAAAAAAGGAAATAGCCCCTGTGTCGTCCCTTATATTGCCTGTTGCCCTTTTTTTCTCTCTCTCTTTTGTTGATAATTATTATGCATGATTAAAACTCCGGATTAAGGAGGGAAATAAAGAGAGAGAAAAGTTTACCTTGGATAAGGTACATATCTATTATTTAGTTTTGCATAGGGCAAAAAAAAACGTGCGCTAATTGGAATAGTATAAAGAAAAGTAGAGCCATTGAATTTACAGTAAAAAATCCCCTTTATCATTGTCAAATAATGACAATTAATACGCGCACTGATGTGTGTGACTTTTTAAGCACTGGAACTTACCAATGGCCTGAAGCCAGCATTTTCTTTCCACTTTTTTCTTTTTTTCTCTGTTGAATTATGCCAAATCCATTAGAAACATGGTTTAGCGATATTCCACCTATTACAAGAATATACATATCCCTATCGTGTTTTACGAGCATAGTAGTCGTAAGTATATATGAGTAGTTCATTGCATAATTAACACACACAAAAATAAATAGCATTTAGGACTTGTTCATCCTCTACAATTATGGTTGAATTATGAAAGCATTGTGAATGAATTTCAGGTTGATATATGAATAAAAATGTATATATGCACATGGACTAAGTTTATAGAATAGTGGTGGAGGTTGATTACCAACTTTTTTTATTTTGGACCCTTATCACTCGACTTCTTTTTCCACATCTTCTTTCTGTAAAATGGATGCATCTTTTATATCAATTCATAATGACTTATATTTTGTTATAGAGCGAGATATAGTCGAATGATGGAAGAAGGATTCTATAGACATAAACCAGCAGATTATGCATGGCTCATATTATTTTCTGCCTCCACTTTACTTTTATGCTCTGTAAGTAAAAAAATGTATTTATTGATTACTTAACTAAATAACTAGATCATCTTACCATATGCCTATATACCATTCCTGGGGTCATCACTTGCATTCACCATGGTGTATATCTGGTCAAGGCGAAATCCATACATTCGACTGAATTTTTTAGGCTTGGTCGTCTTTAGTGCACCTTATTTACCTTGGGTACTCTTGTTATTCTCAATGACACTCAGTGGTAAATTACCACAAGGAGACGCATTAGGTATCTTTGTAGGACACATTTACTATTTTTTCCAAGATGTTTGGCCCCGTGAGCCACTGAGTGGTGGTAAAAAATGGCTGTCTGCACCCAAGTTTTTGTAAGTTATGTACATGCATATATATGACTTGCTCTAATATCATCTAGTGTTTGGTTAATTGAAGGCAATCAACGACAACAACAAGAAGAAGAGCAAGAAGAACAAGAAGAAGTGGTTATTGACGATGATAACAATTAGGGTCAAGAAGAGTGTGTAACCTTGTTTATATATAAAATAGAATTTACCCTCTTTCTTCATTCATTTCCTTTCTTTCTTTCCAAATTTTTACATGGGCAATAGTCAATCTGATATTAAAAGTCGGTTTTCGAGTAGACAACATTTACCAAAGCATCTAAGACCCTTGCCTGCGAAAAAACTAGAGAAATTACAAAAGAAATTAAATGAGCAACAGCAAGGAAAATCAAGCGGTAGTGATCATAAAGCGTTTATAGCTGAAGACAAGCCGATGAGGCTAGCCCCACGTTTAAGGCAAGAACAAGATATGGCATTGATCTGTTCTGGTCCACGTGGAGCCTTCAAATGGTTCAAAGGCCGACGGTACCTTGATCATTCTTCTAATCCCTTTTTGCCCAACGATCAACTCGAATTGGATCGTTCCAGAGTACAGACGTTTATTCTTCGTTGGGTCTTTGGCGGGTAAGCAAATAAGCAAATAAAGAGTTTGATGTATATTCTGTAACACAATTCCGTAGTAACATTGTAGCACCACTTCAACAGGAATTAGAAAAGGGAATAAAAGTACTTAGTGTGAGGTAAGTAAAAAATGATAACTATAAAAGTGATGACTCATCATAAAATATAGTTGTGGGCCTGGTATGTGGGTAAATATAGACCAAGAGCAATAATAACAGTAATGATGAACGCGCACATGTTGCCTAAACTAAAAGAAAAAAATTTTTTCTTAATATAGGCAGGACACCATATCATCGATTTGGCTCTTGATTATCGTCAGTCTCATTTTGTAGCGATTGACAATTGTGATTTATTACCCGATGATTTTGAAGAAGAAGGTAAACTTATCGAATATGGAACAACGGGTGAACAACCACAACAGTATTTTACTCCAGTTCATCCCAATTTATCTAAATTAAACAACCTGACACCCGTGCTAGCTTCGAATTGCTCATTGACAAGCCAAGAGACGAGTCTGTCAAGTCAGCTGACCCAAGAAGAAATGAAAATAAAGAGATGTCTATTAAAAAACCTCGATTTCTATCAAGTGGATGTCACTCAGGAAAGATTGCCCTTTCAGGATGATGAATTTGATTTTGTTAAACAAAGATTGGTCACTGTGTCCTTTACGCTTGACAATTGGAGATCTGTCCTACAGGAGTTGATTCGAGTGACCAAACCAGGTGGATACATTGAGTTGATCGAGTTTGACTTTTCGACGTGCAATCTTGGGCCTAAAGGATCAAAACTAGAGACAGACAGTAAGATATTGATATATATATATATATATATAAAAGTGTGTGTGACTCATTTATTATACAGTGTTGGAGGCAGCTAGGCGACTTGGATGTGAAGCAAGAATGGCCGCTTATCTGGCCGATGCATTAAAAGCACTCAATTTGGAAGACGTCAATTGTAAATCAGTTTCTATTCCTCTGGGAGAATGGGGATTGGACCTTGGCGTCCTTTGGAAGCATAATTTGGAATCGTTTGCAGAGTCGACAAGCCCAGTGTTGAGTCAAATGTTAAACATTTCAGTAACGGAGTACAAGGAACGATGGCGTGATTATTTCGAGGAAGTGAAAGAGACCAAGTCATTTACAAATGTTTACTCTGTTTGGGCTAAAGTACCTTTGGATTATAATCCTGATAACATTGATTGGTCTTTATGTCCAGTGCTTAAGTTATAGTATTTTGTTTAATTAATTCCATTTATACCTTTGTATTATATAAAATAATAAATAGATACCAAATCTGAGAACTTGTCTCTCTCTTTACAATATCTTTTTTTCTTTTCCCCTTTCTTTCTTTTCTTAACAAAATGGCATCTTGTCCGATGACATCAACCAATAGTACAAAGCAATCATCTATCTCATCTGCTCTTGCTTCTTCAAATCATACTCTTCGAAAGTTTTTTAATAGATTCCCGCAGTCATCCAGATCATCAACAGCAACACCTTCCATATCAAGTTCTGAAAGTTCTTTCGAAAACGCACCTAGTCAAACAGAAATCGACATCATTCGTACGAGTTGGGAACTAGTCTCTCAGAAACGACTCGACTCAGACGACAAGACCATCTCTCCTTCCCACGCATTTGGTCTTGCCTTTTACGCCGCCTTATTTGAACTCTGTCCTGAGACAGAGCCTTTGTTCCACAATGTCTTTCAGCAAGCAAAGGCTCTGACAGGCATGATTGCCTTTATTGCAAGAGCACCTAAACTGACCAAACAGAAACGGGGGACGATCAAGGACATGAATAAGAGAAAGGTGGAGGAAGAGGATCCTGAGTGGTTGGCTTTACAGATGAAGGAATTGGGAGCAAGACATTATTTCTACAAGATCAAACCAGAATATTTTGATCATGTAGGTCCTGCTTTTGTGACAGCACTCAAGAAGAGATTGGGTGAGGAATATACAGTTGAGATGGGTGAAGCGTGGGCCAAGGTAACTATAAAAGTAATCCTTATTGTGTGTACTTATTTCTTTATTGAATAGGCTACTGCCTATGTCGCTTATAACATGACTCTTGGATTCGAATCCCAGCAGGCCTGGGTGGAAGGCACGACTGTATCAACGAGTAAAGCTAAAAAGCAAGCATGCACCATAATGTAATCATTAAATTTGCAGTCAAGCCTATCGGTTTGTGAAAAATTATTGTCGGTTATTAAATTATAAAATTGTCGATTTACTTTGAAAATTGGATTTGCGTGTGTTGATTACTGCGGGGGCAAGGGGCTTGATATCTGTGTTGCCAAGTTTGGAAAACTTGTGAACAAAAAAAAAGCTGTATATGGACAAGATAAAACTAGTGACCTTATCAAAGTATTGCTTGAATTGTTCACTTGGAAATAATGAGGGAAAATATACACCATGCATTCCGTTAATGCAATTTTTAGGTTTGAGCTGTCAGCTCTACACGATAAAGCACGTAGAGAGCTTTTATGCTTTAGAGATGGTAGACACAGCAAATTTTCCTATAACGCATAAGGATGTAAAGGATGGTGGAATCCTCAAGCTTGCTCTTTGTTTGGAAGCAGCTAAATACGAATTTATCAATAATTACTCTTGAATTGATCTTCGCTCTTTGTTGATTAAACTGACAACGTAAATAAAATTAGAATAAAAAATATAAATGAAATCCTTTTTATCTCTTCTCATTTCTGAAAAGAAACAAACCAACATGGTTGAAACGTTTTGTTGGGTGACATCGTAGATAATACGTAGAGGTAGCGCCCGTAGGATTAGTCTAATGTTTGGTGTATTTTCTAGTGTACGTAGTGTTTCCAAGAGTATGTAAACTCTTAACATAAAAATGGAAGAAGAAATAATCATGCAACATAAAGGGTTAATCTTGCGAATCAATAAATCTGCTTTAAGTGATTTGCACAAGGTAAGAGATTATCTGTATTATCTGTATATTTCTCACCCACTTAAATTTTTCTTTCGTAGGCACTCGGCAAAATTGAAAAAAGGGAAACAGACGAAAGGTAAAACATATTGTATTAAGTGTCTTTTTTATTTTCAAGTTATTTACACTATATTTTCATTAAATAGATAAAAAACAACGAAGCATATCAAGAAGAAATAAGAGGCTTGGCTGTTGCTTTTTTATATGTCAGAATGATCAAAGCCTCACGCTTGTGTTTAAGAGCATTTCCACGCAAAAATTATACATCAACAACGACCAAATACTTTGACTTGTAAGTACATACTCGGGTTTTTTATATGAGCAACATTTCTAATGCACATTTATTTTTCTTAGCATTTCAAAAAATTATATAATTGATATGACAGATGAAAGACAAGACGCCCATTTAAGCACAATGACGAAAGATTAGCTAAAATATGTTAAAGACGTGATTAAAAATAATCCAAAAATAACCACTAAACCTATTAATTTTCATGGTGTAAAAGCCTTCGAAAGTATAGGCTGTCAGGAGAACTTGAGCATAAGTCCGCGCAGAAATAAAAAAAGTAGTAATGGCTGTGTATTGAATGAACCCTATTTCCTAGGCCCATTATTATGCTTTATTTGATCAAATTGCATGCAAACGAATTGTATATCATGACTGAATTGGTTCATGTGCAATACCAAAGTCTGTTTTGGACGTCCCTGCTTATCTTACAAACTTCAGTATCCTGAAAAATGCTTTGTACGTTTTTCGATCTTTTTGCAAACACACCAACTGCTGTTCATTTTTCCTGGCGTCACGATTCTCTGCTTGCAACCGACATTATGCTTATATTAGATCAAAAATAGGGAAGCCAAAAAAACATAACTGGGCACTATGCTTCTAAATAAGTAAAATGATCTTTATTTTCGTCGCAGTAATATATTTCGGATATAATTTATCCTTTTTTTTTCTTTCTTTTTTTTTTTCTTGACGCTATAGAAAAACAAAATGACTGAAGAAATTTCACAGAAACCCGCTCCATTTCGTCCTATTGCTCCTTCCATACCAAAGATACTACCTTTAGCGACATCGACTAATATTACTGATTATAAAAAACGAAAGTGGGATGAAATTCTAGATGATTCAAAAGGTATATATATACAAATATCCTCTTTCTATTGTACTGATTTTGTTTCTTTTCAAAGGAATCACCGATCAGCGTCTACGTCGTAAAGAACAGAACCGAGCCGCTCAACGAGCATTCAGAGAACGCAAAGAGCGGTACGTCAAGGAATTAGAAGACAAGATTCGAGAACTTTGTGCTGCTCATGCCTTGGAAGTGGCACAACTTCGAAAGGAAATACAAGACCTACGTAGTCAACTTGAGGACAAAAAAAAACCAGAACAAGAACGAAAAAGCTCAGCCGTTGCCTGTATTCGAGACAAGGATGGCGTGTCCTTTTGTGAAAGGCTAAAAGAGGAAGTCTGTTCGAACGCTTATAACCAACTTCTGACAGAACCTCTGTTTGATTCAGAGGGCTGTCTGATCGAGACCGTGGCAGACCATCCTGTGCCAATTGTTACCACTTCGATCACGAAAAAGAACGAAATATTCGATCAGCTTGAGCAGTCTCTGTTTGAATCGCTTGTCGAGGCAGATAAGCCTCTGCTGGAGGAATCGTGTAATCTGATCTCCTGCTCAGAGGTTTGGAAGAAGTTACAGGATCATCCATTATTTGAAAAGTTTAATCTAGAGGAACTATGCGATTTGTTAAAGACAAAGGCCATGTGTTCTCAGTCAGGTCCTGTCTTTTCGGAATGCGATATCAAAGATATTTTAAAGAAGATAGAGAGCAAAGTTCAGTAGTAGTAGTAGCAGCAGTAGTAGTAACCATGTGTATTTATAGTTCATTCATTCTGCATATCATTGGATTACATTGTATTTTTTATTATTATCTTGTTAAATAAGAAAGGGGGAAGTAAGAAAGTAAATTATATATAAATAAAACACAAATACAGACAAACGCATCTATTAGGATTTGATACATGTACCAGGAGCAGGCGCTGCTGCTGTAGTAGCACGGTTATGAGCCATATGAGCTTGAACTAAATGACCAGCAGCCAGGGCAGCACAAAGTGAGAGTTCACCTGCCATGACAGAGGCACAGATGATTCTGGCTAGTCTTTGAGCGTTCTTGCCTGGCTCAGTAGGATGAGGTCCACGGACACCAAGCATGTCCAACATGGCTTGTTGAGGAGGCAAGATCGTACCACCACCAATCGTACCTACTTCAACACTGGGCATCGTACAGGAGATGTGTAAATCTTGCCCGTCATTGATGGCTTTCATGAGAGTAATACAGTTGGAACTTTCGACATTCTGAGCAGGATCTTGACCAGTGGCAATATAGATGGCAGTCAGGATATTGGCCGCATGTGCATTAAACCCACCGACAGAACCTGCCATGGCCGATCCGATCAAATTCTTTGAAATGTTCAATTCAACAAGAGCAGCCACAGTCGTCTTTAACACCTTTTGAACAATGGCTCCAGGGATCACCGCTTCAGCCACCACGGACTTACCACGTCCTTCAATCCAGTTGATCGCAGCCGGTTTCTTGTCTGTACAGTAGTTGCCAGAAAGAGAAATGATCTGCATCTCGGGGAAATGAGTGGAGAGAACACTCATGGCCTTTTCACAACCCTTGGAGATCATGTTCATGCCCATGGCATCGCCTGTTGTTGTTGAGAATCGGATATAGACAAGACGACCGGCAAGAGCAACTTTCAACTTGCGAACACGAGCAAAGCGAGATGTAGAATTAAATGCCTCCTTGATGATCTCTGCACCTTCTCCTTCCAAGAATCGTTTACAGGCAGCAGCACCTACAATCGAAGGGAACTCTACGCAGGGTCCACGGGTCATACCGTCTGCCGTCAATACGGTGGTCGCTCCACCGCCTGCATTAATAGCCTTGCAGCCTCTTGCAGCCGAGGCGATCAAACAGCCTTCAGTCGTAGCCATGGGGATATGAATCAATTCACCGTCAATGGTCATCGGTCCAGCAACACCGATAGGAATAGGCATGTATCCAATCACATTTTCACAACATGCGCCCATGACCTTATCGTAATGGTAGTTGTGGAAAGGCAACAGACTGTGTTCCAAGGTCTTGGTAATGGATGCACGTGAGATCAGCGCACGACGAATTACGACAGCCCTTTCGAGATCGCCAAGCACCTTTTCGAGCGCATAGGAGGCTAATTTGCCCTTTTGTACGAGCGCAATCACTTCTTCGTCCGATAGCGAGTCAGGAGTATGAATAAGTTCCATGCATTCTTCAACTGTGCGAATCACCCCTTGTCTGGTGTGTCTCTTAGGGGCCATTGCAGTCGTTGTGACAGGAGCCACGACAGGAACAGGAGTAGGTTCAATAGGGGTAGATGCATTGGCTGTTGGTTTAGCTGGTTCCTTAGCCATCTTTAAGAGATAGGTATTCAAGAACAAGGAAACGAAGAGACCCAGGGTAATCCATTTGGAGATAACCGGGTGCTGGATATAGACAGCATAAGCATCAAAGAGGACGTCGAGAGGTCTTTTAATACTATCGGGAACAAGGCCCTTTCCAAGTGGCGATGAGACATGGAAGAGGACAGGAGGGAACACTTGAACGAGAAGAGGCAGATGACGAAGGTCAGATGCACGGTGTTGTTCAAGGAGTCTTTCAAGTACTCTGACAATTCCAGGCTCTGTAACACTAACATGAGGACCAGTGGAACCTTCAAAGGTAGTACAGACCTTGAATAGATGCATAGCAACAAACCCAATAATCTAATGAAAACTTTAATATATATTTTATATTCTGTATTAAAAACTCCCTTACCATCGACAGTTTAAGTTTTCCAATCATGGGTTCGTCTGTCTTTGCACTTGAACTTGTCGTTGCTGTTGTCGTGTTTGTCGTATCACTAAACGCCTTGACGACTGCACTACGAATAAAACCGGTTCCGGTAGTTGCAGATGACTTGTCTATTTTGTTTGACTTGCCATTGATTTCACGGATTCTAAGAAGCTAAAAGGAGGTTATACAACATTGTGCATATATGCTTTTGTAACCATTACCTCTAATTTCAAAGCTAATACGGCTGTATACCAAGTAAACATAATGATGAAGTCATATGCTAATAATATAGCGCTAAGCAAGCAGAATTCACGGAGACCAGCCACTCCCGATTTAGCGCCAAGAGTAAGCACAGTGATTTCCATGACGGCATCCCGAGCGATGGGTAATGCAACCGAGTCAACAGCACGCATAATCGTTTTTCTAATTTCTTGTTTTGTCAACGGAGTTTCTTTACTAATCTGAAATACACGCCTTGTCAGTTTAGAGTGGCGCTCGAAGCCGATCGTTACAGCCAAAAACGGAATGGCTTCGCTAAACAATGGGGTCAATACATATAGAGCTTCATTTATGTTAAACTTACGCCAAGATGACAGGATAAACGTCTATGCCAAGCGCACTGACAGTCAAGAGGGCAAACATGAATGAGAAAAAGCCGTTGAGCAAGACAGCAGTGGCCAGGGTATAACGAGATCCTAAAGATCTCATGTTGATATAGAGTGAAGCAAATGTTGCCAACATCATAACGTAGCCAGCCAAGATGACAATAATGTCAATGTTATCTGCAAGCTAGAAAAAAAAAGATTACTACATGTTTTTCATGTATTCTCTAATCTATTTACCTCAATTAACTCCTTGATACGAACAACAATGTTTTTGGTGACAATAAATAACCAAGTAAAGATATCTTGATGTTCATTTGCCTTGGATAAAGAAACAATGTCAGACGTAGACAAGGTAGACAGTTTCTGTTCCCAAAGATGAGAGAGGTGTTGACGATAATCTGTAGAGGTATTGAAAGCAAACGCAAAAGAAACAGAAGAAGCGGTCGATTCGTTCAGGTTCAAGTCACCAAAGATCGTCTGTGCGGCCTCGAGATTGTCGTGAATGGATCGATCGATATCTTGAAGGTCTTGCTCCTTGAATACTTGCGAAAGGGATTGAGTGAAGCATTCGCCGTTGGGCAACTTGAAGCACAAGGAATGAAAACCGACTTGATTGAGATAATCATCAATTTGAGCATGTTCGATGGTGTTTTGGAATTGAAGGAGAGAAGATAAGGTTTGTTTGTCCAATAAGTTGCTTGTAGATTTGGCAGTAATGGAGATTTGCTTGAGTTGAACTTTAATGTGATTAGGAATACTGTCTCGTTCATGACTAGCAATTTCTTTGAATTGTGCTGCATTGGCATCCGCATAAACAAAAGTAGGATAGATACGTGTTGCAGTGCCTGAGAAAATGTCTGATGTACGAGCCTTGTTGAAGAGGTAAAAGTAGCTAAAGGACGACAAGATAAGAATAGTCGCAATCATCTCGATGGGACTACGAGACGAGATCCTTGCTGCCTTATGAATGCCTTTACCAAGCATAGTTGAAATGGACCTAAATGCTGTGGTCCCCCTATGTGCTGGTAAAAGAGACATCTTTTTGTTGTTGAAAACAATAAAGAAAAAAAAAAGAGAGGACAAAAAATCAAAAGTCCATTTTTATATAATAAATTGTGTGTAGCCACAGGAAGCAAGCGGAGATAGGATTAGAAATATAGAGCAAACCTAACAAATGAAAGGGGGAAGCCACAAAGATGGTATATTAAGAATATAGAAAAAATGTTAAGGAGATGGGAGAGTGAAGGGGAGAAGTGATGCATACATGAAAAGATGCATAAATTAGCCATTTAGAGATAATAAAAAAAAATGGAAGAAAGCTTTCTGTGTATGTGTGTGTATAACATAGTGGCTAAGCAGCCCTTTTAAAACCTTCCATTGCCTCAACTTTAATTTTTTTTCTTCTTTTTTTTTCTCTTTCTAAACAATATGTCTCGTACTCCTGTAACTGTACCCTGTAAATATAAGACGGGTAGAGTCCTTGGTAATGGTACTTATGCAACAGTCAAAGGTATTTCAGAAATACATTCTCCTCCTTATTTGTAATAACCCCCCTTTTTTGGTCTATTTTGTAGAGGCTATGCACGTAAGTTAAACAATAAAAAACCAGTTTGATATTTACACAACATAGATCGAAACTGGTAAATATTATGCAGTCAAGATTATCAATAAAAAGTTGATGGAAGGACGTGAACATATGATCCGAAATGAAATCAATATCTTGAAGCGTATTTCACAAGGAAATAAGAATATCCTTAGTTTAGTTGACTATTTTGAAACATTAAATAACTGCAAGTATATACATTCATTGTTTATTATACAACACTAACAAATAAATAGTGTACTTGGTCACCGATCTAGCTTCTGGGGGTGAATTATTCGATCGTATTTGTGAAAAGGGTAGCTATTTCGAAAAGGATGCTGCTCATATCGTCAGAACTATTTGCAGTGCTGTTGCTTACCTTCATGACAATGGTATTGTTCATCGCGGTATGTAAACATAATAGATATATACTATATGCTTTTATTCATTCTGTTTATTTGATAGACTTGAAGGTAAACAAGACAAAAAAAAAGAAAAGAAAACATGCATTAACTTGTTTAGCCTGAAAACCTTTTATTCCGTGAACGTGATGAAAACTCTGATTTGCTTATTGCAGACTTTGGCTTATCTCGTATTATTGATACCGATAAATTCCATACCTTAAAAACAACTTGTGGTACACCAGGATATATGGCGCCAGAGATATTCAAAAAGACAGGACATGGAAAACCTGTGTAAGTGTATTGTGTATGTGCGTTAATGATAAAAAAAAAACTAACGCGAGAGTTAGGGATATGTGGGCCATTGGTGTCATCGCTTACTTTTTATTATCTGGTTACACTCCATTTGAAGGAGCCAATAACATTGAAGAGATGAACGCTATTCTCAACGCTGATTACAACTTTGATGATCCATGTTGGGAGGGCATTAGCTCACAAGCCAAAGACTTTATTGAACGTTGTCTAACGATTGACCCTGACAAGCGTATTACTGCACATCAAGCTCTTGAACACGAATGGCTCGCTGAAAAGGAAATCAAGGATGAAGAATACAAAAAAAAGGAAGATCTTTTACCCAACTTGCGTACCAACTTCAATGCTCGTCGCACCTTCAAGAAAGCCATCAACATGGTTACCCTCTCCAATCACTTTGGTCACTTGTCAAAACATAGTAGTCATAGTAACGCATTAGATCAATTGAAGCCTGTGAACGAGGGTATCGATCAAGTCTTGGAAACGCCTGAAAAGGAAGGAGGTTTATAAAAAAGTTCTATACACATTAAACAATGGCTTTAATAAAAAAAAGAAAAATAGTGCTTAAAAATTGCCTTTTAGTAGCTTTTTTATGTCAAGTTCAAATTTGACATGTGGCTTCTCAGTCGGAATAAACGGGATTGCCATGATTAGTCCTAAATCAGTAACAAACGAAGACTCTTGTAGTGCAAAGCCAACAAACTCTTTTATTATTTTGTATAAATCCATCATCAAAATATGACTCTTACACATTCAATGGACAGAAACAATGATAATTTTGGGGAGAGGTAATCAGGGTAATTCTTGGATCGCCCGCCTCCGCTGGTTTCCGACTTCATTTACAATACGGGTCAATTTCATGCATACTTATCCTTAATGTCTGTGTTCAAATCTACTGCATGATTAAAACAGTCTAAAAGCGAAAGAACAATGGTAGTGACAGAGAGAGACAACTCATGCTTACGGAAACAGTCACAATAAATGGCCCATTTTATTCTTGATTTTTTTTTGCCTTTTCTATGCTTCAAACAAACTTGATTAGACAGATTACAAAGAGACATGTCAACCCTACAAGAGTCTTTGCTACCTATTCTTTATTACAGCAGAGACATCATAATCAGCGGGTTACAAAGTTCAAGGTGATCGAACCACCTTCTATGGCCAAGTTGCCTGTCCTTTATAAAGAGCTTATAAAGTTCAAACTAGCTGGTCTAGTTGCCCTGACAGCTATGACAGGCTATGCGCTTGCCCCTGGTGAGTCAACGGTGACAACACTGCTAGCAACCACAGTCGGCACAGGTCTTTGTATTGGCTCAGCCAATGCTATTAACCAGTGGATAGAAGTGCCTTATGATGCTCAGATGCTCAGAACCCGCAACAGAGTGCTCGGACGACGAGCGCTGTCTCAAGTCCATGCGTTCGGCTTTGGACTTTTAACAGGGGTAACTGGTGTCACCATGCTCGCGACCTGCGTCAATCCGATCACAGCCATCTTGGGTGCTTCCAATATTGCCCTCTACACATTGGTCTATACCCCCATGAAGCGATCGTCCATTGCCAACACATGGGCAGGTGCTGTCGTAGGCGCCATTCCTCCCATGATGGGATATACCGCCGTGACGAATAACCTGCTGGATCCTGCTGCCTGGGTTCTCGGTGGTTTACTCTACTGCTGGCAGTTTCCTCATTTTAATGCTCTTGCTTGGAACCTCCGTCAGGACTATTCTAAGGCTGGATACCGCATGATGGCCGTAACAGATCCTAAATTAAACGCGCGGGTCTCATTACGATACAGTCTGGCCATGTTTCCCCTATGCTTTGCTGTGCCCTATCTTGATTTGACCTCTTATTGGTTTGCCCTTGATTCATCCATCGTCAATGGCGCTTTACTCTACGGTGCCTATAAATTTTGGAAAAAGAGGTACCCAAAAAAAGAAGGTTCTTTATGTACACACAAATCTCACTTTTTTTTAAAGCAACGATAAATCAGCCAAACAATTGTTCTTTGGCAGCATTGTCCATTTACCTGTCCTTTTAGCTCTGCTTATGATTCACAAGAAATGGAATCTGTCTAGCCATCATCGAACGAAAGAAGAAGAAGAAATAGAAGAAATTATTGAATGGGTGATCGAAGACGACTATTAATTTTATTTATTCTCTTCCTTATTTAAATCGTTCATGTTGGTAGTCTAGAATACATATTAATACCCGCATATACATATAGAATTATCCATTTACCTCTACAGGAGTACCAATAAAAATCAACTGTTCAAGCTGGGTTGTCTCTTCATCCTCTTGGTTGTCAACGACAAAGAGTGTGATATGAGTTATATTTTGGAATTTGACAAATCTCAAGTTGACGATCGCGTCTTGTTCAAAATCCTTGGGCGCCAATTCAATCACCTGTGTCTCCTTTACGGAATCAGTATCATCAAAGCCAAGTGCTTGTCTATTGGCATATAATCTTATCGTCTTGGGTGCTTGTGCGACATTGTGAGCCTTGAACTTTAATGAATGAATTTTGACAGCTACATATTTCGGCTTTTAAACAAAGTTTTGCTGCTTTTGATAGACAATACTTACGTTGATTGAATGGGACACTAATGATCAACTGCTCATCGACGTCACTCTCCAGGTAACTGCTGTCGTCTTTGAATATGTTTTTGACATTATTTTCTGTTTGTTGGTTTAGTGCATCCAATTGATTCATGGTGATAAAAGAAGTCAAGTCACCCTACACAATACATCAATTGGTGTATACTTTTTTTTTCTTTCTTTTTTTTCTTACGTGTCCAGGTACACCATAATTCTTTTTAGAGCTTTCTCCTTGTTGCTGTTGTTCTCCAGACAGCTTTTGAATATAAGCCTCGAGTTGTTTAGGGTTAGCTCCCTTCATCTCTGTCAACTTTTTGTTGTTTTTATAAAATTGAAATGTAGGCCTAATAAAATTAGTTTGAATAGCAATAAAAAAAAAAAAGTAAAAGAAAATGCTTACATGGCAGTGATTCCACAGGCAGTGGATACTTCTTTCACTTGGTCCACATCAATTTTGGCAAAAGTAACTTGAGTATACTTGGTTGCAAGTTGGTCATAAACGGGTGAAATCATTTTACAAGGCCCACTATACACGACACAGAGCTAAGGAAAAAAGCAGGTTTATACCATAGCAAAGACTTACCACCAACTAGCAGTAAAGTAAGCAACTACTAATTTATCTGGAGAAGAGCTCAAGGCTGCTTGAAAGTCTGCGGCGTTTTGAACATGTTGAACTGTCATGATGTTTAAAAAAGAAAGGACAGAGAGAAAGCATTACGTGTTGCATGTAGATATTTGGGTTTAAAATAAATGGCCAATCATAATAAAGCTCATTCACATACACACATACTGTACTTCCTGCCAACACTACATGCATCAGAAAATAAGCTAATGCTACCAGCCGCTTCTTCTTCTTCTAGGCATTACATGTAATACTTTCCAGTGAAATATTCTTTGATGTAAGATATGTATTTATCGTGACTACACGTGATTGATCTTGGGCCTTGGTTAACCAAACTGACAACGTAAAGAAATCTCTTTTTATCTCTTTCTTTCTGAAAAGAACAAATCAAGATGGCGACTTTATAAATTCGTAATTCTACAAATCATTCTCAATAACAACAATGGATAACTTTTTAAAAGCACTCAATTCCACCAAAGTACCAACAAAGAGAGAACCAAAGCATACAAAACTTTATCAGCAGACGTAACCATTTATACCAATGTTAGAATAAAATAAGCTGTTTTCTAACAAAATATGTAGCATAAAGTTGCACATATACAACAGCCAACTTCTCATAAAATGTTAGTCAATCATATTCTCGGTAATTATAATCCACGCTTAGAAATGTACTTAATTTATTTGTATGTCTCTCCTATCTTTATCTTAGAATAAAGATTAATAAGAAGTACTTCTTTTGTCTTTGTCTTGTGTCTCTAAACCATTACATAGCAGTACACGTCGATTTCCTTCCCTAGTGCGGCATTTATTCTCAAATCTGTGTGACATCAATTCCCACTTGCTGCGACTTTGCTTTTGGGAAAGACTGTGCACATACACACACAAAAAGATGCTAAAGAGCATAGTGTTTCAGAAAAGTGTTATAAGACTTTACAAAATGCGGCATTACAATTTATACACAAATGCCACAAGTTAGAGCGACGTTTATCTCGAGAAATAGTGTAAATAGACCGAGAAAACGATCAATAGTATATTATTTTTCATTTCACTTTTTTACATGTAAATATAGACCGTCTACGAACGACGTGGCAGATAGATTAACTGCTCACTATGTAGATACGACAGTCATATATGTCTCATACTTTCTTAGAGCAAGGAAAGCACAAGATTAGCTAACTTGACCGTCAATGAAAGTATTTAGTTAATTATTTGGATCGAATAAAGAACGAAAATGGCTGCAAGCTGGGGTCCTCTTTTATACACGTTTCAAAAGCCACAGATCTGTGACTGATACAAGTCGAAAATTTTTTTTTCATCTTCATTATAAATTAAGCCCATTCCCTTTTTTTTCCCTTTTTCTTTTTCCTCAAGGAGGTAGCAAGCTTATGTATACGGGCAAACATACGAAAAGATATCATTCTTTAATTCAACCCGTGGGAAGGTCTGAGAAAAGCCGCTAATGTCTTTGCTGGACAATCTGTGAAAACGGAGGCAGTGCTACCAGAAAATCTAACCTCTTGTTTCCTTACCTTTGAAGGATTTTATATTCTGATGGGTATTCTGGGGAGACGAGAGGATTATTGTAACGGTCTGCGGGCGGAAATGCTATGAAGTGCAATACATGAGGCTGGTTTTACCAGTAACTCAATTCAGACTACTCTGTTTCCTCCTTCACCCTTTTTTTATTATTGAAATTTAAACGAAAAAAAAAAAAAAAAATGATGAGCCAATTACGTAACAGAGCTGGTTAATTTTTTTTTCTTAGTATAAATAAATAGACAAAGAGTGTGTGTCTGATTTCATTTGTTGTTGTTTCATTAATGTCAAAGAAAAAAGTTTTAGAAAAGGCTAATTTAGAATCCATTGCAAAATATATAAAAGAAAAAGACGGTAGAATCTTGTGTACAAAAAACAACTTAATTTCTAACAATTATTTCAGTAAAGAATGTCATTGTCATGACAGGTGCAGGCATTTCAACTGCTGCGGGTATTCCTGATTTCCGTAGTAAGGACACAGGTCTATACCATAACCTGAAAAGCTTCAACCTACCTTATGCTGAGGCAGTATTTGATATTGAATATTTTGAAGTAAAGAAGAAGAAAAAAGCAGATAAAGATAACAATAAAGATATATAACAAAAAACAATTTTTGAATAGGAAAATCCACAACCATTCTATACACTTGCTAAAGAACTATACCCTGGTCAATTCTTACCTACCAAAACCCATTACTTTATCAAACTACTTCAGGAGAAAGGCATCTTATTACGAAACTTTACGCAAAACATTGACACCTTGGAAAGATTGACAGGACTGGACCAAGATTACATTGTTGAAGCGCACGGAAGTTTTGCCACGGCATCATGTATCAAGTGCAAAAATCCAGCCGAGATTGATCTGGTGAGAAGGAAAGCATTGGCGGGCAAAGTGCCTAAATGTGTGTTCTGTAAGGGATTAGTCAAGCCAAATATCACATTCTTTGGTGAGAGTTTACCCAAGCGATTCTTTAATAGATTGGTCGTAAGCATATATTGTCCATTGTTATATATCAAGCATGACATTTATTGTTATTAGGATTTTGAAAAGGCGGATCTATTGATTGTGATTGGAACAAGTCTTCAAGTACAGCCATTTGCTTCTCTCATTGATGAAGTGCCTGACCATGTCCCAAGACTATTGATCAATCGAGAGCTTGTAGGTGTTCATCGATCCAAGTCAAGTGGTTTTGATTTCAGGTGGAAATATGGTCTTAATCGAGATGTGGCCTATCTGGGTAGTTGTGACGAAGGAGTTCAGAAACTGGCGGAATTATTAGGTTGGGATAAGGATCTAGATCGATTAGTTGCCAAGGGCCACAAGAAGTTACAGTCAATGTGGAAGGATGTACAAGTGGTGATTGAAGAGGAGGCATCGGAGGTTCAAATTGTTATTCATGAAGAAGAAAGCGAAGAGGAAGTGAATCAATTGACAGAGAAGCTAGAAAAATTGACAGCCGAAGACGACGGTAACAACAACAACAATAAAGATGATCATAAGGATAGTAAAGACAATGGAAAGAATGAATAAGCAATTGTATGTAATTGTTTCTTTCCCTTTTGAACGATTGTTTAGTCTTGATCTTTTAATGTCAATAGAAGACATGATTGGTTATGTAAAAAGAACTTTACCAAATAAAGCGTCGTTTCAATTTAATACTATTGCCTAGATTACTCATCTATCATTTTCGTAAGCACTATTGTGCGGATACACCCTACACTTTCAAGGGACCCGAAAAGAATATAAATACCTACTCTTTATTTAATAAAAAAAAAACACATCTCTTTCTACTTTTCCCTTCTTTACGCCGGTCGTTTATCATAGTATAATGAAAGCTTCATTCCTTCTTGCTTCTCTCTTTGCTACCCTTTTGACAGCTCAAGCTGCTCCTCTCGAAACTCGCTCATCCATGTCTGGTAGTGGTACATACTACGATGTTGGCTTAGGCTCCTGTGGACATAAAAACTCAAATAGCGACATGGTTGCTGCTCTTTCTTCTGATCTAATGGATGGCGGTAAACTCTGTGGAAAATCAATCACGGTCAAGAGCAAGAAAGGATCCGTCACTCTTACCGTCGTAGACACTTGTCCTAGCTGCGACAGTGGTGATGTTGACATGAGCAGTGCTGCATTCAAGAAACTTGGTTCGCTGGACGAAGGACGTATTCCCATCACTTGGTCTTATTAAACCCCTCCTTTTTTGCATATCATATAGCTGGTCTTTTTTTTTTCATAAACAAGCATTGTTTCATTTTAACTAGAATTCAATAAATACTTTATTTAACAGTGTCTATATTCAAGAATAGGACCACCGATTTCCGTTATCTCAGGAAGAGTACAATTCAAGTCAAATACTTTAGCCAAGACAATCTTGTAAATCTTTTGTACATTGATAGATTCTGCTGTTGAGCAGAAAATAAGCGGGGCCTTCATCACTCGAGAATACTTTCGTGCCTTTTTTTTTTATAAAAGAGTTAGATAAATAATCTTTGATTATTTTATTTTACTTGTCTTGTTATTTCTTCTTGTTTTTCAAATGGTAAATTGACAAATTCATCATACTTTGTACCCACCAACAGTGGCACTGCACTCTAAATTGATATTCGTCTTGTCAACGACATGTCCTTTTTGCATATATATGTATATACCATCGTGATTCCTCTCACTTGTCGATACCAATCTCGAAGGCTGTTGAGGGTCGATAGTCTCGATAGATCAAATGTGAAAAGTATTGCTACGGCGTCATTACATACAAGAGGTAACATGCTAGCGAATTGTTTCTGGCCTTTTTTTATTGGTATACTGTCTACGAATAATATTCACTTACCTCCTAAATCCCATATACTAAACGTAATCTCTGTTTGTCGAATGGATATTGTTTTTTCCATAAAATTTACACCTTTTTATTATTGCTCATAAGTATATCTTGGTCTCTTTCATATTACGATTATATGTACTGATGCATACCTAATGTCTGTATATACTCTGGATCGTATGCTCCTTCTGCGTATTTAATCATCAAGCTGGTCTTGCCTATTTGTGTATCACCAACGATACCCATTTTTAGTACAACGCTATATAAGGTGTAAACTGCTCGTTCTTATTTGTTATGCCATAAAGTGAGTACCTATTTGTTGTTCCAGATTGACCATCCATAAATGATGTTGATGCTGCATTCAATGATTCTTGAGATGTCATTATTAAGAAAGTGAGAAAAGAAGAAGAAAGAAAGAAATGCAAGAAGTATTTTTTTATGTTGATACATAATGAATATCAATCAATGACTATGCAAAAAGGGCAAATAAACATTTCCCCTTTTTAACAGAACAATGAATTCAGTATCTATCTTTTCGGATTAAAATATGGGTCGTATCTTCGTTTACGTTCATTGTTTTGTTTGACAGATATGATGGATTTATATGTTTATTTTATAAAATACAAAAGAGAGACGGGGTAAATCTGACAGGTATAAATTAAGTATGTATTTTTTTCTTTACCTAGGTTTGTTTAAGAAAGAACAAAAGGGAAGGGAAGAGAGAGAGAGAAAGAGTCTACACTTGTTGCAAAAGATCTATTTTACATTATTGTGCAACACTGTCCACTTTCAGGAGGCGCAAATGGGTCTTCATTTTTAGGTACTGGTCCCCAAATGAAAGGCAGTAAAGGATCCTTGTTATTATTACAATAATCTATTAAGCTAAAAGAAATATAAGTCATCTATTATAAGCTTGCATCATTTTATTTATTTTTTTACCTTGCAGATGCTTCTGAGACAGTAATTCTTGATATGTTGAGTTGATTTCGAAGGTAATTGTTATATTCTTCCAATCTTCTCAGTCTAGTCTCTGTCATCTTTGGTGTCTTTCTCGGTCGTGCTCTTGGCTGAAGCTTTGTTGGCATTTTGATCAAAAAGATATACAAGGAAGAAAGAAGAAGTAGTGATGGAAAAGGCAGAGATTTATTGTTTTTCAAATATGGCAAATGTACATTTTTGAAAGCATATATGCGTACAATCGTTGTTTTTCTTCTTTTTTTTTTTTTCAAACATAAAGACTACAAATGTATAACAACAACTCATCATAGATATTTGTAATCGCTATCATTCTTCCTATGTCTCTTTTCTTTTTATCATTATTGATGTTATGTTGATACCAGAATAAAACACGCAATTTAAGGTTTTTTAGTCACAAACTTCGTGCCACTTGGACATCATTCGTTTTTTTCAGAAGAATTAGGCAACAAAGATACACAAGATAGCTTTTAAGTATTTGGCAGTTTTATAAATACAAGCAATGCTGTCAGAGTACAAAACAAGAAATGACACAAATGCACCATTGTCGTTTTTTATAAATGATGAGTACCTCTTTCACAGAAACAAGGCAAAAAATAACTTTGGAGTTTGAACCTTATAGTTTACCCCAGTTTTTTATAAATGAGCGTGTGTGTATATATGTGTAGCCGTCATTTTGGTTACATCTTGGGTTATTGTTCTTGGAGACAGTTGATTGCTATAAATGCAAGATTCGATATGGTAAAACGATTTGAAGCTAGAGGGCAACATACGTATCGAGAATGTTGGTTACTGTTGGTTTTTTGACAAGTGCTGTCTGTCTAAACAATGTGATAGGATAATCACAGAAGATTGTAAAGGGAATAGTCATTGGTCAGTAAATTCCGCTGAAGGAATGACCTCGTTATCTTGCAGTGTCAATTCTTTAAGCCAGGTCATAAGATGCATGGCTAATATATGCATGAATTAATTGAATGTACCAGCTTCTTTTTTAAAGTAACCAATGATGGTACTATCTCATTGCTCTAAAGGTAGAACAAGAGTGAGTTGAATTCCTATTTGAAACCTGCAATGGAGTTCGACATGTTACACTCAACGGTAGACGTGTGCAAAATATCCTTAATTGGACAGGACGGCTCTCTCTCTCCTTCCTTCTCTTAAGCAATATCTTTTTTTTCCCAAGTAGCTGTGTTAAGGAACTTTTTAGCACAGATGGTCATACAACATGGAGATATATTACCCATGCATTTAGACGACAGTGTGTTTAATCATGTTTTTTGTACTGATGAGGCTTGTAACAGTGCCACATGACAAGCGCAGTTAGTCTGGGGACATGTTTAATAACAATAAGCACGAATGAATATCTCTTTTTCTATATCATGGGGGTTATTCAACCATAGATCTTCTTTTGATAGACCTTCTTTTGATGTCAGCTCCTTCTTTGTAAACAGTTTTGAGACTGGCAGGACATCTTTTAACTCTCTCGAAAGTACGCACCATATAATATGACAGTTTATTACGTTTACTGGTCATCGGGTCAGGTTTCATTGAAATACGAAAGGCGTATGAGAAATTATCAGGTTCATGAACACTTGTCAATTCTACAAGTATCACATCTCATTGTCATTCTTTGCAGGTATAAACATAGTCTTTCTTATCTAACATGATATATGCTGCCTATGCCGCATTCTCTTTATGATGATACATCTCATTGAATTGTATGCACAACATGGACTAGCTTACTCTGACAGAGTTTCCTTAACTAAGGATCCTATCATATCTCTCTCTTCAAGGTAATGGCCAGCTGCTGTCCTTGTGGCTTCTAAGCTCAGTTTCAACTTTATCAAACATCCTATGGTCGTAGACTGTTTCTATAGTCATGGCTGATTGTTTTCATACTTTGAACACTATGATAGTGAGGCTGTTATATACACTATATTAAAAAGATTGATTCATCAAGAAAAGTCACCTGGTCCTTCGCTTACGGAAGTGGTCAAGCGAATATACCTTCTTTGTCACGTTATACAGTATTTCCAAGAACTCGTTTCAAAGTATGCCAAGCATGGCCCCCTATCTTTTCTCCCCAAAAGTATTTTAAACAATATTATCTACATATATACCTATCCCACTACTTTGTTAACAAGTATGCGTACTGAAAAATGTTGCTGCAAGTGTAAGTTGTAGCTTTTCAGAGAGGCGATGATAAACAACAATCTCACTGCTTTATAAGCCCTTAAGTTAGCACAAAGATGAAAAGGTGGTCAATAAAAAACCAAATGAATGGTGCTTTTTTTTGCTTTTTCTTGTTCCTTTCCTAGCAGCTGGCTTAACTTGTTATACTTTTCCAATTTTTCTTACTTCATTGAATCTTTGACTTGCAAGCATAGATACTAAGGAAACAAACTTGATTATTATATAGCTCTATCATAACGGTTTTTCTTTACCTTGGCTTTTTCCATAAAAAGAACAAGCTTTTGAGTGCAGTTGTTCTTTATATCATTTCTTTATTAATAACAAGAAGAAAGAACACTATTACAAACAACATTATTTTATATGCAAACAGGATTACTTATGACCAGTGAGAATTGGACATGACGCGTTATATGAACGTGCTTTATAGTCAGTCTGCTTGTATTGTTCATTCATGGAGTAATCTCACCAAGTATTTATAAAGTAAATAAAACAACTATGTCCGCTATTTGAGTAGGGCATGTTTTCTACCTTTGCTGTATAATAAGTCTTTATGTCCATCCCATTGGTATAAAAGTTATCACACGCGCATGTGTACAGAATTGAAATCATGTTTAAGCAAGTAAAAAAGTGCTGTATGTATTCAGAATCTTAAAAGCACCTTCTTTACGAAATAAAGTGGCATAAAATCGCTTCCAAAAAAAACTATGCATTTTTTAAGTCCATTGAAGCAAGTGATGGCTCCTAAGAATAAGCTGTAAGAATAAATTGTTAATATATGTATTCGCGTCAAGAGCTTTTTATATGTTTGACGGAAAAGAAGTTGTTTCATGCAACAACCGTTGATTTACTCTTATCAAAATAACATTGTTCATATTATATTTTCAGAGTTTTTAATTATGAAAACTTAATGGTTCCATTGTTATTTGCGGCGTATTCTTTGCAATATCTTCAACGTATTTTCTTTGTTCTTTTGTCATTGTACTTAAATGGGTATCTTCACTTTCATCTGTCAGATCAATAATATGCATTCTTCTATAGCTTTTCAAAAAAGCAATCGCGGGATTCGCATGATTCTAGCACATATAAAAAAAGAACAACATTGCATGCACGAGGAAAACCACGAGAAGGCTACCTCTAAGCATTACTTGTGATGTCGTCAACAAAGCTTTTCAATGTGTGGCATCATGCTAAAATTACTCAGGAATTGCTGTAGAATATCAATTTATAAAGCCTCCATCTTGACTTTGTTTCTGATTGAGAAGAAAGAGATAAAAAATGCTGTTATTTCTGTACTTAATATATTGCTGTGGTTTAATTTTATGTTGTCAAGTTCAATCAACGAAGAAATGAATAAATGCATCTTTCAAGTGTAGTCGTGATAAATTCGTATTTTACATAAAGTATCTTCTTCTGGGCAACCTTATGTTACATAGCAACTTTGATAGTGCAGCAAGATAGTATGAAGTTGCAAAGTGACGACACAGGCAGCCTCCCGAGGAAATGTCCGCTTATTACCCTTCTCGTGTATTTCCTCGTGCGCGTAGTGCTCACCGAAAGTTATTAAGAATGAGTTTAAGACTTATGTCCATGAACACGGGCTTAATATCGAGCCAAATGTCTGAATTGTTGCCAAGCACTATGTTTAGTGTGCTAATGTTTGTAATGCATGCAAAGCTTGTGTTTATATTCAATAGTTGGTAGCTTTTAAAGATGATGATCTTTTCGCCAGTCTTGATGTCTACTATAGTGTGTGATGAATTGGCCATGAATATAAATGTAACAAGCTCCCAAAGTCAATTAAAGGAAAAAGGATAATTAATGGTTCAAAAAAGAGGTCTGTCACATGGTATTAGTTCAACTCTTATGGTACCTATCCTTAACAAGCTTGGATTATACGATATATATATTGCTATCAACAAATGCCGCAATCCCCAAAATACCCAATGCACTCTGATCATTCGTTATCTCCCGTTTCAGGATAATATTCCACTAAGAATCGATAGTTAGTGCAGTCCATTTTTTAATTCAAAGAATATATTAAAGTCTCTATCTCTCTGTCACAGCCTTTCAAATATGTCTAATAAGAAAGATGTCTATAAAACACAAGTCTCTTTTGGGAAGTCTTCAATGGTTCATTGTTTCTCTTCAGGTTAAAATCCTGTTGATCCCTTTTTGTATCTGAAAATGAAAAATGATGATTCAATTGGACCTAATCTTTAAAATTTGACTTGCAGATCAATAGGTTCTGCGACATATTCCGATTGGACAACCTGGTAGTTTCTAATAGAAAGGGAGCAAAAAAGAAAAAAAATATAATAAACTCCCTCTTTTTTTTTTTTTTTTCTGCTCTATCCTTAATTATTGCGTGAATCGGCTTTTCCTGGCACAAAAGGGTAACAGGAAAAGGAGAAGCTAAATATAGAGTCAAGACAACATTTACACATATTTAATACATCCCCCCTTCCCTTTTCCTTTCTTTCTTATTTATTCTAAATGGCACCTCCAGAAATAGCTGATTCATTTGTCTTTATGGACGATGAAGAAACATCCTATCATTCACGAAGATATTCTCAATCGCATGCAGTTTCTTCGGCAACGGAAACACTGACAACGCCCTATCATCGTGGCCGATCTTTTTCGACATCGTCCATTGATCCATCGACGTTGGCTGTACAGATCATATCATCCGTCAACAACAAATTAAAAGGAGAAAACGAGATACCAGACGATGTAGAGATCTGTGAAGTGACAAGAGCCCTTTTATTGGGCGCTCAACGATTGTTGCTTATTGAAGAGTTACCCAAGGACAGAAGAGAGAACCAGTATGTGCTCTCAGGCTATCGTTTCTACAAGTCAGCAAACGACTGTCTAAAGTCTTTGTTCAAGCTACACAATGAAACAATGAACATCTGGAGCCATTTGCTGGGGTTCATTTTCTTTAGCTTTCTTTCAGTCAGTGTCTTTCAGGTAAAAAAAAATTTGATGGCATATTATGTATATATACTCATACCATGTAGAGAAAATTCCCTGAGGCTTCAGCTCATGACCTCTTGATCTTTACTGCATTCTGTTTTGCGTCTCTCCTCTGTTTACTCTGTTCATCCATCTACCATACCTTCATCTGCCACGCCGCTCATCATGTTAAAAGCTTTACAGCTACCCTAGACTACATCGGCATCACCTTTTTGATTACTGCTTCGATCTGTATTATTGTTCATTTTGGATTTTACTGCGACCCGACCTCGAGGAATAGGTACATGATCTTTAGCTGTCTGATCGGAAGTATTGGTGTCATCTTGCCTTTTTTCCGATTCTTTGACACCAAAAGATACAGGCCTTTACGCATCGGTTTATTTGTCGCCATGGCCTTTTCAAGTATCGTCCCTCTCTTACATATGATCACTGCCAAGGGTTGGGCCGAATCGTTCGAGTTTTTGAAACCGGCATTACTTGGATCCTTGATGTATCTCTGTGGTGTTACAATCTATGCCAAACGATTCCCTGAAAAGTTTTTCCCTGGCAAATTTGATTTGATGGGTATGACAAGCCATGCGATTTGGCATATCTTTGTTTGCTTGGGTATCTTTGTAAGTTGAATGTTTCATTGTTAAATATGAGCTAATTGTGTGTATATAGTTTTATTATCTCGGCTCATTTCATTTCTACAGCCTACGTGAATCTTATGGATGCATGGTCTGATTGATTATTTATTTCTGCATTCTCATTATTGTATAAAGACCCCCAAAAAAGGTTGCATCAGAGAAATAGATCCTTGATGGAGCTATTTTTCCAATTCGTAAATAAAGCATTCTCCCCCCTCTCTCTCTTTTATTCAATCACACACATGAGTAACGACTGACTCAATCTATCGTCATGAGTTATCAATCAGCCCCTCTTCTTCTTTTTATATATCCGTGTGACTCTATGATTGTTCCACAATAATGACTGCGTAAAAATGGTATCTTTAATGTAATAGAGGTTATTTCAAAAACAGTAACCATTATTGTTTTTGTTTATACTTTATTAAATGGTCCTATTCTAAAGTCGACCCAAAGATATTAAGACTTTTGTGAAACATTGCTTCAGCAAATTCTAGTAAAAAAAAAAAAAAAGAGAGCAATGGCTAGTAAGGATTCATACATTGAATGATGTATACCAAGGAGTACACTGTTTGGAACTGCATAGCAACAAAAGCAACAGCAGTCATAACATGTGATGCTATCTGTACCTTATTCGTAGATCTTTTATGTATATATTCTTAAATATATTATCACATAAAGCTTGGCCCTTTTTTTACTTTTTTTTTTTTTTTTCTTTTTGAAGATACCATGGCAACGACTATACATAATTTACCTATTGAAATTATAAAAGAAATATTTTTACAACTAAGTCGACGTACCCATACCCATGTTTGCAAACATTGTCTCACCTTAGGAAAGAACCCATGTCGATGTTGGCAGCTCGATTTACTTACTGTGGCGTTAGTTTGCTCCCACTGGTATTCTATTGCCTCTCATGTCATCCAGATAACTGAAAGAGCCCAACTGCCCTGGATGCAACTGCTCAATTTGACAGATCAACAGAGATCTTATCCGCTTCGTTCAAAACTTATCAATTTGCTGAATGAGTCGAGGCGCCGCTCCCTTTTTTTCCATTTACGTGTTCGTCATTTAGTCATTGATTTTAAGACGTTTGGTATCACTGAAAAGCCCAAACTAAAGAAAGGTATTTTTTTTTTTGAAAAAAAGCAGAGAAAGCTGATATTTTCCCTTCTTTGAAAGCAGACAAGACATCCGACGTGATGAAGCTACTGCAACTCTGTCCCTCTACAGAACGGCTAGATATAATCTATGATGCATCGTTTGTGTCGTTTGTGACAAATGAACGATCAAGGCAGCTTTTTTCAACCAAGATAACCAGTCTTGCTCAATGTATTCACGAGAACAATCATCAGATAAGGAGGCTAGACCTTGTGGGCTACAACCCCTTCCAGCGATGTCCCTGCTGTGCTGGAAAATGCTGGGATGGTCATCTATCTCCTTTACTGAAATGTTTGCCCTCTTTACACACACTTGTTCTTCAACACGTGCTACCATCAAGGGAGGTGCTAGAGACATTAGCAACTCACAGCTGTCTGGAAAGAATCGTTCTCTATAGGTCTATCGTGACCATTCCTCTAAAAAGAATAAGGCAGACAGACTGTACACAGCAACGAATGACAACCATCAGCCATATACCTGACTGTCTATGGAAACAAGTCAAGATAATAGAGATTTATGAGGATATAGAAGACGTCACACACTGGCCGGCCCAGCGATACATGTTGGAACTGGTAGAACGTGTTGGAAGTAGATTGGAATCCTTTGTATTGCAATTTGCAACCAAAGAGACAAACGAAGCCAGGATGTCACGGTTAGATCAACCCAGTGATAATAATGAATTCAATTTCAGTCAATCATCGCCTTTGCTGAAGTTGAAGATAAAATGTGGGGAATCACTGAAGCAGATTTCATTGGTGAACGTTCCTGAAGTTTTGCTTTAAGAGAGGGTTTAAGCCACTCTTGCCTAATTAGTGTAAATGCCCACACACACACAAAAAACAATCAAATTGTAATATTCTTTTTTTCTTTTTTCTTTTTTTTTTTTTTTTTTTCTTTAATAAAATACAACGATGCCCATTGTTTCAGTAACTCCAAACGCCAACTCTGTTGAAAAGACGACGAATAACAATTGTTCACTTTCAAAGAATCTCAGTTGCAAACACAGTTGTTTATTAAAAGAAAAAAGCAATTGTAAATCATTAAATACACAACAACACTCTAAAAAGACTTCATTACTCTCTCGTCAAGAGGATGACGCTTGGGTTGATATCTCAACTAAGCGTTTAAGAAGTAGCCGTTTGGGTGCACTTTATGACGGCTCTCGGTTTAAAGGAATGCAAAAGTGTGGTGCAAATACATATAACGTCATTGTAGACATTCAGGTAATGATGATGATTAGTAGACAACTATTGAACAAAAGAAACTCATGTTTTTTCTTCAAATAATAGCATGTTGATCTAGCAGCTAGTAAAATTAGTGGATATCTCAACATTGAAGGACTCACTACAGAATGTCCAGAACTAACAGTAAATACTTGGAGTGTACAAAGACATAAATACTTATATTCTTGTTGTAGACGTTTTTCGAAGGAGAGATCATTGGACCTCATTACTCCTTCTTGACTAGAAAGTGGCAAGCACAACAGTCGATTGACATTTTGCATTGGGTAAAAAAAAGAAAAAGAAAAAAAAAAAAAGAATGTGTATTCATTTATAAATAGGGACGATTTCCATCATTTGAACCTTATATCAGCGTCTTCAATAATGATGATTTTGTATATGACCCTTATGATAATGACTTTGTATATATGCGTTGGAAGGAACACTTTTTAGTACCTGATCATTGTGTCAGTAATATTGATGGAGCTAGTTTCGCAGGCTTTTACTATATTTGTTATCAAAGGTCGACAAACGAGATCAAAGGATTCTATTTTTATTTTAATAATCATGAATGGTAAGTGATTACATCTTGTTTCTAAAGCATCTTTATAACATTTAAAATAGGTATCAACAGTTAACACTTGAACATGTAGAAAAGAACGCATTTGGCAATTTTGAATTTCGTTAAGCATACATATATACCTTCCTTTCTTTTCTTTTTTTTTGTACATAAATAGGATGATTAAATATAAGGACTCTATCTTTTTGTGTGTATTTAATGTCATAGTGATTTATTTCTTTCACCCCGTGACAAAGAGGAGAAGAAGAACAATTTTCATATGAGATCGGAATAAAGAACATGTTCTCGTGGCTCTTTCTTCTATTATATAAACTCTCCCTCTTTTTTATCTTTTTTTTTTCCCAATGTGTATTTAGTTCAGCCATGGGACAAGCCGCATCGATTACTTTAGCTAATAAATCAGATATTTTATATGACATTGACGAATTTTCACAACGATTCAAGAAGGCAACACTGTCAACGATGGCAGTTCCAATGATCATTGTGGCATTTCCTATATTGAATGCATACAAGTTTAGTGAATACGAATATACTGGAGTTAAAGTAGTCGATGGCACTATCGGTGGATTACTTGGCGTCGTAGGATGTAGGTATAACTTTGAGTGGATCAATCATCTCATACATGTTGTAGGGCCTATATCTCCTTTTGTTGCCTTTTGGTCTGCTTATCAATCCATCTTTGTGGAAGAACCTGATAGAAAGGCCGAAATATCAGAAGATGTCAAGACCATGGTGAGACGTGCGATTGGCCTAGATTGCGATCGATTTTATAATATAGCTGTTGTAGGTGCAGCAGGTACGGGCAAGGTAAAGAAAAAAAAAATCTTTATGATATAATCCAACAGTTTATAGAGTTCGCTCGTCAATGGAATTCTCGGGTACCCCGATAATGATCAATATGCAGCGGCTATTCATGAAGCGGGTGGCCATACGACCGAGCCAAGAGGATATAGACATCCGGATCTTCGAAACATGATCTTGTGGGATATGCCAGGAGCAGGAACACTGGCGAATAATGACAAGACGTACTTTGAAGATAATTATCTCTATGCATTCGATTCATTGATCATTGTGACCGCAGAAAGGTACAAAAAGAGGAAAAGAAAAATGGAGAAACGGGAGTGTAACGTGACTAGGTTACAGGCAATTGATTTGGAAATTGCGGCCAAAGCACAGGAATATCACATTCCTGTCTTGTTTGTGCGAAATAGATGTGACCAAGTAAGCCCTTTTTTTTTAAGTGTGTGTATGACCATTGACTTTTATGGTATCTTAGTCTCTTCAATCCAAGATGAAAAGATACGAAACTAAAGACAACAATCTCGCTTGGGCAAGAGCAGTAGGTGAATTGGTGAGGGAAGTCAGAAAGACTGTATATACACAACTGAAAGAAAATAAAATAAGCGCAAGGAAACTATTCCTCGTATCAGCCTGGAGTGTCCGTGAGTTGGTGACAACGGTCAATCAAACAAAGTATCTTGACGAGGATATGCGACTGATCGATGAACAGAGGTTTATTCAAGCCTTGATGCAAGCTGTACTCAAAAAGAGAAAGAGATCTCATCGTGTAAATAAATAATTTATTCAAATGGTAATATCGCCAATGCGACTCTTCTTCCTTCTTCTGCAAGCACATTGTATGTGGCTGCTGCATGTTTCTAATATATGAATGAGTATCTTTTTTGGTTTGTACACAATAAAACTTACTGAATTCATTTGATCCACTTGAATTCCTCTTGAAAAAAAATATTTTCTTATTTCTTCAGGAAGAGGCGCCAATTCCTTTCCGGTGCCAAATATGATCAGTTCAGGCCGTGGTGCAACTATATCAAACAGCTTGAAAGCGTCTAGATCCCAGCCTTTCATTGGCATGTGACCAGGTGCTCGTGGAGGTGGATTCCATAGGAATGGAGAACCATTTAGCAAGATGAGAGGTTGTTCTACTTTGACATTATTGGACAGAACAAATCCATGCTTTGTGATGATTTCAACACCCACATTGGGTCCACGATCAAACATGTTGTGAAAGGCACCGAGCATCGAATTAGGAATGACATCTGGGTTTTCGGGTGGTGGTTGAGGAATAGCCTTGTTGGCAATCTTGGACGTATCCACATACCCTTGTTTCCATTCTTCTTCTGTCACCTGTTTCCATCTCTTTGCAGTTGTCGACAGGGATCGATAGGTGTATAGCTGACTTAGGCAGGCAGATCTTGAAATAGTGTGTCGTAGCATAAAAGAAAACAAGAGGGAAAAAAAAAAAAAAGAAAAGAAAAAAAAAAGTTGGTTTATTCAAATATCTTTCTTTGTTTCATCAGTAACAATAATGTGTTCAGATACAGCCAAATTTCCTAGCTTGACTTCTTGATCATCTTCATCTACGTCGTCAATACGGAATATACGTCTAGCCGTGGCCTTTCTCTTTTTATTGTTATCGTCTGGTACTGTCAAGGTATTGTTGGTAGGTGTCAAACCTTCTAATTTGAAACCTTCCGTAACGGAACCGATGGTGCTACTGCTGCTAAAACTATTATTCCTACTTCTGTTACGACTGTGAGGCCGCGTATCTGATTCACTAGCAGATCCACTACGGCTACGACCACTGATACCCGATTTGTCGAGATAAAAGAACACGTCGTCTGCTACTTCCGAATCATCTGTTCTACTCCAATTGAAAATCGTCTTGTCATCTAACCAGTTCATAATCGTAGCCTGTTGAAAGAATCCGCTGGCAATTTTGGGAAGTTTGCTAGGAGTCCATGAAAGATTGGCTGCACTTGCGCTGCGACTAGGCGCTGTGCTTGTTGTTGCTGTTGTTGTTGTACGAGATATATAATTTGCTATTGGACAAAGGATCAGAACAAGAATCTATTTCCAGTTTGTTTCGTTTACCATCAAAATCAGGGAATACTTTGGGTCCATACTCATTAATGAGTTCAGTGATATCTTTTGAGAGTTTCTCTCTATTCTGTCGAAGTGTCTCTGCTCCGCTAGGATCTAACAGGGCCACCCATGTTGGTTTGATAGATCTAGAACCAACAATAAATACACGCTGACTTTTTCTTTTTCTTTGTTTACCTTAGAATATCATTTCCAATTTCACCAAATCGAAGGCTAGCGTAGGAGACAAAGGGTAACAAGTTCCAAGTGATCAATGGTAGTAACAATTTCCATTTTAGCTCCATGTCCATTTGCAACACAATAATAAATACAATAAAGCTATAAAGCGCATAGAGAGTAGGTAGTAACACGAGACCAACCAGTAACTTCCATGTAGCCAACACATCTCTTCCTGCAATTTTCACTGTTGAACCTTTCAAGGCGGCTATAATATAAAAAGATGATGAATACACACGCATATGTTCCCCCCCCCTTTTTTTTTTCTTTTTACCATCTGCTTTCTTTTCACTAATCACTTTGGCTACAATGACAACAGGAAGGTTCAAAATTCCACCTGGGAATGCTAAAAGTGAGAGGATGGCCAACACAAAGATACGCTTGACCAAGAGCCAGAGCATTCTTGCGCCATTATTTCTAGTTTTGAGTACCTGATGATCCTTGATACCATGATACTTTAAGAGTTGGTTGTAAGCCAGTACTTTTTGTTGCAACTCAATGACTTTTGGATCATCTTTAAAAAAATTATATCCTATCAAAAACCTTCTATTGAGATCAACAACTTGTGAAAGATGTAATTTTCTGTGAGCAGGCTTATATAATCTTCTTGCTGCTTGTATAAGCTACAAAGACCACATAAGTATATAAACAAAGTTTCCTCCTTTTTCTTCTTCTTTACCATAAGTGTTTCATAACTTCCTGCATTCACAGTGACTGTCTTGAGCGCATTACAGATACTATCCAACAAGGTCGAGCAGGCCTCTCTCTTCTCGGTTCCTCCTGCCTTAAACTTCTCTACAAGTTCTGCTGGAATCGTCAACGGGTTACCAAACTCGATTACGGCTCGCGATCGAAATTTATGAGCGTGGAAATAATTTAAGCCTAAAATAGGAGCGGTATCAGCTGCAACCTTCTAAAAGAGGGTATTCCGTGTTTCTCACTTTACCGCATGGAACAATCTTTACGTCTAGTCCTGGATACTTGGCCATAGCACCCAATGCCATCACAGTAACCCCAGCTATTGATTTTTTGGGGGGTAAGCAAAAGAGGAGAGAGAGATTTTATTTTTTTTTACCTTTCAAAGGGAGCATTTCAGCTCTATCATGACTACCTCCTTCAGGAAAGATAGTAATACATCCTCCACGATGTAGCTCTTCATGAACACATTTGTATACAGCATCTTGATCTACATGAGGAATGCATTTATAACTCGTTCCCTCGGGTCTCGTGAGTAGTTCCATCGCCTTGAGTTCTTTAAACTCTTTCTTGATCAAGAGTTCAGTATCTGAAATGATCTCGACTACCTCGGATTGTCCATAACTCTTGGGTAATGCAATAAGGTCTCTTGGCTTAAGCTGTTGGGTAAATTTGGTGTTGATACCAGTAATACGCAATGGATCTGTCTTTCTATCAAGTAATTGAATAAAGCCTTCACCCGGTTTTGCTAAATCCTGTGGTCGGATCACAGGGACTGTATAAAAGTGTAAATCGATTGTTATCTTTCGAGACAAATAAAAACTTACTTGCGTTTACCATGCGAGCAAAAGTACCAATGCCCTTTTGGTGCATTGACTTTTCTGCAATTAAAAACGAAACTCTTCTTTGACATTCTCGCATGAGGACAATGGGATCTACAAACTGATTAATGATATAAGTATAATGAAGAGAGCTATTTCTTATTCCTTTTACTTGGTTCGCGTGTGGTGCAGCTACAAAAATCACTGGGCCGTCTTTGGGTATCTTGTGTGCGCCTCTTGGTCTCACTTCTCGAAAGAAGATATCGAGCATCAAATTGAATAACCATAGAGCGGCATCATAGGTTAACCTTTGAGTCAAAGGTTGTTTCCTTGACATGTTTCAAAGTAAGGAAAAAGAAAGAAAGTAAAAGAAAAAAAAAAAAAAAGAAGGAACAATAAGATTACCCAATAAAGAGGTTGTATGAGACGGCATCGGACCCTTAAATTCAGAAAAAGCAAGAAAGCAAGAACATCTTTACCAAAGAAGGGAAGAAGAATAGTCATCTTTTTTAAAAAAAAGAGAATTGTAATTCATATGATTGTCACTCCTTCAAGATAGTGCGAGTTTCTATTTAAATAAAAGCAAACACGCTCATAATTTCCCCCCTTGAAATAAGACAAAGAAAGACAGGCGGAAGTTTAAACATTGACTTTTTTGTAATTCTCAAGTGAAGCACACGGTTTTTTCTTTATGAACAAACGACCTTCATTTGTCAATTTCCCTATACCTTTTGATCATCCATATACAATTCCAACACTTCTTGCCACAGTCAGTGCATCAGCTTTACTCTATTACTCTTTACAGGCATCACATAAACGTGATTTAAAAGAGGCGATTAGACAACAAGTCATTTATAAGAGAAGACACTTGAAACGAAAAGAAGACAAATTTGCAAGTTTAAAAATAGAAAAACAATATGTGAATCCGTTCAAGGAATGGAATGCTAATGTACCACTATGGGAATACATTCTGTATTGGCTGGGAATTGGAAGGCACGACTATTCAGCCAAGGTCTTCTTATATCAACTCGACAATAAAGTATATGTTCTAACAAAGTGTTCATAGGACTTGGAACGTTTACATGTTATTAGGCCCAACTTGGATAAGCTTGTAGAAAAAAATGTATCATTTATATGGTTAGGGTAAGAAAGAAAAGCCGTGGTCTGTTACATGTATTATTAACATGACACAAAATAGACAATCTACATGTCTATTCAGTCTTGATGGTTTAACCATTTTGACGGATCCTGTGCTGGATCATAAAAAGCGTGCAAAGCCCTGTCCTTGTCAAATAGAAGATTTGATGGGCGTTGTCGATATAGTTCTTGTCTCACATAACCATTTTGACCATTTAGGTATTAAAAAACACAACAAAATTGAGGCTATTTATAACGATTTATGTAGATGAAAATGTCGTAAAGGGACTTGGAAATAAAGTAACATGGTATATACCACTAGGATTAAGAGAATGGTTTGTAAAGAGAGGCGTCGATAATGTCATCGAGCTTGATTGGTGGCAAGAAATACATCATAAAGACAGGCCTGATATCCTCATTGCTTGTGTACCTGCAATGGTAAGCCAGTGAGACAATGATAAAAGTGATATTGATGCTCTTTATTTTAGCATAGTAGCTGTTCTTTCTGGGATAAAGACGAGTCCTTATGGTGTAGCTTTGTAGTAAAGTCAAAGCAACATAAATTATTTTTCTGGTAAGGAAATGATAATGCACACATGGGTGGTATATGAAATAACCAAGGCGTTAGCGGTGATACGGGCTATGTACCTGAACTATTTCAATCCATTAGAGATCTATATGCGCCATTCACAATAGCAGCGTTACCTATTGGAACATATGAACCACCCAGTATATTTAAATCCCTCCATATGAATCCAACTGAAGCGATCCAAGCACATCATGATTTGGGCTCACCATGTATATCAATTGGTATACATTGGGGTACATTTCATCTATCCAATGAAAGCTACTTATCTCCTCCTGAACTACTAGCTCGTTTATGGGCAGCTCAGAATACCAATGGTAGTCAGTTTATTACGACCTCTTTAGGTCAACTTATAGATATAGAATAATTTAATAAACAGGACGACTTCTCATTGTATTGTTAATTTATTTATTAATATCAACTATCTATAAAAGCTATGTATTTTTTTTATTTACATCACCTTGTACATTATTTATTCTTTGTATCTTCTATTTTCATACAAAACTCTTTAGTAAAGTACAGAATGAGTACAAGCCAAAGGTAAAAGGTAGAGAGAGACAAGGAAGAAGCATTTCTTTTTATCAATTGTCTGCAGGCGATCTACAAGAAAAAAAGCAAGCTGCATAAAAATAAAAAAAAAGAGCGACTGTGTGTCAAACACCGACCAGGGAGGGGCATTACTTTTTATTTACTTTTTCATCAGCTCGTATATTATCCTTACTCAATTTGTACCAGCTTGCTTTTCTTTTGATAAAGTTATAAAACTATGGAAACCTTTTCCTAGCAGAATTAAACGATGTTTGCTTATATATATTATCACATGCGGCTCTATTACAATAGTCAGTATACATTATTACCAAAAGAGTAAAGCAGCACTTTCAGCTTCTTTTTGAAAGACTTGATCAAGTATCAAGTAAAACAACTATTTCCCTGGCTGAATATTTTTTTAAAAAAAAAAAAAGAAAAAAATCAAGCCATTAGATATATTTAATACAATCATCAGGTTTAATAATAATTCGATCTATTCTTTTTTTTCTTTTGTATTTTCAATAATACCAAAATGTGCGACAATATGCGGTAAATGCTATCTCTTTTTTTTTTTTGGTTTAGGAATGTATCAGACAAGCTATCATTTATATATTTTATTCTTTCTGTTAATTCTGCTTTTCTTGTATTATAGCAATCTGATCACTTGTCTTTTTCCTAATTAAATCCTTAGAAATCTCTATATCCTTATATCTTAGATCATATATCTCATACTGACTTTGCTCTTATAGTCTTCTTGTCTTCCAATCTCACAACTTTAAATCGTAGTCTATTTTTCTTGCTTTTTTTATATCTAGAAAATTAATTGTTATTTTTTAATTTTTAAATTAACTTATATGTTTATTTACAGTTTTCAGGTGCTTCTTTTCTTGTTAAACATAAATATAAGCCTATAAATCGAACAATGAAGCAATACCTCTATTAAGGATAAGACATATTTCATTGCCCCACAGTATATCTCATGGCGAGGATTAAACTTCATAAAATGATGCTATAAGTTTTTTATTCTTTTGTTAAAGGGTTAAATGGCAGAAAATGAAGTTACATGGAGGTTATATACTTTGAATTTTTTTTTTCTTTTTCTTTGGAGGAATATCTTTTAAATAAAAGGTCTTCATTATCTTTTACATTAATATGATCCTCTTACTCTAGTTCTTAGACTGCAGACGACTAGACAATGATTGCAACGTTACAAAGAAAACAAACTCATTTCTATAGCATTACGTATCTGTTTAATACCCTTTAGAGCTAACATCGTCTTTATGTTGAGCGTACAGCAAACATTTTTCTCTCGGTATACGCTGGGGAGGTGTACAGGTAAATTTCATTGCAGTCTGTTTTACGCTCTTTTAAAAAGCAAAGTTTCTTTATACTCAATCCTCTTCAGCATTTGCTAATCTTTTTGTTATACTTTTTCTTTCAGCTTAGAATTGCATGTAGCTTAAATTTGTATTTATTGTGAGATTTATGTTTTCCAATATCAATACTTGATTCAATGAGTGAGTAATGAAAGATTTTCTCAAACCACTTTTAATAGCAGAAACTTGATACTCTTGTGTTACCTTTACTAGCTCCCTTCTTGAACAAGTACTGCATACAGTTTTATTATGAATGACTGCTTCCTTAAGCTCATGCGATTCCTGCTTCTAGACATACGATGTTATTTATTATGAGAAATCGTGAGGTTAAAAGAATAGCTCAGCATATGTTCATTGTAAAAAAAAAAAAAAAGCATCACGTGAAGCTGTCATCTAAAGCTCAGCATAAAAGACGTTGATGCCATTGATTGCACAAAACTTAATGTCAGGTCACATAAACAGATAGGTTATTTATAGTAGAGACACTTTAAATAAAAGCGTAGTAGTTAATAACTCTTTCCCGGCTGAATTTCCATTTCTGTGGCGAAGCACGTCACATTTTTTCAAAGTCAGAATGTTGGCGCGTACTCTCTCTCTCACTCACCACACATTATATTTCATTTTTCTACGTTTTTCCTTTTTGTTTTATTTTAAACCGAAATAAACATAAAATAAGATGAGCGTTATTCTTTTAAGTTCTGACAATGAAGAGTTTGAAGTCGAAAAGGAAGTCGCACAACGCTCAGTTTTGATCAAGAATATGCTTGAAGGTAAAACCATTTAAAAAATACACTAAATGTTACAAGAAACTAACTTTTTCTTACAGACATTGGTGACTCAGATGCTCCTATTCCTCTTCCTAATGTCAATGCTAAAGTTTTAGCCAAGGTAAATTAAACAAATGTAGAGATGAATAAAGCTAATAAAAAAAAGGTTATCGAATGGTGCACTCACCACCGAGACGATCCTATGACCCAAGACGACCAAGAAAGACGTACTACGGATATCGATGAATGGGATCAAAAATACATGGAAGTTGATCAAGAAACATTATTTGATATTATCATGGCAAGTATTTTAACAAAAGGGAGGCGTGTACCTAAACTGTATCATAGGCTGCCAACTACCTTGATATCAAGCCCCTTTTAGAGGTTGGTTGTAAGACTGTGGCAAATATGATCAAAGGCAAAACTGCAGAAGAGATCAGAAAGACATTCAATATTACCAATGATTTTACGCCAGAAGAAGAAGCTCAAATCAAGAAGGAGAATGTAAGTATTGACTATACAAGTGTTGCTTTTTTTTTATTGACCCTCTTTATAGGAATGGGCAGAAGACCGGTAAATGGCTTTAATAAAGTTCTATTTTTATTATATTGTGCTTTCTTTAGTCTTTGATAACCACTTTTTGAATTTTTCATCTTCCATTCTTTGAGCTCTTGATGGTGGATATTTAGATGCACTTGGCAGTGGATTTTCTTCTTCGCTTTCATAATCTTCTTCTTCTTCTTCTTCTGCGTCTTCCCATCTTTCATCATCTAAAACAAAATGATGTAAATATCATGATCAAGTTTGCGTAATTGAATGACTTACAATCATTTGATGAAAGTACTTCAGATCCCTTCGAGACCTTCATATCTCTCATCAGCTTATTCAATTGCTGTTCACGATTCTTTTCTTCTTTGGCCATCTGATCAAACGAGTTATTATATTGTGCTTTCTTATTGCGATCATTTACCTTTTCTCGAATCATTCTTTCAATTTCTGGCTTATACTCTACTTCATACTCTTGTGCTGCTTCTTCAACCGCCTTAAAGAATTCATCAATGCCTGCGCCCGTAACAGCAGAGACACCGATCACTTTCAAGTGATTGTAGAATTCATCGAGCACCAAACTCATCGAAGACATCAAACTGCTCATGTAAGTCGTATCTTGACTGAGGGCCAGTTGGAACTTTTCAAAATCTGTCATCCATTCGACTGCAAAATCATGCGAAACAACATCTGTCTTGTTGAACACCAGGATGAAGGGTAATTTTGTTTTATAGAGAATACTACACGCGTACAACATGTTGCTCATAAAGGTGGCGGGTGATGTCGTGCGTGGTGTGTCGATGATGTAGGCAATCATTGTAGGATAAGTGGCAGCCAGTGTGTCTGTAATGATGGCACCAGAGGCAGACCAAGTAAAGATTTCGATTTGACCGGGTGTATCAACCAAGACGTTACTACAGAAAAGCAGTAAAAAAAAGAGGTTTATTGCTATTTGAATATATCGATTAAAAGTTGATCTTACCTAACACTGTCAGATCTCTTGGCGATCAAATTAAGCACTTGATCAAACTTGGTTGTAAACAAATTAAGACTAGTAAGAATACCACCATTGGGTCCAAGATTATATCTATATGACAATGATCAATACTCGAGGGCTTTTTTTTATATTAGTAATCGTCTTACTGTTTCATGACTTCTTTATAATTCACAGTGTCTCGAATGTCAATATTTGCAGTGAATGGAAGTGAGGAAACTGCAGGATCAAGATTTAAAACATAAGGTGGTGTCTTTTTCTCGTGAAGGTATGCATTAATTCTCTAAAGCAAATTGTTAATACCCTACAATGGATCAAAAGCTCTCTCACTAAAAGATTTACCTGCATGAAGGTAGTCTTTCCTGAACCAGCCATGCCGATGCAAAGAATGACAGGTGGTTGCTTTTTGTCTGTTGCAGGTTGTTCAGGCGTAGTTGGAGTAGGAGCGTTATCAGCAGAAGACATTTTGTGAAAGATCTATGTTGAATTAACAAAAAAAAAAAAAAAGAATAAAAAAAAGCCAGCAGTTTTTACTGAACAATTAGGCATCCGATACGCCTTTCAAAAAAAGAAGTTTTACACTAGACAAACCTATGTGATAAATAATAGAAATGACTTTACTTTGCTTAAATTCATCTTGTAAAGAAGTCGAATGCTTTTATTTATTACATTCATGATGTAAACAACTTCTTTTTCTAAAACAATACTGCTATCAAAAATCATAAACAAACAATTTCAGGAGTCTTTGGACGACGATGTTGCACACATCACAGCATTTATTTGAACGGAGTAAAACGAGTGAAAAGAACTTACGCTTTACCATTTCTTTCTTTTTTTGACCTCAACAGCCATGTTTTAGGCTGGGAGAATAGAACAAAAAAGAATAAAAAAAAAACATTGGTACTCCATATAAAATAGTCCCCTCGTTGTTAGTTGCTCATTTATCGCTCTTTTTTCTTTCATTTTAATATATTTAATATGGACACTAGTCAGGTAGCTGAGATTAACAATTTGGCATCTCAAGCTCTAACTTCACGATCGACACAAATAAGTGTTCCTTCTGGGCCACCCGAGTTTACACGTCGCAAGAATTGGTCACAAAACATTTTAGAAGAGCTCCGTGATATCATCCATGTCTTATCTTTGGATTTCAACATTCTCTTTTGCTCTCCAGCCTCTCGAGAGTTTCTCGGCTATCAACAAGGCGAATTGATGGGCCGTAACTTTAAAGAATTCATTCATGTGGATGACATTGACGTCTTTACACGAGAGTTCCGTCTGGCTCACACGAACGGATCCATCCTGCGATCGACTCTTCGATTCCTCCGTAAGGATGGCAAACACGTCACTCTAGAGATTCGTGGCCACTTTTATAAAAACGCATTCTTTGGATCTGCGCGTAGTGTGCCTACAGAGATGACACGTACAATGGATGCCTTCTTGAATGTCAAGATGGAAAATGAAATCCTCAGACGTAAACTTCAGTTGGCTAAAGCCCAGGCAGCCAAAAAGACTACTGTTACTACTATGCCACAAGTACTCCAGGAGGATGAGTATGATGACTTTGAGGAAGACTTTGAACAACTCTTTACTGCTGCGTCCAACTCAAATGTATATACTCAAGGTGTGCTCAATTCGTTTGGTGTAGCCGAATCAGTCAATTTATTTACAGGTCTTCAATTTGATCTTGGTGAACGTTCTCGAGGTATCTCGATGGGTCTCGAAGGTGAGCTCTTCAATACGACACATTCTCCTGAAATTGGTGATGAAACAACCAACGAGACAAATAAACTCAAAGTTGGCAAAAAAGTAATAAAACACACACACTAAATGATGGTTCTAATGCATTCTATAGAGAAGAGGTACTGATGATCAACCACGTATCTGTACCGACTGTGGCCGAACGGATGCCCCTGAATGGCGACGAGGCCCCAGGGGACCAAAGACGTAAAATATAAATCATATAGTTTTTATTAAACAACTAAACAGCTTTTTCGGAATAGTTTATGTAATGCATGCGGGTTAAGGTGGTCTAAAGCTGTAAAAAAAAATTGAATAAAAAAAAATAGCCAGCAGCTTTTTTTATAAAGGAGGACGCTCCGAGTTTATTTAAATTTAAATGAGGAAGCAATGACTAATGGATTGAAAGGCACTAGGGCTCGTAAAAGCAAAACAGTTCATGGTACAGATGGAACATCATGGTATCTAAGTCCGTTGACGTACTTTGGCTGATGAACAGCACATCCTGAAAAGCGTGCCGCCAATGTGCTTGCTAAATTACTTGTAGGATACAGCCTAGTAACATCAGCAGAGTTATGGTTGGGACAACAGAACTGGTTTGATTGTTCTTAGGGTGAAGCAAGGTGGTAGCTACAGTCAACTGTGAGTGTTCAGCTGAGCGAAGATGAAGAAAATTCCCAGGAAGAGTCTATTGGGTACTAGGGGCCAGGTAGCAGCTTTATGCGGGTAGCGGAAGAAGAAGTGAGAAATAACCTCATTCGAGGAACGACAGTATGTACATAATACTGATAGATGCTGGTGAGGGAGAAGCGTATGTAAACGTTGTTTGCAAGGGATAGCTCTGTGCAAAGGGTGACGCTATGTGTTGTGTGCCATCAGGGACAACAATAGTTTCCAGAAGGCTACCCATGTGATGGGAGACACTACGAGGTCGTAACACTTCCGTTCTAAGGCTCATTGGGATAAGACAAGCTTCCGGTAGGAGGAAGGAGTGAAATGACGGTCGTAAGCAGTGAATTTATGGGTACTGTGCGTACAGAGAGACTTAGGCCGACGGAAGTAGTATCTAGAGTTTCTGTTGAAACGCTTCCAGAGATGCGCAAAAGGAGGAAAGCAGCAGAAAGTATTACATGGTCTTGGAGAAGAGGAGAAGTTATCTTGTGACAAAGAGACCGATGTCGAGGATATTCGGATTGTTCGTGTAGACGCAGTTTGGCGGAGGCAGGATCATATATCATACTGTTTCGTATCTCCAGTTTATATATGCCAGGGATTTTGGGTAGCAGAGGCTGTAGAATCCCAGGTGTATAGAAAGTTGACGATAGGGTTTCAGAACTGATCAAGGCATATTGAACCGGTAGTGCCAGAAGGGTTTTGACGCTCAGTTGGACGTGACTAGACAGTGATAGCAGCTCGCTAAAGGCTTGAAGGAGTGACTTAAAAGAATTGTTCCGTAACCAAAGCAGCCTTGAGCGAAGTGATGAAAACAGCAGTGGTCAAAGGTGACTGGGAGGGTACTCACTAATACTGGACTGAACATATTTGATGTATAGTACGCAGCGAGAAGGATGTATTGCAGGAAAAGCAGGCGTGAGAAAGGGTAATAACCACAGCCACTGCAACATTAATTGTTGGATGTAAGGATCTAGCGCCAAGTCTTCAAAGAAGCATCAGAGTTGCAAAACTGATCCTGGGGGAACGATGACCATTAAGGAAGCCTCCAGCTAGCCCTTGAAACGGCTGAATTTGAGCAGCAGTGAGGGGCAACATTCTTAAAGCTCGTCAGAGTATAGATAAAATCAAAGTGCTCAAAACCGTGACACTCCCGCAGATCAATAGAGAACGTTAGGAATGAATATCGCGAGCTGTCGACTTTTAGAATTAACGGATCGACAAAGACGTTGTGTTGGGCCATACTGGCATACAAATAATAAAGACAAACTGAAGATTTCTTTGATGATTGTTCTGAAACTGTAGACCCTGTTTATTTCATTTTGGGAGCAATTTTGAGTAATGTAAAATCATGTAACAGATCAAAAGTCTAGATGTAGCATAAAGAAAACTTGTATGTGTATTTCAACATCATGTTTAACCAAAGGAGAGTCAGAGGACATATGAAAGCCTGATCAAATGTTGTCAATAGCTTAGATAGTTAGTTAATGAATAAAAATGTTGTCTATTTTTCTTTCTTCTTTCAAGCCAACTTATTCGATTAGACAAAAGAAACTTTTAGTCTTGAATAGAAGAGCAGAAGGGGATAAACGTTCATTTGACATAATCAAGTTCCCTTTTGTTTAACCGGGAAAGCAGAAATGTATCCTGCAAGAAATGCCTAGGTATCCCATAATTGGGAGTCTACTGTAAAAAGAAAAAGACGGAAAGAATGATAAAGAGAAATATGTTCTGCAGAAAATAACAGGAAGAAAAAAAAAAGCTTCTGTGATACTTATGAAGATTTTGAGTAGGAGGAAAAATAAATGGAAAAAAGGCAAATTTTGTCAGCAAGCAGACAAAGTTCCCCTCGTAGTATATGTAGAAGGCATGTTGAGCAAGTATATAGTGAAGATACATGGCTTACACTGCGGCGCCACTGGAGTATTCTACAGATCTTTAAAACGCCGTGAGGCTGCTGATGACTAGATAGTGGTCACCATCAACGAGCATCTATCTTTGCAAATTTGTTCAAAATGTTCGAAGAGAATTGAAGAAGTTGCTAACCATTCATGGTCATAGTGTGCTCAAATGCAACAGCTGCAACAGATTGTGGCAAAGATATATTAATGCGGCAATCAACCTAATGAATTTAGCAAGGTCAAGACGCCCAACCGCCTTTAAAAGATTATAAATAATCGCCGTGCCAAACACGGTTTGTCTTTACAGGTTTCAGATTTTTACAGGTGAGATGCTTACAGCCATACATCAATCATCTTTTTAATATTTTTTAACCAGGTGAAAAACCTGTAGTCAAAAGCAATAAAGAAGTTACAGACTGCAGACAACAATATTGAACAATAAGTTCTTTATTTCTTTCCTCGAACCATTCTTTAATAAATAAAAAGAGTATTAGCATTTTTTTTTCTTCTTTTTTATAGTAAGTACCTTATTGTTCCCTCAACAGCACCCAAAACCCCAACGGTAAGACCAACAAAGACGATAGACGCGAATAACTTGTCCCGTTTTCCTTTTAACCAAAGAGGGACAGGAGTGGATGCTTGAAAATGTCTTTGGTTTTGAATAACGTGGTTTGGTCTGTTGATCATTAATAAAATAATAAAAAAAGAGCAAAAAAGAGAAAAAATGAAAAAAAAAAGGTGACAAAAACAGACGATTTATCACCTGTTACGTAGAGATGTTACAATATTTATTTACATTTTAAAAAAAAGTGGTGATGACTACCTGTTAAGGTAACTAGGAAATATATAAAGGAGAAAAGGGTATAATACATAAATATATATATATATATATACATGAGGAGGGAATCTAAAGGTCTGTAATGCGCTTAATTCTATGGCACTCTGCCAAATGCTCTCCTCTATATTTAATCAAGTATTCTCCATTATCTTTAAAAGTGACAGTTTTGTTTACAGGACATCCCTAAGAGCGAAAATGAGTGTGTGATATTCAAATAAACTTTATATGTTCTTACCTTTGCACCATTGGAGCACTTGTAATAAATGCTTTTGAATCCGGTCTTTTTATGAACTGTATTGCCATTATTCTTCCACAAGTAATCATCGCTGTAAGGAAACTCTTTGGTCTCGATGATGGTTGTGATGGCTTGAATTTCACGTTTGCGTCTTTTTGTATTCGTCTCGTTTGAAGAAGCTGAACCGGCAGCAGGATCGTAACCTTCCGAATACGAACGAGGACGCTTATATCTATTTCATGTATAAGTATGCATACTAAAAAGGAACATGTCTAGCGACTTACTCTAATTGGCTACTGTCTTCTGTGGAGGTGGCTGTGTTGGTAGAAGAACGAGAAGAAGGAATTGAAAGCTCAGGCAATTTGAGATCTGGATCGTGCTCGGATATGAGAAGCATATCAATGCTTGTCTTTCTTGTCGTTTCATTGGTACGATGATTCCACGGAGATGAGTAGGAAGACTTGATGTGTAACGGTGGTAATGTCGAATCCGTGGAATGCGTCGAGGCTTTCAAAGGCTGAATTGAATCTCCCCTTTTCTGTGGGATATGGGGCAGAATGGGCAAGGGCTTGGTGGGTTTATCTTTCTTTTTTTGTTGTTGATGAAGCATATAATCAATCTCCTTTTGACGTAGTTTAGCTTCCTCCGCCTTTCGACGGTCTTCTTCTACTTTGCTAGACAAGATTAGACTAAGGAGCTCTGGTTGTGAGCCATAGACTTGAATGGCTTTTTCAATAGATAAAGAACAAGCACTTGATAAGTCTTTGATTGTATGTGTACCCCAAAGGGATGTATGCAATCGATTAGAGTAAGGATCAGAGGGTCTAGAGCCTTTAGATAAGAGAAGGGAAGTATTGCCGCACATCATGTAAAGAATAATATAAAAGAAAGAAAGAAAGAAAAAGTAGGGAACAACGGGTCCTTTCATATGGGCAGACACAAATGCTTTGCTAAGTCATACAACGCTCGTCACAATTTCCCGCAAGTAAATAAAATAACGGACACACATATAAAAAAAAGAGCTGGAAAACCTTGATTGTCCAAATTTTCCGATTCAGCACTGGTCCCAATTGGTAGATATTTCCCGGTTATCCAGTTGACCAACTGAATTGATTTTAGTAATAAATATCGTGAAACTATCTCTAAAATAGCAGAGTCAAATAAAGCCTTTGTAATAACTTCCTCAAGGGCATCCTTTTTTCTTATCCTTATATCTTTTTTCCATTTCTTTCTCACTCAGTTGATCTTTTTTAAGCAAATCATTTTTATTTGTTTAACAATGAAATAATAATCCATTTGGTTCTAAAATAGCGCAAAGTGAATATAAAAAGATTAGAATAAAAAATTTTTTTAGTTACCCGCTGTGCAGCTACCCCGCTTTTTTATTCTTATTCAGTCTTTTTCCCAGTAATGACTTCCTAATTGGTTACCATGCTTAAAAGTAGGGACAAAAGGGTCCGGCCAAAAAGGTTACACTGCTATCTTTTTTATTTAACTTTTTTTTCTTTCCTTTTTTCGATCTTTCTCCCCCTTTACAAAGTACCATCATTTCTATGGAAACCGTCACCCCTCCTGATAACTTTTTGGGCACTGATGTTTCTCTTTATTCCAAAGCTTCATCTCGTGACACCTTTACCATATTTATCATCAAAATAAAACCGTGAGAGTTTGTATGGACTCATTGGTACTCGAGTCCGACTTCATCCGTACTAGGGACCAAAGGGCCTCCACAGACATTTCCCACCAACAGCATTCACACGGGGCCACTTATAAAACTCATGGATTTGTGTAGCAAAAGAAAGATGGCCTTTTTGTTCCTGAAACTGCGCCTCGTCCACCTTTGCCTTGTTCGCCCCTTAACATTGACATTGAAGGGCTGTTGGAGAACGATGAACAAAGGGTCGACACACATACATTTCAGTAAGGAAAAGAGTTGATCATTTAAGCCATGATCAAAAGGCATTGTCAATCCGTGCGTCCTATCTTTTATATGCTTATGACTACCTTTTATCCCGAATTACTGGGTATTGTGATATGAGATAAAGATTAGGTGACGGCATTAAACGTATCTTAAGTGTTCCATACAGGCTATACATTGCTTTGATTTTCTCTTATGCCTAAACTCATACCCGACTCTTTCCCCCTGTCGTCCATTTAAGTTTTACTTTATCATACCGTGGGCAAAGAATGAAATAGCTAATTCCTTTTGTCTATTCTATGACTCCGCTCATTATGCCTTTTAATTGTTGATCCCAAAGCTTAAATTATATTCTTCCACATGGGGTTGGTCATGTTATTTTACTGGGTGCACAGGCTCATTTGTATATACGTATATAAAACAGCAACTTATTAAGAGCAAACGTCATCCTTTGACGAATTATACATTGTTGCACAAGCAGAGGCATATAAAAATATGACATAGTCTCCTGTGAGAACTTTAGAATACCCAATTGTTGTATAGAATGGACACTATTCTAGCGAGAACAGGCCTGAGCCGCCATGAGCTTAAGTGTGATCTTGGGGTTGTAAAGAAATGGTTCAGATGAAATATTCTTGACAACTTTTGACTGGCTGTAAAAGTTTTACACATTTCACGTTCTCTTCCTTTCAAGCTATTGCTTAAGGGACGTCATCTATTTTCAAATAAGATGGTGACTCATGTTCAGACGTGGCATAAAGATGGGCTCAGTAGTTTTAAGAAAGATTTCTTGGCCAATACAAATCATCAATAGTTGTTCTCATTACACATTTGATATAGCGTAGGCTCCTTCAGCTGTTTATGAAGATTATTTTGAGGCGACATTAGTAACATAAATGAGCTATAATGGCATATGAAAGGTGGCCCTTAACATGTACTACCTAACTGCGTATGTGGCAGCATGACGATGTGCATCGTGTTTTGTTGTTACGCCTTTTATGGTTTTTCAAAGATCAATTCAAATTGATGCGGCTCATAATTTATTCTACATTCTTCCATAACGACTGCTTGTACACTTTATTCAGAAATTATTCGCGCACAGATAGATAAATGATATGAATAAGAGCTCACCAGAAAGCAAAATAATGAGATATAAATGCTTAGTACGTCAGTTATCGCATCGATATTAAATACCTGTACTAAAAGAGAAGCAAGAAAAGCGAGTAAACATTTTAATATCTTATCAAAAGTATGCATCTTGGGTAAGACCAGCGATAATTGGTTCTGGAAGGTGTCAAGGGAAGATGAGAGCAAGAAAGACCAAGTTAGGTAAGAGCTAAACCACTCTCCTAGCTGGAATTGGATTAGCTTTGGCCGTAGCCTGTAGTACAACAGTCAATTTCTCACAAAGGCTGTTCATAATATAACATACCTCAGGGTTATCTAAGGAAATAGCTGATCTTACTTTTAATTCAAAGAAGAACACAAAAGGAAGTCAAAGTCAACCTTTCTCTAAAGACTATATCTTCTTACAATTCATCAGTTACATATTATTTATAAAGTGGTGATCACACTATAGGAGTGTTATATCTCTGAAAAAGATTGATGGCCAGCTAAAGTGTAATTGCTACTAAAGCTGTGTGCGAATAGTCCTGTAGTGATACATGCGATACTCTTTAAGAAAACCATTTGAGAAATGTAAAGATTTCAGAGACTACAGTTGATTTTATTTTAAAAGTAAAGACTATAATTAAAGCGCACGGTAGTTTTGTCTTATACGTTCTGCTTCTAACTTAAGTTTGGCCTATGAGTAAGGAAACGGCGTGCACCACGGAGTAATTTTTTGAGTATGCGTCTTCTCTTGTACAAATGACCACTATCATGACTAATAACATCTGCAGCGCCATCGCCGGACACACTACGACCAACAATACTCCCAGCAGCTTGAGTATCGTCCTGGACAGCTCGGGCCTGGAGAATACCGTTAAGGGGACCATCACCAAGAAGACCATCACCAAGAAGATCATCACCAAGAATACCATCAATAAGGCCACGTTTATCGTAAACTGGAGATGCCAAGGAAGAACCAAGCAAACAGACAACTGTAAAAGTAAGAGTGATGAAAGAGGATCGCATTCTTCAGGAAATATGTTATGAAAGGTTTGATTTGAAGGAAAACAGCAAAAGTATGCCTTTCTTTTTATATGTATTCAAGTTACCCCTTTTTGTTATAATTTAAACAAAGATGCATTAGCACAACATTAAGAGAGAAAGGATGAGTAAACATAAGTTATTGCTAATAGACGAAATGATACAAGTGTTTTGCATATCTCAAATGATATAGAGCGTAGATTGGCTATTATGGTTTTATTTAATGTATGATGTCGTCGCATTCCCTTTCGAAATTTTTTCTGTTTACACGATTTTACTAAGGGTACTGCATAATATTCCCATGTGACACTGACACATACATGATTCTCGGATGAGCTCTGATGTAAAGAGACAACAGCTTTATTCATAGTCTGTAAATGATATAAAATATCGTACTTTTCCAAGCTCTTTTATAATTTGATTAGAGAACCCATGAAAGAAGAAGAAGCAGAGAAAGTATATAGACTGTTTGTTTTTGTTTTGTTCAAGCATAAATTGATTTAGCTACAAAACTTGGCTCGGTCATAAAAATTAATAAATGCAGTTCGTTTTATATGTGTTTTTGTGATTTTCATTGTACATTAAATAAATCAAACAATCATGTATTCACAATCCACACGGAAATATACACCTCATAATAGTCAATGCCCATTTAATAACATTATCTTAAGCTTAGTGCTTTGTTAGATAGTCAGCCATTAATCAATAAGTACTTTGTTATCTGTCATAACCTTACCAAAGAGTATTTCTTTTTACTCAATTCACACAAAAATAAAGGAAGTGTTGGTGGTCCAAATAGTAAGCTCCTTCGTAACCAAGCAGTTTTAAATTGATATGGATTGAAGCAATTTAATCATTTGTGTGTACACGCACCTAGCCAAGCCACGCTTACTGCTTTTCCTTTATATTATGAACGAGCATGAAGGGAAATATTAGCTTTTACATAAATATTAATCATGGCAAAGCAAAGACAAAAGAGAAAGAGCAGCAAGAAGCGTCTTAATCCACTTGAAAGAAAGAGAATTGAGGCTGGAATGAAAGAAGCCACCTCAAAGATAACAGCACTTTCTTCAGATCAAGTAGCACCCGTTGTATCAAAAGTAAGAAAACCTCTTCAGAAGAAGTCTGTTATTCATTCTTTTATTAGTTGACATGCGACGATGCGACTGAACGTGCCTGGGCTGCTGCCTGTGTATCCAACCTAATCATTTCAGATGCTTCGACTCGTAAAATTTTGTTGTCAAAAGGAATTGTACCTTTACTGATCGAGCGTCTTGGGGATGATCAACAGGAAGTAAGAGACGAAGCCCTCGGAGCACTGAGGTAAAGTGTACAAAGTGTAGAATATATCATGGCCTGACAGGACTATATAGAAATCTTGCTTCTGTTGATCACACTGTCGCCAACGAATATTATAATCGCAACATTATGCAGCCTTTGTCTACACTCCTTCCACAGGTTAAAAAAAAAGACTTCCGTTAAAGAGATAATTATTGACTTGAGTAGATTTCACAAACTATTGACGACATGATTAAAGGAACGCCTATCCAGGATGATCAGGACGCTGATAGAAGAAGATCCATATGGGATGTAGCAGAGAACTTTATCTATGTTGTCTGGAGTATTTGGTAAGCACACGCATTTATCTTGGCTTTCTTATTCTGAACGATATTCTTAGTGAAGCATCGGATAAATACATTACAGCCGTCAACAGAATGAACATTGTCACCTTTTTATCGTCCTTTTTGACATCTTCTGCACATTGTCCAACACGTGTTGTTATTGCTGCTGGTAAGATACATATATGCATATATACAAGAGAAAAGAAATGATTGACAATATTAGGACAATGCTTGAATACGTTGACGGATGACAATAAGGATATTTATATCGAATTCCAAAATCATCCAGAATATACAAACACTCTATTGAACCTTATTAACGACTCGAGTAACACGCTTGTTCAAGTGCTGGCATGTGGTATGTGCGTAAACGTATACAAATGACCTAAAGCTGAAAAATTGTTGTAGCTATTCTGTTAAATGTTAGGGAAGTTGTTAATATATCCAGTACATGGGATGAAGACAATGATACACTTGGTGAATTGAATAAAGTAATCGTGCCTGTTCTGACAAAGGCATTGCATTATGATACTCAAGAAGCAGCTAATAAAGTGATTGAAGCTATTCAGAGTGGGGTAAGTTTCTTTTCAAAAAAGAGACAGAGCAAAAGATATGCATTAATGGGTTTATGTTTAGAAAGTTAGAAAAGACAGTGATACCATAGACGTGATTACACCTAAGCCAAAGCAACCTTTAACAAGTGAAGAGGTAAACATATAAAAATGAAGACTTTTTAACATACTAATTCATTATATATAAAAAAGGTGTATGTACAGCATGTAGAGGATCAATTGTCAATTGTTCAATTGGCTCTTGAGTTACTGGCAGATATCTGTGTGCAAGATGACTCTGAAGGTAATAAAAAGGTAAAGAGAAAGATTATGACTAACATTGAAAGCAGAAGATGGATATCAAGACATGGATGAGGTAATGGAAGGTCAGGAAGAAGAAGATGAGCAAGATGAACAAGACGACGAACAAGCGCAAGAGGATCCAGTGACAATAGAAGAAGTCCGATCAAACCCTGTGTTACGGGCTTATATGACAGAGGTATTTCCCCAGTTGATCCGCCTGTCTGGTGCAACCCCCATATCATACGAACAAACCTCATTGGTCCCTCATATTACACACGGATTCATACTCACTCATCAGCGTGCCTTGGAGTGTCTGAATAATTTCTTATTAGCTATGAATGAGATTCCATCAAAATATTGGTTTAAAGAGCATAAATCAGATGCTATTCAACTGTGGCGATGGCTATTCAATATGGCTAATGAGATTAGTATATACAAACCAAACGATTGGCTGAATTTAGTTGAAATTATTATTGGATGCTTATGGGCCCTTGGAAGAGGTCTGGGTCAAGATATAGTAAGTGTTTTTTTTAAAAAAAAAAGAGCAGTAAATACATAAGTCTCATCTTTTTATAGCCCCTGAATAGATCTGATGTGGATGCGCTCTGTGGTACTTTTGAATCCATGCCGCCAGATTCATCCATGAGAGTTAGGATCGTAGGCTGTTTAGGACCCATTGCCATGCGCCAGGGTGATATTGAAATGAATAAGGTACTGGATGTTACACACAGCAGAACTATTTTTAACCCTTGATAGACGATTGGCTTATTCATCATGAAATTAATACAATCCAAACGAAAAGAACCTTCGGTAGTAGTTGAAGCATTGAATTTTATGTTTGATGTCTACAGCGATTGTGCATTTGACTATGATTTTCCTGTCTTTATTGAATGTGGTTTTTTGAATGGTCTAAAACAAGTATTACCCAGTGTTCGCTCTATGGTAAAAAAACATGCAACTTTAAATATTTCAAATGACTTATGCTTAATATAGGTAAAATCAATTGATAAAAGAAAGAATTTTGATCTTCGATTAAGAGGAGATGAGGCTTTGGATAATTTGATTGCATTTATCAAATACAAAAAGTCAGAGAGATCTTAGTAATAACAATAAAAAAAGGGTTCATTCAAAAAGGGTTTTTCTTAAGGGTTGCTTGTGTTTCTTGTGGTTGTACGTGGGAAACTTTTGACACTCTGAAACTGCACCAATTTTATTTTCTTTTTAGGGAAATATGTCAGTTATCATTCCCTTTTTTTAATAAAAATGCTTTTTTATTAATATTCCTTTCTTTCTTTTCCTCTTTCTTTGCTTTTTTTGCTATGGCTTTTAAATTACCCTTTCGCTATAGTGACCCTAATGTCCAAGTGTTCTTGGTAGGCTTCATCTGTTTTTGTTGTCCAGGCATGTTCAATGCCTTGAACGGTATGGGTGGTGCTGGTCAAGCCGATCCAAAGGTCACAAATGATGCCAATACGGCCCTAGCTGTTACTTTTACTGTTTGTTCCTTAATTGGTGCCCCTATGTAAGTTTATTTCAGCTTTAGAAACATATTATTTATCCCTATTTAAAGTTTTAATATCCTTGGTCACCGTGTACTCGTTCCTGCTGCTTTGACTTATGTTCTTTATGTTGGTTCTTATCTTACTCCTAACCCTGGTTTCACTATTGCCACTGGTGCTATCCTAGGTATTGGTGCTGGCTTACTTTGGACTGCGCAAGCTGGTATCATGATGTCTTATCCTGATGAAAAGGATAAGGGCAAAGCATTTTCTATCTTTTGGATGACATTTAACCTTGGTGCAACCGTAGGTGCTGCTATTTCCCTTGGTAATAACTTTAACAACACGACAAGTACAGTATCGATTGGCACATATATCGGATTTATGTGTATCATGGGCTTTGGTGCCTTTTTATCGCTCGCTTTACTTCCTGCTCGTAAAGTGATTCGTTCGAATGGAACACCCGTATCACTGCACAAGTTCTCTAATTGGCGTCGTGAAGCAGTCGAAATCTTTGCCCTATTTCGTGACTGGAGAATGATCTGTTTGATTCCTCTATTCGCAGGTTCTAATTGGTTTTACACCTACCAGTTTCAAGTCTACAACGGCGGTGGCTTCTTCTCTCTCCCTGCTCGTTCTTTGAACAACCTTGTCTATTGGCTTTGCCAAATTATTGGAGCTGGCTTCTTTGGTTGGTTACTTGATTTCAACAAGCTGGGTAACCGCAAAAGCCGCGCATTCTTTGGTAATACCGTCGTCTTGTCTGCTCTCTGTGCTTCCTGGATCGGCGCTATCTTTGTTCAGAAAAAATTCACTCGGGAAAGCGTCACCTTGGCCAACTTTGAAAAAATTGATATCAACTCTGATGGCTATGCTGGATATGTCATTCTCTACGCTATTTTTGGTTTGGTAGACGCCATCTATCAAGGCTTTATTTATTGGTTACTTGGCACAATGACAAACGATACCGAACGCGCTGCGCGCTATGGTGGGTTCTATAAGACTATTCAAAACGCTGCCAATGCCATTGCTGCTCAAGTGGACGCTACCCATGTTCCATTCATGACCCAGCTAATCATCAACTTTGCCATTGAAGGCGTTGGCTTGTTGTTGGCCTATATTGTCTGCTTCCAAGTGTCAGATGTCACAGTGGAGGAGGTTGATAATCTCGTAAATGACCAAGGCACAGAAATAATGATTGCTGGTCAAGTAGAGAGTGTTGGAGAAAGTCAAAAGAATATCAAAGTTGAGCATTTTGATCATATCATTGATCCTTAATCCCTATATACAATAATGCACTCATACTCATATTCCCCTTTTATTCTTTTTTATTTTTTCATTCTTATATATATTATTCACATTGCTTTTATATAAAAAAGGTCTTTATTCGTATGCTATGTTGAGTTAATAATGAAAGCTGACTGTAATGGGCTTGTCTCTCCCTCCTTTGCTGTTCTGTCTAAAATGATTTCAACTTAATTTGGAGCATTGTCAAGAGTCGCGTCAAAGACTTCACTCGACAATTCGGTCGTCGACATGTGGCATGGAGAAAGTAACAACTCTAGGCTCTGCAGGAGAAATGTCAACGACTTCTTCAAAATTTGATTTCTGATTTTGTCTTGGCCATTCACGCCTCGCGTGGAACGACAAATCCAATCCCTTCAGCAAGAAGTGAGTGACAGCGCGACTTTGAAAACTGAACGCATGTGGAGGGAAGATATATTAATAACCACTATTATTCAAATTCTGAAGAGTTGGGAGTGTGGTGTCCCTTAAGAAAAATCGTTAAGATTACGCTTTTACAAAAATTAAACTTTTTTCTTTATGGTTATTTTGTCTTAATTGAAAACTGCTTGATTACGCGTGTTTTAACAGGTCTTTTGACTAACCAATCTTTCCTGGTTTGTTTATTTTTATGTAATCGAGTAAAAAGAAAACACCCTTTATAAGCTTGTGACAGATAACAAAGTACTTATTGATCACTTCCTTCGTTAGATTATCCAACAAAAGTACTACGCTTGAAATAAATGTTATTGAATATACATTGATTCCTAAGGTGGCTTGCTACGATGAGACATATATTTCCGTGTGGATGGTGAATACATGATTGTTTGATTTATTTAATGTACAATGAAAATCACAAAAGCCCATATAAAACGAATTACATTTATTAACAAACATCAACTCACATGATTGAGATAAGTTTTGTAGCCAAATCTTTTTCTTCTTTCGTGGGTTCGTTAGCTAAATTATAAAAGAACTTGGAAAGGTACAATATTTTATATCATTTACAAACTACGAATAAAGCTGTAGTCACTTTAAACCAAAGTTCATCAGGAGGCCATGCATATGTCAATGTCACATGAGAATATTATACAGTACCCCTAAGAAACAAACAAAGCTAAAAAAAAAAAAAAGCAGGAGAAGCTCTGAAAGGAGATGTGATGATATAATTCAAAGTAGATCATAAATACCATATTGGTAAATAGCAGCCATTGAATAAAGCCATAGCTTCCAACTGCTAAAGCCAACATAACCTATGCTCTAAATCATTTGAGATATAAAGAGCGCTCTTCGTAAAGAGGTTCGTACCATGATATCTATTGATAATAATTTATGTTTACTCTTTCTTTCTCTCTTTATGTCGTGCTAATGCATCTTTTGCGTATTGAAAATATCTCCTTGTTTACACTATGAGAAAAAGCGGGCACTTGGAATACATATAAAAAGGACAGGTATATTTTTGCTATTTCCTTCAAATCAAGTTTTTCATAATACATTTTCCTCAAGAATGCGACCCTCTTTGATCACTCTCGCTTTTGCAATTATCTGATTGCTTGGCTCTTCTTTGGCATCTCCAGTTTACGACAAACGTGATCCTAAACTCTCCGACCTCCTCGCAGAAGCTAGCAAAGAAGCTGGTGATCAGGGTCAATTACTTAGCCGAGGTGCTGGTCAAATTGCTGGGGGTATTCTCCGTCGTAGTGTGCCCAGTGATGGCTCTCAAGATGCAGTTAATGGTGCTGCAGATGCTACTAGTGACGGCAGTGGCCATTTATACAAGAAAAGACGTGTACTCAGAAAATTATTGCGAGGCATTGGCCGACATCCTGGTGTAAAGCCAGCCCAAGTCCAGTAGTGCCAAAGGTGTTGGTGTCAAGGCTGCTTCCACTGTTGCCAAGAGAGGTTCCCCCATTAATCTCCTATCAGATGGTTCTTTTATCTACCCTATCAGAGAATCATTTATAGGTGATCCTTCCGAAGCTGATAGTCTCTCAAGTGACCATAAAGCCTGATGCCTCACCTAGTCAATTGCTCACGAAACTTCAAATATGAATCAATGCCTGTATGCGTTTTAATTATAAACTTTTAAAATAAAATCAACTGCAATCTCTGAAATATTTACACTTCTCAAATGATTTTCTTAAAGCATGTCGCATACATCACTATAGGAGTTATTTGCACACAACTTTAGTAGCAATTACACTAGCTGGTTATCAATCTTTTTCTAGCTTGGCAGCATCACCTTTTTTCAGAGATACAAAATAAAATAACATTCTTATAGTGTAATCAACGCTTTATAAATAACGCGTAGCTGATAAACTGTAAGAAGGTATAGTCTTTAGAAAAAGACTGGCTTTGGTTTCTTTTTATGCTCCTGGGATCAAAAGTAAGGCCAGCTATTCCTCAGCTAACCCTCTCCCCAAGGTATGCTATATTATGAACAACTTTTGTGAGAAACTGATTGTTATACTATAAACCACAGTCGAAATTGATCCGATTCCAGCTGCGGGAGTGGTTTAGTTGCTACTCAACTTGATCTTTCTTATTCTCTTTCTTGCTCTGCTCTTCTCTTGAAACCTTTCAGGGCTAGTTATTGCTGACCTTACCCAAGATGCACACTTTTAGTAAGATACTAAAATGTTTACTCGCTTTTTTTTTTGCTTCTCTTTTAGTAAAAGTATTTAACATCAATGTAATAACTGATGTACTAAGCATTTATATCTTATTCTTTTGCGTTTGGTGTGCTCTTTTCTCTTCCCGACGACTCACGATGCATCCGCTGAGGTCAAGCACATCAATAATCGCTAAGACCCTTTTTATATTTTAGTTGTGTATGCTCCTGCTTCGTCTGTAAGCGAACGTAGACAATTCTTTAACTGGCTACTGATATTCCGTCAATTATCTCCAAATGATCCTCAATCGTATATCGATCAGCTCATTATCGTCGGAGACTTCAACTTTCCTATGCCGTACATTAACTCCGGCCACAACACTGCGGGATTTCAAAATTGAACCAGTTTCCTGAAATGCCACTTTAAAGACACCATGGCCGACCTGAAAGGACACTCCACTCCGACTTTTCGTCGTGACGACACCACTCGATCGACCATTAATTATATCTTTGATTCTCTCAGTTTGGTAAGTAATTGCGTGGATATCGATGTAGACTTTCTCTATCCGAATGGACAGACCACACCCTACTCTCACTCATCGTAAAGACTGACCTTCGGCATGGGTTCAGTCCTTGTTTGTGGCGAGCTAATCCATTTTTCCTTGGCCAGAAGGGAATTTCGACGCAAATTTGCCTATACTCTGACTCAACTGTATCACGCTGAAATTAAGCAATCAACCCTCTCCTCAGGACCTTTGAACAAATAGGGGCCTTTGCTTTAAGGCTCCGACATGAGACACCTAAAAGAAACCAAACCCAAGGATCTTGTATTTTAGCATGAGTCAGACCAAAATACTTGTAAGGGGAAGAACATTTTTTTCTCTTTCTTTTTTTTTTTTTTTAAATAATCCTTTTATATATATATGCATAGCTTGTTGGATTAGGTAACAAGACACTTCCAAACACACGCCACAATGTTGGAATGATGGTACTTGATCATATTGCCCAACACTTCAATCTGGCCTGGAAGCAGAATACCAGCTGGAAATCAGATACGACACAGACCATTCTCAAAATTCTTTCGCCCAAAGACGAATTACAAGAATACCATGTCACGTTTCTGAAACCGAGAAAGTTTATGAACATTAGCGGATCCTGTGTGGCTCAAGCAGGTAATATGGCAAACGAAAAAAAGAAGCAACACACTGATCTTTAAGAGCAGTCAAGGATCTATCGATTCCTCTATCTAACTTGTACATTTTTCATGACGACATGCAACGCGATTTAAGCAAGATCAGTCTGAAAACAGGCGGTTCAGCCAACGGACATAACGGTGTCAAATCTGTCATCGATCACTTGAGACAGCATGAATTCAATAGAGTGCGTATCGGTATAGGACGCCCACCAGCAGATGATAGATCACACGATGTCGTTGCTGATTATGTCCTGAACAAATTTACAGAACAGGAGCTGGATCAGCTCCAGACAACGGTTTTTCCAATGTGGACAAGGGATCATGGGTTAGAACAATTGATGGATACAACACGATTTATGGCATTTTTAAAAGAGAGACAAAAGAAGAGCAAAAAGGCAAAAAAGAAAAAAGATGAATGGGGTGAATGGAGTGAATAGAGAGAGAGTTATAGTTTATTAGAATTACATGAATAAATTAAGAGTACATGACAGTTACAGTCTTCTAGAAACCGAGGCGAGTTATTTGTTTTTAGTGTACAAGAATGTACCATTTAGCTTTTGAACAAGGCTGCATTCATTATCTTTGACCAGGATAAAGGTAGTAGGATCGTTTAAAATTATGACCCGGGAGAAAGTGACATGTCGATGGTTCTTTTTGTACGAATGAACAGAGGAAGAATGTGAAAGTGGAGGCATGAGTGAAAAAAGTGAAAAAAGAAAAAAAAAGAAAAGAAATCGACCCTTTATATAAGCACAATTACGGTCAAGGCATATATGCTTTTTAATTTGAAATGTCAAAGGTAATACCAACGTAACCAAGGCGTTGTATTAGGTCAGTTTGCCAAAATGCTGTACTGGGCGTAAGCACACCTGGTGGCACACGTTCCTTTTGGAAGAGCATGACTAATGCACACTGTATGACAATGCGAGGCGTAGCCACATAGCCAGCCTCAGGACCGCGCACAACGACCTTCAACGACCTGTTTGGAGGCTCGCTTACAGAGACATCGCCCTCGTATCCCTTGGAACGCAAGATGACTTCAAATGATGCCTGATCTAACTGAGTTTGAGTTGGATGCTCTTTTGAAAACAGCCCTGCAGAAAAGAACTCGGGGTACTTCAGTAACAGCTGACGACCCCAATGTATGGTGGCAAGAAATGAAAAGATGTAGCCGTAGATAACATAGAGTATGACGGCCCAGAGAGAAGGTAAGAGTAAATAGGCGGCGAATTGGGCTGTAGGTGGAGTAGGTCGATCCGTCTTGTCTCGGACAAGACCCGTAGCAAAGATCTGCTGGGAGAGTCGGACGACAGATGGGTCTGCAAAGATAAAAGGGACATGATATCCAAATTCCTTATCCTTGGTTACTCCCTTATGGAACTTTAATCGCTGACCAGCATATTCTAGCTTTTTCAAATTTGAAGCCTTACGTATCTCTCGCAGTAGCTCGGCAGATCCAAATCCATGTACTATGATGTTTAATAATGTGAGTCTCTTTTTCCCTGAGTCACATCTTTACTTGCCTGCGGATTCAAACGTAGCGTATCCACCTCGCATACCAGCTTCTCCAACGTGAATCCTTAAAAACATTTCAATCTGTGTTGGAGTCCAGCCTCGTTCAGCGTACAAGTTCTTGGTGTAAAGTACCCCAAGGTCAGAGGGCACCTAACAAGGGAACATGAGTACCCTGTTTGTTCCTTAAAAAAAAAAAGAAAAAACTTACGCTATCAAATCCGCAACAGTGAACAATGCTAGCATGATTTGTAACTGCTTTATCGTGATATGTACGTTGCATTCGTTCGACAAATTCAGGCTCACCTATATGGAGATAAGTATTGAAGACAGCAAATTTTGTTACTATTGCTACTTGCCAGTGACATCAACATAATCACATCCTTGTTCTACACAGGAACGCACAACGTATTCACCCATGAATCGAAAAGGTCCCACCGCGTTAATGAGCACTTTGCTCTGACTGGTGATGGCGTCCAGTTTGTCTCGCTGAGTGACAGCAGCGGTCAATATAGTGGGCTTCGAAAGGGTTGTCTCCGGATACTGTGAGACTATCTCGTTCAATATAGCCTGTAATTTGTCTTCACTCCTTCCAGCTATAGCCCACTTAAATTGAGGAGGATAGAGAGAAGGGCGTTCTTGAGATAGTTGATAGAAGTGACGAACAATTTGTTTACCGGTTAATCCTGTTGCTCCAAAGACGGTAATATCAAATTGTTTATTGCTCATATTATTCTAGCAAAGGAGAGAGAAAAAGAAAGAAAGAATGAGCGTAGTAATATGCTCGTGGGTTGTACACACATCTATTTTCGTAATAACAGAAAGAATCGGAGTCTAACGTGTATAAAATGATTGTTGTTGGTTAGGACTCATAGAGATGGCAGGTCTTTAACTTTTTATACAACAAGATCTAAAACTTAAGAACAGCCAGTAAAAAAAAAAGAAATAGTTTTCATTTTGTCTCTATTATTTGTAATCGATTTATGGATAAATTCTACACAAAATGTGTGTTCAGGTACGCATCTAATATTATGCTTCGTTTTATCCATTGTGATATAGCAAACTGTCTCCAACCTGCCTCGTTTTAGATTAAAAACCTATATCATCATCAGAAATAAATTGAGCTGAGTTTGGAGTAACAGGTGTATTGAGTGCAGTATGGTAGACGCTCAGGGCAGGTGAAGTGGGCTGCTGTTGTTCTAGTCCAGGCGATAGACCATGTGTCTGGACAGTCAGGACAGGACGGTGCCTAATCTGTGTGCTATGATTACTATCAATATGCGTATTTGTAGGCGTAGGGGTGGTAGGTGCAAGGCTGTCTATAAAATCATGAGATGTGATGAAAATAGAAGGTGTTGATGGTTGATTGCTATTGTCTGATGATGATAATAATTCTAAAGGTAAACTGACTAAAGAAATGTATGAGTAAGAATAAATAGGGGGTAGTATAAAATAGCCTACTCTACTTTGTATTCCGTGTCTTTGATAAATAGAGTCTATGATCTGTTTGAGTAAATGCAATTGCCTTGATTGATTGTACTTTGTCTCTTCCAACTCCTTTTTCAATTGATGATATGTCTGTTGTAACTTGGTCATTCGTTGCATTAATTCAGATTGTGAGACTTGAATCATCGTCATCATCGTACTATCCTTTTTATCATTCACATTTGTTGTCTCTATTGTTTTTCGCTTAATTTCATCCAATAAGTCTGGTTTGTCCTTGATGAACTTGGGATGCGAGAATTCCCAAATCTGATTTTCCGCTAGGGTGCGATGTCCTCTAGGTGATTTATTAACCTTATGAAAACCATACCTAGTGTCGTTAGTCGATGGTTTATAATAAAATATGTAAGCTTACATATTGAGCTGTCTAACAAAACTACTGAAATTATTATGCTTAAAGTGCTTTGGTAATACGTCTCTTGAAAATTCCAAAATGTTGCAGACAATAAACGATGACCCTGTGTAGCTCCAAGCGATCAAGTGTTGATATTGATTATCTATGACCATACTTTTTATTTATGAGCTTATCCATCTTTTTGACTATTACTTGTATAGCTTATGAACAAATGTATTGTTACTATTCTTATTGGTCAACATAGGAACACTTTCACTTTCATTGAAATTCCTTTCGTATTGCATTCTATTACTACTTTTTGAAAGAACAGAAAAAAAATGGTGTATTTATTTTTGGTAAGGGATATATTTATTTAAGCGCCGAATGAATAGCAAAAATAGCATTCGATTATGGTAAGGTTACTTGTGAGTACAAGCTGAAGGCAATGGGGCGTGATCAGAGTACGTCCACTGCCAAGCAAGGAATCGTGTGCTTTCAAAGGCAAAGTATCAGCCTATATCTGTCAACCCGGAAGAAAAAAGAGAGAAACCAGGTGAGGAGATGCAAAGCAGTCTAAAGTATAGTGGTCATTTGTGAGAGGGAAACTTCCACAAATATGCCGATCACTGTCGAGTACCCCAACTGAAGACGCACAGATGATATTAGGAGTTTGTAAGAGGTAAGGTGATGTAACAGTTCATCAGAGGAGTACTTATGGTGGCAAATACACCATTAGATTATGCAAGCTTTCTGTAAAAGAGGAGTATGTCAAGGGTTTTGGTGGGTAGAGCTTCATGTGTCGAAATCAGATAGCGGTGAGGCTGAAGAATGATATGTGTGTCATTGACTGCGCGCTGAGGAAAATAATGAAAATAGAAAATCTGTTGAAATGTTTTTTCATTCTTTCAGAATGAAGTAGCAGTAAATTACAAGAAATAAGGCAAGCAATTCACACTCCTTATTATTCACAAGCTGATGAAAGAATCTCTGGCAAATCTGTGTAGTCTCGATCAACTTGTCTATACCACCTTTGCGTTCATTTTGGAGCTGTGAGACTAGACAGGATGTACAATTGAAAGATGTTGGATGTATAACTTTGAGCACTATTTGCAAATATTTAAAAAGAAAAAGAGAGAAACAAGTTATTTCTAATCGTTGATTCGAAGCATTATATTTTATTTCTTTGCCTTCTCGGGAGGTCGCAAATAGCAAACAGGGCCTATCCAATGTAAAGTGTATCTTTGATTGTTCAATACTTGTTGGACCCATTCGCAGAAAACGACAAAATAATAAGAACCAAGCGCTATTATGAATGAGAAACAAGAATGAATACTCTCCATATTCTCTCTTACCTGTGCCAATATGCCACCAGCCGTGGAGCTAAAAGAAAGATATAAGTTAATAAAACAAGAAATATAATATCGTGATACTTACTTCACTAAGAGTGCCTACTAGATAAGGAACAGAGTGTCTCCAGGTACGTAAATGAGTACAAAATTGGTTATCAATATTCCAAAGGATGAATGCGATAATAAAACCAAAAGCAGATAACCAAAGCAGTCTCTCAAGTGCTGGTTTCTCCTGATAATGAGATGGTACAGTCATTTGAAGTGAAATCGACTTGTAAACAATGGTGAATATTAAGAGAGCATAGGATACTTGATGAAACACAGGATTATTGATGATCAAGTAAGAATAAGTAACAATAACCGAGTAGAGAATGAGGCCTAGTGGCAACTTGTAATTCCGTTTATAGTTTGGATCTGCGACGTAGCTATGGAAACAATGAATATTGAAATGGTAGTTTTTAGAGAGGACTATATACTTACATGTGCCAAACCATGATACAAGCAACATAGATCACTATGGTCATCTGTTAGAGCCACCTCTTTTACATGCATATTTATATATTCTACTTGGTAATTCATCCAAAAGTTGCATCTCATATTGAAGTGTCATATGGAAACACCATCTAAAGCGTTTTATAGCTATTAGCCTATGTCTACATGATATACTTTTGTACAGCTTACGATCCAAAGCCTACGAGAATGATGCCAAGATAAGCAATGATAAATGACGCGTCAAATCCATTTTTGAATATATTATAGATTCCAAACAATGATAAAAAGACTATGAGCGCATTAGTAAGTAAACATATGAATGATACTTTTTACCTACTGAATGTAAGATTCGTGCATGTGTTGACAAATTCGGCTAAATAAGGCGAGACAAGGTAATTTTCCTACATGTGTTCAATGACACAGAAAACACTTTAAGTTTCCACTTACTTCACACCAGTCAATGGTGGACGTTCTTTGAAGTATATTTTAGTTCATGTTTGATTCTTTAGCAACAATTCTTAAACTTACGCAGGTCCCCAAAAATAGTCTATGTTGGACATACAGTGCTTCGTCAATTGGGGGGAAGTTTACACACTAAATTCGTATTTTTGAATCTCAGCTTTACTTTCACATTTAGTGTAACTTTGCTTTCAGCTAATATAAAAATCATCTTTTGTTTTACTTAAATCTTATATACTCAACCCAACAAAAAATGTTTGCTTAACCTCATCGTGAGTTCCCTATTTACTGTTATTACTAAGCTTAGAGGATACGATATTATTCACCGTAGAAATTTCAATGACCACAAGACATTAAGACCCTCTTCTTCAGAATACAACATCACGCTCACAATAAATATTGATTGGTTCAAAATCTACCAAGAGCTGTAAGAAACCAAAAGGAGAGTCATCATCTGTGCTCTTGTTACATCTTTTAAGTAATGGATAGTCGTTCAAAATTTTTATAAAAGTCCAGATGCTATGGTGATCTTTGTACTTGGAGATCATCCTAACACATTTATTATCTTAAAAATCGAACCTTTTCAATTTTGAATCATCTATACACGAGTGAGATCCAGCGGTTAAGCTTGTCTATGTAAACAGCCCAGTTCCTTTATAGCTCATAAAAGACGAATGAGTGGTACTATCATCTTTATCTTTAAAAGGGATGGCATTTTGTTGTACAGCGATTGGTCTGATTATACACATGATATATTTAAATAATCTTTATATTTCTCACACATTCATCAAGTCATTGGTCTAGCTTTAACAGAGAAAAGTAAAGGTTCTGGCCCCCCCTTTTCCCTTTCACCCCAGTAATCAGTAGCTGATTAAAAAAAAGTCACATTGCTTGAGAGAAAAATGAAAGGAAAGGGGGGTTTTTTTTGATTATTTGACTTTACCCTTGCTGGGTTCTTAATTAGGAAAGTAAAGAAATGACTCATTTTACTCTTCTTATCTAGTCCAATCAAAATCATTTCCTTCTTTTACTATAAATACTTGGCTGCTTTTTTTTCTTTTGTTTCTTTTCTTTTGATTATTTTTGGGTTCCCCTTTCTCACCGCCTTTTTTCTCTTTTAATTAATTAATTAACTGCGCCTCTCTACCTTACCTTTTTTGTTTGATTCTATTTTATAAAGCTCTCTCTGTGACATATTAGACCAGGATGGCTTTCACCGCTTAAATTGCTTAACCGTTCCAAGAACGATACCTCGATTACAACAGAACCCAACCCTTATTTTTATATCTCGATTAAATTACAACTAGTAGCCTAACATGGTCTACCTATCTTCGTTAAAATGCAAACCCTACAAGAAACTAAAGACGTACAAGTCTCTGCGAAAACCTCTGCCTTTACCAGCCTGAACAAAAACCTAGTATTATAAATCATTTGAAAATGTCTGTTAACCCTACCATTACCCAAGAAATTACTGATAAAAAGATGGATCAAAACGTTTTTTCTCAATTATATCAATCACTCAGCCCTCAAGATCAACCTGCTCAAGACTCTGTCTTTGACGAGTGGCTCAAGCAAGACTTCTTCTCTCCTGAATGCAGTGTCAATTCTTCTCCCGAGATTGCTACTCCATTCGATCAATTCCTTACTTCTCCTCCATTCAATGCCAAGGATGAAATTCCACCTCAATGTGCCATCGGTTCCTCTGATCAACCAGTGGATCTTGATGTCTCTGCCATGTTGGACTCACCTCAAGTCTATCCTGCTGCACCTGTGACACCTTTGCCAGCTCCGATTGACTCTCAAATGATCAATCTCTTTGCTGACCTTGGCGATTCTTTCCCTGCTGCCTTGGCTGCCTTGACTGCTGTTGCTAACCCTGTGTCTGTACCTGCTGCAAAGGAAAAGTCCAAGTCTCCTGCTGCTACTAGTGCATCTACTCCCGTCTTCTCTGCTTCCCCTCGTGCTGGCAAGAAGCGTGCTACATCGGATGATCCTATGGATGAAGCAGCCATTAAGCGACAAAAGAATACTGACGCCGCTCGTCGTTCTCGTCTTCGTAAGGTTCAAAAAATGGAAACTCTTGAAAAGAAGGTTGCTGAGCTTGAGAAAATAAACGCAAGTCTCTTGATGCGCGTCGCCGTTTTGGATTCTGAAAAGACAAACTTAAAGGCAAAGGAATCTTCTTATGAAAACCGAATCAAAGTCCTTGAAGGACAATTAGCAGAAGCTCATAAAGCTCTTTCTTCTCGTGGATAAATTTTTTTGTATTTATTTTTTTAGATTATTTTTTAAATTATTTTTTTTTTAGAATAAAAATTTTACTGATAACGATTATCTTTAATGAATTTGTAAGCGTGTGTTGTACAATTTAAAATGAAATGATTGGACATGGATGATGCCATTGACAGCGAATGCAATTTTTTTTTTTTTTTTAAAAAAAGGGACTTTAACCATAATAAAAGCATGCTCCTTCATAATGAACCGATGAACCCAGTTTCCTCTGTTACATCCGCTTTAGGCTGTAGTTTCCATGGTTAACTACAGTCGTTCCAGCGTCAAAGGACGGTTTTCATTTTTTGTTGTATCGGGATCAGAATTTACCTAACGACTTTACTCTTAGTTTTCTTGACTATAATTAGACCCTTCAAATTTCTAAGGGCTACGTTTTAGTGCTGAAGTAAAGGAGAAAAGGCTCTCTTTTTTATTATCAAATTGATGTTTAAGAAGTGCCTGAGTGTGGCCGCTGCTGCAAAACAACTGGGGATTCATGTTCGTACAGCGACAAAACTGGGCCAGACAGTGCGAAAAGGATCCTGATAGTATCTTTCAGAAATGGAGAAAGACCAGTCGCCTCATGTATTCTCCATGAGGACCATAAAAGCGTTATTCTTGAGTGCATTGATGAGAATCCTTCAGTCGCCCTAGACGAAGTAATGAAGAAGTTAAAGCAAATATTCACAGAATTAAAAGTATCCAAAAGTATGTATGTTCTTCAAATTGACGAATGATGCCAATTCTTCCAAGGAGCGTGGAAATGTAAGCTGGTCAATTTCTTGCATAAAACGGAGTGCTTGTAGTCCAATAATTATTCTATGAAAAATACTACTGGTAAAGAACATGAGAAAAATACATCTTACTGTATATGATTTGGGCCATCTGGAAACCTGTTTCCAAGATTTTCAACCGTTGAAAGTTTTCCATCATAGGGACAGTTTCGAGGGCGTTCGGTAATGACTTTTAAATAAAAGACAAAACGTACTAATCCCAAGCATTCCAGATACATAAGAGAACCTGTTTCCAAGATTTCCAACTGTTGAAAGTTTTCCATCATAGGGACAGTTTCGAGGGCGTTCGGTAATGACTTTTAAATAAAAGATAAAACGTACTAATCCCAAGCATCTCTCAGGCTGCTCAAACCAATCATTCATAAAAGATGGAAAGCAAAAAAAAAAAAAAAAGGATGAAATGTAATAGGAAAAAAACATGTGATTACCGAGTAAAAATTGACACAACTCGTGTGCAGTTCTCATGGTTTTCCTCCGGTTGTTTGCATATTCATACGCACCTTTTTGTTAATGCATGATAAATCGAAGCAATTTGCAACTTCTTTGCCCACAAACGACCCACCAAAAAAGAAGCAGCGTGTTATGTCTGCAGATATTCAGCGGTGCATTAACAACAAGGATACCCTCACGCTGAAAACTTTCGCAGATGAATTTGGTTTGCCGGATAGACATTATGCAGTCAGCTGATACACCTCAATTATCAACAACCGCCACCTTGCAGAGGATCAAAAACGATTGCAATCAGAATTGAATCTTTAGGAAATCTGAAGCATTTAAGTTGTATTGGCTAGAAAAATCGCGAACAAGGACTCAACTTGACGCCCATACTAACTGTGCTGAATATGTCCATAACGTTGTTGAAAGAGAAACAAGAACGCTTTCTTCTACCATCACCGCAACAGATACCACGACATCCACTCCCACAATGGCCATATCATCAGATTCTATCAGCTCCATAGCAAACGATACCATTAGGACAACCGATACTGAATCCGAAACAAAAACTGACACTGTCCCGACTGAAGTAGCTGCTGATCCTTTAGCAGAAGAAATGGAAAATATGTCCCCACTTACGCCATTGATTTTCAAGGACGTGGATGTGGCAGAATTATTCACAAGATTTCAACAAGCTGCTAATCGAATGTCCGGCAGCCATTTGTTCTTTATCGAATCATCCGTACACGAGCTTTTAGCCCTATCCAATATCCTACTTTTATGCCCTGGTCAACATAGTCCATTATGTATGTATGTTTTTACCGAAGACATTATTTCTGAACTGAACAATGAACTATTATCGGAAATCATGAATTTCAACTTGGATATGACTGATGATGCGTGTATGAAGCTAGCTCGTATAATCAACAATGTAGAATCAAATATGCAATCAAAATATGATGTCGAATTGGATCTCTTGATGCTTGGGAAGAACTTGAAACCTCTTGGAAGGTCTTTGGCGCGAGGTAGTGCCTTTCTTACGAGAGCAGCTCTTTCTTCCATCATTTGACGAATACCTTCAGGATTAGTATGCATTATTGTAGCTGCTCTAGAGGATGCCTCTACTGCTTGTTCAGTGCGTGGAATGATTTCTTTGTAGTAATCGGAGATGGCTTCTTTCAGCGGTTTTGAGTTGGATACGACATTATTGATTTCATTGACCAAGACACCGACGTCTAAAATAGCGTGATTACTGCCTTCTCCTCGGAACATGGACATGGGATGAGCAGCATCGTCTGCCAACGCGACACGTTGGGTATTGGCCATATATACATCATAGACAGGTACTCGTTCGCGTATGGTGATACCGACAAGTGGAGTATCATCAGGTGTATTTACAATGAATTGTTGATGTGCAGTTACACCATGGAATGCATTAGTGGCGCAGGATTTGAGTTTCTTCATGATTTCAGTATTGTTCGATCCATCTGGCATAGGAGGAGATGGGTTCTCGGTATATCTACTAAGGAACCAAAGAACATCGTATGGCGTGTTGCCTCAGCTACGATCAACCTTGTTTAAACAGTAAAAGATGAGAGCTGGCTTGGAGAATCCATCATCCCCAGCATCTGCAGGCATACGTCCATGTATGATTCCAGACACGGTGCCTTCCGGTGCAAGAGCATTCCATTCTTCTTCTGATATCCAACGGCTACAGCCATAACCACGTACACCATGAATACGAGTCATACTTTGAAACATTTCTTCACCAAGTAATTGACGAGCTACAGTTGACATGTTACCATTTGTAGCCACAAGTAGATCACCTTCGGCGTGTGTTCCATCCGCGAAAAAGACTTTTACACCATCTGCGTGCTCTTCATAACGACTTACTTTCTTGTTCCAGTGCACCAAATCTTGCACGTCTTGCAAAAGCCATTTCCTAAAACGCTTTCGATTTACACGATAGACTTTATAAGGAGGGGCTGTAAGTGTTGTCTCGATCTCACCGGACAGACCATTAAAGTTTGTAAAGGTCATTCCTCCTTCATTCTTTTCGTGATTGACCCCAACTTCTCTGCAAAAATACTCAAATCGATATTTGGGAGTGCAATCATGAAGAGCTTGAAGAACCATATGCATCGAGAGAGGCCATCCTTGAGTACGAAAATCCGGATCGACGTCGCTTTCATACACTTCACAGGAGATACCCTTGTTTTTTAAACCATTGGCTAAAACAAGACCTGCAAGGCCACCACCAACAATCAGTACTTTAAAGGGCTTATTGTCGTCGTTTGCTCTGAAAATTGCGCTTGTTGTAATAAAAAAAATATGTGGGAGAATGAAACGACAATAACGAGCAGCTTTATATATAGTCCTCAGCTGCACGAGCCACGTTTTTTAACTTCCGTTTTTTTATTTGATTCATCGCAGGATGAGAACAAAACCTCATATGGCTCAATTAGTACAACAGAAACACGAAGAGACTAACGCGTCTTGCTTTACTAATTCGATGATGAATTATCCAATACTGTAAAAAAAAAGTCTATTTTTATAACGTTTTTTGAGTCGTGGCACTGGTGGGGCACTGTGGAAGGCGCCGAAGTTTGTAGCTACGCGCGGATCTATAAAAGTAGAAAAGGGATCAAATATGCTAAAGAATGTGTAATAACAGTGCTGCCAAAAAGACGACAGAAGATGTAGCTATAAACATTCTAGTCGCGCTTTATTCTCAGAAAAACAATAAAAAGAAACTTTCTTCAACGTTTGCCTTGGCTTCGGCCAAAAGAATTTCCTGCTGACTTAAATGTCACACTCAGTAACTTGGTGTTATTCGAGGTATTAGAATTGTCAAGGACAGCGCCACAGGTGCTCTCTTGAGTTCTGGCTACACCATCTCGATGTATCAAAGCAATCTCATGCTCAAGATAAAACTCCTTGTTTTGGAGCTCTCTCATGTGACTTACCTGGGTTGATCCAGATGCTATTCGTTTAGACAAACTGCTTATTTCGGCCCATTAGAATAACATATCCACTTATTGTAAATATTGCCATGAACCTGGCCATGTCGCTTCTAGTTGCCTTAAATTTCCTAATGGAAAACGTGCATGTTTCCTCTGTCTCAAGCGTGGCCATGTTCGGGCAGACTGTCCTGAACGAACATCCGCTGCTGTGACATTGTAATGGTCGTTCTGTAACACGCTTGCCTTCCTCGACCCAACTTGTTCCAAGTGATTCTTAGAACTTACTACAGAAACGCCAAGCAGTGAACACGATGGCTCGACAAGTTTTCCTAAGTCTGAGACTATCCTAGTGCAGGCTAACACCCAGAGATCTCTGAGGAAGCTGCTCCACCTATACATAATTCCTCATGCCTACAATTCAAATATGCCAATCTATTCAAGGGATTGACCAGAATTCTCCCAGCTCTATCTCTCGGTCACCCTCTCCTGCTTCGGCTACTGCAGAGGTTCATTCTGATGATGAAATGGAGGAGGTTTCTCATTCTTCTGAGCATTCGGAAGAACATCATGAATCGTTCTCTAGTGACATAGAAATGAATGAAGTCCAAGATGAACCTAAATTGTCAGCTTCCAAGTCTACTCCCCAGAGCACTCCTGTTTGTCGTAGCGATCGTAAACGTAACGCTCCAGACAAACTTGATCTTTAATTTATTATGATATATAATAACTGCAAGGCTTTCAAGTTGTTACCTTTGAATGGCAGTAGCTTTTTCAAAGTTAGTAAACCACCTACACGAAAATAATTTATGTGGCACATCCGTTCTTATAATCCCATATTTGTTGCTCTGCAAGAAGTGGATAATAGTGATAACCCCTTCTTTCATTTTGATTTATTACATCAACAGTCTGTTCGTCATCAAAGTTTATGGGCTCAGTATTATGGTCTAGTTTGTTTTGATCCTTCATTTTCAATCACACGTATTCCTATTCCAGAAGGTATCTTGTGCCTTCTGGCTCAGGTTACGCATATCAACGATTTTATAGAGCCTTTCTTTATCCTTGCTATCTATGCCCCGGTAAGTGTAGTAAGAGAAAACGCGAATTTTTTGAACGGCTTTCACAGCTTCAGTAATTGGATCCTTATGATGACAGGTCTTGTATTGATCATCATAACTGTGGGCGATTTCAGCTTTACAATACAATCGCCTCAAGCGTCACCTTTCTACCGCAATTGTGTGATGTATCTCGAATATATAAAGAAGTAATAAGGGAAGTATAAGTCGATGAATCTCTATAAAAATTTATTGTATATTAAGGCAAGAGAAAAACAGATCATTATTACAAACAGTGTCGTTTTGTATGAATACAGTATTATTAAGGAACCGATTTAGTTATGGCCAATGAGGATTGGGCATATCGCGTTATATGTTAATAACATGTATTGTTGTCAGTCTTTTTGTATCACTCATTCTTAGAGTATAGACTTATAGTGATCTCATACGATAAGAGCAAATATTTATAAATACGACACCCAGGAAGAAGAGATACGTTGTATTATGTACATAAAAACTCTACACCAGAGCAACGCGTGAAATTTCGGTACATTAAACAACAGCAGGACAAGACGTGGAAAACCAAAAAGTACCGTCGAATCTTGCAAGATCTTAAAGCTCACGAGCCTGATGTCATGCAAGCTGAGCAAGCCCTTTCTCAACAGCCAAGCAGCACTGTATCCATAGAACGCTTTTGTCGTATTATCCTTCCTTTACTAACTAATCTTCGTGTGAGATTACTCCATTACTATACTGTTTACAGTCATTCTACATTTAGCATTACGTACCTCTATTAATTTAATTTGTAACATATCGGATTGTAAATTATTATTTTATATACCAAGCCTTACTTTGTATTAATGAGCTCCTTATCTTGTTTTCTCACCAATAAAGAGGTTCAAGAGTCTCATCGACGTATAGTCTTTTTATCCTTGTTATAACTCAGGTATGTTATAAGTACTTATTAACAGATAAATATCACAGCTTTGATCACGTCCTTCAAGCTAGATCTAAATATTCTGCCGTTCTCAGTAAATTCTATGGACATACTATCACAAACCATGATAACGGATACTTCCTCTTTCGTAAGGTCCGTCTTTCAGCGTATTTCAACAAACAACGTGCCGATCAAAAGCTTATTCAAGACTTACGCGCCAAGTTTGGAGAAGATGCCGTGTTTGTGATGGGAAACTGGTTCGCTCCCCATGCTAGGTATCATGAACCTATCCGTGGCTTTGGTTTCCGAAGACTCCTCAAGAAGCATGGGTTCCAAATCTATCTTGTAGATGAGTACAAGACTAGTAGGTACTGTCCAGCATGTCTGTTGTATTCATACTTAGTGGATCAACTATTAACCACTTATGAAACAATAACTGGCAATTATTCGACTTTAGCTTGTTACTTTGAAACAACTGTGTGGATCATTATTTAAACCAATTACCAGGAACTGGGTTTTAAGGTACGCATATCCAATGACTCTGATCCGTCATTATTATTAGAGCCATCGTCTTATCAAAAGCACCCGATTCATCCTAACTCTCTCATTGCCTCAATTGTCATTCATAAGCCTCTATGAAAAGTTTTACGATTTCAGTTGAAGAGTATCTCACATTTAGTATAAATACTCGTCCTTAATAAAGTCAATCGACATATATCTTCTAGTCTGGTTAATTCTAGTCTTTATTCTCTTTAATTGATACTTTGTATTCAACACCGTGAGATTTGAGCGTTGAGATGAGAGCTTTGTCCCTATAGCGAGTCAAATATCTGAGCATTATTGACCTACTACAGCCAGAAAAGAGAAGGTTGAGTCAGCATCCCAACGGTGCATAATCTGGAAGAGTTATTTAGGATGACACTAATTAAAGGGTTGGTGAAAGCTGAAAGAGACTATTTGGCAAAATATGCCATGATTTTATTGGCAATTATAATGCTAAGTGCACTATGGGTCATAACATCAATACATTAGGCTATATTTATATATCATCAACATCTCTCGGATCTATTTCGACGAAAACGTTGATCAAAGGGTTCTCGCTTACTCTTTCAGTTCGTTCCCAGGTTGTTCTATTTTTGCGTTGTATGTCTACCAAGTATATCGTTTTATCTGACAAACGATCGTCAATTACTAATAGCGCCTTTCTACCAAACACATCTATTAAACTACTGTAATGACTTTGATCCACAATATCAAAGGAATCGAATAGCATATCCACTCTACTTTCAACTTCATCCATAGAGGAGCAAATAATTGTAACGTCCACATGACGTACTGACGGCAAGAGACGTAAGTAACCAGCAAGTGATCCGCTTTCTACGGCACGCACTCTCAGTGTAAGAGTACCTAGTGTCGAATTCAAATGCATATTTGCATCTATTGCAGCTTGTGATGGCGGCTGGAAAGGCTCAAATGTCCAGTAGTGGAAAGTCTTCATTTGCGTACAGGTAGTGAGAATACCTTCAATCCATGCGGTACTGTCGCTAGGGTCAGGTCCGAGATTCAAGGTAAACGTTGTGACATTATGTTGGTATCTCTTGAGTATCTGTAAAAACTTTTGTTTATTCTCCGGATTGTTCTCGAAACGTGTATATGCTGTTTTTTCTATACTTGTCTGTTTCAAGTAAAGTTCTGGAAAGAGAGCTAGTTCACTGCTAAAATGAATGTGTGCGTTGAATGTGTGCTTTACGTACGCTTCAAGCAAAGAAAATGACCCCGTTGCACTGATTATATATGTTTGCATTGAGTTTAGATATTCTATAAACCTATCGCCGATATTATCGAAATAGCTCTCTAATTGATATTCAAAATTGGGATAGTCGCAAGATGCCAATAGCAGATCCTGAAGGTTGGGAAACTTGTGCATGATGTATTCAACAATGCCTAGATGACTGACCCGACACACGCGTAAAGACTTGATGTTTCTATGTGGTTGTGTAGACAATATTTCAAGTGTGGTTGGTATTCTGCTCCCCACATCCGAATAAGGCATCTTTGAGTTTGCGTTTATATGTGTCAGGTTAGGGCAAAGCTGGATTATTTCATCATAATCCATAAGTGACCAAAAGATTTCCATCTTGTCGATAGTCAAGTGCGTTAAGTTGCTAAACTCTGGCAATCGCTGACAGAGTTCTTTCATTATTGGAGTAGAAGGATGCTCTGGTGGTAGATAGAAATGAGTGAGCGAATGGTGAAAAAATGAAATAAGTGTGTTGTAACAGTCAAAGTAATTATGGTGTTCAGTTAATAAAAAAGGGTTAGTAAGTTCCTTTATATGAGGCCAGTGCTTTGATGCGGCAGTGGTAATAGTACGCCAAGAATCATAGTTCCTGATGGCGCCCTTAACGCGTTCTACGTTTGGACAGGCTTCAACAAGTTCATTGATGTAAAGCTCTGCTGTTTCATATTTTCGGTATCTTGTGCTAAGGCATATGGTTCGAGTAAGGTGCCCTGCGCTGCTGTTTTTCATACAGTGTAAAAATCTTTCCATGGTCTCATCGTTGCATAAATCTACGAGGCTATACAGGCACGTTTTTGCAACTTGGTTCCATCTCTTACAGACAAGCTGATATTGCACCATCCAGCTTTTCTTGTACTTGGCGCTCTTCTGAACGTATGCAAAAATCTGCTGTAAAATTTCACTAGGTATCTCACTGAAGCCTGGCATATTGAGATAAAGTATACACAAGAACAATCAACTGTCAAGTAAAGGATAACTCAAAAGAAAAGCGCAGGATATGCTGCGCACAATATATCTTGTAGTGTGGCTGCGATCTTTGTCTGAAAAAGGAAAGACATAGATTGCTGGTTTACTTTTTTCGTCTAAATAATTCATTCATCAAAGCCATTCAACCTAGCTTGGATCCATCCCCCACAGGACGAAAACCTGTTCTAGCATCGTGGAGGAAAAAAAAAGCAACCGAATAGACCCTTGAACCCAATAGAGTCAGTAACCTTAGACCAACGTAGTCTCGTCAAGCATAGAACGCGATTGCTGTACTGCCTATGGTGAGGCCATACTCTATACCTATAGCAGTCGTTGACGTCAGCTTACCAGCCTCATATGGAGAGCCTACCACATAATGAATAGTAGAAGTGCAACCAGGTCTCTTGGAGATGCTCTATTCGATACTAGAAGTATTGTTCGCGACAAGCTCGATGAAAACACCCCGCTTTTTATCCGTGCGACAGTACTGAAAAGTAGTTCATACGCTAACGAGAAGCTCGCTGAGTTAAGAAAACACTTGCACTTGCGGTTATTTATTGCGTAAATAAAGTGAGACATCCAAAACGTAAAAGATAGAGAAGAAAAAACTTCCCACCTGAATACACCTTTATACTTTATGACTTTATTTTTGATCAATCAAAAATCGTGTGATATGTCTCGAATATATGAAGAAGTAATAAGGGGAATGTGTGTCGATGAGTCTCTATATAATCTCTTTATTGTATATTGAGACGAGCAAGAGCACATTATTACAAACAGTGTCATTTTATATGAAGACAGAATATTTTTTTTGTAAAACGTATATGTTATTCAAGCACCGCCAGTCGGCTTGTACATATTAAAGAAAATAATAAAGAGCATAGTAGCATGAAACAAAAACAAAACAAAAAAAAAAAAGAGCTGCATTGACCCGAGCGAGATGATTTTAGACGCTCTCTATAGATATTTTCATCATATATTCGCTCAATTGCTTGTGTTGCTTGTGCAGCAGCTTCATCGGGCCAGAAGGTACCGTGGCTGGGTAAGCTACCATGGAAAGCATGATGGTGAAAAATACTCAGTATACTTTACTTTTGTTGCGAACTAAATATCCTTCCAATAGAATGCGAAAACTACCGCAGATGGTCATCAAGGCCAAGAAACACATTGGCGAATGTGAGCTCTTTACAATGTATTTTGACCCCATTTTATCCGCGTTGCTTTCCGATCCTGACAAAAGCATCTTGTTGCGATGGTTAAATGTCATTGGTGATGAAACTGGAGAGATGCGCCTTGATGCCACTATTTCTAAGTTATGCCAGCGTGATTTTGGACCAAGTCTTGGGCTTGGCGAAGTGAAGTTGGCACACCCCTCCACCGATAATCATGCTCTATGCCACGATCTCCTGCGTTTAGCAATTTTTGCCAAGGATACTGTAGATATTAACAAACTGCAAGCCGCGATGACTTTCCAGATTAATGGATATACCATCACCTTTTTCTTGACACACCTGCGTCATGATGGAATGTATCTTATGCAAGAAATTGGCCAGCTTACATTTCCACGCTCCTTGGAAGAATTGGCAT